AACTTCAAAAAATACTAAATCTGCGTTTATACACCCGCCACCAATTTTTTTTCGGCGAAATGTTCAGAGAATGTTTAGAAACACTCACTGAACAATTACGAACAAATTTCGACTTCCGCAAGTCCGCTATAGAAATTACGAAGGGTATAACAATAATTATAATAATAATAATAATTATAATAACAACGGATATAGATACCAACAAAATGGAAGGTACTAATTGTATTTAGTTCAAAGAGATTACTTTTACTTTGTAAAAAACATAAAAACTAAAACTTTTATAATAAAAACGTTAAAATAAATTTTTCTGACAATTTTTAGACTTTCTCCTTGACTGTAAAGAATATTCTAATTCACTCTGAAAATTATTAGATACTTAAAAAATGTTCTATTACATTTACTTACGAATTTCTTTAATTGTAAAATTATTTGAAAACATGTACAACTTTTTTTATAAATAAATATTTAATGATTATTATTTTTCATAGGAATTAGGATTTTCAAGAATTTCAAAAACAAATTTTTTGTAATTCAATTACTAATGAAACTATATTATTATAAAACATGAAAAAATCGATCACTATGAGTTGAAGACTCGAAGTATATAATAATTTTATATAATAATTTTATATTAGTTCGTAAACAAGTTGCAAATCGATTCGTATTGATGCAAAGAATAAGATTTTAGAAACAAATGAGTAAGATTTTCTTATACGGCAACATAATTTTGCGTAAAGAACTCATTTTTTGATAAAAATGCGAATTTTTCAGCTTTAATTATGATTAACTCAGTAAATTCTCATACTATTTATACTTTGTATAGACTAGTCGATTCGCCTTGATGCAAAGAATAAGATTTTATTATATATTAATTTCAATAACCAGCTTAAACAAAAATTAAAAAAAAAATTTTTTTTCAGAATTTTAAAAGTCTATCAATACATTTCGAGATATTTTTCTGATAAATATACCTGGTAAATTTTAGCCAAATTCGTTAAAACCTCTTCGAGCTATCGTGTACACAAAAATCGGGATCCACACACACACACACATTAATAGATCCCGACAATTGTTCAGGGTCTTATATAACATAGTTCTATCTAGCAGAAAATTTGTTGAAAGGATTTTTAAAAACTTTGTAAATTAAACGACTGCAAAGCTTCCTCACGAGGAAGCAAAAATTAATTATTTAAAAAGAAATTATTGCCAGAAACAGCAAAAGTTGACAGTTTTTTATAAGAATTCGTGGAAACTGCATAGTTAATTAAAGTGAGTGTTTCTAAACATTCTCTCAAAATTTGGCTGAAAAAAAAATTGGTGGCGGGTGTTTAAACGAAGATTTAGTATTTTTTGAGATTATTATTTCCAAGATGGCGGACTTGCGGAAGTCGAAATTTGTTCGAAATTGTTCAGTGAGTGTTTCTAAACATTCTTTAAAAATTTCGCGGAAAAAAAAATTGGTGGCGGGTGTATAAACGCAGATTTAGTATTTTTTGAGGTTATTATTTCCAAGATGGCGGACTTGCGGAAGTCGAAATTTGTTCGAATATGTTCAGTGAGTGTTTCTAAACATTCTTTAAAAATTTCGCGGAAAAAAAAATTGGTGGCGGGTGTTTAAACGAAGATTTAGTATTTTTTGAGGTTATTATTTCCAAGATGGCGGACTTGCAGAAGTTGAAATTTGTTCGTAATTGTTCAGTGAGTGTTTCTAAACATTCTCTGAAAATTTCGCCGAAAAAAAAGTTGGTGGCGGGTGTTTAAACGAAGATTTAGTATTTTTTGAGGTTATTAATTCCAAGATGGCGGACTTGCGGAAGTCGAAATTTGTTCGTAGTTGTTCAGTGAGTGTTTCTAAACATTCTCTGAAAATTTCGCCGAAAAAAAAGTTGGTGGCGGGTGTTTAAACGAGGATTTAGTATTTTTGAGGTTACTAATTCCAAGATGGCGGACTTGCGGAAGTCGAAATTTGTTCGTTATTGTTCAGTGAGTGTTTCTAAACATTCTCTGAAAATTTCGCTGAAAAAAAAATTGGTGGCGGGTGTTTAAACGAAGGTTTAGTATTTTTTGAGGTTATTAATTCTAAGATGGCGGACTTCCGGAAGTCGAAATTTGTTGGAAATTGTTCAGTGAACCATTCTTAACAATCCCTCAAAGTTTCGCTGAAAAAAAAATTGGTGGCGGGTGTATAAACGCAGATTTAGTATTTTTTGAGGTTATTAATTCCAAGATGGCGGACTTGCGGAAGTCGAAATTTGTTCGTTATTGTTCAGTGAGTGTTTCTAAACATTCTCTGAAAATTTCGCTGAAAAAAAAATTGGTGGCGGGTGTTTAAACGCAGATTTAGTATTTTTTGAGGTTATTATTTCCAAAATGGCGGACTTGCGGAAGTCGAAATTTGTTCGAAATTGTTCAGTGAGTGTTTCTAAACATTCTTTAAAAATTTCGCGGAAAAAAAAATTGGTGGCGGGTGTATAAACGCAGATTTAGTATTTTTTGAGGTTATTATTTCCAAGATGGCGGACTTGCGGAAGTCGAAATTTGTTCGAATATGTTCAGTGAGTGTTTCTAAACATTCTTTAAAAATTTCGCGGAAAAAAAAATTGGTGGCGGGTGTTTAAACGAAGATTTAGTATTTTTTGAGGTTATTATTTCCAAGATGGCGGACTTGCGGAAGTCGAAATTTGTTCGTAATTGTTCAGTGAGTGTTTCTAAACATTCTCTGAAAATTTCGCCGAAAAAAAAGTTGGTGGCGGGTGTTTAAACGAGGATTTAGTATTTTTGAGGTTACTAATTCCAAGATGGCGGACTTGCGGAAGTCGAAATTTGTTCGTTATTGTTCAGTGAGTGTTTCTAAACATTCTCTGAAAATTTCGCTGAAAAAAAAATTGGTGGCGGGTGTTTAAACGAAGGTTTAGTATTTTTTGAGGTTATTAATTCCAAGATGGCGGACTTCCGGAAGTCGAAATTTGTTGGAAATTGTTCAGTGAACCATTCTTAACAATCCCTCAAAGTTTCGCTGAAAAAAAAATTGGTGGCGGGTGTATAAACGCAGATTTAGTATTTTTTGAGGTTATTAATTCCAAGATGGCGGACTTGCGGAAGTCGAAATTTGTTCGTTATTGTTCAGTGAGTGTTTCTAAACATTCTCTGAAAATTTCGCTGAGAAAAAAAATTGGTGGCGGGTGTTTAAACGCAGATTTAGTATTTTTTGAGGTTATTATTTCCAAAATGGCGGACTTGCGGAAGTCGAAATTTGTTCGAAATTGTTCAGTGAGTGTTTCTAAACATTCTTTAAAAATTTCGCGGAAAAAAAAATTGGTGGCGGGTGTATAAACGCAGATTTAGTATTTTTTGAGGTTATTATTTCCAAGATGGCGGACTTGCGGAAGTCGAAATTTGTTCGAATATGTTCAGTGAGTGTTTCTAAACATTCTTTAAAAATTTCGCGGAAAAAAAAAATTGGTGGCGGGTGTTTAAACGAAGATTTAGTATTTTTTGAGGTTATTATTTCCAAGATGGCGGACTTCCGGAAGTCGAAATTTGTTGGAAATTGTTCAGTGAACCATTCTTAACAATCCCTCAAAGTTTCGCCGAAAAAAAAGTTGGTGGCGGGTGTTTAAACGAGGATTTAGTATTTTTGAGGTTACTAATTCCAAGATGGCGGACTTGCGGAAGTCGAAATTTGTTCGTTATTGTTCAGTGAGTGTTTCTAAACATTCTCTGAAAATTTCGCTGAAAAAAAAATTGGTGGCGGGTGTTTAAACGAAGGTTTAGTATTTTTTGAGGTTATTAATTCCAAGATGGCGGACTTCCGGAAGTCGAAATTTGTTGGAAATTGTTCAGTGAACCATTCTTAACAATCCCTCAAAGTTTCGCTAAAAAAAAAATTGGTGGCGGGTGTATAAACGCAGATTTAGTATTTTTTGAGGTTATTATTTCCAAGATGGCGGACTTGCGGAAGTCGAAATTTGTTCGAAATTGTTCAGTGAGTGTTTCTAAACATTCTTTAAAAATTTCGCGGAAAAAAAAATTGGTGGCGGGTGTTTAAACGAAGATTTAGTATTTTTTGAGGTTATTATTTCCAAGATGGCGGACTTGCGGAAGTCGAAATTTGTTCGTAATTGTTCAGTGAGTGTTTCTAAACATTCTCTGAAAATTTGGCTGAAAAAAAAATTGGTGGCGGGTGTTTAAACGAAGATTTAGTATTTTTTGAGGTTATTAATTTCAAGATGGCGGACTTGCGGAAGTCGAAATTTGTTCGTAGTTGTTCAGTGAGTGTTTCTAAACATTCTCTGAAAATTTCGCCGAAAAAAAAGTTGGTGGCGGGTGTTTAAACGAAGATTTAGTATTTTTTGAGGTTATTATTTCCAAGATGGCGGACTTGCGGAAGTCGAAATTTGTTCGTAATTGTTCAGTAAGTGTTTCTAAACATTCTCTGAAAATTTGGCTGAAAAAAAATTGGTGGCGGGTGTTTAAACGAAGATTTAGTATTTTTTGAGGTTATTAATTCCAAGATGGCGGACTTGCGGAAGTCGAAATTTGTTCGTAGTTGTTCAGTGAGTGTTTCTAAACATTCTCTGAAAATTTCGCCGAAAAAAAAGTTGGTGGCGGGTGTTTAAACGAGGATTTAGTATTTTTGAGGTTACTAATTCCAAGATGGCGGACTTGCGGAAGTCGAAATTTGTTCGTTATTGTTCAGTGAGTGTTTCTAAACATTCTCTGAAAATTTCGCTGAAAAAAAAATTGGTGGCGGGTGTTTAAACGAAGGTTTAGTATTTTTTGAGGTTATTAATTCCAAGATGGCGGACTTCTGGAAGTCGAAATTTGTTGGAAATTGTTCAGTGAACCATTCTTAACAATCCCTCAAAGTTTCGCTGAAAAAAAAATTGGTGGCGGGTGTATAAACGCAGATTTAGTATTTTTTGAGGTTATTATTTCCAAGATGGCGGACTTGCGGAAGTCGAAATTTGTTCGAAATTGTTCAGTGAGTGTTTCTAAACATTCTTTAAAAATTTCGCGGAAAAAAAAATTGGTGGCGGGTGTTTAAACGATAATTTAGTATACCTCTATGTAAGAGATATATACGGAATGTAATAAATCCAAGATGGCTGACTTCCGGAAGTCGAAACACGTTAACAATGATACATCTGACTTCCCTGATACATTTCCTTTAAGTCTGGGTGAAAAAAAAATTGGTCTGGTAGAATTAAAATTTTTCGTTTTTTAAACGTTTAAAACTTCATGGACCTTCTAATATAATTTACATATTTTTGTTATGTTATAAATTTCTTATCTTTCTATACGAATTCAAAATTTTTTTTATCTAAGAGCTATTCTGGAAATCCCCTGAAAATATGTCTAATTTAATTTTTTTTAATGTCACATGCCACGTGTGTGACCTTAAAGTAACATTAGACTACACCTGTTACCAAGCAAACCTGACAAACACCCATCGATGAGCAATCTTTTTACAACCTTATGGACGTCGATACACGGATGTGATCTGTGTATGTAAGGGCCTAAATTTGGATCCAAAAATCAGTATCTAATCCATTTCTAAGTGATCAACATCAAATGTGTACCAGAAGTCAGTACGAAATCTATATTCGTCAATTACGAAATTCCAAGTCTAAAGTAATACCCATCTTGTGTGTGAACTCAAACAAATATTAGTTTATTCTTCGGTCAATTCAGGGCACAACTAAAAATAAACTTGTAACATAAGTCCATAGTTTAATTAAACAAAGTGTCGCCCATTTATTCAGCTTTTTCTGTTCGGGTCAGGCCATTCTGCTCAATGACCTCTTCCCGTCAGTTCTCAATCGACACTCTAAATTTAAAAGAAAAAAATATTTAAGTAAGCAATTGTTTTTTATTTTTTCAAATCCTCGACATAAAATGTAGTTCCCGACTCCTTAAGTTTTTTAATTTCACTCATAACATTCATTTGCGACTGCAATAAATTCATACTCTCGTAATTGTAGGACAAAATAACAGTTAAACCGGCTTTGCGATCATTCTCAATTTTCCACCTTAGTTCATCAATTTTAAATTTCGTTCCCGGCAATAGAATTGTTTCGCTTTCTCTTATAGCCATTACATCTTTCACTTTAGCTCTCAAATAGGGTCTGTCGAATCGCATTTGATACATAATCCTCGTCTTTGTTTGGGACTTCGTCAAAGCAAAAATTCGTGCAACACTCGGTTCTTCTGACGCTGAGGTAAATTGCGTGAGCATCATATCCTTTCGTCCATTGTAAAAGAATTTTTCCACTTCCTCAGTTTCGCGAACTTCACCGCGAAATAATTTTGGAATATATTCTTCGATTAAATCACGCGATTGACGAATCGCGAGTCTGTAGATTGCGTTCTTCATTCGTCTCGCAACGTCCGTGTCGTCACGAATTAAGGTAAAACCATCGGTGCCATAGTAACGAATAGCGACAAAATCCTCAAATTGGAGGTTATTTATGGCCGGGGACATTATGTACTGATTGTACATGTTGTGAGCGAAGACTGACATGTCACGATTTCCAGAATTTTGATTGGGGTACAGTTTGGCGAACTTACTCTTCGCCTTCTCCTTGGTTTTAATTTTCTTATGGGTGAATTCTTCCGCATTTTGGAGTTCATAGAAGAGTTCTGGTTCGTCCATTCCTATTGTTTGCAAATTGGCGATTTCGGTATCGCGATTAGTGTCTTTCTTCTTGCCGACGCAGAACAAATTGCCGCCTTCGCATAGAACTAGATTGTCGTCATTTGTAATTGTAATTTCGAAAGTTGAAGTAGATGATACCTCTTCGATTGGTTCCTTGAAAATTATGTCCGTTTGCTCCACTTGCCAAGTAATCGGATTCAATTCCTTGTAGACTCGCTCATTGTTCTTGGAGATGTGATCGAGAAGGTAGAGGGATTCCTTGGAATCAATGCTCCTAAGTTCGGCAATTTGGTTCTTGTTTTCTAGTCTGAGGTACCTAAAGCCAAAACCAGAGGTACTGTCTAAGGAATTAACGTAGACGTACCGACCATGCTTGATACCGATTTTGAGAACAACACTGTTTACGGTAACCAAAGCATTTGCTAAAATGACCTCAATTGACGAGGTGGAGAACTCAAAGTCCCGTCTTAGATAATTAAGCACCGCTTTCATCGAAAGCAGACCCATCGTTCCTATTTTGAAAACAAGTTCAAAGCCTGGATCCAGAAGGCGAATGACAGTAATACCTAGATGTTTGAAAAAATTCCGGTTAAAGATTGACAGCAATTGTTGGGCACCTGCACTTGCATAGGATACGATATTACGCAAAATTCCTTGTAAGGAGGCTCTTATTACAAATGATTGAATTGCTGCCTGTAATGGTAGTGCAATTACCTTGGCGACCAAACTCGACGTTCGTAAATACGTCGATACCAAGGGGAACATCATCATACAGTCAATAACACACGAAGTGTACGCAAATGATTGGTATTTATCAAAAACACTATCAATACAGTTGTAGAATGGTATCAGCGACAGACCAAAATTCTTCCACCATTCGACCCTCGTCTCTTGATAGCCAGTAGTCTCCAAATATTTAGCAATTTTGAATGTCTGATCAGAAGCAACATGCTGCAGGTATGTTTCGAATTTTTCATCAACATTCTTGTATTTATAGTGGAAAAAACTTTGGTGAAAAATTTCAAATGGAATTCCTAGTTTTTGACGAAATTCCTTCGGATTATTCGATTCTCTCATGAGAAGAAATTTTGTGTTTTCTTTTATGAGAGCGTAATATTCAGTTGTGGCATTCTTTGGAAAGTAGCATTTAAAGGCAATGTTCGGATAAACCAATATCTGTTCCGGTGGCACTGGAATATTACCCATAGATTGAAAAACATAAAAACCATTGTAAATTTCCACATACGCTTGATTCATTTCCCTTATGAAATCATCACCCAAAGCATTTTTTAATTTTTGCACTTCAAATCGAATGCACTTTGGCTTTAGATTCTCAATCTGTTGCATGAACAATTCCTTCAGATCGGGTAACTTTATGGTATTTGTAGAATTATGACAGTAGTAGTCATTGTTATCATTCTTGTAATTCTCGATCATTTCGTTGAGATCCTCGGTTTTTGAACAGTACTTTAGGATAGTCTCCCTTGCGATTTTTGTACGATTCTTAAAATTCGAGACCGCCTGATAGAATTCACTTTCCGCGGTTGGTTTCATTGATTGCTTCATCTTGTTCAACTCGGACTCCAAATAAGTGAAGAGTTGTAAAAAAGCATGTGGCCAATGATTCCGGGTATTCATTATCATGCCAATTGTTTCTGTCATGTTGTCCCTTTGATTGTAAACGTAGTAGAGAAAAGCCGGAAGTGCAAAGACGGTTATTACCGAGGTGTTAATTCTGTTAGCCAATGTCATTTGCTCAATCAAGTGTCCCATTTCGACGCATTCCTGGAACAGTATTTTCTGATACATCTCATGCTTCCATAAATACATTTCGGAAGAATTAGCCTTAGAGTAGAAACTAACACTCCTGCCGTTCGATCTGAAAAAAGTTAGACCAGCCTGTGCGTAGATATAATCAACCGAAAAAATTTCCAAATCTTCCTCGTGTACAGGAAATAGTGGCATTATCACCTCCATCATTATTCTCCTCGCCGCCAATGGTGACAATTTTGATTTCGGCCCATACTCATTCTCAAATTCCATTTCCTTAATTTTCAACCTCGCTCCTTCAATTACAGAAATATAGGTCGGTTTATCGATGCCAATTGTTACATTCGCTAGGAAACCGTAAATATTATTGAATTTTTGAAAAACAAGGGACTTGACAAAGTACTCGAGCATAGTGTTGATGAACGTCTCATCGAGGTCCTCGTATGACTTTGAGCCGTAAAGATCCGTGCTCGCTAGTATTTTTCTCACCAACTCTAATTTCTTTCCTAAATCTTTTTTATTTACTTCAAAGTATTTATAGAGTGCATTGACTGTTGGAATATTTTTGTAAAGATCATTTTCGTTCAATTGACTTTCGACGAATAGAAAACTACTGATAATGTTGACATAGGTGTAGATTGGAATAATTTGGGCATATTCCAGTGCACTGGTAAAATTTGTCGTATTCATTATTATCTGAAAGAAAGTTTTGCTGTTAAATTTTTTGTATTTTAATTTATAAAATTGAATCTGTCCCTGAACCGTGATCGTTAATTGGTTTGATAATTTAGAAAGTCGGAACTGGCGAGTGACCCACTGGTAGTGAAGAATGTGTGTCGCGCGGCTAGTTAGTAGAAAAGAAAATTCCAGATGGCAGAGACGCATAGTCTTAGATTATTTTTCTTCCCTAAATTAAGGAATCCTTGAAAAGAACGTGCTTGCAGTAGGAAAGAGAGGAATCAAGAAGCGTCGTTGTGTGAGTCAGTATCATGCCAGTATTGTACCAGTCGTGTCTCGTCGTTGGCATTTCGCTTGCCAAGTTGTTCAGGCAGAATTTCCTCTGACGATTGAAAGCGTCTCAGAGGCATTGTTGTTGTTGTTGGACAAATGAATTAGTTTATTAATTAAGCATATGTCGTCTATTTATATAATTTATGACGTATATTGTTTTCGTTAATATTTTAGACAAAAGATGAAAGTTTCAATTATAAGAAAATTAGTTAATTTATTTGGATTTTCATAATTATTTCATAATAATAATGTGATAATTATAAAAATAACACAGAGCCGCAAAGGGAAATTATTTTTTTTACTATTTAATTTTTTTGTCCCCGGATTCGGAAAGTGCGGGAAATTTTACGTCGAAATACATTTTGACAATTTATATATTAACCGATGTTTCAAGGTCAATTAAAGGTTATCTAGAAGGTCAAATTTTGATTTTATTCTCTTGTCCGGAAAGTCAGCTAGGAATGGATTTTAAAACAAATTCCTTCAAGGTCAAAAACCTTAATTTGAAATATTTAATTTTTCCTACACCAGAACAAGATGACCTTTAGTTGACCTTGAAACGTTGGTTCATATAAAATGGTCAAAACGTATTCGGACGTAAAATTTCCCGCTCTTTCCGAATCCGAGGTCAAAAAAATTAATAATTGCAAAATGAGGTGTTTGACCTTGAGTTGACTTTGATGCCGACGTGAACACCGGCATCTTAATCAGCGACCCCAAAAACATAAAGGTCACCTATGCTTAGAACATATCCACCTCAATTTCCCTTCGTGGTCCTGTGTAATATAATATAATAATAGTAAAAATATAATAAAATTTTGTTATTACTGTCCGACAGATTTTTTCTTAACTGTTAACTAAAAAATTAAAATATAAAAAACATAAAACATGTAATTATATCTTACCCGTATTTTTGGGAAATTTTTATTGGAATTCTTAAGAAAAAACTGAAACAATATTTTTTTGTTTTACTTCGACTGATTTATAACGTATTGTAAATATTTGTGAACGAATTGTCTTTGAAAGTTTGACGATAATCTTTTTTATTATCATTGAAATTTGTTTTCTTCTTTGGACAAATATAATATGCATATATTTATCATGTACTAAATTTCTTATCGTTCTGTACGAATTCAATAATTTTTTTGTACAAGAACTATTGAGTATTTCAATTTAAAAATTAATGCACATATAAATGATGTTTTGAACTTAATTTTGACATATTTTATTTATGAAAATAATTCTTTTAAAAAGCTTCCATCTCACTCGCCCACCTTTTCCATTTTTCCTGTATCCTTTCCATTTCCTCTTCTAATTCATCCATCTCTTTAACCCTCTCATCACCTGCTTCACAAACTGTTACAAAATTCTTCCTCACTCTCAGAAAACGCTCTTCCATTGCTTCATTCAACATTTTCACTAGTTCCATTAAATCCATGCAGTCTTCACACGTCATAATCTTTCTATTCTTCCCTATCCCTTTTTTTAATATTCGCGCCTTTTTCTCACTCTCTCGAATACTACTTGAATCAGACTCAGCCATTCCAGAAATCTACCTTATCACATAATTTTTCCCACTGTTTCTCTCTATCTTTTCTCTCACTTCAAGCAACCTAACCTCACAATATCCACTTCTTTCTTTACCTTTTTTATCACTCACACTTAGCCACTCGTACACATACACTCTTTTTACTTTCACCACCACTCTTTCCTCTGTTATCTCTAACACTACAATACTTACCCTTCAATAAAATACTCAAAATTTTGCCAAAAACTCTTAACCCTTTACCAACGCGTGCACAACTCAACGCTACCGGAAACAGAAAATAAATATTAATATAACAAATAAATTTTTCTCTTTAAAAAAGTACTAGACCCAAAAATTTTTATTCTGAAATAATTTTTTTGATTCCTTTAAATCTTTGACATAAAAGACTGTTTCCGATTCCTTAAGTTTTTTAATTTCACTCATAACATTCATTTGCGACTGCAATAAATTCATACTCTCGTAATCGTAGGACAAAATAGCAGTTAAACCGGCTTTGCGATCATTCTCCATTTTCCACCTTAGTTCATTAATTTTAAATTTCGTCCCCGGCAATAGAATAGTTTCGCGTTCATTGAGTACCATTAAGTCTTTCACTTCAGCTCTTAAATAGGGTCTGTCGAATCGCATTTGATACATAACCCTCGTCTTCGTTTGAGACGTCGACAGAGCAAAAAGTCGTGCAACACTCGGTTCTTCTGACGCTGAGGTAAATTGCGTGAGCACCAAATCCTTTCGTCCATTGTAAAAGAATTTTTCCACTTCCTCAGTTTCGCGAATTTCACCACGAAATAGTCTTGGGCTATATTCTTCGATCGAATCACGTGATTGACGAATCGCGAGTCTGTAGATTGCGTTCTTCATTCGTCTCGCAACGTCCGTGTCGTCACGAATGAAGACGTAACCTTCGGCGCCGTAGTAACGAACAGCGACATAGTCCTCGAATTGGAGGTTATTTATTGCAGGGGACATTTTGTACTGATCGTAAATGTCGTGGGCAAAAACTGCCATGTCCCGCTCGCCAACATTTTGGTACGGGTAGAGTTTGGCAATAATTTTCTTCGCCTTCTCCTTGGACTTTATTTTTCTAGGGGTGAACTCTTCCCTGAGTTCATAGAAGAGTTCTGGTTCGTCCATTCCCATTGTTTGCAAATTGGCGATTTCCGTATCGCGATTAGTGTCTTTCTTCTTGCCGACGCAGAAAAAATTGCCGCCTTCGCACATAATTAAATTGTAGTTATTTATAATTGTCATATCGAAAGTTTTCGCGGATGATACCTCTTGGAACGGTTCCTTGAAAATTATGTCCGTTTGCTCCACCTGCCAAGTAATCGGATTCAATTCCTTGTAGACTCGCTGATTGTCCTTGGAGATGTGATCGAGAAGGTAGAGGGATTCCTTGGAGTCAATGCTCCTAAGTTCGGCAATTTGGTTCTTGTTTTCTAGTCTGAGGTACCTAAAGCCAAAACCAGAGGTACCGTCCAAGGAATTAACGTAGACGTACCGACCATGCTTGATACCGATTTTGAGAACAACCCTGTTTACGGTAACCAAAGCATTTGCTAAAATGACCTCAATTGACGAGGTGGAGAACTCAAAGTCCCGTCTTAGATAATTAAGCACCGCTTTCATAGATAGCAGACCCGTCTTTCCTATTTTGAAGACAAGTTCAAAGCCTGGATCCAGAAGGCGAATGACAGTAATACCTAGATGTTTGAAAAAATTCCGGTTAAAGATTGACAGCAATTGTTGGGCACCTGCACTTGCATAGGGTACGATATTACGCAAAATTCCTTGTAAGGAGGCTCTTATTACAAATGATTGAATTGCTGCCTGTAATGGTAGTGCAATTACCTTAGCGACCAAACTCGACGTTCGTAAATACGTCGATACCAAGGGGAACATCAACAGACTGTCAATAACACACGAAGTGTAAGCAAATGATTGGTATTTATCAAAAACACTATCAATACAGTTGTAGAATGGTATCAGTGACAGACCAAAATTCTTCCACCATTCGACCCTCGTCTCTTGATAGCCAGTAGTCTCCAAATATTTGGCAATTTTGAATGCCTGATCAGAAGCAACATGCTGCAGGTATGTTTCGAATTTTTCATCAACAGTCTTGTATTTATAGTGGAAAAAACTTTGGTGAAAAATTTCAAATGGAATTCCTAGTTTTTGACGAAATTCCTTCGGATTATTCGATTCTCTCATGAGAAGAAATTTTGTGTTTTCTTTTATGAGAGCGTAATATTCAGTTGTGGCATTCTTTGGAAAGTAGCATTTAAAGGCAATGTTTGGATAAGTCAAATATTGTACCGGTGGTGCTGGAGCAATACCCATAGAAAGAAAAACATAAAAACCATTGTAGATTTCCACATCCGCTTGATTCATTTCCCTTATGAAATCATCATCGAAAGCCTCCTTTAATTTTTGCACTTCAAATCGAATACACTTTTGCTTTAGATTCTCAATCTGTTGCATGAACAGTTCCTTCAGATCGGGTAACTTTATGGTGTTTGTAAAATTATAGCAGTAGTAGTCATTATTATCATTCTTGTAATTCTCGATCATTTGGTCGAGTTCTACGGTTTGTAAACAGTACTTTAGGATAGTCTCCCTTGCGATTGTGGTTCGATTCTTAAAATTCGAGACCGCTTGGTAGAATTCACTTTCTGCGGTTGGTTTCATTATTTGCTTTACTTTGTCCATCTCGGACTCTAAATGTATAAAAAGTAGTTGAAAAGCCTGTAGCCAATGACTTTGTGTGTTCATTATACTCCAAATTGTTTCTGTTATGCTGTCCCTTTGATTGTAAACGTAGTAGAGAAAAGCTGGAAGTGCAAAAACCGTTAACGCCGATGCGTTAATTTTGTTGGCCAGTGTCATTTGTTCAATCAAGTGTCCCATTTCGACGCATTCCTGGAACAGTATTTTCTGATACATCTCATGCTTCCATAAATACATTTCGGAAGAATTAGCCTTAGAGTAGAAACTAACACTCCTGCCGTTCGACCTAAAAAAAGTTAGACCAGCCTGTGCGTAGATATAATCAACCGAAAAAATTTCCAAATCTTCCTCGTGTACAGGAAATAGTGGCATTATCACCTCCATCATTATTCTCCTCGCCGCCAATGGTGACAATTTTGATTTCGGCCCATACTCATTCTCAAATTCCATTTCCTTAATTTTCAACCTCGCTCCTTCAATTACAGAACTATAGGTCGGTTTTTCGATGCCAATTGTTACGTTCGCTAGGAAACCGTAAATATTATTGAATTTTTGAAAAACAAGGGACTTGACAAAGTACTCGAGCATAGTGTTGATGAACGTCTCATCGAGGTCCTCGTGTGACTCTGAGCCGTAAAGATCCGTGCTCGCTAGTATTTTTCTCACCAAATCTAATTTCTTTCCTAAATCTTTTTTATTTACTTCAAAGTATTTATAGAGTGCATTGACTGTTGGAATATTTTTGTAAAGATCATTTTCGTTCAATTGACTTTCGACGAATAGAAAACTACTGATAATGTTGACGTAGGTGTAGATTGGAATAATTTGGGCATATTCCAGTGCACTGGTAAAATTTGTCGTATTCATTATTATCTGGAAGAAAGTTTTGCTGTTAATTATTTTGTATTGTATCGTCACTGGAACGTATTTTTTAAGTAGGAGTAATAATAATAATAACAATGATAATGAAAAATTATAAATAATATAATTATTAGGGTGCCCAAAAAAATATCCGACTTTTAATTTTTTTTAATGCAACCTCGAAATATTGTTCTTCAATGAAAAATATTGAATACGTATTTTTTCTTTTTTAAATAAAATCATTTTTAAAGGTCGCGCTAGTCCATTTTTCATAAAAAAATTGATTTTTCCAGCTTTAAGTTCTGGAATAGTAAAAAACAATGTAAAAATTAGTTAATATGCACGTAAAATTATTTTCATACTTCTACCTTAAGTTTACAATGTTTCCAGCAAAGGAATAAATTACTTGCAAGGCATAAAGGACCTCAGAGTTGGCCATATTTTAGTTTTTCCGTAAAAATATTTCCAAAATACCCACAAATAAATTATTTAAATGTCAAACATTGGTGGGATTTTGTTGTGGGATAAACATGCTTTCTCTAAATACTTTGTATAAATAATTAATAAAATTTTAATGGACATAAATCATCAAAAAGTGTAAAAATTGATAGTTTGAAAATGACCCATCACGTCGGGATTTCTTGTGATATTGACATAAATTTCCAAAAAGTGTCTAATTTAGCCATTTCACGAAATTTTTTTTTGGTAACCAAATTTTTTTTTTCATTTTGAAAAATTTCATCGTATAATTTGAAATTGTTTTTATTTAGGCTACATTTAGATAAATGTAGGTATATCAAACTTTTGAAGTTTAAGGTAAGTATATGAAACGGAGTACAGGTAAAATAACACAATTTTTAACAAAAATATATAATCAATTTTTATATTGGTAATTCATTTAAAAAAAATTGTTTAAACAAGTTTTTATACACAAATTAGAAAATATAACTTTACTTTTTAAAATCATGCATTACATTATTCTATACATTTTGTTGTTCAAGGAAAACATTCATTACGTTTAAATTCAGGTAATCCTTTTTTTATTAAAAAAACTAATTTCAAAATTCAAAATACTTACCTCATCCTTCATTGTTTTATATACCTAAGGCAAATTTCTCAACTGCCCAGGTCAAAAAAAAATTATGTTGTTGAATTTTCTCGAAACTTTGCCAAAATGTTACTATTATAAGTGGAAGTGTAAATATAAATATTATTGAATTTAATAAAATGTTTTTTGACTTACGGAGTTTCAAAATTTTGACCCTTATCAAAATATATATTTTTTGATTTAATATATTGATAAGTCAAATTGAATGAAAACATTTTTTTTTCATCGCCAGCTTGTAGTTCGTAAAAAACCCTTTAAAAATCACTATTCACACTTATAATTTGATTAATTTTGCCTATCAATATATTAAATCGAAAAAAATATATTTTGAAAAAAGTCAACATTTTGAAACTCCGTAAATCAAAAAATATTCTATCAAATTAAAAAAAAATTATATTTACACTTCTACTAATAATAATAGTGACATTTTAGCAAAGTTTCGAGAAAATTCATTTTTTGACAAAAACAGTTGAGGAATTCTGACTCACCTCAAATTTGCTTAAATAAAAACAATTTCAAGTCTACGTAACTTTTTTTAAAAAAATCGTAAAACGATTTTAAAAAATAGGTTTTAAAGCTTAGACGATACAATTTTTTAAAATGAAAAAAAAATTGGTTAACCAAAAAAGTTTCGTGAAATGACCAAGTTAGCCATTTTTTGGAAATTTAGGGCAATATTACAAGAAAACCTGACGTGATGGGTCATTTTGAAGGTCGGATTCGTCTTCTACATCGAAAATGCGTAAATTTAATCTAGATGTGATCTTTTATGTAACAGAATTAAGTCAAAATTTGCAGGCCAGTGTTATTTGTATTTCATTTTCAAACTATCAATTTTTACACTTTTTGATGATTTATGTCCATTGAAAGTTTATTAATTATTTATCCAAAGTATTTAGAGAAAGCACTTTTATCCCACCACAAAATCCCACCAATGTTTGTCATTTAAAAAATTTATTTGTGGGTATTTTGGAAATACTTTTACGGAAAAACTAAAATATGGCCAACTCTGAGGTCCTTTATGCCTTGCAAGTAATTTATTCCTTTGCTGGAAACATTGTAAACTTAAGGTAGAAGTATGAAAATAATTTTACGTGCATAGTAACTAATTTTTACATTGTTTTTAACTATTCCAGAACTTAAAGCTGGAAAAATCAATTTTTTCATAAAAAATGGACTAGCGCGACCTTTAAAAATGATTTTATTTAAAAAAGAAAAAATACGTATTCAATATTTTTCATTGAAGAACAATATTTCGAGGTTGCATTAAAAAAAATTAAAAGTCGGATATTTTTTTGGGCACCCTAATAATTATGAAGATTGTAATTGTAATAACAACAAATAGTTATAATAACAAACTAGTTGTAATACCAAACAATTTCTAACAACAAATTATAAACAAATTGTAACAACAATTAAGAAATTCAACAAATTGTAATAATAATTAGTATTTTTATCAAAATATAAAACGTAAGCAACACGTATATTATAAAGAAGAACAGGATTTCTATGCAATTTAATAAATTCAGAGAGATGATTCACACAGATTTTTAATAATAATTAATAATAATTATTACTTTGATAATAATTGTAAATTAGTATTTTAAAATTATTAACCACTAATATTATTATTATTAATTTTCAAAATAAATAAAAAAGTACGAAATGATACCAATGTAAAATGAATAAATATACTATTTACAATCCGTCAGATTTGTTCTTAATGGTAAATGAAAAAATTAAAAATTTGAAAATAAAAATAAATATAAAATACTTATATTTTCATCTTACTGGTATTTTTATGAAATTTTTAGTTGAACTTTTAGGAGAAACCTTTGAAAATTTTTTTTTACAAAGCTGTGTTATTAATGATGAATTTAAACGAATTGTCAATGACTCCAGACATAAGTTTGACAATAATCTATTTTTTAATAATTGAAATTTGTTTTATTCCGTTATTATTGGTTAAATATAATTTACATATTTTTACTTTGTAACAAATTTCTTATCTTTCTATAAGAATGAAATTTAATGGTTTTTCAAAATATTTTTTAAATATTTCTTTTTATCTCATGCATTAAAAAATGACTTATAAATAGATAAAAATAGTTTTTCGCAAAATTAGTTTTTCTTGAAGTATTTTTTAATAATTATTACTTAAGTATTGTTGGTAATTTTTTTATTTTTTAAATTTTTACAACAATTTTTAAAATTAAATTATTATCATTGAAAAATACGTCACATTTGAAACATCTGTCGTCTATTTATACAATTTGTGACTTATATTGTTTTCGTTAATATATTAGGCACAAGGTGAATGTTTCAATATCATGAGAAGAAACCGCTGTCAAGTTGTACATTTTAATAATTTTAATGTTCATTACATAAACACTTTGCATCCTCATAGAAATAATAATAATAATTGAAATATAAGAATTAATTTTTATAAAAGAGTTAAAAATTATTAAATCTTGGTCCAAAAAATATGTTTTTATATATTCTATAACATGGTTATAATAGTTAAATAATTAGTAATTACACATAAGTTAATAAACAAGAATGTTGACAAAATTATATTTTCCACAATTTTTTATTTTTCAAATACCAATAATTTGATAATTTTTGACCGAATTAGGTTCAAAAAGAGGTCAATCGAAGCTCAAAAGATGCGTCTAAAAAAACTCTACAAAACTGAAGAAAAACATTTATAGGTGTCCGAACATTTTTTTTAAGTTATGGCCAAAAAACGTTTTTTTACAAAATGAAAAATGCAAAGAAAATATAGTTAAACTTTATGAATCGGGCTGAAAATACTTTCATTTTATGTCCCCCGAGGAGACATAAAATTTAAAAAAAATTAAGGCCTTTAGCTCTTTCTCGTTCTGAGATATTGAGGCAAATGTAATGTTAGTACACACACACATCGGGACAAATTTTTAAAATCCGTTTTTTGGACTTCCGGGGTCAAAACACGTCGAAATTTTTTTTTATTTATTTAGAACATTTATACGGACAGTGCCCATTCGTACATAAAGTACTAAAAGATTAGGTATAATGAATAAAAATTTATAAATATGTGCTGTCTTTACAAATTTACTTTAAAAAATTTAACAAAATATAATAATTGAACTAAAAATGAAGAAAACTATTTTTTTCCTTTTTTTTGTATGTTTTTAAGAAGAACTAAATGTTTTATACACTTTGAAGTCAATCAGAGACGTGTGTTAGTCCCAAAATTTTTAATCATACAACAAGAATTTTTATTTCTTCAAATTTTCAACATAAAATATAGTTTCTGAATCCTGGAGTTTTTTAATTTCACTCATAACATTCATTTGCGACTGCAATAAATTCATACTCTCGTAATCGTAGGACAAAATAACAGTTAAACCGGCTTTGCGATCATTCTCAAATTTCCACCTTAGGTCATCAATTTTAAATTTCGTTCCCGGCAATAGAATTGTTTCGCTTTCTCTTATGGCCATTACATCTTTCACTTTAGCTCTCAAATAGGGTCTGTCGAATCGCATTTGATACATAATCCTCGTCTTTGTTTGGGACTTCGTCAAAGCAAAAATTCGTGCAACACTCGGTTCTTCTGACGCTGAGGTAAATTGCGTGAGCACCATATCCTTTCGTCCATTGTAAAAGAATTTTTCCACTTCCTCAGTTTCGCGAACTTCACCGCGAAATAATTTTGGAATATATTCTTCGATTAAATCACGCGACTGACGAATCGCGAGTCTGTAGATTGCGTTCTTCATTCGTCTCGCAACGTCCGTGTCGTCACGAATTAAGGTAAAGCCATCGGTACCATAGTAACGAATAGCGACAAAATCCTCAAATTGGAGGTTATTTATGGCCGGGGACATCATGTACTGATTGTACATGTTGTGAGCGAAGACTGACATGTCACGATTTCCAGAATTTTGGTTGGGGTACAGTTTGGCGAACTTACTCTTCGCCTTTTCCTTGGTTTTAATTTTCTTAGGGGTGAATTCTTCCGCATTTTGGAGTTCATAGAAGAGTTCCGGTTCGTCCATTCCTATTGTTTGCAAATTGGCGATTTCGGTATCGCGATTAGTGGCTTTCTTCTTGCCGACGCAGAGAAAATTGCCACCTTCGCATAGAACTAGATTGTCGTCATTTATGATGTTAATTTCAAAAGTTGACGTGGATGATGCCTCTTCGATTGGTTCCTTGAATATTATGTCCGTTTGCTCCACCTGCCAAGTAATTGGATTCAATTCCTTGTAGACTCGCTGATTGTCCTTGGAGATGTGATCAAGAAGGTAGGGGGATTCTTTGGATCCAATGTTTCTAAGTTCGGCAATTTGGTTCTTGTCTTCTAGTCTAAGGTACCTAAAGCCAAAACCAGAGGTACCGTCCAAGGAATTAACGTAGACGTTCCGGTCGTACTTGGTACCGACTTTGAGAACGACCTTGTTTAAGGTAACCAAAGCCTTTGCTAAAATGACCTCAATTGACGAGGTGGAGAACACAAATTCCTGTCTTAGATAACTAAGCACCGCTTTCATCGAAAGCAGACCCATCGTTCCTATTTTGAAAACAAGTTCAAAGCCTGGATCCAGAAGGCGAATTACAGTGTAACCTAGATGTTTGAAAAAGTTCTGGTCGAAGATTGCTAATAACCTTTCGGCACCTTCACTGGTATAGGAGACGAAAGTCCGCACAATTGCCTGTAAGGAGACTTTCAGAACGAACGACTGGATTGTCGCCTGTATGGGTAGTGCAATTACTCTTCCGACCGCAGTTGACGTTCGTAGATACATCGATACCAAGGGGAACATCAACAGACTGTCAATAACACACGAAGTGTACGCAAATGATTGGTATTTATCAAAAACACTATCAATACAGTTGTAGAATGGTATCAGTGACAGACCAAAATTCTTCCACCATTCGACCCTCGTCTCTTGATAGCCAGTAGTCTCCAAATATTTACCGATTCTTGCCACCTGTTGCGAAGCCATGATCTGCAGGAATGTTCCGAATTTTTCATCCACACTCTTGTATTTATAGATGAAGTGACTCCTGTAGAATGATTGAATTGTTATATTCAGTTTCCGACGAAATTCCACCGGATTATCGGATTCCTTAATTAGCCAAAGTTTGGTTTCTTCTTTTACGAGGGCGTAATATTCGGTTGTGTCATTCTTTGGAAAGTAGCATTTGAAAGCAATATTTGGATAAGCTAAAATCTGTATGGGTGGCTTCGGATAAATAGACTCAGGAAAGGTAATATAGATACCATTGTATATCTCCACATTTGCTTGATTCATTTCCCTTATGAAATCATCACCGAAAGCCTCTTTTAATTTCTTCATTTCAAATTTGTAGCACTTTTGCTTTAAATTCTCAACCTGTTGCATAAAAAGTTCCTTCAGATCGGGTAATTTTATGTTATTTGTAAAATTATTGCAGTAGTAGTCATTGTTATCATTCTTGTAATTCTCGATCATTTGGTCAAGTTCCTCGGTTTGTAAACAGTACTTCAGGATATTTTCCCTTGCGATTGTGGAACGATTCTTAAATTTAGAGACCGCTTGATAGAATTCACTTTCCGCGGTTGGTTTCATTAACTGCTTCACTTTGTTCAACTTGGACTCTAAATGCGTGAAGAGTAGCTGAAAAGCCTGTAGCCAATGACTTTGTGTGTTCATTATACTACAAATTGTTTCTGTCATGTTGTCCCTTTGATTGTTAACGTAGTAGAGAAAAGCTGGAAGTGCGAAAACCGTTAACGCCGATGCGTTAATTTTGTTAGCCAGTGTCATTTGTTCAATCAAGTGACCCATTTCCACACACTCCTCGAACATTATTTTTAGATTCATTTCATGCTTCCATAAGTACATTTCGGAATAATTACCTTTAGAGTAGAAACTAACACTCCTGCCGTTCGACCTAAAAAAAGTTAGACCAGCCTGTGCGTAGATATAATTAACTGAAAAAATTTCCAAATCTTCCTCGTCTACCGGAAACATGGGCACTATCACCTCCATCATTATTCTCCTCGCCGCCAATGGTGACAATTTTGATTTCGGTCCGTACTCATTCTCAAATTCCATTTCATTAATTTTCAACCTCGCTCCTTCAATTACAGAAATATAGGTCGGTTTTTCGATGCCAATTGTTACATTCGCTAGGAAACCGTAAATATTATTGAATTTTTGAAAAACAAGGGACTTGACAAAGTACTCGAGCATAGTGTTGATGAACGTCTCATCGAGGTCCTCGTATGACTTTGAGCCGTAAAGATCCGTGCTCGCTAGTATTTTTCTCACCAACTCTAATTTCTTTCCTAAATCTTTTTTATTTACTTCAAAGTATTTATAGAGTGCATTGACTGTTGGAATATTTTTGTAAAGATCATTTTCGTTCAATTGACTTTCGACGAATAGAAAACTACTGATAATGTTGACGTAGGTGTAGATTGGAATAATTTGGGCATATTCCAGTGCACTGGTAAAATTTGTTGTATTTATTATTATCTGAAAGAATGTTTTGCTGCTAATTATTTTGTATTTTAATTCATAAAAGTAAAAAAAAATTTTTGCAAACTTAAATTGTAGTTTCAAAAATATCTTCAGTAAAAAAAGGATTAGCAAACTTTAATTGTAGTTTCAAAAATATCTTCAGTAAAAAAAGGATTTGCAAACTGAAATTGTAGTTTCAAAAATATCTTCAGTAAAAAATGGATTTGCAAACTAAAATTGTAGTTTCAAAAATATCTTCAGTAAAAGACAAAGATTCACAGAAATAGATTTCAAGTTCTGGAAATTTAAAAAAGATAACTTTTTTTGTAAATAAATATTAAAAATATTTTTTGCAAAAATTAGTTTTTTGTAAAGTATTTAAAAAAAATAATACTTGAACATATGTCGTTTATTTATTTATAATTGATAACGTTATATATTTTTCGTTAAATAATATTTGTCAATAATTTAGGCACTAGGTGAAAGATTTAATTATATGCGAAAATTTTTTTTTTTATTTTTTTTTTTACTATTTCAAAATAATAATTTAATCGGAAAAAAATATATTTATATCTTACCGTCATTTTTGTGGAATTTAAATTCTTAAGAGAAAATTTTGGAAAGTTTTTTGTTTTATTGAGACAGTTTTTTTTTCTATAATATATCCGAAAGATATACTATTCTGGTTGAAAGTTAAACGAATTGTACTTGAAACTTTGACAATAATAGTTTTTTTTATTATTGAAATTTGTTTTCTTCTCATTTTTTCTTTAGACAAATATAATTTACATATTTTTATTATGTAATGAATTTCTTATCTTTTTATATGTCATAACTTTATTATGTAAGAATTTTTCTGAAAGTGCTGTCACTACACCGTGATGTATTTTCAATAAAGAAAGTTAATAATAATAACAATGGTAATGAGAATAATGACATATTTTGATGTTTTAATTGATTCTTAAATATGTAATATTCAATTATTGTAAATTAATTTTTAAAAAATACTATAATTTATTATTGATGTTTATACTGGAAAATAAAAATTAAGTGAAAGTGGACTTGGAAAATTGGTTATAATTTGTAAGTTGGCTATAATTAGATAAAAGTCAAAATTGGAAATTGGTTATATTGGATAAAAGGTAAGAATTAAAAAAAAATTATATTGACAAAATTGGAAATTGGTAAAATTGAATACAAATGAAAATAGAAAATGTTGGATAAAAGGCTAAATTGAAAACTGGTTTTATTATCAATAGTTATATTTAATTTTACGGCTTTTTTTTATTATAATGTTAATATTAAAAAAAAAAATGGGAAGCCCAAGTGGGGCCCAGCTGGACCTTACTTTTTAACTATAGGCTAACTTGGGCAGATTTCCACAGCAGTAAATATCAGTTTATTCTAAAATACGCAGGTTGTCTAAATTAAATTTGTGATTATTGAACCAATAAGTGTTTTGTTAACGCGATTAACTGATGTTTTATAGACATCTTTTTTGTGTTCTTTAATTTTTGTTTTAAGAGGTATTTTTCTAGAATGACTTTTGGGTCCGAAAAATTGATCGTTGTCTAATAATTAAGTAATCGTGAGGCTTAATTTCTATTTTTTTAAATCATTCACATAAAAAACTGTTGACGACTCCTTTAGTTGTTTAATTTCACTCATTATATTTTTCTGCCAATTTATTAAATTCATCGCCTCGTAATCGTAGGATAGTTTTACGGTTAAACATGTCTTTCTTCCATTCTTCTCTTCCCAGGTCATGTCATTAATTTTGAATTTCGTACCAGGTAGAAGAATAGTCTCCCTTTCCATTTCGATCATATATTTCTCGACATTTGCTCTCATGTAAGGCCTTTCGAAATTCAGCTCGTACATAACTCTCGTTTCACATGGAAACGAGCAAGTGAATGATTTCGCAATCATTGGATCTGTCGAAGTCGAAGTGAAATGTGTAAACTGAAAATCACGTCTTCCGGGGTAGAAAATTTTTTCCACCTCCTGGAGGAAGCAATTTTCACCGCGATACAACAGTGTGGAATAATTTTCAATGGAATCTTGCGATTGACGAATTGCCAATCTGTAGATGGCGTTTTTCATTCGTTTCGCCAGATCGGATTCACCGCGAATTTCCTTGTAACCATCGAGACCGTAATAGCGAATAGCGAGAAAGTCTTCAAATTGAAGATCAGCGGAGAATTGTGATGATTTGTAAATGGGGAATATCTCCTCGGCAAATGATGATATGATTGCTCTTGGATCACTGACGGTTGAGTAGAGTTTTTCAATTTTCTTTCTTGCCTGTTCGGAATTCTTTATTTGAAAGGATTTAAAGTTTTCTGCATTCTGAAGTTGATAGAATAATTCCGGTTCGTCCATTCCTAAAGTTCTAAGACGATCAATTTCGACGTCTGGAGTTGTGCTTCTAACTTGTCCAATGCAGAGGAAGTTACCACCTTCGCATAAAATTAGATCATCGTCATGGCTGATGGTCATTTCGATTGTAATCTCATTCGATAGCTTTGTTTCCTTTTCTTTGAAAATAACATCCGTTTCTTCCACTTTCCAATCGAGGGTGTCAACTTTTCGGTAGATTCGCACATTGTCAGGGGTTATATGATCCAGGAGGTATGGTGAATTTTCCCCTTGTGTCGCACCCCGTAGTTCGGCAGTTTCTCTCCCGAAGTTGAGATAACGAAAACCGTAACCAGACGTCCCGTCGAAGGAATTAACGTAAACGTTTCGACCGTACCTTTGCCCTACTTTGAGAAACATTCTATTTAATTTCCCCATTGCGTTCGCTAAAGTAACCTCTATCGAAGAGGTGGAGAATACAAATTTCTCTTTTAGATGTTCAATGACCGTTTTCATTGACTTAAATCCATTGGTTCCGATCTTGTACACCATTTCAACGCCGGGATCGACAAGACGAATTACACTCGCTCCTAGTTGTTTGTAAAAATTCTGGTTGAATATGCTCACAAACTGTTGTAGACCCAATGTGGCGAATGAACGGAAATTTTGCAAAACTGCTTGTATGGTAAATTTGAATAATAAAGATCGTACTGACGATAGTGGTATTGCAATTATCCTTGCTACTACACTTGACGTTCGCAGATATGTCGATATCATCGGGATCATCATAAAAGCATCAATAATACACGAGGTGTACGAAAATGGTATCCAATTGTCAAAAATACTGTTAATACAATTATAGAATGGCACCAGGGATAATCCAAAGTTCCTCCACCATTCGATTCGTGTTTCTTCATAGCCTGTCCTCTCTAAATATCTACCAATTCTTGATGTCTGTTCCGAAGCAAGACGTGAGAGGAATAGTTCGAATTTTTCATCAACAGTTTTGTACCTATAGAAGAAATCACTTTTCCGAAAAACCTGAAATGTTAAATTTAGTTTTTGACGAAATTCCATCGGATTATCGGATTCCTTAACTAGACGAAGATTGTTGTCTTCCTGTATGAGGGCGTAATATTCGGTTGTGGCATTCTTCGGAAAGTGGCATTTGAAGGCAATGTTTGGATAAGCCAAAGACTGCATGGGTGGCTTCGGAAAAGCAGACTCATGAAAGGCAATATAGATACCATTGTATATCTCCACATCTGCTTGATTCATTTTCCTTATGAAATCACCACCGAAAGCCTCTTTTAATTTTTTCATTTCAAATCGATAGCACTTTTGTTTTAAATTCTTGAGCTGTCGCATGAAAAGTTCCCTCAGATCGGGTAATTTTATGATATTTGTAAAATTATTGCAGTAGTAGTCATTGTTATCATTCTTGTAATTCTCGATCATTTGGTCAAGTTCCTCGGTTTGTAAACAGTACTTTAGGATATTCTCCCTTGCGATTGTGGAACGATTCTTAAAATTCGAGACTGCTTGATAAAATTCACTTTCTTCGGTTGGTATCAGTGATTGCTTCACCTTATTCAACTCGGACTCCAAATAATTGAAGAGTAGGTGAAAAGCTCTTGACCAATGTCTCCGGGTATTCATTATCATACCAATTGTTTCTGTCATATTGTCCTTCTGGTTATGAACATAGTACAAAAATGCCGGAAGTGCGAAAACTGTTATCGCCGATGCGTTAATTTTGTTGGCCAGTGTCAATTGCTCAACCAAATGTCCCATTTCCACGCACTCCTCGAACAGTATTTTCTGATACATCTCATGCTTCCATAAATACATTTCGGAACTATTACCCTTCAAGTAGAACATAACATTTTTGCCATTCGATCTAAAGAATGCTAGGCCAGCCTGTGCGTAAATGTAATCAATTGAAAAAATTTCCAAATCTTTCTCTTGTACCGGAAACAAAGGTACTATCATTTTTATTATTATTTTTTTAACTGCTAAAGGTGAAAGTTTCGAATTGGGTCCGTACTCATTTTCAAAGTCCATTTCCCTCAGTTTAGTTGTTGCTTCTTGGATTACAGAAGTGTAGGTGATTTTTTGCATTCCAAGTGTTACGTTTGCTAGGAAACCGAAAATATTGTGGTATTTTTGAAAAACAACTGATTTGACAAAGTACTCGAGCATTGTGTTGATGAACGTTTCGTCGAGATCTTCGTATGCGTGCGAACCGTAAAGATCCGTATTTGTTAGTATTCCTCTCACCAGATCTAATTTTTTTCCTTTATTATGTTTATGTGTTTTGAAATATTTATAAAGTGCATTAACTGTTGGAATATGTTTGTAGAGATCATTTTCGGTCAATTCACTTTCGACGAACAGAAAACTACTGATAATGTTGACGTACGTGTAGATTGGAATTATTTGGGCAAATTCCAGTGGACTCGTAAAATTTGTTGTATTCATTATCTGAAAGAAAGTTTGTGTTAATTTTTTTTATTAATTGAATTGAACTTTTAATTTAATGAATTTAATTATTGCTTTGTGTCTAATTATTTAAATTTATGAAGTTTAATTTTATTTTTCGTGTTTCAGGATGATTTTGCATCAGTGATTCAGTGAACGTGATGGTAGTAGTTATCCTCAAAGAAATTCTAAAAACACGGTTGTTCCAAAGAAGTGTTGTTACGATCTCTTAAAACTGGATAAGCATGACAGAATTTTAAAGAACGTTGCCCGTGTTAAAGAATTTTATTATGATGATGAGATTAGTCGAGTAATGCCTGGATAAAAAGATTTAATTTCTGTGAAAAATAACATAACAGGGAAACGTGAATGTAAACATCTACAACAATCTGAATTTCTTGTCAGTGGCGACTATTCTCAAAATTATCTACCAGTTGTTCAGGACTCAATACAAAAACAATATTGGAATAATCATCAAATTACTGTTCATCCTTTTGTTTTGTTACCGTTCAGAGCATGATTCAAACGACCAGCCAAAACACGATAGTACTGTGATTGTTTCTGAATGTAACGATCACAATGCAAATTCTGTACATTTATTTCTAAAAAAGTTAATTTAACAGGCTTATAAAAATTCATGGATTAGAAAACAAAAAAATTTACTACTTTTCTGATGGAGCTGGGTCTCAATATAAAAATAAAAGTAATTTTACTAACTTAGTTTATCACCCTGAATCTTCAGTAAAAAAAAAGATTCGCATACTTAAATTGTAGTTTCAAAAATATCTTCAGTAAAAAATAAAGATTCGCAGAAATGAATTTTAAATTCGCGAAATTTTTTTGGGACCGAAATGTTAGGATTTCCACGTCTTGCCCCACTAGCGAAAAATTAATACAGATTAATAGCCAACCTTAAGAAAAAGATTATATATTTATAAAATGATAAACTATATGAAAAATGATAAAAATAGAAAAAAATTATATTAATTATATAAACAAAAAAATAACTTACGATTATTTCTGTTAATGTGACAAAATTTCAATTTTGCATCCCTCCAAATGGAAAATTAGCAAAAAGAAAAAATTTCTTTACTACGTTTATTTTCCGATTCACAACTGTTGCATTCTAATACAAAGAAGTGAGTTTTTGATTTCGAATTTATATCCTCTGCGATGTTAGTATTTCTTTTACTATTCACGTATTCCAAATAATATAAATAAATGCTTATCGTTTTTAATATTTGGATATTATCTACTTATATACATTGTAGGAGTTCATTGTCATAAGTAATGTTGAGCAATGTTGATATATACTTTTAACAATGGAAATTTTCTATTAGTTTGTAATATAAGAAAGAATTAACCTTCAATGATTTACAAAGTTAAATTTTTATTCAAGAATATATTTTAATTGTTTCGTAAAATTATTTTGTAAAGTAAAAACTATATTAAATTATACTTTTAAAACACGTGCCGATGATACCGCTTTGTGAGTTTGTGATGGAGAGAGGGATGTGTTTCTAGAGGTAAATTCAAGTAGAATAAAATTAAAATGTTTATTATAGGCATTAAAATATATTCTATTTTTATAATACATAATTTTATTTAGAATTCGAAAGTTTAATTTTAATTAGAATTTTATAGTCAAATGTAACTCTTTTTTTTTTACCATTTTACCCCTCCCCCCTCTCCCAAGTAACAAATTTTCAAATACATTAGCGCCATTTTTAGGCTGAGTGTAATAAATATCTTGACCCCCCACCCCCTGAAGCGTTACGTAATTTTTTTTGGTTTATTGTAACAAATAGCTTGACCCCCCCTTTCCCCAAAAAGTGTTACGTAATATATGGACGATCGCTTAGGGGTTATGTACAGTGGTAGTGGTTTAGCAATAAATTACAATCAGTAGCATATTATATTAGTCTTTCGATGTTAATTTTCAATAGAATAACAATTATGGGATTCGAATGTTTATATTAAAAGTTTGCCGATGCGGAAGGAGATTTGGTTATTTTGTAAATCACATTTTTTTGTGAATTAAATCACTAATACTGAAATTGTTGCTGAATGGAGAATTCGAGTCTAATTAAGTGGAGAGTCCTTAGCGTAGAAAACGGTGCCAGAATCCTTTAGGTTTTTAATTTCCGTCATGACTTCCATTTGCCATTCGGCGATATTCTTTGGCTTTTGTTGCAATCTAACAATCACGAAGTCTTGATCCCGGTTCTCAAATTCCACATCCTTGATAACGAACCTAGTCCCTGGTAATAGAATCGATTCCTTCTCGTCTAGACGCGATAGACCTTCAACCCTCGCTCGTAAATAGGGTTCGAGGAATTCCATTTCGTAGACGATTTGCCTGTAGGGATACTTTCTACCAGCTAGGAAAGAAATCGCTGTTGAGAATTCTGTCGTCACTGATGTGAACCTGTCGAGAGTGTATTCCTCACCGGGTACGAATAGTTCGTCGACAATTTCCGATAGTCTCGACTCGCCTCGAAATAATCTTTTCGCGTAGTTGTTGTCTTCGGATTGTCTGATGGCTAATCTGTAGATGGCATTTTTCATTCGGTTCGCTTCGGGTGTATTGCCGGATATTCTTTTGTACCCGGTGCCACAGTAGTTCCGAAGGGCGAAATAGTCCTCGAACGGTTGGTATTTGAAGACTTGTTTGGTGATGTAGTCGTTGGTGGCAATTTCCGCGAGGGTGGAAAAGAGTCTGTTTTCCTTGGGGTAGATTTTTGTGATTCTTGCTTTGGACTCGCTTTCGGTTAGTTGAGTAGTGTCGAGTAGTTCCTGATGGGTTAGTTCGTGGAAGACCTCGGGTTCTTCTATTCGGTTAGGTAGGGCCCACTTCGGGATTTCTGTTTTTGAATCCGGTGATCTGCCAATCCAGTCGTTTATGAAGTCGAGTTCCGTTTTGCCCCCTATGGGAAAGACGTACTTTTGCAATTCCTTTCGAACTTGACTTTCGGGGATTTTCCCGAAGGCGAGATCGACAGCTTCTTGTAGACGCTCCTTGGGGGACTTTTGACAATTCTTCCCGCAGACCAGATTTGGTTGATCCAGGAGGGAGTGTTCCTGTTCTACGAAATTGAATTCAAAGACTTTGGGTTCTGAAAAGATTAGGCCGTCTTCATTCTCGAAGTAGTCAGGTCCGATCATGCTCCCGCTGTCGAAATCCACCTCTCTGTATTTTTTGACCTCGAATTTGTCATTTCCGGTCAATTCGCCTTTACGTATTAGGGGAACTTCGGCAAGTGAAGGATGGACGGTTCTCATTTCCGCCATTTCCCCTTGGAAATCTCCAGGAATGTATTTATAACCATAACCAGAGTCTATACTGTAAATTGTATTAACATAGACGTCCCTTCCGAATCTTCGACCAATGTTACGGACGGGATGACTAATTGCATACCCGGCCCGGAATAATTGACCCCGGAGGTAGTGTAGAGTAGTGGCGAATCGACTTTCCAATTGTCGGAAAATTGAGTTAATAGATCTAAGACCCCGGTGTCCGATTTTGAAGACTAGTTCAAAACCCGGATCGATGAAGCGTAAGAGGGAAATACCGAAGGACTGAAAGGTTGGGAATAATTCTTGAAAATGGAGTTCGTTTATCAGAGAACGACCTGTGATCCTCAGGAGGGAACGGATCGTGGTTCTTATAGTTAGTGTCCTTAGGGTCGTTCCGCCAAAAGAGAGTACTGACCTACCTGCTAGTTGTGCTACCTTGTTGAGTACAATTCCAACTTCTTGGATTACTGGCACCAGGGAAAGGAGGTCCAAAGGGCAGACAAATTCCGCCTCGGGTTTTCCTTCCCTAATGTCCCGAATGCAAGTATAGAAGGGTAGCAAGTTCAAACCTAAGTTCACCCAAAATTCCCTAGAGGTTTCATCATAACCTCCAGTTCTTAGGTTTTCCAGAAACTTTTTCTTCCGGTCTTTGGCGATTCTGGACAAAAGTGACCGGAACGTTTCGTCGGCTTTTTTCAGGACGGTCGGAAAATTGTTCGAACGAAATACTTGTCCTGGCGGTAGGTTCAAAGTTTTTCGAAACAATTCCGGATCGTCGGCTTCTCTAATTAGGGAAATGTTAAAACCCTTGCGAACTAGGGCATAATAGGTGTAGGTATCACTATCCTCTTGGTAGAACTGTAGCAAATCGTGTTTATCGTTGACTAGTTGAACGGAATCGGCGACTATTCCCACACCACCAGAATAGTAGTACTGTACCAACCCTTTTGAAATTTCGACCCTTTTGGTGTCCATAAGTTTTATGAAAGCTTCTCCAAAGGCCTTTCGACAGTATTCCTTTTCGTATTTTTGGTATTTTTCCGAAACATCAAGAACCGAGTGTTCGAACAAAAGATTCAGATCATCTAGTCGTTTATCGTCAGTACTGAATTTGCATCTGTAACTCTTGGGGTTGTTCTTGTACTTCGTGATTTCGGGTTCGATTTCGGCGTCTGTCATCGACACACAATTCATTTCGATTTCCTCCCTAGCCAAAGTGGTTCGATTCTTGAAATTCGACAAGGCCAAATAGAACTGATATCCTACATCCTTGTTCGTTGTCGAAAAGGCATAGTTTAGAAAAGTAAACAGATCCCTAAAGGCCCTTTGCCAATGCTGTTGGCTACCGACAATATCGACCGTGGCTAATGATCCGAAAGTCTCCCCCCGTCGATAAATATAATTAACAAGCGCTGGCAAAGCGAATATCTTCAATACCGACTGGTCCACTTTATCAGCAATTACCAACTGCTCCACCATGTGCGCAATTTCGACATAATCTTGAAAATGTTTTTCATTGCTGCCATCATTCATCCCTCCGACTCCATTCAAAATCCCGTCTAACGTCCCATTCGATTCGTTCGAATTTTTTTTTTTTTATCAAAAACCGATAAATTGCGTCCATGCTTTTTTGGGTCAACACCGAGGAATTCCCGAACTCGTTCTCAAATTCCAAACTACGGAGTTCTAATTTCATTCTATTTTCTAGATTTCCAATCGAAGCGTCCTTCGTCCCTCTGATAGTTTCGGCAATAAATCCAAAAACATTTATGTACTTGTCAAATACTAGATTATTAATAATATGTTGAAATAGAGTGTCGATAAAGTAGGAATCGGGTATTTCGTGATCTTCAGCTCCGTACAAATCACTTCCGCTTATTAGTGCCTTAGCCAAGTGGAGCTTTCTCTGCTGAATATCCCATTCGTCATGTTCGTTGATCAGTAAATAATCGTACAGAGCATTGACAATTGGAATCCGTTTGTGTTGATCATTCTTGGCGAGGAATTTCTTCGAATACAAAATATCGTTCAGAGTATTCAGGTAGCTGAAAATTGAAATTACTTGAACCGTTTGGAGTGGACTGACAAATTCGGAAATGTCCATTTTTGCTTAGTCGACTCCTATGGTTGGCACTATTTCAATTTTTTCCGATTTCGAATTCTTTCCAATTCGAATTCGTTACAATTAATTATTTCTACGTTTACTATTTAAAAATTCAAGGAACTAATGCAAAAGTTGAAGGAACTCGAGTTTTTATATTCTCGACAAAAAAATAAATCCGATTGTGATCGAATTATTCTAATTTGCATGAACAAAAAAAAAATTTTCTTTGATTTCATTTATTTTTCTTTTCAATATGAATGTAGTGTATTTTTTATTATTTTCAATCAATAAAGACCTTTGCTTTTTTCACTTTTTTATTTCAAAGAATTGATTTCTTATCTCTTATTCAAATGACACAGTCATTGTAGTATTTCATGTTATTATCAAATGTATTATCTCGCCGTGAATAGAAATTTAAATAAAAATCGTGAATTGACAATGCGGTTTTAGAAACTTAACAATATTTGTTAGTGGATTATTTTTGTTCTTTTTGATTTAATTTAGTAAAATTTCGGAAGAGAACAAAAAAAGAAATCATTGACAATGGTAATTATTTAATATTTGTAATAAAATTAATGAAACAAAAGGAAACGGATAAATACCTCTAGGTTATTGGCCGGAGATATTTTTTTTGGTTTGATCAAGGAAATATCTTTTTTAAAAGTGAAGAAATTTGCAAAATTAAAATTTGTTAGAGAATTTATTTTTAGATCCTCTAGGACAATAGTTTGTTCATAACTTAATTTCTAGTCATTAAATCTTACAATCGCAACTTAAAATAATTTTCACATTCATTCAAAACACTCGAAACAATTGTGTATAGTAAAAGGGGAACATTGTCAAGGTTGGACCTTACAGTCAAGGTTGGCCCATTTCTGAAAATCGATGCGGATTATCGGTAACGAAGGGTCCAATAAGGGTTGGACCCCTTATTTAAACTGGGGTTCAACCCTGACTATGTCCCCCTATTTAAAACTTAATGTGACGCTTCACGGTGAAAGGGACTTTACGCGACAGAAACATTAGGCTCAGTTTTCATGCACTGAGCACTGTAGACTGAGTCTAACGTTTATATAGCTTAAGGTCCCTTTCACCATGAAACGTCAGCGTCACATTATAAACAAAATTAATCATTAAACGAAGTAAATAACTATTTGCCAATATCCTCAGGATAGAACACAACCGGTCCCTTCTTCAATTTCTCAATTTCCTCCATAATGCTCTTCTGTCTCAATTCCTTTGGTTCGTCGACATTCGTCATTTCGACCCTAATGCAATTTTGCTTAGCTCCCGATTCCGCTTCATCGACGTATCGCTCTATTTTATCAATATGAAATTTCGTACCAGGTAGTAAAATTGTCTCCTTCTCGTCTTGAACAAATAAATGTTCGACTCTAGCCCTAACGGTTGGATTATTGAAATTCATCACGTAGGTGACTCTCGTATTCACCGGATTCCCCCTCATGGAATAGGAAAGGGCAGTGTTCATCTCAGTCGAACTGGACGTAAACCTATTGAACTCGAAATCACCATTTGCTGATGATAATTCCTTCTCGATCGCCTCGGGTAGTCTCCGTTCACCGCGGAACAATTTCGTCACGTATTTTTCACCTGGATCCTCCGATTGTCGAATGGCGAGTTTATAAATTGCGTTTTTCATTCTACTCGTCTCGATTGTTGTTTCGCCCATTTTTCTGTATCCACTTCCACCGTACCATCGCAAGGCGTAGTAGTCCTCGAATCTAGCCGAATTGTACGCTTCCTTTTTGTGAAAATCGTCCAGTAGTTTCTCGACCGGTAATTCTTTGGCTATTTCCGGATGTATCGCGATTGGATAAAGAACGTTTATTTTTGTCCTTGCTTCTTCGATGGTCAATTTTGGGTTGTCTAGGGTTTCTTTGTATTTCAACTGAAAGAAGAGATCGGGTTCTTGGAGTTTGTACTTCTCGGCCCAGATTGGCGTCTTTAATTCTGGATTGTTCATCCACTCGCGAACAAAATTCATTTCCATTGGTGCATTTTGGGGAAAGTTGTAGTTACGAAGTTCGTTGGTGATTTCCCTTTCAGAGAGTCGTCCTTTTCTTAGGGCAAAGTCGATGGCTTCCTGAAATTGCTTTTTGGATCTTAGGGTCTGGACGATGTTCGTCAGTTTGCCACACTCCACCAGGGGGTCCACTTCGTTGCTGATCACATTTAGTTCAAAGGACCTTTCGTCCGAGATGATGCCTTCGTCCTCTTGGAAGTATTCATTGCCGATTATCGTCTCGTCCTGTAGGTTTAGCTTTTTGTAGGTGTTGTCCGATTGGACCACTAGGGGATACTGTTTTTTGCCTGGGTGGATTGTCCTAATTTCGATCCCCTTTAGGATTTTCTTTGTGGATCTTTTCTTGAGGCGAATGTACTTGTAACCATAACCAGCTTCCTTATTGTAAATACTCGTCACGTAGGTGTTCCTCCCGAATGTTTGTTCAAAAGTCCCAGTCTGCTCTAAGTAGTGGGTAAGAGTGTATTGCGCTTTGGTGATTCGGGACTTTATAGTCCGGGACACAGTGGCGAACTTCCGTTCCGCCTGGAGGACCAAACTCTTAATGCTCCTTAGTCCTGAGTTTCCGATAGTGAAGGCGAGTTCAAAACCCGGATCGATGAACCTAAGGACTTCGATTCCGAGCGTTTTGAAAGTCTCCTTGGTGAACAACTCCTCGAAACGGTCGAATTCCTCAATTAGCGACTTTCCGGTCACTCGCAGCATTGTTCGAATCGAACTCCTCAGCATTATGGTCCTAAGAGTTGTTTCCGTCGCCGAGAGTACCGACTTAGAGGCGATCTGTCCTATCTTAGCGACGAGAAATCCGAATTCCTTGGCGATGGGGATCAGAAATACGGCGTCTAAAGGACAGACGAATTGCGCTTCGGGAATATTTTCGGTTTTTATGTCCTGAACGCAGGTGTAGAAGGGGATTAGGGATAGACCGAAATCGACCCACCATTCCTTGCGGGTCTGGTCATAACCCTCGGCCTCGAGTTTTTTTTGAAATGTCTTTTTTCTGTCATTCGCGATTCTGGACCAAAGTGTCCCGAAAGATTCGTCGACTTTTTTCAGAATGGTTGGAAAATTGTTCGAACGGAATACTTGATTCAGCGGTAGATCCAAAGTTTTTCGGAACAATTCTGGATCGTCGGCCTCTCTGATTAAGGAAATGTTGAAACCCTTACGAACTAGGGCATAGTAGGTATAGGTATCACTGTCAGGTTGGTAGAACTGTAGCAAATCGTGGTCCTCGTCGACTAGTTGAACGGAATCGGCGACTATTCCCACACCACCAGAATAGTAGTACTGTACCAACCCTTTTGAAATTTCGACCCTTTTGGTGTCCATAAGGTTAATGAAAGCGTCTCCAAAGGCTGTTCGACAGTATTCCTTTTCGTATTTGTGGTATTTCTCCGAAACATCGGTAACCGAGTCTTCGAACAACTGATTCAGATCGTCTAGTTGTTTTCCGTCGGTAATGTATTTGCATTTGTAACTCTTGGGGTTATTCTTGTATTTGATGATTTCGGGTTCGATTTCGGCGTCTGTTAGCGTTCCACAGTTCATTTCGATTTGCTCCCTGGCCAAAGTGGTCCGATTCTTGAAATTCGACAAAGCCAGCGAGAACTGATACCGATAGTCCCTCTCGTTGTTCATCATCAGAAAAGCGTCGTTCAAAAATCTGAAAAGTTTCCGATAAGCCTTCTGCCAATGAAACGGACTACCCATGATCCCTTCAATACTAAACTTTTCCAGTGCCTCTCCTTCAGTACAAACATAATTAATCATAGCCGGTAGTGCGAATATCTTCAAAGCCGATTTATCCACCTTCTCAGCCAGCACCATCTGTTCAACCCCATGCGCTACTTCCACAAATTCCTGATACTCCCTCTCATCCCCTTTCGTTCCATTCCCACTCCCAAACATCGGATCCTCAATCTCCCCCATTTTGTCAAATTTCAAAAACATTTTCCCCGCCTGCGCGTAAATGTAGTCCACCGAAGTGATCTGTACATCCAAATTCTTCGCTCTGGGAAACAACGGTTCAATGAGATCAACATAAATTTGATTCACAACCCAATTTTCAATTCTTGAGTCCTCGCCATATTCGTTCTCGTACCTCAAGGACACCAACGTTTTCCTCATGTAATGCTCCAGGGATTTTAGCTGAACTTCTCCCGATCTCATCCGAACGATTTCGACAATAAATCCATAGACGTTGGTGAATCGGGAGAAGACGAGATTATCGACAATATGGTAAAACAGAGTGTTGGTAAAGTAGGGATCGGGTATTTCGTGCTGTTTAGCACCGTATAAGTCGGTTCCGTTTATCAATTTACGGGTTAGATGATATTTTCTGTGATTTAGACCGAATTCGTTCGTGGAATTGTCTTGAAAGATATAATGATACATGGCATTGACGACTGGGATCCGTTTATGTTGATCCTCTTTGTTTAGGAAATTCTCCGCGTAGAGAAAATCGCTGAGTGTGTTTAGATAGTTGAATATCGAGAGGACATGAACAGCCTCTAGGGGGCTGACGAATCCCGAAATTTCCATTTTTGAAAAATCCCTTCTTTTTCGAGTTAGAGAGTTTTTCTGAAAGCTGCTACTGCGAATTTTGAGCCCCACCTAGAAAAAGCAAATTGTACAATTTTTTTTTCTAAAAAGTTTTCTAAATAATTTTTAAAAAATTCAAGAGTTCCAGAAAGTACTTAATTTAAAAAATTATGCGAAATTATACAAAAGTATTCAAAAGTATAAGAAATTATAAAAAGATTTTAAAAAATTTCTAAAAATATAGTTTTTTCGAATAAAATAGTAACTTACTTTTCTCACTAAATTAATATATTTATAAATATATTAACTGATGAAAAAATTGTATTTTTAAAATACTTTAATTGAATGTGAGAATTTGGATTTTTCGTTTATACTTATACGAAAAATAATCTTTAGAAATTTATTATTTTCTGTTAAAGAAAAAAATTTTAACGTGCTTCTGATTCAATGACTGAATTAACATATAAATGGACAATGGCAATATGAAAAGTATTCAATGAAATTGAACTCTATAGTTCTGATTTATTTTTAACTAATTGTTCGCAAAATAATGCCATTGACTTTTTTTTTTTAAATAAAACATTTGTGATGATTTGATGAGAAAAGATGTTTTTTCCTCAAATTATATACACGGGCATTATCTTTCTTTTATTATATTTTAATTAAGACTATTACAAAAATTTCTTTTTATTTTATTTTTGTTATTGTTCATATTTTTTTGTGGGAAAACATGATTTTTTTAATAATAGAAAATAGATATTATTCCACATTGGTAATTACTTGATGATGCAAATAAGTTTGAGAGAAGAAAAATACAAATGATTTTTGTGATTTAAAAATAAACATGAACTCATGGTTTCTAAAAATATAGTAATGAATTAATGAAATTAAAGTTTTAAAGATTAGAAGATACGGTTTGGTTTGTAATTAATTTTTCTTCAGGTTTATTAGTTTGGTTTTAGTTCTATTCTTTCGTTCAATTCCCTTTCTTCGTGTTGTTCTTTTCTTCCTCTTTCTGGGGCCCTTTTCTGCTTAAGGTAGTTCTACAATAGTTTACTCACCGCCGGGAAAAAAATTCGATGCATTAGAATTAATTCCGTGATCCGTTTCTGCCTAAGGTACATCCACAATAGTTTTATTACCGCTGGGAAAAAAATTCAATCCATTAAGAATAATTCCGAGATCCGCTTCTGCTTAAGGTACTTCCACAATAGTTTTCTTACTACTTAGGAAAAAAATTCGGCGCGTGGGAAATAATTCTGTGGTCCTTTTCTGCTAAAGGTACTTCTACAATAGTTTTTCTTACCGCTAGTTTTTAGGGGAAATTACCTAAGATAATTTCCCTAGATTCGGCAATGATCCTGGTGGCATGTAAACTTACGAAAAAGTAGAAAAAGGAAAAGTTGGAACAGAGAAGGTGGAGTAATACAATTACATTTCGCTAAATATATTTATTTATATGCAAAGAAAAGAACAATTTTGACAAATATTTATGTTTCCTAACGGTGGGTTCACATGAGAACCGCATTTAATACTTTTTTGCGGAGTTTGAGGTCCCTTGATTCTCTCAGTGTACTTGATGGCCGTTTTCGGCACTCGCCTCGGGTTAACGGTGATTGGTTAGATCAAACAGAATGTTGTTGATAATTGGATAATTGTTAACTCGGGGTTAATCCTGGGTGAGTGCCGAAAACCGCCGATGATGAATTCTTAGGAGATGTAGGACAAATTGACTCAGAATTATAGGAGATGATCGACAACTTGATCCAGAATTATTAGGAGATGTTAGCATCTTTAGGAGATGTTCCCCAACTTGCTGCAGAATTATTAGGAGATTTAGGAGCATCGTCTGATGAAGCATTTTTAGGAGACATATTACTATTTGTTGCAGCATTATTAGAAGATGTAACGCAACTTGCTGCAGCGTCCTATTGGTTCATCTAACATTTCCCTTCCTAGGAAAGGAACGATAATCGATATTAGTTCTCAGCAGAAAACATCGTGTCGGTTTTTGAAAGTTTTCGAATTTCCTCCATAAGTTTCCGTTGACGTTCAATTTTCGGCAAGTTCCCCTCCACACATGTCATGTCAACTTTAATGAAATTCTGCTTAACACCAGATTCAGTTTCCTCGGACCATTTTTTGACATTATCAATATGGAACTTTGTACCCGGGAGCAGAATTGTCTCCTTCTCGTTCAGTACGAACAGATCCTCGACCCTAGCTCTCAAAATCGGTTCCTCGAATTTCATATCATAGAAGACTTGCGTACTACCTGATGGTCCAGTCTTTGAGTATCGAACCGCAGTACTAGGATCACTTGTCGTCGAGGTAAATCTAGTTAACTCGAAATTACCCCCAACATCCGATAGTTCCTTTTCGATAGCTTCGGGAATTCGTCCCTCGCCACGATAGAGTCGTTCGGCTAATACTTCACCCGGCTCCTCTGATTGTCTAATCGCTAGGCGGTAGATTGCATTTTTCATCCGCCTCGCCTCCGGACAGTCGTCCGCCATTTTTCGGTAGCCACTCGAACCGTAATTCCGCAGTGCGAAGTAGTCCTCGAAGGAAACTTGCTTATAGGCTCCCTTCGTCTTGAAGTCGTGGAGAATTTTGTCAATCGGTAACTCCTGGTACAACTTTCGGTAATTGTTGACGGAATACAGATTTTTTATTCTTTCCGTCGCGTCTTTCATCGTCAGGTCCGGGGTGTCTAGCATTTCTTTGTATTTTAACCTAAAGAATGTGTCGGGGTCGGGAATTTTGTATTTTTCGGCCCAAGTGGGGGTTCGAAGTTCCGGATGGTCAAGCCATTCATGAACGAAATTCAGTTCTGTTTTTCCGTTTTCAGACGGGAAGGCGTACTTTTTGAGTTCTTTGATAACGTCCCCCTCTGGTAGCCTCTTGACAGCGTAGTCGACGGCAGTTTTTAGGATCTCTTGGTTCCCCACCAAATTCCGAAAAACTTTGCCCACTTTCTCCAGGTTACCATCCACCGTATCTATTTGCCAGTCTTCCAAAACCGTTCCCTTCCGTTCCAACCACTCGTCTTGGATGATAATTTCCTCCCCGAATTCTTCACCAGCAGGATTGATCCTTCGATACTGTTTCTGATCATTTTGTGCTCCTTTGAATACAACCGGAACTTCGGGACCAAATTCGGAAAGCTTTCTCAAATCTGCCGAGTTGCCGTTCGATAACTGAATGTATTTGTAACCCTGGCCGGATAGTTCCTGACCCAGTTCTTGACCCAGTTCCTGACCCAGTTCCAGACCCAGTTGCTGACCATCAGCGAAGGTATTCACGAACACTTCCCTTCCGGACCAAACGCCGACTTGTTTTTTACCAAAACCATTTTGGGAATACTTCAGAAGCTCCATTACCCTGTCGAACGAATTCGAAGTTCTTTTTTCCAACAGTCGGATGAAATTTTCAACCGAACGAAAACCGCCCTTTCCGATTAGGTACACGAATTCGAATCCCGGATCCAAAAGTCGAGTTACCGAGAGACCCAGACTCTGGAAAGTCTTCAATTCAAAGAGGGCGATGAATTCCGTCACTTGTTTCGCCAAAAGACTTCCGCTAACTTTCAGGGTCGATCGCATGGTCGTCCTTAGCGCCAGAGTACTAAATGTCGTCTGTGACAGACTTATCAAGGATCTGCTGACACTTGATACCATTTTACCCCCGACGTTCATAGCGGTACCCACGACCGGAATCAAAAGTAGGGTATCAATCGGACATGCAATGCTGGCCGAAAGTTTCCTGCCCTCCTTGACACTGTTAACACAAGTGTAGAACGGTATCAATGACAGTCCGAAGTCCTTCCACATTTCCAACCTGGTTTTATCGTAACCGGACAATCGGAGGGTCTCCCGAAAAAGGTTCGATCTAGTCTCTGCTAATTTTTTCACAAAAGTGTCGAACGTTTCGTTTGTAGATTTCATCAGCACGGAGAAAATGCTATTTCGCAAGCGTCCGAGTCTACCGATCAATTTTCTGCGCAGTAAATTTGGTCTTTCGGTGACTTCCAGGAGGGTTAGCCGATAGCCTTTTCGTAGCAGTGCATAGTAGACGAAGGTTCTATTATCCGGATAGTAGAATTCGAAGAAATCGTCCGTGGGTTTTATTAGCTCGGTGTGGGATTCGTTGAAACCAATCGTGACGTAGAAGTACTTTTTAAAAAGACCTCTGCTGATGATGACGGGATTTTGAAAAGTGTTTCCAAACACCTCTCGACATGCTTCTAGTTCGTAGTTGTAATACTTGGTTGTTATATTGTTGACGATCTCCAGGTAACGTTCGTTCAGGTTGTCAAGAACCTGAACCCCATTTGGACAAGTGGATTTTTCGGGTTTGTTCTTGTATTCTTTGACTTTAGCCCCCATTTCGTTTTCTGTTAACGGAGAACAGTTGCTCTCGAGTATTTCCCTAGCTAATGTTGTTCTATTCCGATAATTCGACATCGAGACATAAAATTGATAACTCGCGTCGTTTTTCAATTTCTCCGTCTCTAGGAATGTTTGGTTCAGATAGGAAAACAGATTCTCGTAAATTTCGCCCCAAAATTCGGTCTTGGTCACAATGTTAACGATGTCGGGAAATTCAAGTTTGTTTTTCTGTTTATGAACGTAGTAAATCAGGGCTGGGAGGGAGAAGATTTTCAAAGCAGTCTTGTTCAGTTGATTGCCGATTACGAGTTGTTCCACAGCGTGAGCTAATTGGATGTATTCTTGTTCTAGGTTCTCATCGATGTTCGAATTTTCGTCTTTCGGCTTGTTCGTAATTTTCGGCTCCGCTAGAAATGATCGTCCGGCTTGGGAGTAGATGAAGTCGACTGATATGATACTGGTGTCATTTTTGACCAAGGGGAAAAGTGGTTGGATAAAATCGTCAAAAATTGAGTCGACTGTGGATTTGTCAAGTTTCGAGGGGTCGTTGATTTCGTTTTCGAATTCCATTTGCAGGAGGGAAGTCTTTAGGTTGGTGGTCAGTGAAAGGAGTGATTCGTTCGGGGACCTACGAACCGTTTCGGCTATAAAGCCATAGATGTTGCTGTATTTTTGAAAAACCAGGGATTTAACGATGTAATTCAGTAGAGTGTCGACGAACTGCAAATCCGGCTTTTCGGTTCCCTTACTTCCGTAAAGATCACTTCCGTTTAGGATCCTACGAACTAATTCGGTTTTTCGAGTGTTGGTATCATTATTCACATCGTCCTGTAGATAATGATAAAGGGAATTTACTATCGGAATTTGTTTATGTTGATCCTGCCGGCTCAGATAATTGTCGGCAAAAAGAATATCGTTCAGTATGTTCAGGTAACTGTAGATGGAAATTAGTTGCACTGTCTCCAAAGGGTGTCTGAAGTTCTCCATCCTGTCTGTAACAAAGAATCAATTCATTTTCCCTTTCTAATTGTAACTAATCCTAATTAATTAGAATTTTTTAATTAAAAACTAAAATTATTATTGTTAAATTAACATTTAAGATTAAAAGTAGTTTGATGGAATTACCCCGACGCTAAGAGGAAAAATCAGGACTATTCCTTTTGCTGAAAAAAAGTTATAGTGAACTAACTTCAAAATATAATATTTCTCCAGAAAAGTTTCTACTTATTTATAAGTATCTTGCCTTTGAAGATTTTAGTATCGTTTCTGTAATTTATTCCCACATTGGATATAAATTAACTTCATCGGTATTGTTACTAAAGTAATTATCATTAATATGCAGAATACTGAAGGCTAATTTAGGTGATTAAAAACCAAACGGTCTAGTACTATATTGATACAATTGTGATTTATGAATTCAAAGTATTTTCCAATTTACATAAATTAAAATTTTCGAGGCAAAAGAAAGGAATTATCGGTGGGTAGATAAAAAGTGAATTAAATAGATGGATGTTTTTTTATTCTGTTATTTATACATTTTGTTTCTAAGATTAGAAATACACTGAATAGATTGTTTTCCATCAAGGTTGATTCAAATGTTCGTAATGTTCCCAATATTCTAATTTCTATTATTGTCCCTTCAGTTAACATTCGTTAATTGTATTATGAATCCGTTTTCGTTGTACCCTAATTATTTTTTTTACTTTCTTGATAAGTTTTGAATTCTGGTTTTGTATATACCAGGAATTAGTGTATTACAAGCAAAATTATTTTTCCCCAAACCTAATCCACGTAGAAAACCGTTTTCGTTTCCTTCAGTTTACCAATTTCGGCCATTATTATTTTCTCCCATTCGAAATTCGTGAAAGTCCTCGTGTACTCTAATTTAACTCTTAATAATTCCGCATTCATGGAATTATCATCTTTTAATTTTTTCACACTCTTTACACGAAACTTCATGCCCGGTAGAAGTATCACTTCCCTTTCGGGTAATCCCGTCAAATATTTGACATCAACTTTTGGAAATGGTTCGGGAAAGTAAATTTCGTACAAAACTCTCTTCAGTTCATCATTACCCTTTGAATTCAGTTCGGTAAACATTTTCGCGATTTGGATATCTTCGGATGTTGCCGTGAATCTAGTAAGAATATATTCTTCTTTTTCATTGTAGAGTAATTCGTGAATTTCACTTTCTCTTCTCACTTCCCCTCTGAATAGAAATGTCTCATAATTTTTGGCCTCATCGTACGATTGACGTAGTGCAAGTCTGTAGAAAGCATTTTTTATTCTGTTCGTACGATCGGAAATTGTTGTCATTTGCCTATAACCACTGCCAGCGTAGTCGCGGAGAGCGTAAAAATCTTCGAATTTCATTTGTCTGTTTATGTGCCTATCGTTAAAATCTTCAGTCAAATGTTCGGCTGTTAAAAGTTTGTTTGAATCACTGTCACTGAGGGTATTTAGTAAGTGAATTTTTTTTTGCGCTTCGTCCTCTGTTATTTTGGAGTCAATTCTCTCGTTGAATTTCAGTTCGTGGAATATTTCGATTTCTGCTATTTTGTATTCATTTGCCCAATTCGGTGGTTCTCCGGTTTTGATCCATTCGGTTACGAACAGCTCTGGAGTTTTTTCATCCACAAGGGAATATTTTGATAGTTCGGCTACTACATGTTCCTTGATGAGATTTGCCGAGAGTGCTAGTTTTATTGCATTTGTTTCATGTTGACGTTTATCGGCCAACAATTCAGTTCTTGTACATTTTCTTGGGGATCGTTTCCTTCTGCCGGAGAATTTACAGTGGAAATTGGAATTTTGATTCTCTTCCCAACGGAGTTCTTCTATACGTTCGTATTTTAGGTGTAGGTGTTTCTTTTTTATTTTTCCTGTGAAAATGTTGATGGCTTGGAAATTTTTCCCCTCGCTATCGAAAACGACGGGAATTTCGTTTTTGTATTCGTGAACTTTTCTTAATTCGACAAGTTGATGGTTGGGGGGCAAATAGATGAACTTATAACCGTAACCACTGTTCCCCTTGGTTGACATTGTTTTTACGTAGACATCCTCATTGTCAATTGTGTCAATTTTCCGTACCGAGTTCGTTAGGATTCGTTCGCACTCGACTAGCATTTCTTTGAGGATTTTGAAGTTTTTGGAATACCTAAGAGCTTTGATCAAAGTGCCGATTGTTCCCAACCCTTTTTTTCCGATTGTGAAAATAAGTTCGAATCCCGGATCTACAGAGCGGAGAAAAGACAGACCTAGTGTTTTGAATGTTTCCTCAGTGAACAATTGTGAAAAACCGACAGATTCGGTTAGCAAAGTTTGTCGTATTGCACTTCTTAGGCCTAATGACACAAGTGTTTTTTCCGCAGCAAATAGAGTCGATCTGCTGGCTATTTTTGCGAATTTCTGAATGAAGATGCCAACTTCGCCTAAGAAGGGAAGCATAAATAATGTATCGAGGGAGCAGGTTAATTCCGCTGATTTGAAATTTTCGGTTTTGAATTCATTAATGCAGGTGTGAAAGGGAATTAGAGAGAGTCCGAATTCCGTCCACCATTCCCTTGATGTTTGATCGTAGCCTTTTTCCAAAAGACTGTGGTTGAAGTTTTTGGTTCTTTCCACCGCTATTTTGTTTATCAATGTTTCGAAATTCTCTCCTTTGCTCTTTATTACATCGCGGAAGTAATGCTCCTGGAAATTTTGAAAGCGTGAGAGGTCTAATTTTTCTCGAAATGAGTCTGGATTGCATTTGATTAGAGTGGATTCTGTTGGGGAAATGTTTGGAGTTGTAGAAGCAGGAACATCTGATGCAGAATTATTAGGAGATGTTAGGGTACCATTTGATGCAGAATTATTGGGAGATGTTAGAGCACCATTTGATGCAGAATTATTGGGAGATGTAAGAGGATCATTTGGTGCAGCATTATTAGAAGATGTAGCACAAGTTGCTGTAGCATTATTAGAAGATATAAGAGAATCACTTGATGCAGTATCATTAGGAGATGTTAGAGTACCATTTGATGCAGCATTATTGGGAGATGTAAGAGGATCATTTAGTGCAGTATTTTTAGGGAATATTTCACAACTTCCTACAGCTTTATTAAGAGATGTAAGAGGATCATTTGGTGCAGCATTTTCAAGAGACGCACCACTACAATTATTAGCAATTGTCGAAACACTATTTGAATTCCTCCCATTAGGGGTACCAACAGAACCAGTCGATTCTTCACAACCAACAACACCATCACTTTCTTGAACCAAAAACAAATCGTTGTCTCTCCTAACAAGAGCATAGTAGACAGTCGTTTCATCCCCAGGAAAGTAGAATCTAAACAAATCATCCGCATCCCTCACCATTTGAGATTCACTAGTTGAAAGACCCATGGTTCCAAAGTAATTATTCACAATTAATCCTCTAGTTATTTCGACGTTGTCAGCGTCTAACTTTCCAATAAGTTCAGGACCAAAAGCATCCCTAATCGATTCCCTCTCATATTTCAGATATTTCTCCGAAATCTTGTTAACCTCCTGCTGGTAAATATGGTTCAAATCCTCTAATTTCTTCCCCATCGACTCTTGGGTCCTACACTCGTAATCTTTGGGGTTATTCTTGTACCTCAGGACCTCTTGCTCCAGATTCTCTTCCTCTACCATTGGGCATTCACTTCTAATCATCTCCCTAGCCAATGTTGTTCGATTCTTAAAATTCGACAGTCCCAAATAAAACTGGTATCGATAGTCATCATTCCTGGCCTCTTCCACTTCGGTGAAGGTTTTATTCAGGTAGGTAAAGAGCATTTCGTAGGCTTTCATTCCAAGGGTCGAATTATTCACTATATTGTCTGTAGTTAGTGATTTTATTTTCTCTTTCTCTTTGAAGACGTAATTCAGAAGAGCTGGAAGTGCAAAAACAGTGAGGGCTGATTTGTTAATTTTTTCTGATGCTCCTAATATCTCGAGTGCCTGACCTATCGCAATGTACTGGTTGAATTCGTCATCGGAAACACCTGTTGAATCATCATTATCATCATCAGCATTATTAGCATTAGCATCATTAGCATCATTATCATCATCAGCATTATCAGCATTAGCATCATTAGCATCATTATCATCATTAGCATCATCAGCATTATCATCATTAGCATCATTAGCATCATTATCATCATTAGCATTATCTTTATCATTGTTATTGTCATTGCTATTGTTATGATTCTTGCTGTTCTTTTTGTTACCATCATCAGTTTCGACACTCGACAGTTTAGTGAGAGATGAAATTCCAACAGAACGAAGAAACGTCAAACCAGCTTGAGCATAAATATAATCAACCGAAAGTATATCCATTTTACTATCACGTTTTGGAAACAATGGAAAAATGATATCCCGAAGAATGTGAAAAATTGACAAAGATGTTAGTTTTGAGTAAGAAGCTTCCAGATTACCATCGGGAAAATTTGCATCCAAAAGTGTCAATTGAATTGTTTGGCATAAACCATCAACTGTCGTTTCATTCGATTTGCGAATAATTTCAGCTAGAAATCCATAAATATTTGTGAATTTTCCGTGAAAAACAAGGGCAACTATTATCTCGTTAAAAAATACTCGAACAAAATTCTCATCTATTATCTCATGATCTTCGCCTCCGTACAAATCACTGCCTCTAATTATTTCTCTAATCAAATATATTCTCTTGTCCGAATAAAGATCATTTGTAATTTGATTAGTTTCAACTGATAAATAATCAAACACTGCATTAACAATTGGTATTGGTTTTAGTTTGTCTTCAGCCTTCAAATAACTTTCCCGAAACAAAATATCGCTCAATGTTTCTAAATAATTGAAAATTGAGACAGTTTGAACAATGTTGAGAAAATTGAAATTAGTCACTTCCATTTTTTTCTTTTATTGAACTTGTTATGGTTCATCACACTCGACTGAAAATCAAAAAAGAAACATTTTTATTTATTTTCAAGGCAAAATTATTTTTAATTATCGAATTAATATTTCGAATATCGAATAATATCACTGAAAATTAAAAGATAATTTTTTTTTTCTAAATTTTAGTGTCAAATTTATCATTATCATTAAAAGATTAAGAATTTTTAATTTTGAAAAGAATATTAGAAAAAGGAATTTGTTTTCAAAATTTGCTCTTTTTGTTTTTAACATTATTAACTTTTAACTTCCAATAGAATTCTTTTGATAAATACACAAAGAGAACATACCTCGATATTAAAAGAATTGTGAAAAAATGTCGATTTTGAATTCACAGAATACAATGTGTTAATACTTATTTGCTAGTTGTAATTTATCTTTACGATAATTTTATATTAAATCATTATTTAAAGTTGATTGTTAAAAAATTTTTTTTTATTTGAATTATTTCAATTTTATTGAAGCAATTGAATAATTATTATTACAAAAATATGTATTCAGCTGAGTATTCATAAAAAATTCTTATCGTCTTCGCATAAATGACTTTGAAATTTATTATTAGTTTTTACTAATTTGTAAATATATATAATTTATTACTATAACTTTCTGTTCGCTTTCTGACAATGGAATATATTTTCTATATAGACAAGAAAATTTAAATTTTAGAGATTAATCACCTTTATTCGACCTTTACTCGTGCCGTAGAAAAATTATACTGGGTAAACAAAAATTTGTCTCATGTTATAGTTTGCTAATTTTTAGTAGGAGAAAACGTTAGGAAGTAAAAAATTAGAAAGGGCTTTTTTGTTAAACTTATGAGAAATTTTATTTATTTACAAGAATTTAGATAATTACAAACGATGAGGAATAAGGAACTAGGTGATTAGGATTAGAAACTTGTTGATGAAGAATGTTTGGAAGATGTAGGATTAATTGATACAGAATTATGAGCGGATATAGTTGAACTTAATGAGGAATTTTTGGAAGATCTGAAAGTACCTAATGCCGAATTATTTATAGTAGGATCTGTAATTGGCGATCCACTTGTTGCAATATTTTTAGATGTTGTATTACTAGTTGCTGATGAATTGTTAGGAGATTTAACAGCAGCTTTTGATGCAGCATCCTTAGCAGATGTAGAACTACAATTCTTATTAGATGTCGAAACACTATTTGATGATGAATTCTTAGGAGATGTAGCATAGCTTGATGAAGAATTAATAGCAGATGTCGAAAGATTAATTGATGCTGAATTTTTAGGAGACGTAGCACAACTTGCTGCAGCATTAATAGGAGATGTTAGAGTACCATTTGATGCAACAACTTTTAGAGAAGTACCCCAACTTGATGCAGCATTATTAGAAGATGTAAGAGAATAATTTGATGCAGCATCATTAGGAGATGTTAGAGCACCATTTGATGCAGAATTATTGGGAGATGTAAGAGGATCATTTGGTGCAGCATTATTAGAAGATGTAGCACAAGTTGCTGTAGCATTATTAGAAGATGTAAGAGCACCATTTGATGCAGAATTTTTAGAAGATGTACCACAACTTGCTGTAGCATTATTAGAAGATGTAAGAGAATCACTTGATGCAGCATTATTAGGAGATGTTAGAGCATCATTTGTTGCAGAATTATTGGGAGATGTTAGAGCACCATTTGATGCAGAATTATTGGGAGATGTTAGAGCACCATTTGATGCAGAATTATTGGGAGATGTAAGAGGATCATTTGGTGCAACATTATCAGAAGATGTAGCACAAGTTGCTGTAGCATTATTAGAAGATTTAAGAGCACTATTTGATGCAGAATTTTCAGAAGATGTAGCACAACTTACTGTAGCATTGTTAGGAGATGTTAGAGCACCATTTGATGCAGCATCTTTAGGAGTTGTAAGAGCACAACTTGCTGCAGCATTAGATCTAAAAAGATCCTATTTAGGCGAGTCTTTAGCATAAAACACCGTATCCGTCTCCATTAATTTTTTAATCTCCCTCATCGCACTCTGCTGACTCCTAACTAGCGAGTTCTTTGCCAGACTCAATTCAATATTCATATAATTCTGCGTTCCGAATTGCATCTCCCGCACACCTCTCGTCACTTTATCAATCCCGAACTCCATCCCCGGTAGCAAAATCGTCTCCTTCTCGTTCAGCACAAACAAATGCTCCACCCTAGCCCTCAAGTACGGTTCCTTCATCCTAATCGTATAAATCGCCTTTGTTTCTAAAGGACTAACCGTTTCCGAATAAATATTCGCTGTCTGTAGATCAGTCGTCGTTGAAGTGAATCTATTTATCGAAATACTCTCCCTGTCCGGTCGAAAATCACCCTCGAGTATTTCCGTTCTTCTCCTCTCGCCTCGAAATAATGTCCCCACACATTTCTCGCCCGGATCTTCCGATTGACGAACAGCTAATCTATAGATGGCATTTTTCATTCTTCTCGCCTCGTGGGAATTCTCCGCCATTTTTCTGTAGCCATTAAAACCGTAGTTGCGCAATGCGTAGTAATCTTCGAAAGTAGCATGTATGTAGACTTTCTTCTTTATGAAGTCGTCAAAAACCTTGTCTATCGACAGTTCCTGGTGGAGTTCCTGATAATTGCTGCGAGGGTACAGTTTCTCTATTCTGTACGACGCTTCCTTGAAGCTCAGTTTTGGAAAGTCCATGAACTGTTTAGTCGTCAATGTGTAGAAGAGCTCCGATTCCTCGATTTTTAGTGGTTGGGCCCATTTCGGGATTTTTAGGTCCAAATCCTTGGACCATTCCCTAACGAAGTTCAACTCCGTTTTCTCGTTTCGGGAGAAAGTGTATTTTTTCAGTTCGTATCCAATTTGCTTTTCGTTGAGTCTTCCTTGTTTCACCCCGTAGTTGATAGCCTCCGCCAGGAACTGCTTTTTCGGTCTTAGATTCTTCACTGCCATCGCTAGAATATTACCACCTTCTAATAGTGCTTCACTACTCTGGCTAATTTTCGGCAGTTCGTAACTTTTCTCCTCGGAGACGACGAAACCCTCCTTGTCCACAAAATACTCCTCTCCGATTACTTCTCCCATTAGATCGTTTTTTCCAAAATCCACTTTTCGGTAAGTCTGCTTAAGATCACAAGATTTTTGGGGCAGGAGGACAACTTCCTTCCGGCTGGGGTAGACCGTTCGTACCTCGGCCAATTCGCCATTCGATAGGGGAATGTACTTGTAACCATAACCCGAATTTCCGCCTAAGGAGTTGATGTACATTGGCTTTTTGAAAACGGTTCCGATTCTTTTCGGAAAATTACGGAGTGCTTCAAGGGTTCTGTCGAGCATATTCCGGATAGTACGGAACGAGGCCAAGTGAATCGTCTCCAACTTCAGGAGGGTTTTTCTAATCAAGCTGATACTTCCCTTCCCCAAACGGAAGAGTAATTCAAAGCCAGGATCGATGAACCTAAGGGCAGTCTTGCCGATTTTTTGAAAAGCCTCCCTGGTGAAGATTTTGGAAAATTCCTTCACCTCCAGGATGAGAAGTTTACCAGTGATGCGTAGGGCGGTTTTCAGGGAGGTTCTCAGTGTGATGGTCCTCATGGTGGTCTCGGTTAGACTCACCACTGTCTTCAAAGCGGTTGTAGACATCTTACCGGCCAGGGAACCGATTTCCCCAACCAGGGGGATGAAGAACAGGACGTCCAGTGGACAGAAGATACTAGCTTCGAGGATTTTCTTCTCCTTGATATCCTGAACGCAGGAGTAGAACGGTATCAAGGAGAGACCGAAGTGCTTCCACCATTCCGTCTTCGTTTCGTCGTACTCGACCTTCTTTAGGTTATCCCCGAATTTTTTGGATCTTTCCCCAGCTATTCGGGAGAGAAATTTATCGAAGTCTTCATCGCTGGTTTTCATCGTTTCGGGAAAGTATTTATCCTTCAGGGTTTCGTCATCGTCAAGGCCTAATTTTTGCCGAAATAGTATCGGATTAGTACGTTCTTCAATTAGCGTCACGTTATAGTTGTTCCGAATTAGGGCAAAGTACAAAAAAGTCTCGTTCTCCGGTAGGTAGAATTCGAATAAATCGTCCGAAGGTCTGATTAGTTGATGGGCAGAGAAATCGAAACCAAGGGGATAGTGAATCAAACCTTTGCTAATGATGACCTTTTGTCGATTCATCGTCTCTATGAAACTTTTCCCAAAAGCCTCTCGACATGATTCCTTCTCGTATTTTTCGTACTTTTCCGTTACGTTAGCTATTAGGTGTTGGAAATTAAGGTTTAGATTTCCCAGGACCTTGCCATTTTTACAGTGATAGCTTTCCGGATTATTTTTGTAATTGGTGACTTCTTCATCAATTTTCGTTTGGGATGGGCAATTGATTTCGATTGTCTCCCTGGCGAGTGTTGTTCGATTCTTGATGCTGGCAAGTGCGAGGTAAAATTGATAGCGATGGTCTTCGTTCTGCACTTTTTCTATTTCCAAAAATGCCTCATTTAGACGGGTGAACAAATTTTGAAAAGCTTTGGTCCAAAGTTCCTGACTTTCGAAGAGTTTGGCGACATTTTTTGAGGATTGTAAACTTTGCCTTTGATTGTAAACGTAATTTATGAATGCAGGTAGGGCGAAGATTTTCAGAACTGTTTCGTTGATTTTTTTTGCTAGGACTAGTTGTTCGATGGTGTGGGCAGTTTCGATGTATTCTTGAAATTTGTTTTCGTCATCGTCGTTATGATGATGATGATGATGATGACCATCACTATGGTCATGATAATTAATGTCAATATCGTTATCTTTATGATTATCATCATCATTATCTTTAGCATTACCATCATCATCTTGATAGTTACCATCATCATCTTGATAGTTACCATCATCATCTTGATAGTTACCATCATCATCTTGATAATTACTATTATCATCATCATCATCATCTTGATAGTAATCATTATCATCTTGATAGTAACCATCATCATCATTGAAATAATTTTCGTCAACATTCTGATTAGATGGACCATTCGTAGTAGATGGAAGACCACCAACCTTTCTGCCATCTTTCTCCAAATTCTCCAAACCCTTTTCCTCAAAATTTGCCCCATCACCGGAATTCAGAAACATTTTCCCCGCTTGAGCGTAAATATAATCCACAGACGTGACCCTAATCGTAACATTTTTCGGTTTTGGAAACAACGGTTCGATAATATCACTAAAAGTAGAATAAACTGCTCTGGATTCCAAAACCGATTGTTTGCCATCTTCGTTGTCGAATTTTAAACCAAAAAGCGAACGTTTAAATCGTTGCATTAAATATTGATAAGAATCGTTATCAACCGATGACAAAATGTCGCCGATAAATCCATAGACACCGGTGAACTTTTCAAATACAAGTGAACTGACAATGTACTCTATTAATTTGTCAACAAAATGCGAATCTGGAATTTCACCATCTTTTGCTCCGTAAAAATCGGTGTTGTTTATCAGACTCTTTGCTAGATGGACTTTTCGATTTTTGTAATCAAGCCGATGATGTAAATTTATATCGTTAGTGTCGTCTAGATAATTATAGAGAGCGTTGACAATTGGAATATGTTTATACTGATCTTCTTTGTCGAGATATTTTTCAATGAATAGAAAATCACTTAGAGAATTCACGTAACTGAATATGGAGATTATTTGAATTGTATCCAAAGGACTGACAAAGGTGACGTTCATTTTCGTTATCTTCACTTACTTCTGAAATACTTAAAAAAGAAATCAATTTAGAAAATTTTTTCTTTCTCTAGAGACTTAATTCTAGAAAATAATAATTTTTCAAAAAGAAAATTTGTTAAAAAAAGGAGTCTTACCTCTTTTTGATGGAGACGATTTTTTTTGCTTCTTCACAAGAAAAGATTAAGAGCGACACATTTATATTCCTTCTCTTCTTTTTCATTTCAATTAATTCTTTTGTTAAATTATTTTTAAACGTTGTTTTTCAATATTTTTGTATTAGAATTCACCTTTTTGTTTCTAGAAATATTTTTAGTTTTTTTTAAATTGAAATTCAATAATGGATTAGTTTAATACAATGTATTGTGGAGTACAAACATATTTTTCTTATCTTTTCGAATGTTAAAATAAATGATTAACAATATCAATTCCGTTTTCATTGAAACTAATGTATAATTATTGAATTGCTTTATTCTAAATTGCAAAATAAGTCTAGAAATTCTGTAATAGCGTTAATTTAGTGTGATAATTATCGTCATTGAGAGGCTAAATTTAGAATTTTGGAAAAGAAAAAAAAGGTGCATGAATGGTAGAGAATGGAATTAGTTTAGTTGGAAATGGTAATTAAGAGTAGAGTGAGACTTTTATTAATTTTTTTATAGTCAACTTTATTGTTTGATTTTAGTAAATTTGGGGAATTATAATTTCTGGTTTGACAATAAATGAAGCGACATTGTTAATTATTATCGGATCCCACTCCAATTTCCAACCTTCCACTTTCCACTCTCACTTCCTACAACGACTGTCGACCTTCCACTTCCTACTTTCACTTTCCGCTCTCACTTCCAACACCCTCTTCCCAAAGTGTGAGTGTGAAGTGAGAGTGGACGGTGGATGTGGGCAGTGGTTATGGGAAGTGAGAGTGGAAACTGAGAGTGGAAAAATACTGTCTCGCGCCTACTATATACTCGCATGGAGAGTAATACGTTGAATAAAATTTAATTGAACTGTCATTGGCTCGAATCCAGTCCTTTAAAGCATTCCAAAATTTTATGACTCTTTTCCGAGCTAGTGTGGACAATAATTTTTCGAAATTTTTAGAGTTCAATTTCATCCACGATAATTCTTCTGTCTCCATGGCTTTGTCACCGTCGAGGCCTAATTTCTGCCGAAATAGTGCAGGATTCGTACCCTCTTCAATTAGCGTCACATTGTAGTTGTTTCGAATTAGCGCAAAATACAATCTTGTCTTGTTCTCCAATAGGTGGACTCTAAACAAATCATCTGATTCTCGGAATTGTTGACGATAGAAGGCTTTTGAAATGATAACTTCTTGGCTACTCATCATGTCTCTGAAACTTTTTCCAAAAGCCTCTCGACACATTTCTATCTCATACTTTTTGTACTTTTTCGTGATGCTAAACAAATATTCTTGGTAATTTCGATTTAGATTTCCCAGGGATTTGCCATTTATGCAGCGGTAACGTTTTGGATGGTCTTTGTATTTTTCAACCTCCTTGTCAATTTTATTTTGTGTTGGACAATTGTTTTCGATTGTCTCCCTAGCGAATGCTGTTTGATTTTTGATGCTGGAAAGTGCGAGGGAAAATTGATGGCGAATATCTTCGCTACGCTGTTTTTCTATTTTCAAAAACAAATTTTCAAATGCTTTGGTCCAAACTTCTTGATTGTTGCTGAATGTCACGACATTTTTGTAGGATTGTAGACTTCCCCTTTGATTGTAAACGTAATTTATAAATGCAGGTACGGTGAAAATTCTCAGAATTAATTCGTTAACTTTTTTTGCCAGAACTAGTTGTTCAATTGTTTCGACAATTTTGATGTACTTTTCAAAATTGTTTTCATCATTAACTTCATCAATAACATCATTTAAATTATATTTATCTTTTTCATCGTCATCATCTTTATCATCATCATCATCATCAGAGCATATATATTTATCATCATCACATTCAAATATATTATCATCATCACGATCATTATAAAAATCATCATCATCATCATCGTAATCATTATTAGGGCATTCATCATCATCTTCATCATCATCATCATCATCATCTTTATCATCATCATCATCTTCATCATCATCATCATCTTCATCATCATCTTCATCATCGTCATCATCTTCATCATCATCATCATCACTATCATCTTCCCCCAAATTCTTAAAAACCATACCTATCAAATGTGGAGCACTTAATTTGAAAAACACTTTCCCGGCTTGAGCGTAAACATAATCCAGTGACGTGACCCTAACCGAAGAATTTTTCGGTTTCGGAAAGTACTGTTCGATAAAATCTTTGAAAATCCAATCAATTGCTCTAGAAGTCAAGACCGATTGTTTACCATCTCCATTATCGAATATTAAACCAAAAAGAGAACGTTTTAAATGTTGAATTACATATTCGTATGAATCGTCATTTTCCTTCGACAATGTTTCGAGAATAAATCCAAAGGGACCACCAAACTTTTCAAATACAAGTGACTTTAGAGTGGTATTTACCAAGTCGACATAATATATTTGAGTTCCATTTACTTCGTAATAATCGGTGGTGTTTTCTAGATTCTTTGCCAGATGGATTTTTCGACTTTCATAATCTGGCAAGAGATTATTATCGTTAGTGTTGTCTAGATAATTGTAGAAAGCGTTGACAATTGGAATATGTTTGTGCTGATCGTTTTCGTCGAGATACTTTTCACGGAATAGAAAATCACTTAGAGAGTTTATGTAATGCACAAAATAGATAGTTTGAAGTGTCTCAATAGGAGCGTAACTGGGAACGATCATTTTCAATATTTTCACTTTCTCCTGATTTATAAAATACCCAAAAGATAAAACTAAATTCAGAAGAAAAAAAATTTTTTTGCTCTGAAAACATAAGACGTAGAAAGTATTTATAATTTTTTCCGAATAAGAAAGAATATGATTTAAATAAAGAACGATGACTTACCTCTTTTTTGGTAGAGACGATTTTTTCTTCTTCAAATGAAAATTTAGAAATGGCCTTTTTATATTGCTTCTCTTCTTTTTTATTTCAATTAATTCTTTTATTTGCCGGAAAACTATTTTAAATTGTATATTTTTCAACATTTCGAATTCAAATTATCCTTTTTGTTTCTAGAAATAAATTTAAATAATGTTTTTTCAAATTGAAATTAAACAATAAATTAGATTATTATACAAGATGTTGTGACGTATAGGCATATTTTTCTGTTCGAACAAATATTTGCCATATTTATGTAATTTTATTTTACCCGGCCAAGTGGATTCGTAGGATGACTTTTATTAAATAAATAAACACAAAGTAAAATTTAACATTACACACAAATCGATTTATTTCAATAAGAAAAGAACAGTAATTCAAATTAACAAAATAGAAAATAACAAAGTTTCAATGGTTAAAGAATACTCAAGCATCCAAGATTTTATATTTAATTTAGCTTTAATAAAATTCTCTATTGACACTTTGACTTACCGCCATTTCAATAATTTTCCGGGGAGTCTTTTTATTGTTTTATCTTGTGAATTCAAAACACTAACTTCTTTATTTAATTATCCTTTTTATTAAATTTTACTTTCCTATCGCTATTCTTTATAAAGCGTCAGCCATGGCAGTCAAAACATGAAGACCGTGCTATACATTTTTCTCGCCTAATTCGCCTACTCAAAACCCATTTGGTGGCGACCCTGCCGATAAGTATGAAAATTACCTTTTTCGTACTTATAGGATTAACAGGTCGCAGCCTCGCAGACGCGTTGTACAAGTTAATGAAGAACAATTATTCTTGGATATGTGTGCAACTCGGACCGAATGGAGCAGTGAAATGAACAACATAATAATTATAACTATTATTATTGGTGGTCCCGGTCTGCTTCATCCTCAAACTGTTTCTCCTGACTCTACTCGCTCCAACTGAGAGTCAATTGCAAATAGTACCTCCGCGCCAAATTAGCTGAGTTTGATAGGCTGAAAACATTATTGAAAGGCAGTGACGTGTAATATTTAATTTGGATTGCTCTTGGATCCATGAGATGTATCTATTTATGAATTGTTTTAATTTGATTATTGCATTAATTATTTTGTACAGTTTATTATAATTTTCTCCTTATTTAAATTACAACATATAGAATATTAAGGAGAGCTTCACATTTTTCCACCATGGTCGAGGACAAAATTAAAGAGCAAAATTGCAACGTTACATTGCGTATGACTGGAATTGCCTTTTAAATAAAAATGATATTCAACTTTAGTATGGAGAATCAAACTTTTCTAAAAACTCTATTAAAAAAGACATTTCTTTCCCGAAAATAATAAACGAAATAATTAAAGTAAATATTGCATCAACAACACTTAAACAAAGTAGGGCTGAAATTCAAAAAAGTTATCGTGAGAGGCAAAAATTAAAACGTTAAAATTGATAATGCAAATTATTCAGATGAAGCACACACTTCCATTTCTTTCGCGAGAAGAAGAAGAGGACCATTCTGTTATAAAATTCAAGGTCAAATTTACTATCAAATTAATAGTGCTTTATATCCGTATAAAGGTGAGGATCGATGTTTTGGTCAATTATTTATTTATGACCCTGAGGAATCAATCAGATACAGATTAAAAAGTAACGAAAATTTGGATGAAGATGTTTTAACATCTATAGAAGATATTATGAGAAATTCTGACATGATGATGTCAGAGGTAATTCAAATAGAAGCTGAATTAGCAAGACAAAAAATTGAAGAAATTCCTGAGTTACAATTATTGTTCACGTTGAAAAAAGACTTTGATAAAAATAGATACAATTTTCAAAGTTTTAATGAAGTTCAATTGTTAATACAAACTCTGAAGGAGGAATACCAGAATCTTATGTAACGGTTTATAATAAATCTACAAAGGAATTGAAATTAGTTAGTAATTTAGATCCGAATTTTGAACCATGGATTTATCCCATATTTTATCCACTTGGAAATAAGTGTTATAATATTAATATGATTCGTAGTGATAGTGATTACAGAAGTAGAAATCATACTATTTCTAGGTCTGCCTACATTAAATACAAAATTGCTGTAAGAGATAAAGAATTTAATCAATTTTTATATGGAGGTAGATTGTTTCAACAATGGGTGTTTGACAATTATGTAAAAATAAAAAAAGATAGTTACATTCTACGTTAATCTTTTAACATCTTATTCATTTAAATATGTAAAAAATAGTTGAAAAACGAATAAATTACAATGTTAGGAATGAAAACTCAGTGTTCATTGTTGAAAAGAAAAATAAAAGTCGACAAGTAACGACCGCACAATGTTTTTGCGATTTGCATCAAGGAATGGGACTTGCAGGCCAGTGAATAAATTATATCACAATAAATTAAATCATATTTTTAAATTACATATTTATTAAGAGTATTAAGTAAGAGCTTCATTGCAACAGATGTAGCACTACAATTATTGACAGATATCAGAACATTATTTGATGCTAAATTTTTAGGAATCAGCACTACCAAATGCATAATTATTAACAAACACAGAAGCACACTTATTAGTAGATGAAGAACTACTTGTTTTCCAATTAGCAGAACCCCAATTTTTTAATATCGAATATACAACAAGAAACAACTTATATTGTAACAAAAATTATTATTTTTAAATTTTTGCGAATCTTTTAAAATTAGGACAATAATTGTATTCCTTGGTTCAAAACACATTAGATAATGTGCTTCAAAATATGTTTTTGACCCTAGCGTCGTTACATGAGCTAACTGACTTTTTAAAACAATTTTTCCTATTTGTATAAACTTTCTATTATTTTTTTATGTTAAAAATTTTGTTTATAGTTTTGTTTTAATTTTGCTTTAAACTTTGACCGATTCTGAAAAAATCAAGTTAGCAATATTTGATGGAGAATTTCTGGATGGTGTGGCACTAGTTAATGTGGAAATACATGAAGACGTCGCGGCACTACTTGTGAAATTATTAGAATTTTTACCCTGCTGTATAGTATCGTTTTAACTTTCCTGCACATGTGCAGAAAATTACTATTTTGCGCCTACTTTACTCCCATATAAAGTCATCCTTCGAGTAAAATTTAACTGAACTGTCATTGGCTCGAGCCCAGTCCTTTAAGTCACTCCAAAATATTGCGACTCTTTCCTGAGCTAGTGTTGACAAGAAGCGTTCGAAATTTTTAGAGTTCAATTTCATCCACGATAATTCTTCTGTCTCCATGGCTATATCATCGTCGAGGCCTAATTTCTGCCGAAATAGTGCAGGATTCGTACCCTCTTCAATTAGCGTCACATTGTAGTTGTTTCGAATTAGCGCAAAGTACAAACTTGTCTTGTTCTCCAATAGGTGGACTTTGAACAAATCATCCGATTCTCGCAATTGTTGACTATTGTAGGCCTTGGAAATAATAATATCTTGACTATTCATCATGTCTATAAAACTTTTCCCAAAAGCCTCTCGACACATTTCCTTCTCATACTTTTTGTACTTTTTCGTAATGTTAAGCAAATATTCTTGGTAATTTAGATTTAGATTTCCCAGGGACTTACCATTTTTGCAGCGGTAACGTTTTGGATGGTCTTTGTATTTTTTAACCTCCTTGTCAATTTTGTTTTGTGTTGAACAATTGTTTTCGATTGTCTCCCTAGCGAATGCTGTTCGATTCTTGATGCTGGAAATTGCGAGGGAAAATTTATTGCGAGTATCTTCGCTACGTTGTTTTTCTATTTCCAAAAACAAATTTTGAAAGGCTTTGGTGCAAACATCTTGACTGTTGAGGATTGTCGTGAAATTTTTGTAGGATTGTAGACTTTCCTTTTCATTGTAAACGTAATTTATATATGCAGGTACGGTGAATATTAGCAGACCTAATTCGTCAAATTTTTTTGGCACGTATAGTGGTTGAATTCTTCGGGCAATTTTGATGTATTTTTTAAAATTGTTTTCATCATTAACTTTATCAATATCAATATAATTAAAATTATCATCTTCATCAAGATCATCATCATTGTCATCTTCCCCCACATTCTTAAAAACAATATGTTTCAAACGTGGATTAACTGATTTAAAAAACCGTTTTCCGGCTTGAGCGTAAATATAATTCAGTGACGTGATCCGAACCGAAGAATTTTTCGCTTTTGGAAAGAATTCTTCGATGAAATCTTTAAAAATCCAATCAATTGCTCTAGAAGTCAAGACCGATTGTTTACCATCTCCATTATCGAATATTAAACCAAAAAGAGAACGTTTTAAACGTTGCATTACATATTTGTACGTATCGTCATTTTCCTTCGACAATGTTTCGAGAATAAATCCAAAGGGACCACCAAACTTTTCAAATACAAGTGACTTTAGAGTGGTATTTACCAAGTCGACATAATATATTTGAGTTCCATTTACTTCGTAATAATCGGTGGTGTTTTCTAGATTCTTTGCCAGATGGATTTTTCGACTTTCATAATCTGGCAAGAGATTATTATCGTTAGTGTTGTCTAGATAATTGTAGAAAGCGTTGACAATTGGAATATGTTTGTGCTGATCGTTTTCGTCGAGATACTTTTCCTTGAATAAAAAATCACTTAGAGAGTTGATGTAATGCACAAAATAGATCGTTCGAAGTGGCTCAAAAGGCATGTTACTGGGGACGTTCATTTTCAATATTTCCACACGGAGAGAAAAATCAAGCGTTTGTAGTATGGAGACTTCCTATGCTAATTTTGTATGAACGTCCTGCTAAAGAGGCATGTTTTTATACCTCAGTTGCATGAAACATATACTAAAAAAGCATGGATCTCTTGCAATCGTAGTATACTGACGTCCCATGCGTTACAGGTAGAACTTTTATGCTGATAACGTAGAAATTTATACAAATACAGCAGAAGTTTTACGCATATTGCGCATGTGCATTCTTTTACGAAATAAGCTTAACTGTCCATACTACAAACGCTTGATTTTTCTCTCCGTGCACTTGAAAATATCTCCCGATTTATAAAATACCAAAAATGTGAAAACAAATTTAGAAGAAAAAAATTTTGTTCTCTCTGAAAAAGAAAAAATGTAAATAATTATAATTTTTTCCAAAAAAGAAAAAATACGATTAAAATAAAAAACGATGACTTACCTCTTTTTTGATAGAGACGATTTTTTCTTCTTCAAATGAAAATTTAGAAATGGCATATATATATTCCTTCTCTTCTTTTTCATTTCAATTAATTCTTTTATTTGCCGGAAAACTATTTTAAATTTTAGATTTTTCAACATTTCGAATTCGAATTATTCTTTTTGTTTCTAGAAATAAATTTAAATAATGTTTTTTTAAATTGAAATTAAACAATAAATTAGATTATTATACAAGATGTTGTGACGTATAAGCATATTTTTCTATTCGAACGAATTTTAAGACAGGTGATTTTCAGTATCAATTCGTTTTCATTGCAACAATTATTACATATTCAATTTATTCTAATTTGTAAAATATTTCTTTTCTATCTCCCTTGCTGGACGATGACGACATAAATTGATTCACGATTCTTTGCTGTTCGTGAATAATAATTGATTTACTGCTTCTGGTGTTTTTGTCGTTCCACGAAATAGAGTGCATTCTTTAAATGGATTATCCCCTCTTCTCTCGAGTAAAATATTTCTTATATCTCTCGTTGAATTTCAGTTCGTGGAATGTTTCGATTTCTGCTATTTTGTATTCATTTGCCCAAATCGGTGGTTCTCCGGTTTGGATCCAGTCGGTTACGAATTGCTCTGGAGTTTTTTCATCCAAAAGGGAATATTTTGATAGTTCGGCTATACTACATCTTCCTTGATGAGATTTGCCGATAGTGCTAGTTTTATTGCATTTGTTTCATGTTGACGTTTATCGGCCAACAATTCAGTTCTTGTACATTTCCTTGGGGATCGTTTCCTTCTGCCGGAGAATTTACAGCGGAATTCAGAATTCAGATTCTCTTTCCAACGGAGTTGTTCTTCTTCGTATTTTAGGTGTAGGGGTTTCTTTTTTATTTTCCCGGTTAAAATGTTAATGGCCTGGAAAATTTTTCCCCTCGCTATCGAAAACGACGGGAATTTCGTTTTCGTATTCGTGGACTTTTCTTAATTCGACAAGATGGTTGGGAGGCAAATATGTGAATTTATAACTGTAACCACTGTTCCCCTTGGTCGACATGGTTTTTACAAAGATATCCCTATTGTCAATTGTGTCAATTTTTCGTACCGATGTCCTTAGGGTTCGTTCACTCTCGACTAGCATTTCTTTGAGGATTTTGAAGTTTTTGGAATACCTAAGAGCTTTGATCAAAGTGCCGATTGTTCCCAATCCTTTTTTCCGATTGTGAAAATAAGTTCAAAGCCCGGATCTATAGAGCGGAGAAAAGACAGACCTAGTGTTTTCAATGTTTCCCTAGTGAACAATTGTGAAAAACCGACAGATTCGGTTAGCAAAGTTTGTCGCATTGCACTTCTTAGGCCTAATGACACAAGTGTTTTTTCCGCAGCAAATAGAGTCGACCTGCTGGCTATTTTTGCGAATTTCTGAATGAAGATGCCAACTTCTCCTAAGAAGGGAAGCATGAATAATGTATCGAGGGAGCAGATTAATTCCGCTCATTGAAAATTTCCGGTTTTGAGTTCATTGCTGCAGGTGTGAAAGGGAATTAGAGAGAGTCCGAATTCCGTCCAACATTCTCTTGATGTTTAATCGTAGCCTTTGTCCAAAAGACTTTGGTTGAAGTTTGTAACGGTTAGTTTCTATTCTTGATCCTTGAGAGAAGGAAATTATAATCAGGATAACCCGGGGTAAAGAATGACACAGATAATTAATAAAAATAATCTTGTTTTTATTGGATAATCTTCTTAGCGACGATCCTGGTACTTATAAAATAAACTTAAGACGATAATTTTGATAAATCACTTAATTAGGGTTCATCTCGGTGAGCGAGTGATTAAGTACGATGTTCGAAATGCACACAGGTAAGTTATAGTATTTAGCATTCACAGGTAAGTTTATCAACTAACGAAAATCCTTTATTTCAGGTTGTTTGTAGTAACGAAAATTAAATTTGGAATTTTTAGGTAAAAAACAAGTTAATTAACTAAACTTGGAATCGCGTGTGATAAGTTGCGGAGTGGAGATCCAGTCTTTAACGGATGGGCACACTGCGCGTAAAGTGAAGAAAAAAGGTGAGTGACCAAGTCCCTGCTTTCTTCCAGGTAGGTCTCTGCGTAAAGAATAAAATAAAACTAACTAAACTTTCGATTGTTTCAGGTAAATCGCGGAGCGGAGATTTAGTCTTTCAACGAATGGACTCACTGCACGTGAAGTAGGGAAAAGGTGAGTATCCAAGTCCCTGCTCTTTTCCAGGTAAGTCACCATGTAAAAAATAAAATATAACTAACTAAACTTTAAATTGTTTCAGGTAAATCGCGGAACGAAGATTCGGTCTTTTAATAGGTAAGTTCGTAACGCGGAAAATGGGTAGAATCTAAGTGTCGAGCCAGTTATAGCAAAGATCACGAAAATTTGGGCTTGGGATAGCGCTCGCAAGAATAAGCCACAGTCGGTGTGATACGCGCTGTAGGTATGGCCCTGAGATTTACCGACATATAATTTCCCGATGTGGTTTATCGTCTCAACGGGATATGTACCGACGGCAGCAAGGGACGCGATCCTCGGAAGTTTCTTCTTCACCGACGGTCGCGCATGGGGAAACACTCGGGAATTTGACGTTTTCTTCTCGTGGATTCTCACGCTAATATAAAAAAAAAACACTCGCGGTTCGTATCACTCGCGCACTAATTAAGAAATTCGATCGCGGTTAGGGTCAACTCGCGGATAACACTTGAGGAATGGTGGCCGAGGTGGCGCTCACCATGGTAAGTAGGATTTCTTCTCAACAGCCAAGGTGGCGTTCGCTGAGAGTGGATCGATAGGATGCTAGGTGCAACGTGGAGAGAATAATCTGACAACCTTCCCAACGCTAAGGCGGCGGACTTGAGAGAGACTGTTCTACGTACCTACTGCTTCTTCAGGAACACCCGGGATGACAACCTGGCGGCGACCTTCAACGGTGGAGCACCTCTAACGATCGGCTTGAGGCTGGAGTCCCATGGTAGCGTTTTGCGTTGCGTTTTGTAACTAGGCCATGAGTGCAAATAGAGCAAACATATATCTGTATCTCTCTCACACTCATGGCCTGGTTACAAAACGTAACGCAAAACGCTATCATGGGACTCCAGCCTTATAGTTTCAACAGCACCGCTGGACGGATGGACTGCTGCTTTCTCGATCCATTGTTCACTTTATATACCTTCTCAGAGAGTTGCTGCTTGTGAGAAAGTATTCCACCTATGTATCGCGTTCGTACCACTTGATCACCTACTGGCCTGGTACAATACTGATTTTGGCTAGTGACCTTACCGACTAAGGATCACTTATCATTTAAAAATGTAAAAAAATAAAGAGACCTTTGATTCCTAAACTTGGTAATTTATTTGCGGCAAACAACCCAGGTTTGGACCATTACAAGTTTTTGATTCTTTCCACCGCTATTTTGTTTATCAATGTTTCGAAATTCTCTCCTTTGCTCTTTATTACATCGCGGAAGTAATAAAGAATGAAGAATCAAGCAACTGAATAATTATTATTACAAAAATATGTATTCAGCTGAGTATTCATAAGAAATTCTTATCATCTTCGCATAAATGACTTTGAAATTTATTATTAGTTTTTACTAATTTGTAAATATATATAATTTATTACTATAACTTTCTGCCCGCTTTCTGACAATGGCATATATTTTATATAGACGAGAAAATATAAATTTTAGAGATTAATCACCTTTAATCGACCTTTACTCGTGCCTTAGAAAAATTACCGGGTAAACAAAAATTTGTCTCGTGTTATAGTTTGCTAATTTTTAGTAGGAGAAAACGTTAGGAAGAAAGAATTAAAAAGGGCTTTTTTGTTAAACTTATGAGAAATTTTATTTATTTACAAGAATTTAGATAATTACAAACGATGAGGAATTAGGAGTTAGTTGATTAGGATTAGAAACTTCTTGATGTTTGATGTTTTTTCTTGATGTTTTCTTGATTCTTCTAGAATGTTTGGAAGATGTAGGATTAATTGATACAGAATTTTGAACGGATGTAGTTGAACTTAATGAGGAATTTTTGGAAGATCTGAAACTACCTAATGCTGAATTATTTGTAGTAGGATCTGTAATTGGAGATCCACTTGTTGTAATATTTTTAGATGTTGTATTACTAGTTGCTGATTAATTGTTAGGAGATTTAACAGCAGCTTTCGATGCAGCATCCTTAGCAGATGTAGAACTGCATTATTAGGAGATGTTAGAGCACCATTTGATGCAGCATCTTTAGGAGTTGTAAGAGCACAACTTTCTGCAGCACCAGATCTAAAAAGATCCTATTTAAACGAGTCCTTAGCATAGAACACCGTATCCGTCTCCATCAATTTTTTGATATCCCTCATCGCACTCTGCTGACTCCTAACAAGCGAGTTCTTAGCCAGACTCAATTCAATATTCATATAATTCTGCGTTCCGAATTGCAGCTCCCGCACACCTCTCGTCACTTTTTACGATTTTGCATGAATGGTAGAGAATGGAATTAGTTTAGATGGAAATGGTAATTAAGAGAAGAGAGAGAGACTTTTATTAATTTTTTTGTAGGTAACTTTATTCTTTGATTTTAGTAAATTTGGGGAATTATAATTTCTGGTTTGACAATAAATTAGGCAGCAATAGTTTATGGGTCGATTTTGTAACTTTCCCACACCTACCTCTCACTTCCCACTCTCACTTCCTACCTTCCAAAAAAAAAAGAGATGCCTCAGTTTATTGCGCTCGGCGCTATAGACGATATGCCCCACTGTTCCTCGCTTTAGCTTACCAGTGGATTTTTGCTTTAGCTTCAGAATTGCTTATCTTACAGTTGGGTTGCTGGTCGTTACGTACATCATTGGCTATAGAGACTTCCTACCTTCCACTTTTCACTCTCACTTCCCACACCCATTTCCTACCTTCCACTTTACTCTTACTTCCCACAACCACTGCCCACCTTCCACTTTCCACACCTATTTCCTACCTTCCACTCTCACTGTCCACTACCACTTTTGTGTGGGAAGTGAGAGTGGAAGGTGGATCTGGGAAGTGAAGGGGGCAGTGGGTGTTGGGGGTGGAAAGTGGGAGTGGGAAAGTTACAGAATAGACCCCCTGGACCACCATTTGATGTTTTATTTTTTGAAGACCTAATAAATGCAGAATTGTTTCCCCTTCTGTTTAGAATTCTTTCAAGTACTTTGCTACTCATGTGCAGAAAAATACTATTTTGCGCCTACTATTTATACGCATGGAAAGTGATCCTTTGAATAAAACTTAACTGAACTGTCATTGGCTCGAGCCCAGTCCTTTAAGTCACTCCAAAATATTGTGACTCTTTGCTGAGCTAGTGTAGACAAGAAGTGTTCGAACCTTTTAGAGTTGAATTTCATCCAGGAAAACTCTTCTGTCTCCATGGCTTTGTCACCTTCGAGGCCTAATTTTTGCCGAAATAGTGCAGGATTCGTACCCTCTTCAATTAGCGTCACGTTGTAGTTGTTTCGAAATTTTTTTATTGGTATCAAACTATTGCTAGAACAATTCCAATTAATATCTGGGTCATGAAAATTAATTTAATTCACAATTCATAAAAAGTAACCACAGCTGATAATCAGCAGAAGATGTAAAATTATTTTTAGAGAGTTGTTGACGAATTAGGTATAACAAAAGGACAACGAGATCATACGGTGGAAATTATCCAAAAGATAGTCTAGTGTAAGTCTGAAGAGGAATACATAACGTTATATAATACTTTTTTAGCACAGACGCCAAATTTGTAATATGTAAAAAAAATATTTGAATAAACTAATGAATTAGAATGTTAGGAATAAAAATGAAGTGTTCATTGTTGAAAGGAATACTTCCTAGCCCAGGTGCTGAGTTTCCTGACACACAACCTCTTCACTACAGAACATCACTACTTTCATCAGCTATGACAAAATCCTTCTTCAATTTTGCCAACTGCTCCATAGTATTTTTAAAACTCTTATGCTTTGGCACTTTCTCATGATTGAAAGACATTTGAACCACCAAAGTCTCTGCATCATCAATCGTTTCATACCCCAATTTTTTAATATCAAATACAGAACCAGGAAGAAGAATAGTCTCGTACTCCTTCAAAAAACTAATTTCCTCGAAATTTGCTCTTAAAAACGGTTCTGAAAACTTCATCTCATAGAGTACGTTAATACGATCTGCTCTTCCTCGAAGAAATTTCTTTGCTACCTCCCTGCTGGACGTTGACGACGTAAAACGATTGAATACCACTTCTTTGTTGTTCGTGAAAAATAGTTGATCTACTGCTTCTGGTGTTTTTGTCGTTCCACGAAATAGAGTGCATTCTTTAAATGGATTATCCCCTTGGCGAATTGCCAGTCGATATATCGCTTCCCTCATGTATTTTGCCTCAAGTGTTGTACTTGCAATCTTCGCATATCCACTACGCATGTAATGTTGCAATGCGACATAATCCTCGAACGTGAGAGATTCAAAAACACGATTTTTGTTAAATGTTTGTATCAACATGAAAGAGGCTAAATTGGGAAAGTATTTATTTTGTTTTTCTCCCAAACCAAGTGCTCCAATTCTCTTGAATGCATCCTCTTTTGATATTATGCCATCCAATCTATCGGAATATCGTAAACTTTCAAACAGTTCGGCATTCTCGATCTGATATTCCCTACTCCAATTTGGTACCTCTTTATTACCGCTCGAAATTAATTCCCACCAATCCTGGACAAATTTGAGTTGTAATTCACCTTCGTCGGGAAATATAAAGTTTCTCAATTGTTTTTGTACAACGTCTTTCGTTAGTTCCGTTTGATCTTGAACGAAATCCATAGCCGCGTCTTCTGTTATTTCTCTTCTTTCGAGTAAAATATTTCTTAGACAGGAAAACGTTGTTGGAGTTCTCTTCAAACGGTATGCCTTACAGAAACGAGAATTGTGAAAACTTTCAACGCGAAATTCAGTTTTGTAGAGATAGCTTTCGGTTTTTAGATGAAATACTTTTTTCCTCACTTCGCCGGTTTTTATGTTCAACGTCATGCATAGGGTTTCATCTTCTTCTGAAATTAGAACTACTGGGAGTTTCGTATTGTATTCTTGAATTCTTCTCAATTGGAAGGTTCGTTTGTCAGGCAATTGAAGAAATTTGTAACCGTAACCGCTATTTTTTTGGGTCAGAGAATTTACAAATATGTCCCAATTGGAGATTGTCCCCACTTTTCTGATCGAATTTTCAATTTTATTCTCGGTGGCTAACAAGTCCATTATTATGGATTCGAGAGAAGAGATATACTTTCTAATGACAGTGACTAGAGTGATGATTGACCTTATTCCACTCTTGCCGATCGTGTAAATGAATTCAAAACCCGGATCCAAGTAGCGAAACAAAGATAAACCGAATTTTTTGAAAGTCTCCATGGTGAACTGTCTTGATAAATTCTGAACCTCGGTTGCTATGACTGGACCTAATTTTAGCAATACTTCTTTTACCGTCATCCTCTGGGCTAGGGAACTAAATGTCGTTCCTGCAGAATGGATCACTGTTTTAGTGACTGAGGTTGTAAGCTTACTGAAAAGATTGGCGAATTCTCTGACGACTGGTATCGCCGTTATGGCATCCATGAGACAGGATAATTCTGCTTCCTCGTATTTTTTCTCGACAACTGCATGTCTACAGGTGTAGAATGGAATTAGGGATAGTCCGAAATCTTTCCACCATTCCTTTCGTGTTTGGTCGTAGCCCTCGGCGGCGAGGGTTTTATTAAGTAATGTTGCTCTCTCTTCTGAGATTCGAGTTAGAAATTTATCAAAACTTTCCTCTTTTTTCTTCTTTACGTTGAGGAAATTGTTCTCCCGCAATTTTGGAGCGGGAGTAAGACCCAATTTTTGATAAAAGTCTTTGGAGTTGCAGTGGATTATGCTGGATTTTGGTATCTGTTGTATAAGCACAGTTAGGGACAAGGTAGAATTTTTAGATGATGCAGAACCTGAAATTAATAACAAATTATTAGAAAGTACTACAGTATAAGATAAAGAATTATTTGTATTGGGGTCGATTCTGTAACTTTCCAACTCTCACTTCCCACTTTCTATCCTCCACTTCCCACCTTATACTCCCACTTCCCACTCTTACTTCCCACCTTCTACTTTCACTTCCCACTCCCACTTTCCACTCTTACTTCCTACCTTCTACTTTCTACTCTTACTTCCCACTCCTACTTTCCACTCTTACTTTCTACATTCTACTCTTACTTCCTAATCCCACTTTCACAGCTTCCACTTCCCACTCTCAAATCCCAATCCCACTATCTACTCTCACTTTCCACTCTCACTCCCCACTTCCACTTTTCCACCTTCCACTTCCCACCTTCTATTCTCACTTCCCATTCCTACTTTCCACTCTTACTTCCCACCTTCCACTCTCACTACCCACTTCCCACACCCACTTTTCCACCTTCTACTCTCACTCCCCACTTCCCACTCTCACTTTACACTCTTACTTCCCACCTTTTACTTTCACTTCCCACTCCTACTTTCACAGATTCCACTTCCCACTCTTAAATCCCAATCCCACTATCTACTCTCACTTTCCACTCTCACTCCCCACTTCCACCTTTCCACCTTCTATTCTCACTTCCCACTCCTACTTTCCACTCTTACTTCCCACTTTCCACTCTCACTACCCACTTTTCCACCTTCTACTCTCACTCCCCACTTTCCACTCTTACTTCCCACGTTCACTCTCACACACCACACCAACTTTTATATGAAAATACCTGATTAAAGATTATGAGAGTCGGAAATGGAAGGTAGGAAGTGAGACTGGAAAGTGGGAGATTGATGTGGAAGATAGGAAGTGAGAGTGTAAAATGGAAGGTGGAAGTGGGAAGTGAAAGGTAGGAAATGAGAGTGGAAGGTGGGAATTAAGAGTAGGAAGTGAGAAAATGGAAAGTGAGAGTGGAAAGTAGGAAGTAGAAGGTAGGAAGTGAGAGTGTGAAATGGAAGGTGGGAGTGGGAAGTGAAAGGTAGGAAGTGAAAGTGGAAAGTAGGAAGTGAGAGTGGAAAGTGGGAGTGGGATGTGGAAGGTGGGAAGTGAGAGTGTAAAGTGGGAGTTGGATGTGGAAGGTGGGAAGTGAGAGTGGAATGTGAAAGGTAGGAAGTGAGAGTGGAAGGTGGGAATTAAGAGTAGGAAGTGAGAATGGGAAGTGAAAGTGGAAGGTTGGAAGTGAATCGTAAGAAGTGAGAGTGGAACGTGGAAGGTGGAAAGTGAGAGTGGAAGGTGGGGATTAAGAGTAGGAAGTGAGTGTGGAAAGTGGAAGGTGGAAAGTCAGAGTGGAGAGTGGAAGGTGGGAATTAAGAGTAGGAAGTGAAAATGGAAAGTGGGAAAATGGGAAGTGAAACGTAGGAAGTGAGAGTAGAAAGTGGAAGGTAGGAAGTAAGAGTGGAAAGTGGAAGGTGGGAAGTGAGAGTGGGATGTGGAAGGTAGAATATGAGAGTGGAAAGTGGAAGGTAGGAAGTGAGAGTAGAAGGTGGGAGTGGGATGTGGAAGGTGGGAAGTGAAAGTGGAAGGTAGGAAGTGAGAGTAGAAGGTGGGAGTGGGATGTGGAAGGTGGGAAGTGAAAGTGGAAGGTAGGAAGTGAGAGTGGGAAGTGAAAGGTAGGAAGTGGAAGTGGAAGGTGGCAAGTAAGAGTGGAAAGTGTGAGTGGGAAGTGAGAGAGGGAAGTGAGAGAGGGAAGTGGGAATGTTTCGGTATCGACCTCCTGATGTTGCATTATTAGAAGAAGCTGTTGGCTTAGTTAATGTAGAATTACCAGAAGGTTGAGAAGTACTTGTTGCTGAATTCCCGGACTCTGTACTCGTAGTAGTTGTTACAGAATCACTAATCGGTTTGTCAGTGCAATTACCAGTTGCACCATCGTCCTCAACCAGCACCGACAAATTGTTATCTTCCCTAATAACAGCATAGTAAACCGATGTTTCATTCTTCAAATACCGAAATCTGAACAAATCTGCAGATCCTTTAACCAACTGTTTTTCGTATACATTCAAACCATCGTAGACATAGTGAACTAAACCTTTAGAAATTTCGACCTCATTCGCTTCTATAGATTTTATAAGATCCTCTCCAAAAGCATTTCTAATGGATTTTTTTTCATACACCAAATACTTAGTGGCGGCATTGTTAACCTGATCCTGGTAAATACGATTCAAATTCTCCAATTTTTCCCCACTCTTACATCTATAATCATCGGGACTATTCTTGTACCTCAGGACCTCTTGTTCCAAAAACTTTTCCTTGACATTTGGACAGTTGTTTCTAATCATCTCCCTGGCCAACATTGTCCGATTTTGAAAATTCATCATCGTCAAATAAAACTGTAATCTATAATCATTACTTTCGGCAGTTCTAACTTGATCGAATTTTGCACTTAGGTACCTGAACAATATTTTGTAGGCATCAGACCCAAGGGTTGAATTATTAACAATATTTCCCAATGTTCGATTCCTTAAGTCCTCCCTATGATTGTAGACATAATTAAGAAGAGCCGGAAGCGCAAAGATGGCGAGGGCGGATTTTTCCAATTGACCAACAATTACAGATTGTTCCACAGCGTGTGCAATCGTCACATAGTTCGACAACTCTTCCTCTTCTTTTACCTTCTTCGTTCCATTATTTTCATCCATCATTAAAAATCTCTTCGATTTGATCGAATGCACAAAAGTCGAACCCGCCGATCCGTAGATATAGTCAACCGACGCTAAATTTGTCTCCTCGTTCGCTTTCGGAAGCAATGGATAAATAAATTCCTGAATAATTGTCCTCACTGACATATCCTCCAATTTTGATTCGTAACCATTTTCGGTGAGAAATATCTCTTTGGACAATTTTTTGAAGATTTGTTCATGCAAAGAATTTATTTTCCCACTCGTCGATTTGCGGACAACGTCGATCAGAAATCCGTAAATATTTGTGTACTTTTCGAAAACAAGAGTTAGAATCAAGTGAGAGTAGAGGGCGTCAATGAATATTTCGTCTAGAGCTTCATTTTCTTCAGATCCGTACAAATCGGTATTCTCAATTAATTTACGAGCTAGGAATTCTTTTCTTGTTTTGATAATTTCATTTCGATTTCTATTCCAGAATGTGGAATAATTGTAAATGTTGTTAATCTTTGGAGAGTGATCATTTTCTAGAAATTCGACATGAATTATTGAATGTCTATCCTCTTGATAGTCGTTCAAAAGGTAATTGAACAGAGAATTGACGATTGGTATCGGTTGATGTTCATTTATAGGATTTAGAAAATTTCCAGCTAGTAGGAAATCGCTCAATGTGTTCAGATAAGTAAAAATTGAAATCGATTGAACAGCTTGTAAGGGGCTGATAAAATTTGACACCATCATGTTTCTTTTCCTATTTTTCGAATCTGTTTGAAAAGCAAATGTGTTAATTATTTCATTTGGAAAAATTTTTTATTTAGAATAATTATAAAATATACCTGTATTTCTAAGATTGTTTCCTTGAAATTTCGAGAATGTTTGACGTTCAATTTGTGGTCTTTATCGGAATTTTACTGTTTACGACTTAAAGAATCGTGTGGAAGTGAATTCAGGTCGAAGTAATGCTTCAAAAATGACATTGACTATTGTTTAATAACGGAGTCATAAAGATTGTAAATTTGAACAAATGTTTCACTATCTATTTCAGTTGGACACACACGGAACAAGGGCAATGCAATACTTATTTCGAATTTTATTATTCTCGAAATATTATTTTCGAAATATTAAATAGTTCTATATCTGCTAATAATTTTACATTAAGTTGCAAAAAAATTACCGCACCCGCACTATTTCTATCACGAGAGAATAACAACACAAGTTTCTTTTATTTATTTTATTCCAAAAATATTTTTTGACAAATATAACAGTTCCTTAACTTAAATAAGTATCTCTAGGATAGAAGGGAGGATAGATCAGAGGAAATTAAGTTCAACTTAATTTTTATACTTCTGTACTGGGAGATTACGGAAAAAATCTTCAGAATCCGCGTTGGGATCCTGAACTACATCAGGCTCGTATTCAGTAGCACCGTCCTTTCCCAAATTCTCCAAATGATCCATAATATCCTTCAGCCACTCGGATTTTGTTCGAGCATCATTAATAAATTCCAATTTAACCTTTAAAATACTCCTGCCATGCAATGTCTCCGGTACAGAACTTTCAATTCGAAATTCACGTCCAGGAAGAAGAACTGTCTCCATCTCCGAATGACCGGCATTGACTTTTTCTAAATTAGCCCTTAGGTAGGGTTCGGAAAATTTCATCTCGTACATAATTCTAACATTATTAGTCGCCCCTATTTGAAATCTGATCGCAACGTCATTGCTCAATGATGTGGATGTAAAACGATTTAGTCTCACTATTCCATCGCTTTTGAAAAATAGTTTCTGGACTGCTTCAACTGGTCTAATTTCACCACGATATAGAGTTGTTGCATATTCCTCAACCGGATCGTCGGCTTGCCTGACGGCGAGTCGAAGTAGTGCTTCTCTCATTTGTCGTGCTTCGATTGTATTTCGACCGATTCTTCGATAACCGTTGCCCATGTAATTACGAATGGCAAGAAAATCTTCAAAAGTTAAGGATTCATAGGTTTTGGAACTTTCGTATAATGTTTGTATCTTAGGTGCTTGCAAGGACGCTGACGAATAGTCATAGTGCGGTGAATAGAATTCTCGAAATCTGTTAATCACTTCGGTACTTGGGATTCTTTCCTTGTCCACAGTGTCAGAGTATCTTAGTCGATGGTAGAGGTCAGAATTGGGTATTTCGTACTTTCTGCTCCACTGGGGTAGACCGGTTTGTCCATTTTTGATTCGATTAAGCCAGTCCTTGACGAAGGAAAGTTGCATACCACCGTCGTCGCCAGGGAAGACGAATTTTCTCAATTGGGTACGTACGACGTCTTCTGATAGTTCTGGGTGTACTTGAACGTATTCCAAAGCTGCTCTCTCCACCGATTGTCGCTGGTTTCGTAAAATGTTTCTTATACAAAAGTTTCTGAGTGGAGATCTCATGAATCGGACACGAGAACATTTGCCAGTATCATGGAAACTCTGGATATAAAACTCGAAAGTTGAATGTCTTGTATCAGTGAGCAAAGGCTGGTCTTCAAGTTCTACAATCTTGTTCGGTCTTCCTGTTTTTGGATCGATCCTTCTGTAAGTAATTTCATCCCCTTCCTTCACAAACACAACCGGTAATTCGCCCTCGAAGTTTTGTACTTTTCTCATTTAGGCTACTCTATTATTGGGGAGGTGAATAAACTTGAAACCATAACCACCGTTAGGATTGTTCAAGGAATTTACGAATACGTCCACATCTGAGTTGGTGTCTACTATTCTTAGCAATTTTTCGATTTTTGATTCGATGGCTACCAAATCTATTAATACGCCTTCGAGAGAAATGGAATACGTTATAACTTCAGTGATCAGATTTCTAATTGCCCTAAGTCCCCCTTTGCCGATTGTGTAAATAAGTTCGAAACCCGGATCAACGTAGCGAAGGAAAGACAGACCTACATTTCTGAATGTTTGCTGATTGAAGAGGACTGTGAAATGTTCCGCTTCCGTTAGGCCCACACTGCCTAGTTTCGCCAAAATTCCCCTCATGATCGTTCTTAGGCCTAGGGACCCAAGAGTCGTTCCTGCAGAATAGATGACGCTTCTAGTGAAAGCTGTCGTTAGTTTCGTTGCTAGATACCCTACTTCCCCAACCAGGGGGAGAGCGATTAGGACATCTAGTGAGCAGGCTATTTCAGTTTCCTCAATATTCCGAGAGTGAATTCCATGAATACAGTTGTAAAATGGAACGAAGGATAGTCCGAATTGTTTCCACCATTCCTTCTTTGTTTGTTCGTAGCCATAGTCTGCGAGACTCTTGTTGAAAAGGGTCGATCTTTCCCTGCTGATTCGAGTCAGAAATATGTCGAATTTCTCCAGCTTGTGTTTCTTCACGTCTGGGAAATTGATGTCACGAAACTTCTGCGAGGGTGGCAAATTTAACTTTTCACGGAAATCGTTTGGGTTGCAGTGAATTATGCTGGGTTGAAAGCCATCAGTTCTAGCAGATCCGGAAGTGTTGTTGGACATCGAATCTGTAATTGACAAAAAATTATTAGATTTGAACGAACTAATTAATGATGATTAGCAGATGTTGGATCTCCACTATGTCTACTACATCATTACCAGTTTTTACAGAATTACGAATCGATTTACCATTGCAACCATCGGATACACCATCATCCTGCTGGATCACCATCAGATTATCATCCTCCCTTACAATGGCATAGTAAATCGACGTATCATTCTTGACGAAGTAGAATCTGAACAAATCCGCAGATTCCTTAACCAACTGAGTTTGGATTACATTCGTTCCGTCGTAGACATTGACAACTAAACCTCTCGAGACTTCCACCTCGTTCGCGTCTATGAACCTAATACGATCCTCTCCAAAAGCGTCCCTTATCGATCCCACCTCGTATTTCAGATACTTCTCCGCAACCTCGTTAACCTTCTGCTGATAAATCCGATTCAAATCCTCCAGTTTCGTCCCGATCGTTCCTTGCGTCTTGCCTTCGGTCCTACACTCGTAATCCTCGGGATTATTCTTGTACCTCAGGACCTCTTGCTCCAAATTTTCCTCCTTCACTATTGGACATCCAGTTCTGATCATCTCCCTTGCCAGTGCCGTCCGGTTTTTGAATTTCGATCGTGCCGAATAAAACTGCAATCGATAGTCATCATTCCTGGCCTTTTCGACTCTATCGAATGTTTCCTTCAGGTGGAAGAAGAGAATTCGAAGGGCTTTGCTCACATGTTTCGGATTGTTGACAATTGCCGCCGTAGTTTCTCCTTGCAATTTTTCCGCTCTTTTCGTAACGTAGTAAAAAAGGGCCGGTAGGGAAAATACTTGCAGAGCTGCTTCGTCAATTTCCTTCGCAATTCCCAGATGTTCAATTGTATGACCCACGACGACGTAACTATTAAAGTCATCATTTTTGCCATGCTCGTACTTTCTCGGTACTATCAAGGACTCTGTTTTGGTCGACAATCGAAAAGCAGCTCCAGCTTGTGCGTAAATATAATCAACGGACAGTAGATCAGTGTCTTTACCAGCAACCGGAAATAAAGGTTGAATAAAGTCTTGATAAATCTTAAAAATCGACAGAAAGTCTAATTGTGATTTGAAACCATTTTCACTCTGAAATTCTTCCTCGGAAAGTCTCGTAATAATTTTTTCCTGTAACGTACTTATTCTAAGATCCCTCGAGTGACGGACAACGTCGAGAAGGAATCCTTGAATATTTCCGTACTTTTCGAAAACAAGAGTAGTTATCAAGTGCCTGTAGAGAGCGTCAATGAATGCCTCGTCCAAAATCTCGTTTTCTTTCGCCCCGTACAAATCGGTGCCTTCTATTAATTTACGAGCCAGACGTCTTTTTCGAAATTCAATCTTTTCGATTTCAATTTTTTTCAAGTTGAAGAAATATTTGTACAGAGCATTCACTACTGGTATTGGTTGATATTGATTTGTTTCATTCAATAGATTGTCGACAAATAAAACATCGCTGAGAGTATTTAAATAAGTAAATATTGATACCATTTGAACAGCTTGTAGAGGACTTGTGAAATTTCCCGTCTCCATTGTTTTGGAATTATTCTTTTAATTTTTTATTTCTATCTATCAGTTTCTTCATCGATTTTTTCGAGGTTTTACGCTTTACAAAATCTGTGAAGAGAAATTTTTAAGATTAAGCAGAAGAATAAATTGTTAAATAGAAAACAATTATTTTTGTAATTTCTGTTAATTGAAACAATTATTAATTAATTAACGTACCTTTTGTAAATTAAGAAAGCAACAATGATTTTTATTTTGAAAAAAGTAATTTTACTTCCTATAAGTTGCAAAATTCAATTATAAAATTAAACTTAAAATCTCAGCATATTTATAATTTTCATAAAGAGATTTTATTTAAATTTTTATCTACTTGAATAATACTTTCTTTCTAAATTAAAAAACGTCATTTATTTGTTCAATATTATACGCACACACGTTGTACGATAATAAATTTATAATTTGATACAAGAAAATTTACAATTAAATAGTTTATTCGATGACGTTTGAAAAAAATATAATACTACAAAAAAAAATTATAATAATTTTAATTTTATTTGAAATTTAAATTTTAAAATAAAATATTCGAATTGCAATTCTTTTTCTTTTTGTTATGAATATAACACTTTTGTTTTTAAAAGAAGATTTTTTCTTTTTTTTGTCGAATTTGTATAAATTTTTAATTTATTCAAATTAATTTCTCTCGAGTGACAAAAAAATACGTCACTTTTTATTTCTTTCAAAAAAAATTGAGACGTAATTAATCCTTTTATCTTGTTTTTCTTTTTCATCGAGATATCCGGCATTGACGAGTCCAGTTTGACGAATATTAATACAAGCATTTTTATCTCGGTCACATTTTTTGCCGCACGTCAACAAATGTATTAGCGGTACGACGATGGTGCTAAGTTGGAATTTTTCGCTCCGCATTCACGGTAAACTCGAGAGGTATAATATTCATCTACCGTCATCATCCTGATGTTGAAATTCAATTTTTCCAATTTGTTTTTTAATATACAAATAAATTTGTTTTGAATTCAAAAGGGCATAAGTTTTCTTATATGCAAGATATCAAGTGCCGATGCCGGTAGGTACCAAAATTAAACTTCACTCTTTCACTAACCTTTATCTCATTACGAGTATACGCTTGCAATAAAGTTTGAGATCGCTTTTTATGACTTTAGGAATTTGATACTTTCAACATGTAACCTTGTTTTAAATTCAAATGGCCATAACTTTTTTTGTATGCAAGATATCAACTTCCTGTTGGCACCAAAATGAAGCTTGACTCTTTCCCTAACTTTCAACCCATTACGATTATCGGCTAGGATAAAAATTTGATAATGTTTTTTATGATTTTAGAAATTTGATATTTTCAACATGTAACGTGTCTCCGAATTCAAATGACTATAACTTTTCTTGTATGCAAGATATCAATTTCCGGTTGGTACCAAAATGAAGCTTGTATCTTTCCCTAACTTTCATCCTGTTACAAGTATCATCTAGGATAAAAATTTGAGAATGTTTTTTATGATTTTAGAAATTTAATATTTTCAACATGTAACGTGTCTCCGAATTCAAATGGCTATAACTTTTCTTGTATGCAAGATATCAACTTCCGGTTGGCACCAAAATGAAGCTTGACTCTTTCCCTAACTTTCATCCCATTACGAGTATCGGCTTGGATAAAAATTTGAGAATGTTTTTTATGATTTTAGAAATTTAATATTTTCAACATGTAACGTGGCTCTGAATTCAAATGGCCATAAGTTTTCTTGTATGCCAGATATCAACTTCCGGTTGGTACCAAAATGAAGCTTGACTCTTTCCCTAACTTTCATCCCATTACGATTATCAGCTAGGATAAAAATTTGAGAATGTTTTTTATGATTTTAGAAATTTGATATTTTCAACGTGTAACGTGTCTCTGAATTCAAATGGCCATGATTTTTCTTGTATGCAAGATATCAACTTCCGGTTGGTACCAAAATGAAGCTTGACTCTTTCCCTAACTTTCATCCCATTACGATTATCAGCTAGGATAAAAATTTGAGAATGTTTTTTATGATTTTAGAAATTTTATATTTTCAAAATGTAACGTGTCTCCGAATTCAAATGGCTATAACTTTTCTTGTATGCAAGATATCAACTTCCGGTTGGTACCAAAATGAAGCTTGACTCTTTCTCTAACTTTCATCCCGTTACGAGTATCATCTAGGATAAAAATTTGAGAATGTTTTTTATGATTTTAGAAATTTGATATTTTCAACGTGTAACGTGTCTCTGAATTTAAATGGCCATGATTTTTCTTGTATGCAAGATATCAACTTCCGGTTGGTACCAAAATAAAGCTTGACTCTTTCCCTAACTTTCATCCCATTACGAGTATCGGCTTGGATAAAAATTTGAGAATGTTTTTTATGATTTTAGAAATTTAATATTTTCAACATGTAACGTGGCTCTGAATTCAAATGGCCATAAGTTTTCTTGTATGCCAGATATCAACTTCCGGTTGGTACCAAAATGAAGCTTGACTCTTTCTCTAACTTTCATCCCGTTACGAGTATCATCTAGGATAAAAATTTGAGAATGTTTTTTATGATTTTAGAAATTTGATATTTTCAACGTGTAACGTGTCTCTGAATTTAAATGGCCATGATTTTTCTTGTATGCAAGATATCAACTTCCGGTTGGTACCAAAATGAAGCTTGACTCTTTCCCTAACTTTCATCCCATTACGATTATCAGCTAGGATAAAAATTTGAGAATGTTTTTTATGATTTTAGAAATTTGATATTTTCAACGTGTAACGTGTCTCTGAATTCAAATGGCCATGATTTTTCTTGTATGCAAGATATCAACTTCCGGTTGGTACCAAAATGAAGCTTGACTCTTTCCCTAACTTTCATCCCGTTACGAGTATCATCTAGGATAAAAATTTGAGAATGTTTTTTATGATTTTAGAAATTTTATATTTTCAAAATGTAACGTGTCTCCGAATTCAAATGGCTATAACTTTTCTTGTATGCAAGATATCAACTTCCGGTTGGTACCAAAATGAAGCTTGACTCTTTCTCTAACTTTCATCCCGTTACGAGTATCATCTAGGATAAAAATTTTGAGAATGTTTTTTATGATTTTAGAAATTTGATATTTTCAACGTGTAACGTGTCTCTGAATTTAAATGGCCATGATTTTTCTTGTATGCAAGATATCAACTTCCGGTTGGTACCAAAATGAAGCTTGACTCTTTCCCTAACTTTCATCCCATTACGAGTATCGGCTTGGATAAAAATTTGAGAATGTTTTTTATGATTTTAGAAATTTAATATTTTCAACATGTAACGTGGCTCTGAATTCAAATGGCCATAAGTTTTCTTGTATGCCAGATATCAACTTCCGGTTGGTACCAAAATGAAGCTTGACTCTTTCCCTAACTTTCATCCCGTTACGAGTATCATCTAGGATAAAAATTTGAGAATGTTTTTTATGATTTTAGAAATTTGATATTTTCAACATGTAACGTGTCTCCGAATTCAAATGACTATAACTTTTCTTGTATGCAAGATATCAATTTCCGGTTGGTACCAAAATGAAGCTTGTATCTTTCCCTAACTTTCATCCTGTTACAAGTATCATCTAGGATAAAAATTTGAGAATGTTTTTTATGATTTTAGAAATTTAATATTTTCAACATGTAACGTGTCTCCGAATTCAAATGGCTATAACTTTTCTTGTATGCAAGATATCAACTTCCGGTTGGCACCAAAATGAAGCTTGACTCTTTCCCTAACTTTCATCCCATTACGAGTATCGGCTTGGATAAAAATTTGAGAATGTTTTTTATGATTTTAGAAATTTAATATTTTCAACATGTAACGTGGCTCTGAATTCAAATGGCCATAAGTTTTCTTGTATGCCAGATATCAACTTCCGGTTGGCACCAAAATGAAGCTTGACTCTTTCCCTAACTTTCATCCCGTTACGAGTATCATCTAGGATAAAAATTTGAGAATGTTTTTTATGATTTTAGAAATTTGATATTTTCAAAATGTAACGTGTCTCCTAATTCAAATGGCTATAACTTTTCTTGTATGCCACATATCAACTTCCGATTGGCACCAAAATGAAGCTTGACTCTTTCCCTAACTTTCATCCCGTTACAAGTATCATCTAGGATAAAAATTTGAGAATGTTTTTTATGATTTTAGAAATTTGATATTTTCAACGTGTAACGTGTCTCTGAATTTAAATGGCCATGATTTTTCTTGTATGCAAGATATCAACTTCCGGTTGGTACCAAAATGAAGCTTGACTCTTTCCCTAACTTTCATCCCATTACGATTATCAGCTAGGATAAAAATTTGAGAATGTTTTTTATGATTTTAGAAATTTTATATTTTCAAAATGTAACGTGTCTCCGAATTCAAATGGCTATAACTTTTCTTGTATGCAAGATATCAACTTCCGGTTGGTACCAAAATGAAGCTTGACTCTTTCCCTAACTTTCATCCCGTTACGAGTATCATCTAGGATAAAAATTTGAGAATGTTTTTTATGATTTTAGAAATTTGATATTTTCAAAATGTAACGTGTCTCCTAATTCAAATGGCTATAACTTTTCTTGTATGCCACATATCAACTTCCGATTGGCACCAAAATGAAGCTTGACTCTTTCCCTAACTTTCATCCCGTTACGAGTATCATCTAGGATAAAAATTTGAGAATGTTTTTTATGATTTTAGAAATTTGATATTTTCAACGTGTAACGTGTCTCTGAATTTAAATGGCCATGATTTTTCTTGTATGCAAGATATCAACTTCCGGTTGGTACCAAAATGAAGCTTGACTCTTTCCCTAACTTTCATCCCATTACGATTATCAGCTAGGATAAAAATTTGAGAATGTTTTTTATGATTTTAGAAATTTTATATTTTCAAAATGTAACGTGTCTCCGAATTCAAATGGCTATAACTTTTCTTGTATGCAAGATATCAACTTCCGGTTGGTACCAAAATGAAGCTTGACTCTTTCTCTAACTTTCATCCCGTTACGAGTATCATCTAGGATAAAAATTTGAGAATGTTTTTTATGATTTTAGAAATTTGATATTTTCAACGTGTAACGTGTCTCTGAATTTAAATGGCCATGATTTTTCTTGTATGCAAGATATCAACTTCCGGTTGGTACCAAAATAAAGCTTGACTCTTTCCCTAACTTTCATCCCATTACGAGTATCGGCTTGGATAAAAATTTGAGAATGTTTTTTATGATTTTAGAAATTTAATATTTTCAACATGTAACGTGGCTCTGAATTCAAATGGCCATAAGTTTTCTTGTATGCCAGATATCAACTTCCGGTTGGTAACAAAATGAAGCTTGACTCTTTCTCTAACTTTCATCCCGTTACGAGTATCATCTAGGATAAAAATTTGAGAATGTTTTTTATGATTTTAGAAATTTGATATTTTCAACGTGTAACGTGTCTCTGAATTTAAATGGCCATGATTTTTCTTGTATGCAAGATATCAACTTCCGGTTGGTACCAAAATGAAGCTTGAATCTTTCCCTAACTTTCAACCCATTACGATTATCAGCTAGGATAAAAATTTGAGAATGTTTTTTATGATTTTAGAAATTTGATATTTTCAACGTGTAACGTGTCTCTGAATTCAAATGGCCATGATTTTTCTTGTATGCAAGATATCAACTTCCGGTTGGTACCAAAATGAAGCTTGACTCTTTCCCTAACTTTCATCCCGTTACGAGTATCATCTAGGATAAAAATTTGAGAATGTTTTTTATGATTTTAGAAATTTTATATTTTCAAAATGTAACGTGTCTCCGAATTCAAATGGCTATAACTTTTCTTGTATGCAAGATATCAACTTCCGGTTGGCACCAAAATGAAGCTTGACTCTTTCCCTAACTTTCATCCCATTACGATTATCAGCTAGGATAAAAATTTGAGAATGTTTTTTATGATTTTAGAAATTTGATATTTTCAACGTGTAACGTGTCTCTGAATTTAAATGGCCATGATTTTTCTTGTATGCAAGATATCAACTTCCGGTTGGTACCAAAATGAAGCTTGACTCTTTCCCTAACTTTCATCCCGTTACGAGTATCATCTAGGATAAAAATTTGAGAATGTTTTTTATGATTTTAGAAATTTGATATTTTCAACATGTAACGTGTCTCCGAATTCAAATGACTATAACTTTTCTTGTATGCAAGATATCAATTTCCGGTTGGTACCAAAATGAAGCTTGTATCTTTCCCTAACTTTCATCCTGTTACAAGTATCATCTAGGATAAAAATTTGAGAATGTTTTTTATGATTTTAGAAATTTAATATTTTCAACATGTAACGTGTCTCCGAATTCAAATGGCTATAACTTTTCTTGTATGCAAGATATCAACTTCCGGTTGGCACCATAATGAAGCTTGACTCTTTCCCTAACTTTCATCCCATTACGAGTATCGGCTTGGATAAAAATTTGAGAATGTTTTTTATGATTTTAGACATTTAATATTTTCAACATGTAAAGTGGCTCTGAATTCAAATGGAAATAAGTTTTCTTGTATGCGAGATATCAATTTCCGCTTTGTACCAAAATGAAGCTTGACTCTTTCCCTAACTTTCAACCCATTACGAGTATCAGCTAGGATAAAAATTTGATTATGTTTTTTATGATTTTAGAAATTTGATATTTTTAAAATGTAACGTGTCTCTGAATTCAAATGGCTATAATTTTTCTTGTATGAAAGATATCAACTTCCGGTTGGTACCAAAATGAAGCTTGACTTTTCTTCTAACTTTCATCTCATTACGAGTATCAGCTAGGATAAAAATTTGATAATGTTTTTTATGATTTTAGAAATTTTATATTTTCAACATGTAACCTGGCCCTGACTTCAAATGGCCTAAATTTTTTTGTATACAAAATATCAAATTCCGGTTGGTAGTAAAATGAAGCTTGACTATTTCCCTAATTTTTTTGTCCTAATTAACTCATTTCTAAGTAAGGATGAATTAATATATTTAAATTGGTTTACGAAATTGTGCCAAAATTGTTGTTTCAACTCTTGTCTCCTTCTTGAAGGCTTGATGTTCTTTGTTTTAAATTTCTTTTTTTCGTTTTCATAATAAGGGAATTGCGCGGGTGGATTGAAATCCACATCCCACGATTCTAATAGAGAAAATCATGAAACAAAAAAGAATTTAAAATTGCGATATAAACTGATAATTACAGAAAGTTATTTCAATATATCGATTGGAACCAGTGATGAATTTAGTCGAACCATTACCCCGTAGGTACTCCTCCATGTTTTTACAATCGCTCGTACTTGATATTTGTCCCGTATCGAGGGATGGTCTGGCTTACCAGCGTACTACCATTTAACCAAGATAGCATTGCCGAAACATTGATGCGACGTCCATGATATCCAAGGGCACTTGAGGTTGGTTCCAGAATGGACTTGACGCAAACGCAGACGCGACGCGTTCCCATTTGATTAACATTGGGACGCGTCGCGTCTTCGTTGCGTTTTGGCTCATTCTGGAACGACTCTGAAGTTTCTGCAAGGGAAACGCATCAAATAGCTCCTTTATATCTCATAATAATGCCGCAGCAAGTTGTGGAACATCTGGTAAAAATGCTAGATTAAATGATGCTTGTGAGTCATGATAGTGTAAGTATTAAAATATACTAGGTTGGCAATATAATTATTTCTATGTATGGTTGGCTGCACTGAACGTGAATATAGACGGGAGGTTATTTAGTTGAATGTCGACCGTACTAATATGCACACATGTCGAATCTAATAAATATATTTTAATATATATTTTACTTTCTTAATTTAATCACCTTTCATCAGTAAGCTATGAATTGCAGTATGGAGAATGATGGTATTATAAGATATGGAAATGAAACAATTAGTGGTACGGTTAGGATAGACAAAATATTGTTGCGTGAATTCCTAAATCGTTCGTTCAGTGGTCAAGGACCATCGTCACGCTTTGCGTAATAAAATTATTATATCTAATTTGGTGATATTCTAAAAATTCTGCTCCAAGTTATGTAATCATAATAACACAACTTTTAGCACAATTTGCATCAAGTTGCAAAACTTTTTAGATTATATCGCACCTACTATATCCATCACTGTTGGAAATACATAAAAGAAAAACAACACAAGTTTTTTTTATTTATTTTATTCGAAAAAAGTATCTCTGGATTAGAAGAGAGGATAGAAGTTTTCAATGGAAAATGAGTTTGTTAACTTAATTTTTATACTCCGGTACTGGGAGATTATGGAAAAAATCTGCAGAATCCGCGTTGGGATTCTGAACTACATCAGACTCGTATTCAGTAGCGCCGTCTCTCCCCAAATTCTCCAAATGATCCATAATGTCCTTCAGCCACTCCGATTTTGTACGTGCTTCATGAATAAACTCCAATCTAACCTTTAAAATAGTCCTGTCATATATCATTACCGGTGAAACACTTACAATTCGAAATGTACTACCCGGAAGAAGAACCGTCTCCATCTCCGAATTACTGACAACGATTTTCTGTAAATTTGCCCTTAGATAGGGTTCGGAAAAATTCATCTCATACAAAATTTTGACATTATGAGACGCCCCTATTTGAAATCTAATTGCAACCTCCTTGCACAATGATGTGGATGTAAAACGATTTAGTCTTACTGTTCCATCGCCTTTGAAAAATAGTTTCTCGACTGCTTCCACTGGCCTAATTTCACCACGATATAGAGTTGTTGCATATGCCCTGAGCGGATCGTCGGCTTGCCTGACTGCGAGTCGAAGTAGTGCTTCCCTCATTTGTCGTGCTTCGATTGTATTTCGACCGATTTTTCGAAAACCATTGCCCATGTAACTGCGAATGGCGAGGAAATCTTCGAAAGTTACGGATTCATAGGCTCTGGAGTGTTCGTAGGATTGCATCGTAGGAGCTTGCATGGACGAAGACGCATAGTCATAATACGGTGAATAGAATTCTTGAAATCGGTTAATCACTTCGGCAGTTGGAATTCTTTCCTTGTCCATAGAGTCGGCGTATCTAAGTTGGTGGTAGAGGTCAGAATTAGATATTTCGTACTTTTTGCTCCACTGGGGTAGATCCGAGTGTCCGTTTTTGATTCGTTCGAGCCAGTCCTTGACAAAGGTTAATTGCAAATCACCGTCGTCGCCGGGGAAGACGAATTTTCTCAATTGGGTTCGTACGACGTCTTCTGATAGTTCCTGGTGTTCTTGGACGAATTCCAAAGCTGCTTTCTCCACCGATTGTCGCTGGTTTTGTAAAATGTTTCTTATACACAAGGGTCCGAGTGGAGATCTCACGAATCGAGTTCGAGAACATTCGCGAGTATCATGGAAACTCTGGATATAAAACTCGGACGTTAAATGTCTGGTATCGGTGAGCAAAGGCTGGTCTTCAAGTTCTACAATCTTGTTCGGTCTTCCTGTTTTTGGATCGATCCGTCTGTAAGTAATTTCATCCCCTTCCTTCACAGACAGAACAGGGAATTCGCCCTCGTAGTTTTGAACTTTTCTCATTTGGGCTACTCCATCATTCGGGAGGTGAATAAACTTGAAACCATAACCACCGTCAGGGTTGCTTAAAGAATTGACAAATACGTTCAGATTTGAGTTGGTGTCTACTATTTTTAGCGATTTTTCCATTCTTGATTCGATGGCTACCAAATCTGTTAATACGCCCTCGAGGGAAGTGGAATATGCTCTAACTCCAGTGATCAGATTTCTAATTGCCCTTAGACCCCCTTTGCCGATTGTGTAAATAAGTTCGAAACCCGGATCCACGTAGCGAAGGAAGGACAGACCTAGATTTCTGAATGTTTGCTGGTTGAGGAGGGCCGTGAAATGTTCCGCTTCCGTTAGGCCCACACTGCCTAGTTTCGCCAAAATTCCCCTCATGATCGTTCTTAGGCCTAGGGACCCAAGAGTCGTTCCTGCAGAATAGATGACGCTTCTAGTGAAAGCTGTCGTTAGTTTCGTTGCTAGATACCCTACTTCCCCAACCAGGGGGAGAGCGATTAGGACATCTAATGAGCAGGCTATTTCAGTTTCCTCAATATTCCGAGAGTGAATTCCATGAATACAGTTGTAAAATGGAACGAAGGATAGTCCGAATTGTTTCCACCATTCCTTCTTTGTTTGTTCGTAGCCATAGTCTGCGAGACTCTTGTTGAAGAGGGTCGATCTTTCCCTGCTGATTCGGGTCAGAAATGTGTCGAATTTCTCCAGCTTGTGTTTCTTCACGTCTGGGAAATTGATGTCACGAAACTTCTGTAAGCGTGGCAAATTTAATTTTTCACGGAAATCGTTTGGGTTGCAGTGAACTATGCTGGGTTGAAAGGCATCAGTTCTAGCAGATCCGGAAGTGTTGTTGGACATCGAATCTGTAATTGACAAAAAATTATTAGATATGAACGAACTAATTAATGATGATTAGCAGATGTTGGATCTCCACTATGTCTACTACATCATTACCAGTTTTTACAGAATTACGAATCGATTTACCATTGCAACCATCGGATACACCATCATCCTGCTGGATCACCATCAGATTATCATCCTCCCTAACAATGGCATAGTAAATCGACGTATCATTCTTGACAAAGTAGAATCTGAACAAATCCGCAGATTCCTTAATCAACTGAGTTTGGATTACATTCGTTCCGTCGTAGACATTGACAACTAAACCTCTCGAGACTTCCACCTCGTTCGCGTCTATGAACCTAATACGATCCTCTCCAAAAGCGTCTCTTATCGATCCCGTCTCGTATTTCAGATACTTCTCCGCAACCTCGTTAACCTTCTGCTGATAAATCCGATTCAAATCCTCCAGTTTCGTCCCGATCGTCCCTTGCGTCTTGCCTTCGGTCCTACACTCGTAATCCTCGGGATTATTCTTGTACCTCAGGACCTCTTGCTCCAAATTCTCCTCCTTCACTATTGGACATCCAGTTCTGATCATCTCCCTTGCCAGTGCCGTCCGGTTTTTGAATTTCGACCGTGCCGAATGAAACTGGAATCGATAGTCATCATTCCTGGCCTTTTCGACTCGATCGAATGTTTCCTTCAGGTGGAAGAAGAGAATTCGAAGGGCTTTGCTCACATGTTTCGGATTGTTGACAATTGCCGCCGTAGTTTCTCCTTGCAATTTTTCCGCTTCTTTCGTAACGTAGTAAAAAAGGGCCGGTAGGGAAAATACTTGCAGAGCTGCTTCGTCAATTTCCTTCGCAATTCCCAGATGTTCAATTGCATGACCCACGACGACGTAACTATTAAAGTCATCATTTTTGCCATGCTCGTACTTTCTCGGTACTATCAAGGACTCTGTTTTGGTCGACAATCGAAAAGCAGCTCCAGCTTGTGCGTAAATATAATCAACGGACAGTAGATCAGTGTCTTTACCAGCAACCGGAAATAAAGGTTGAATAAAGTCTTGATAAATCTTAAAAATCGACAGAAAGTCTAATTGTGATTTGAAACCATTTTCACTCTGAAATTCTTCCTCGGAAAGTCTCGTAATAATTTTTTCCTGTAACGTACTTATTCTAAGATCCCTCGAGTGACGGACAACGTCGAGAAGGAATCCTTGAATATTTCCGTACTTTTCGAAAACAAGAGTAGTTATCAAGTGCCTGTAGAGAGCGTCAAGGAATGCCTCGTCCAAAATCTCGTTTTCTTTCGCCCCGTACAAATCGGTGGCTTCTATTAATTTACGAGCCAGACGTCGTTTTCGAAATTCAATCTCTTCGATTTTATTTTTTTTCAAGTTGAAGAAGTATTTGTACAGAGCATTCACTACTGGTATTGGTTGATATTGATTTGTTTCATTCAATAGATTCTCGACAAATAAAACATCGCTGAGAGTGTTTAAGTAAGTAAACATTGATACCATTTGCACAGCTTGCAGAGGACTTGTGAAATTTCCCGTCTCCATTGTTTTGGAATTATTCTTTTAATTTTTTATTTCTATCTATCAGTTTCTTCGTCGATATTGTCGGCTTTTTCGCTTCACAAAAACTGTGAAGATGATAAATTTTTAATTAAATAAACTTTGAGTTTTTCTTCAGCAAAATTTTTTTTTTCTTTAAACAAATTTTTTTTGTAATTTCTCTTAATTGAAACTATTAATTAATTATCGTACCTTTTGTCAATTTGGAAAAAATTCTTTTACTCCGTACAAGCTGCGAAATTCAATTGTAAAATTAAACTGAAAATCTCACCATATTTATAATTTTGTATGAAGAGATTTTATTGAAATTCTTATCTATTTGAATAATTCTTTACTTTTTTCAAGTAAAAATCATTTATTTGTTCTGTATTATAAGCCCACACATATTGTATGATAATTACATTTAGAATTTTAAATATGTGTTATTTGCTTCAAGAAATTTACAATTAAATAGTTTATTTCATAAAAGTTTGACAAAAAATTTAATACTATAAATTAGAATTATGATTTTTTTTTTGTTAAAATTAAAATTTTTGAATAAAATATGTGAATTACAATAAATTTTCTTTTTGTAATGAATACACTTTTGTTTTTTAAAAGAACAAACGTTTCACAAGTGTCATGTCAATAACAAAGTTTGGGGAAAAAAATTAAGACTAAAAATATATTTCAAATTATTTATTTATAATTTACATTAATTAATTAATTATAAATCTAAAATTGACTATTACTCTAAAATTAACTATTAATTAATTATTAATTATTATCTATTGTCCCATTGTTTTTTTAATAATATCGAGGAAATCTCGATAGTTCGATGAACCATGATAAATTGGATCATTATCGTAAGTGGTTGGACCACTTTTCTTCAAATTCTCCAATTCGTCCATTATTTTTTTGTACCACATGTACTTTGGCATTTCTTCATGTTTAAATGATAATTTCACTTCGAGAATATTTTCTCCAAACATTGTCGTAACTTGCACATCTTTAATGCGAAATCTACTACCTGGTAGGAGAACACTTTCCTCCTCGAGCATATTACTCACGACATTTTCAACTTTAGCACGTAAGAATGGCTCGGAAAATTCCATTTCATAAATAATTCTCACAACATCACGCTCGTTGTTGAATTGAAATTTACTGGCTATACGTCGATTAGCCGATGCCGATGTGAAACGATTGAATTCAATTTCCTCTTTGCCGGAGAAAAATAATTTTTGCACAATTTCCGGTGATCGTGATTCGCCACGATAGAGAAATTTTGCGTATTCTTCAATTGGATCGTCGGATTGTCGTATCGCGAGACGATAGAGTGCTTCACGCATATGTTTTGCCTCGATTGTATTGCGACCAATTCTTCGATAACCATTGCCCATGTAGTTTTTTAAGGCGAAATAGTCCTCGAATGTTACGGATTCAAAGGCCTTGTCGGATTGGAAGAATTTTGTGATGAATGGCGCTTGTGCGGCGGCTGATAATTGATTCTCTGGATTTGGGGGATATAGTTTGTTCATTCTCTGCGTGGCTTCGAACTTGGATATTGACCAAACGTCCATTTTGTCGGCGTAGCGTAATTTTTCGAAAGTCTCCGGATCATGGATTTCGTATTGTTTACTCCAAGCGGGTAGTTTAGTTTTTTCGCCATTTCGCAACATGTCCCGCCAATCGGTGACGAATTTCAGTTGTAGTTTCCCATCGCCAGGGAAGACGAATTTTTTCAATTGGTCCCGTACGTCGATTTCGGCTAATTCGATGTGCTGACGGGCGAAATCCACAGCCGCGCTCTCGACAATTTTCCTTCGGTCGCGTAAAATGTTTCGCAAGCAGAGGAATTTCTTCGGTGATCTTCTACGGCGGGGGAGACACATTTCGGAGTCGTGAAAACTCTTCAGGCGAAAACTCATGAATGTGGAAGAATCTGTATTTCGAATTCGCGAAAAATCCCCGTCTAGTGAATGCAGGACTTTCGGTTTTACATGACCCGTTTCGGGATTTATGGCCTTGAACGTTCCCGACTCTTGTTGGTTCACCACCACTGGAATTACCTCCCGGTATTCGTTGACCTTCCGGAAGTGGATAATTTGGTCCTGCTGGTGGAGACTCCTATAGCCATAACCAGAAAATCTGGAGGAATAGGAATTTACCACTATGTCCTTCCCGAGGAATTTGTCGACCTTAAGGAACGGGTTCGATAACCTCTTTTCGGTTTTCGCCAAGTTTTCGAAAACCTTGGTAGAAATTGGAGAAGTGATTTTACCGATTAGTTTCTTAAGGATCCTTAAACCCCCTTTTCCAATTGTGTAAATAAGTTCGAATCCCGGATCCAGGTAACGAAGGAGGGACACACCAAGTTCCTTGATAGTCTCCCTGCTGAAGAGGGCCGTGAAATGTTCCGCTTCCGTCAGGGCAACACTGCCTAGTTTCGTCAGAATTTCCCTCATGGTCGTCCTTAGGCCTAGGGACCCAAGAGTCGTTCCTGCAGAGAAGATGACGCTTCTAGTGAAAGCTGTCGTTAATTTCGTGGCTAGATACCCTATTTCCCCAACCAGAGGGAGAGCGAGTAGGACGTCCACAGAGCAGGCGAATTTCGCTTGGTCGAAATTTTCGGTTATAATTGCTTGGCTACAGGTGTAGAATGGAATTAGCGATAGGCCAAAGTCCTTCCACCATTCCTTTCGTGTTTGGTCGTAGCCCTCGGCAGCGAGGGTTTTATTGAAGTTGCTGGTCCTTTCCTTAGCGATTCGCGTCAGGAATGTGTCGAAACTCTCGTCCCTTTGCTTCTTTAGTGTTGGGAAGAAGTTGTCTTGGAACTTTTGCCAGGATTGTAGGTTTAGCTTTTCGCGGAGGACGTCCGGGTTGCAGTGGACAATGCTATTTTTGATGATTTTAGAGGATTCGGATTTATTGGGAGACGTCGAATCACCAATTGCGGGATTATTAGGAGACGTCGATTCACCGGTTGTGGATTTATTAGAAGACGTCGAATCACCATTAGCGGATTTATTAGGAGACGTCAAACGACTATTAGCAGACGTCGAATGACCATTTTTTGTGGAATTACTAGGAGACGTCGAACCACCAATTGCGGATTTATTAGGAGACATCAAACCACCAATTGCGGATTTATTAGAAGACGTTGAACCCCCATTGGCGGATTTATCAGGAGACGTCGAATCACCATTAGCGGATTTATTGGGAGACGTCATCCAGTCATCAGAAGACCCCGAACAGTCAGAAATCGTCGTATCCTCCTGAAAAATCTTCAAATCGTTGTCCTTCCTCAGAATGGCGTAGTAAACGGACTTTCCACTCCGAGTGTAGTGGAACCGAAACAAATCGTCCGCCTCCCTGAGTAACTGACTCTCATAAACATCGAAACCATCCACGAAGTATCTAATCAACCCCTTGGAGATTTCTACCTTCCCATTGTCGATTTCTCCAATAAGGTCACCAAAAGCGTTGCTAATCGATTCCCTCTCATAGTTCAGATATTTCTCCGCAACTTCGTTAACCTTCTGCTGATAAATCCGATTCAAATCTTCCAGTTTCGTCTCGATCGTTCCTTGCAAGTCTTCGGTCCCACACCCGTAATCGTCGGGATTATTCTTGTACCTCAGGACCTCTTGCTCCAAATGCACCTCCTTCACTAATGGACATTGACTCCTAATCATCTCCCTTGCCACTGTTGTCCTATTTTTGAATTTCGACAAAGCGGAATGGAACTGATAGCGATAGTCCCTCAGTTTCGCCTCCTCGACTCTGGTAAATGTTTCCCGAAGGTACCCAAAGAACTCTCCATAAATTTCAGCTACCAGGGTGGGATTATTCAAAAGATCAGCCGTCGTTTGATTTCTTAGCTTCTCCCGCTCTTTGAGGACGTAGCGAAGAAGGGCCGGTAGGGCAAAAATACCTAGAGCTGCCTTCTCCATACGTCCGGCTGCCACCAATTGTTCGACCGCGTGACCCAAGGCAATGTTCTGATGAAATTCCTCATTTCTTCCAGTTTCCTTTTTAAACATTTTCCCCAGGTGTTCCATTAGAGGATTTCGAAGGAAACCCGGCGTTTCGATCGACAGCTGAAAAGCAGCTCCCGCCTGCGCGTAGACATAATCCACCGAAAGTAAATTAACATCCCCGTCGTATTCCGGAAGCAACGGGAATATAAACTCCTGGACAATGTGCCAAATTACCAGGTCCTCCAATTTCCCCTCGACTCCATTTTCGGACAAAAACACCTCTTCGGACAGTTTGAGGATAATACCCTCATGTAACGATTCTATATTCACACTTTCCGTTTGCCGGACAATTTCGATCAGGAATCCATAGATATTTGTGTACTTTTCGAAAACGAGGGTGGTGACCAAGTGTCTGAAGAGGGCGTCAATGAATGCCTCGTCCAAAATCTCGTTTTCTTTTGCTCCGTACAAATCCGTCTCTTCGATTAATTTACGAGCTAAGTATTCTTTGCGAAGTCGAATAATTGCCGTACGATTTTCATTGTAGTCCACAGTGGAATAATTGTACTTTCTGTAATTTCTCTCGGTGAATCTTTTCCTCCTTTCGTCTAGAAATTGAAAAGAAATTTGGCTCAGTCTGTCCTCTTGATAGTCGTCCAAGAAATAATTGTACAGGGCGTTTACGATCGGTATCGGTTGATATTGATTCGTCTCGTTCAGAAAGTTCCCAGAGAACAAAAAATCACTCAGGGTATTCAAATACGTAAATATCGAAATTGTCTGCACCGTCCTTAGGGGAGTGGTAAAATTCCCAACGTCCATTTTACTTTTCCCCGCCGGTTTTCAAATATCAAAACCAGTTTTCCAATTTTTACTCTCGTTTGTTTTGAAATTAACCAGTCTTTATATATTCGATCTCCCTGGGTCTACAATTAGCAGGTTTGAATGAAAATCATCTAATTTTGTAATTGAAAATAGCTAATTGTTCATAAACAAACAATTTTTTCCTTTTGAAACGAGGCGAAGCTGAATTAGCTGATTTCTAATTGACAATAGCTAATTGAAAAAGGAACTTTTGTTCTTTTGGAATTTATGGATTGAAATTTACACTTGTCGATTAATTCCTTTCAAGAGAATTGTTTGCTTTAGTCAAAAACATGTATTATGAAATATTATTTAATGACATCTGGTTGAGATTACATTATCTTGATAGTGTATTGATGGGCAAATATTTTAGGAATGAATTAAAAAAATGTGTTGCGTATTTGTATGATAAAACGATTAGTGTACAGACTGTTTTTTCTATTCTCTATCGCTATAATACTCCAAGTCACCTAAATCAGATGGATCCTTCTCGTAGGGCACGACTCCCTCCTTCAATTTCTCCAGTTCGTCCATTATATTTTTGTACCACTCGTGTTTTTTGAGAGCGTCATGTTTGAAAGTGAGTTTTACCTCGAGGCCCTCTTGACCATCGACAGATACTTTCTTAACATCGTCGATGTGGAATTTACTACCCGGAAGGAGGACGGTCTCCGATTCGTGTGTACTTTTCACGATATTCACCACCTTGGCCCTTGGGAATGGTTCGTTGAATTTCATTTCGTAGAAAATGTTGATTCCCCGCCGACGTCCGTGGAATTGGAACATGTAGGCTATGTAGTGATTCGTTGAGGTTGAGGTGAAACGATTGAGCTCTAATTCCGTTTTGCCGGAGAAGAATAATTTTTCGACGATATCGGCCGGTCTGGTTTCGCCACGGAAGAGGGTTTTTGCGTACTCCTCGAGTGGATCGTCAGACTGACGGATTGCCAGACGATAGAATGCGGCACGCATTTGTCGGGCTTCGGGTGAATCGACGCCGATTCGTTTGTAACCACTGCCCATGTATTCACGAAGGGCGAAATAGTCCTCGAGAGTTACGGATTCGTAGGCCTTGTCGGCGAGGAATAGTCTTCGGATGAAATCGGCGTTGTTTGATAGACTATCCGATTGGGGATTTAGGGTTTTTAGTCTTTCGATGGCTTCGGGGAGGGTCAACTGGCTAGTGTCGACAGTATCCGAATAGCGGAGTTTTTCAAATAAGGCAGCATCGGCCAGTTCGTATTGTTTGCTCCAGTCTGGTAAGGTAACCTTACCCTGTTTTTGGAGTTTGCTCCAGTCCTTGACGAAATTTAGTTCGAAGTCCCCAGTGTCCGGAAAGGCGAATTTTCTCAGCCTCGAGTGAACTTGATCAGAGGGAATAAGCGAGTTTTGTCGGGTGTAGTCCACGGCCTGTCGTTCCACGGCCCGGCGATTGGCCCTTAGAACACTTCTTAGACACTGAATCGGCGACCTCTTGAGTCTGCTATTCAGACACTTGGCGCTGTCATGAAAACTCTTCAGACCCAAACCTTGTGGCGAAGCCTGACGATAGTTTCTCGGATTCTCGCCCTGGAGATGTAGGACCTTAGGTTTTATCCTCCCAGTTTCGGTGTTCACCGCCCGGTAGGTGAGTCCAGTCCGGTCTCGGTTAACCACGACCGGAATTACGTCCCCATATTCGTCGATACTCCGAAACTGAACCACTTGGTCCTGTAGTTGAAGACTCCTATAGCCATAACCGGACACTTTTGAGGAATAGGAATTAACCACTATGTCCTTTTCCAGGTACCGATCGACTTTTAGCAGACTTTTCGATACCGTAGCTTGGGCCTCTAGCGCCCTTTGGATAGAACCTACGGATTTGGTGTAACCTTTCAACTTATTGACCACGGTGCTAATTGCCCTCAGACCCCCTTTCCCAAGTGTGAAAGCGAGTTCAAAACCCGGATCTAGGTAGCGAAGGAAGGACACACCTAGATTCTGGAAAGTCTCCTTGGTGAAGAGGGCCGTGACATATTCCGCTTCCGTCAGGGCCACACTGCCTAGTTTCGCTAGAATTTCCCTCATGGTGGTCCTTAGCGTCAGGGACCCAAGTGTCGTTCCAGCGGAATAGATGACGCTTCTAGTAACCGCTGTGGTTAGTTTCGTGGCTAGGTATCCAACCTCTCCGATCAGGGGAAGAGCGAATAGGAGATCTATTGTGCAGGATCTTGCCGCCTCCTCGTAATTATGGTTTCGGATTCCACGACCACAGGTGTAGAAAGGTATTAGGGAGAGACCGAATTCCTTCCACCATTCCTTGCGGGTCTGGTCATAGCCTTCGTTCAGGATACTATTGTTGAAATTCGTCGCTCTTCTCGTCGCGATTCGCCATAGGAACGTGTCGAACTTTTCGTCCTCGCTCTTCTTTAAGTTTGGGAAGTAGTTGTCCTGAAACTTTTGCGACGGTAGGAGGCCTAATTTTTGACGAAATTCTTTGGGATTGCAGCGGATTATCGAGGTTTTTGGAGATTTCAACAGGGTGGCGGATTTATTGGGAGACGTCGAACCACCATTAGCGGATTTATTAGGAGACGTCGAAACACCAATTGCGGATTTATTAGGAGACGTCGAAATACCATTTGCGGTTTTATTAGGAGACGTCATCCAGTCATCAGAAGACCCAGAACAACCAGAAATCGTCGTATCCTCCTGAATAATCGTCAAATCATTGTCCTTCCTTAGGATCGCGTAGTAAACGGACTTTCCACTCCCCTTGAAGTGGAACCTGAACATATCGTCCGCGTCCCTAAGTAGCGGACTTTCGTAGACATCAAAATCATCAACAAAGTATCGAAATAAACCGCTGGTGATTCTCACTCTACTATCGTCGACACTCCTAATAACCTCAGACCCAAAAATCTCCCTAATCGATTCCCTCTCGTAGGTCAAGTATCTGTCCGCAATCTTATTAACCTGCTCCTGATAAAGACGATTTATGTCGTCTAAGGTTTTCACCTCCTCCTTTCCTTTGCTCGCAGTCCTGCATTTGTAATCGTCGGGATTGTTCTTATACTTTAGGACCTCTTGATCCAAAGACGATTCCTTGACAAATGGGCATTCGGTTCTAATCATCTCCTTGGCCATTGCAGTCCGATGTTTGAAATTCATCAAAGCTAGTTGATACTGCAGACGGTAGTCATCATTCTTGGCCTGCTCGACTTTTTGGAATTTGCTCCGTAGGTAGGTGAATAGCTCCTCGTAGGCAGTGGCGCCAAGAGTTGAGTTTTTTACTATGTTTTCTAGTGTTTCGTTTTTTAGGATCTCGCGCTGATTGTGGACGTGGTTTAGGAGAGCTGGAAGCGTAAAGATAGCGAGAGCGGTTTTTTCGAGTTTACCGGCGATTACCATTTGTTCGACAGTGTGTCCCATTGATACGTAATCGTAGAATTTGTCGTCGTCGTCTTCTTGGTCATCATCGTCATCGGTATCATCACTATTAGCAGCGGTATCATCACTGTTAGCAGCAGTATCATGACCATTAGCAGCAGTATGGTGACCATTAGCAGCAGGATCATGACCATCAGCAGCAGTATCATGACCATCAGCAGAAGCATCTTTACCAGTAGCAGTAGCATCATTACCATCAGCAGAAGCATCATTACCATCAGCAGTAGCATCATTACCAGCAGCAGTTTTATTACCATCATCAATATTACCATCGCCATCATCATTTACCAACTTTCCCACTTCCCCAAAGTCCAAATTCGTAAAAAGTTTGCTCGCTGTCATCGAATGCAGAATCATGGAACCAGCCGAAGCGTAAATATAATCCAGCGATTCTAAACTACTCCCCCTGGTCGATTGCGGAAACAGTGGTTTAATAAACTCCTGGATAATTACCCTGATGGCAAAAATCTCCAACTTCGATTCGTAGCCATTTTCAGCTACAAATACCTCCTTGGCCAATTTCCTGTAAATCTGTTCGTACAAATCTTTAATTTCCACATTTGTCGACTCACGGACAATCTCGATCAGGAATCCTTGAATATTTGTGTACTTTTCAAAAACAAGAGTGGCGACCAAGTGCCTGAAGAGAGCGTCAATGAATGCCTCGTCCAGGATTTCGTTTTCCCCAGCTCCGTACAAATCCGTCCCTTCGATTAATTTACGAGCTAGGAATTCTTTGCGAAGTCGAATAATTGCCGTACGATTTTCATTGTAGTCCACAGTGGAATAATTGTACTTTCTGTAATTTTTGATGGCGAATATTTTTGTTCTTTCGTCCAAAAATTGCAGGGATATTTGGCTCAGTCTGTCCTCTTGATAGTCGTCCAAAAGATAATTGAACAGGGAATTTACGATCGGTATCGGCTGATACTGATTTGTCTCGTTCAGAAAGTTTCCAACAAACAAAAAATCGCTAAGAGTGTTCAAATAGGTGAATATCGCAATTGTCTGTACCGCCTGTAGAGGGCTGGTAAAATTTCCGACGTCCATTTTTTACCCTTTTCTCCGTGATGAACCTCGAATTTTCTTTTTTTGAGGTTATGTTCCTGTTGAAAAAAAGATTCCATTAGTATTTTGGTACATTTTTTTCGGAAATGAATCATTTTCACGACATTTGGATTTACTTCATTTTGTAGAAACGTAAAAATATTAATTTAGCTCCGATTTATTGTACAATAGGAAATAAAAGACTAGTTTTTAGCAAAAAAAAATGGAATCCGACGCCTGGGAGGCGAAAAACGCTTGTGCGCATGATCGGAGTAGACCAGAAGGTTCTGCGCATGCGTCGACTTGCGCAGAAGCGAAAAAACCGTTTCTTGCGCATATTGGACTAGAGTGTAGAATCCGACAACTGCGCAGTGGCAAAAATTGTTATTTTTCTTAAATCCTAGTGTTAAATTTGAAATAATCGACCTTATTTTAGTTGAAAACGACTACCATGACAATGAAATTTAGAAAAAAATTCAAATTTTGAAAATCTTATTTTTTTTTTCAAAATCAAAATTTTTGTTTTAAAATTTAAAATGTATTTTTTTAATTTAAGACCACAGTCGTACTCGAATTAACTGTAAGGTGAAAATAAAAACTCGTTTAGTTGATTTATAGTAGAAAAAAGTTCAAAAAATTGTTTATTTTTGTTGTAGAATTATCAATTTGTTAATATTTGACTATTATTATTATTTTTCGAGTTTTCTGATATTAGATTTGAAATCACACACCTTATTTTAGTAGAAAACGAATACCATGACAGTCAAATTACGAAAAAAAATTCAAATTTCGAAAATCAAAATTTTTTTTAAAAATTGAAATTTTTGTTTTTTGAATTAAAGATCACAGTAGGAGTTAAATTGCCTGTAAGGTGTCAAATAAAATTCATTTAGTCAGTTTAGAGTAGAAAAATTGGCCAAAAATTTGTTTATTTTATTTTCACTTTATTAATTTATTAATATTTGACTATTATTATTATTTTTCGATTTTTCTGGTATTAGATTTGAAATCACAGACCTTATTTTAGTAGAAAACGAATACCATGACATGACAGTAAAATTACAAAAAAAATCAAAAATTTTTTTTTTAAATTGAAATTTTTGTGTTTTGAATTCCAGATCACAGTAGGACTCAAATTGACTGTAAGGTGTCAAAAAAATTCGTTTAGTCAATTTAGAGTTGAAAAATAGTTCATTTTGTTTATTTTTTTCACTTTATTAATATTTGATTATTATTATGATTTTTGGATTTTTCGGACTTTACATTTGAAATCGACAATCTAATTTTAGTAAAAAACGAATACCATGACAATAAATTTTTTAAAAATTCAGATTTTAAAAATCAAGTTTTTTGTCTTCAAAATCAAAATTTTTATTTAAAATTTTAAAATATGTTTTATTGAATCTAGGACCGCAATAGGACTCTAATGAACTGTAAGGTGCAAATAAATACCCGTTTAGTTGATTTAAATTAGAAAAATATGTAAAAAAAGTTGTTTATTTCAGTTATATAATGATTAATTTTGTAATATTTGACTATTATTATTATTTTTCAATTATTCTGGTATTAGATTTGAAATCACAGACCTTATTTTAGTAGAAAATGAATACCATGACTGTAAAATTACAAAAAAAATTCAAATTTTGAAAATCAAAAAAATTATTTTTAGAATCAAAAATTTTTTTTTAAATTAAAATTATTTTTTTTTTAATTAGAGGCCACAGTAGGACTCAAATTGACTGTAAGGTATTAAAAAGAAAGTCGATTTAGAGTAGAAAAATGTTTAAAAAGTTTTTTCTTTATTTTTACGTTATATAATTAATTAATATTTTGTTATTATTATTTTCAAATTTTTCTGACGCTAAATTTGAAATCGCCGACTTTATTTCAGTCGAAAATGAATACAAGGACAATAGAATTTTAAATAAATGAAATTTTGAAAATTAATATTTTTTTAAAATCAAAAAATTTTTTTAAATGTCTAATATTTTTTATTTTTTTAATTTAAGGCTACAGATGGATTCAAATTGAATGAAAGTTGCAAAAAAATCTCGTTTAAGTCAAAAAATAGTCAAAAAAATTTTTTTAATAATTTTTATTTTATTTTAATAAAAATTTTTTTTTTAATATTTGGTTATAAACATTTTTTTTCGATTCTTCTGATGTTAGATTTGAAAACCTCGACCTTTATTTAGTAGAAAACGACTACCATGTCAATAGTGTTTTTTTCAAAAAAAAAAAATTAAAATCCAAAGTTTTGATTTTTTTGGAATTTTGAATAATTTTTGAATTTATCTGCTTATTGAAAAAAAAATTTCTTTAAATTCAGAGTTTGTTAACTTTAAATATTTGAATCCCTCCTTCCCCCTCAAAAAAAGGGAAAAAAATATTTTCAAAAAAAAAATCGTAAAATCAGAGAAAAAAATTAATTATCCCAAAAAGAAAAATTAATAAACTTACCTTTTATTTTTATGGAATTTTTGTCGAAAAAAAAAAATTTCGTCCAATTCCCAGTAGAGTGTTTTTCGTTATTAAAATTTCCGAAAAATTTTTAATCAATTTTCAAATTAACTCACAATTTTTAATATTCTGCACTTGCTTTATATGTAGAATTGCAAAATGTAATCAGTGTCTGTTTATTTTTTTGTTTATTTCTTCGAATACAAAAAATTACGTATATTTATTCAAGTTTTCGAATTGAAATATTGACTATTGACAATTGACGATTTAATTGAAAAAAAAACATTTTCGCCCAAAAAGGATCATTTTTAAATTTCTAAATCTTTTGGAAGAAAAAAATTATTTAATATTCATCACATATGCTTTATTTCTCAATATGCATTACAAAGTAATCAGAATATATTTATTTTTTTTTTAAAGGAACGTATTTAATTTATTCACTAATATTATAATAAATGAATTTAAAAAAAACGCATATGTCACATAATTATTGTATAATATAATTTTTAATAAATTCTTTGGGATATTTTTTTCTTTTTTTTTTTACAAAACAAAACTTGACGTCACAAAAATATATTTTTTTTTGCGTTGATTCCTTTTCTCTTTTTTTTTAAATCTTTCTATTGTTACAATTAATAAAAACTAGATTTTTTTTAATACTTTGGATCATTTGCCGGCAATGTCCGTTTGAGATTTCGTTTTTGTTTTTGATTTTCAAAAAAAAATGAGAGGGTACTTTTTTGGTTTTTATTTTTTTTTTCGAAAAAGGCCCAAAAAAAAATTATTTTTTAAATTTATTTTTACGAAATTGCAATTTTCCTTTGGCTATAATTTTTTTTCAATGAGTGTTAAAAGAATTTTTTTTTTTGCTTTCGATAATTCAATGGAATATTTTTGCCAATTACTGCGAACAAAAAATTTCTCTCTTTCTCTCGAAAATCAATTTCTACCCGTTTGTAAATTGTTCATTAATAAAAAATAAAATAAAAGATAAAAAAAATATTTTGTGCTACTTTCTTCCACCTGGGAAAAGTTGAATTATTTCTATTATTACAATTATTATAATATAAGAAAAAATAAAATTAGTCTACGTTATTTGTCTTTGGATAATTATAACTGGAATAAAATTTACACAACCTTCTTTGCAAAATAGTCAGATTTAAAAATTTCTCTTTAGCTAAATTCTGCAGAATTAATTATTTAATTAATTAATTTTAATATTGTACTTTTAATTTAATTAATAAATTTCTTTAATTTACAATTTAAATTGGAAAATTTTTACTTTTGATTATTAATTTGAATTTAAATTTGATTAATTTGAATTATTATTTGAATTTAAATTTTATTAATTTTAATTTTTCATTAAAATAAAAAATTTAATAAATTAATTCCAATGTTTTCTTTTGTATTTCAATTCAAATTTTCAATTAGGTAATTTTTTTTCAATTGAAATAGAAATGTATTTAATTAATTTTAATTTTCTACTTAAAAAATTCAATATTTGATTTGAATTTGAAATTTGAAATTTAAATTTAAATTAAAAATAAAATTTAATTTGAAATTTAAATTTAAATTTAAATTTAAATTTAAATTTAAATTTAAATTAAAAATAAAATTTAATTTGAAATAAAAATTGAAATAGAAATTGAAATTAAAATTTAATTAATTAATTAATTAAATTAAACGGCAATATTGTTAATATTAATAACTCGATTTATCCTCTAAATCGTCATCAGTTGCATTCAAAATTCTTTCTTCGTCATTTGAGATATTATTACTCGATCTATTCAGTCTACTTTTTATTTGTGTAAGCAGAGTGGGAATTAGTAGATTGTTGTAAAAGCACATTCCCAATACGAGAACAGCGAAGCCGACCAGCTGTGAAAAAAGTTAAAAATTAATTTCAAATATTCTTTTTTCAAACAGTAAAATTAATTTTACAGAATTTATTCAATTTTTTCTTGTAAATTTTCGTACAAATTTCCGAATAATAATTAAATTTAATTTTTTTAAAAATAAAATTCAATTTTATTACATAAAAATATTTTTAATAAAATAGAATTTTTATTAAAAACTTTTGGAAAATAATTAAATTCTTTCAAGGAATTTTATTAAAATCGTACTCAAATTAATTGAATTCTTCTAAAGAATTTTATTAAAATTTTTGAATATAATTGAAAAGAAATTTCTTGAATTTTTTTTTTTTGAAAATAATTCAAATTAATGTGAATAATTACCTGTAAATAGTGAAAAGCTTGCCAATGAAAAACTAGTGAGAATGCCCAAATAACAATTGTACAAATACTGCTTAAAATCATTCGTGTTGTGGCGCTTATTTCTTTCGTCACACTTAATCCAGAAAAATTAAATAGGCCTATTGTTAGCATTATACCTGGAAAGAAAATTAAAAAATATAAAATTAATAAATGAAAAAAGAATTAAAAATTAAAAATAAAATATTATAATAATAACAATGTATTTTATTTCCTATTTCAATTAAGTAGTTTTTAATTATTTAATTATTCAATTTTTTTTAATTAGCAGTTTTATTCTATTTTATTTATTGCTAGAACAATAATTATATTCACAATTTTATTCATTAATTAATTAATTCATTTATTCATTAATAATAATAATTATTATTGTAATTTTTTGTTAACAAAAAAAGTAATTATTATTAATAATTTATAGATAATAATAATAGTGATTTTTCTTTTTTATTATTTTTTTAATTTTCATTATTTCTTGTCTATTTAATGAACAGAAGACGAAAAAAATTTTATTTACCTAGCATGGCAATTATAAGTTGACCAGAGTTTCCGATTTGTATGAAAGCATCAATAGTGGCTTCCAAAGTTCCACGAGAATTGTCAGCGAATGGCGGAACTGCTTTTATAAAATTCAAAGGAATCATAACGAGGAGAAGTGCAATTAGGCCAAAAACTCCTGCGAAAAAAGAGAGCAAACATTACATTTTTTCTTTGAACATCTGTAAGCAAAAAATTTGCAAAAATTAAATTTTTGCAATTAAATTTTTGCAAAAAAAATTACCACAAAAAGGAAAAAAGTAAATTTTTACAGTAAAATTACACAAAGAAATTTTACAATACAATTATAAAAATTAATTTTACTAAAAATTACAAAATAGAAATTTTACAATAAAATTAATAAAAAGAAATTTCACTAAAAATTACAAAAAGAAATTTTACAAAAAAATTATAAAAAGAAACTTGAGAATAAAATAACAAAAGTCAATTTTACAATAAAATTACAAAAAGAAGTTTATAGAAAAAATTACAATACCAAATTTTTCGAAAAATAACAAAAAGAAATTTTACAATAAAATACTAAATGTAAATTTTAGAATAAAATTACAAAAGTCAATTTTTACAATAAAAGTAGAAAAAGAAATTTTACTAAAAACTACAAAAAGAAATTTGACATTAAAATTACATATAGAAATTTTACAATAAAATTACAAAAAGAAATTTTAATGTAAAATTAAAAAAGTCAATTTTACAATAAAATTACAAAAAGAAATTTTAATATAAAATTAAAAAAGTCAATTTTACAATAAAATTACAAAAAGAAACTTTAGAATCAAATTAAAAAATAATTTTTACAATAAAATTTCTAAAGGTAATTTTACTACATAAAAAACTAAAGTAAATTTCACAAATTACAAAAAGAAATATTTTTTATAATTTAACATTACAAAAATTAATTTTAAAATGAAATTAAAAACTAAATTTTAAAATAAAATTGCAAAAATAAAATCTGAGAATGAAAATAAACAAAATTAAAATTTTATTCGACAAATATTTTGAAAAATGAAAATAAAAAATTTTTTTTCTAACAGTTAATAAGAAAAAAGCTATAAATAATTTACCTTCCCAACCAATTGCTTGCAGTGCGGGAATATCATTACCACCGACGAATTTTTCTTCATAAACCATTTGAATTGCAGTCATTACCTAAAAAAATTCAATTCAATTAATTTTTTTTTATAATAAAAGAATTTATTTTAATAAAAAAATTTGTTTTTACTAAAAACAATTATTTTAATAAAAAAAATAGTTTGTACTGAAAACAATTTATTTATTTTTTTATTTGGAAATTAGCCGAAAATAAAATTAATTTTTATTAAATTATTTGAATAAAAAAATTCTATTTATTTGAACAAATTGTTTAATAAAAAAAATGGTTTTTAAAAAAAAAATTGTATTTATTGTAACAAATTGTTTCTAATCAGAAAAATAGTTTCTAATAAAAAAATACTAATAGTTATTAGTAAAAAAAATTAGTTTTTAGTACAAAAATAGTTTTTAAAAACATATTTTTTTTACCAAAAGAATAGTTTTTAAAAAAATATTTTTTTTACCCAAAAGAATAGTTTTTAAAAAAATATTTTTTTTACCCAAAAGAATAGTTTTTAAAAAAATATTTTTTTTTACCAAAAGAATATTTGGTTAATAAAGAAATTAACATTTTTTAATAAAAAGAAATTTGCATTTTCAAAAATAAAAAAATAAAATAAAAAATTTACAAAAATATTTTCTAATAAATGAAAATAAATATTTCCGTTTTTAATTTTTTCTTTCGTTTCGTTTTGTTTTTAAATTCGAACAAAAAATACAACCAAAGATTCTTATTTTTCTATTTTTAACGATTTTTTTCGTTTTGTTTTTCATTTCGACTAAAAAATACAGCCAAAGGTTTGTTTTTCTTTTTAATATTTTCTTTTTTTAAATATTTTCCTTTTTTTCTTTTCGTTTCGTTTTTGTTTTTCATTTCGAACAAAAAATAAAACCAAAGATTCTTAATTTTTTTAACCGTTTTCTTTGGTTTTGATTTTCATTTAGATAAAAAAAAATACAGTCAGAGATTTATTTGTTTTTCTTTTCTTTTTTTTAAATAAAAATTACCTGAGCACAAAGAATAAGTAAATCCCCGGTAATAATTGAATTCGAACCCATAGTTCGATCCTCATTGAGAACATCGGTAATGCCAACAATGACAAGGCCAATGATAACGAGAACAATTCCACTCCATTCACGTGATCCTAATTTTCTATCTAAAAAGCCCATCGATAATATTCCAGTGAATACGATAACGGCACCACGTAGCATTTGAAAACTACTCGCGTACGTCATTGTCAGGCCAATGTATCTCATTGATGTTGCAATAACATCGCACAATGCGGGAATCATCAGAATCATTGGATTCACATCTCGATTTCCTCTTGTCAATGGATTTCTGTCAATTGATCCGTCCTGAAAAATATTTATTTTATTTTATTACAGTTTTTCTTATTATTTCCCTGCTATTAAATAGAAAAAAAAATGGAAAAAATTGAATAATTATTCAATTTTTTTCTATTTCGAAAAAAATCATTTTTTCATTTTGAATATTAATTTTCTTGCGTTTTTTTTTATTTTGCTTTCCTTCTTTTCTTCTTTTCTTCTTCGACCTTAAAAAAATATTTTTTATTGTGATTTCTTACCGATTTTCTATTCAAGTACCAACAACAAATTTTGTAAACAATTAAACATAAAGTTTCGCCGAGAAACATAAAAGATGCTTCCACAAAGGGATGATTAAATTTTCGTGTTTGTCCATCTTCTCCAGTTGCATCCGAACGATCAGCATATCTGCAGAAAGAAATTTTCTTTTTTATTTTTAAATTTAAAAAAATTTTTCTAAAACAATAAATCTCAAAAATTCAATTATTTCTAAAATTGTCGGTGAAATTTATTATAAAAATTCAATTATTTTCCAAATTTTTAAAAAATTTCTTGTAAAAGATTAAATTATTTTCTATTTTCTATAAAAATTAAAAAATGCTACAATTTGCTTATAAAAAATTAATTATGTCAATTTTTTAATAAAATTCTTAAAAAATTAATTTCTTTTTATAGAATTTAAAAACTAATTTTTCAGAATTTTAAATATAATTAAAATTAAAATTATTATTATTAATATTAGTCTTAAGTATTTAAATATTATTTTTTGATTTTATTAACTTGTTAATTAATATTAATAACAATTTCCAAAAAAAACACTGTCAGCGTTATTTCTAAGTAAATAAAAACTGCTAATTAACAAATTTTAATAAAAGAAATTCTAAAAATTACTCACTTTACTGATAATGTGTGAAATGCTCCAGTGAAAACAATAATAATGACAAGAGTCTTTTGATAAAAGCTATAAGTCATATTTTAAAACTGCACATACATCAAAATTCTTTCTTTTTTCTCTCAATTTTTCTCATAAACTAAAACTTGGCACTTTCTACGCGAAAAGAAAACGTCGTCATTAAAAAAAAATTTACACGCAATTTATCATTTCAATTTTCTAATATATATTTTCCAAAGTTTATTTAGAAAAACAAACTTTCCATCAACATATGTTAAAAACGTTGAAAAACAATGAATTTATTTCTATTGTCGAATAAAATTTTCTATTTGTCGAGAAAAAATAAATCATGACTCGCGAAAAAAAATAAACGTTAAGCTACTATTAATTTACGTTGAAAATTGATAACAATTTTTTTTTCTATTTATTATTAGTTGAAAATATATACGAAAAGTAAAAAGATTCCGTTTGGAATTGAATAGAATTTCTAAATGGAAAAATTTTGATAGAAAAAAAAAGTATGATGTCAAACTATTGTCTATTGTATTGATTAAATTTCTTTAAAGTTAAGTAAAAACGTGACTTGAATATTTATTTTCTCTTTTAATTTCAAATTGAAAAGTGCTGATAAGAAATAGCAGACGACAAAGGCGACGACAAGGTTATGTAACGTCATAGAAAAAGTGCATTTCAAGTTATACGACTTACGATTTCGCGCGGGGTTCATAAAGGTCGGTACATAATACGAATTTTGTTGGGTCTGGAAAATATGTCCAAAGAACTTGTCCAGATCGTCAATTCTTGTCCAGAAGATCGAAACCTACTCCCCAACCCCCTGGAAATTGTCCAACAGTCCTTTTTTTGTCCAGAAATTCCGTTAAAAGCAAAAACTTGAAATAATAGAAACAAGAGGGGTTTTGCGATTAAAGTAATCCAACCCTGTCGGACGCCGAAAAATTTTCCCCCCACGTGTTTTCCCTCATCTGGCCGCGTGTTTAACTGCGCGTTTCGGCTTTTTTTGTCGTCGTCGGGGCCTTTTCACAGTTTTTCCCGTGTGAACAAAGAAAATTCTCAAAAATCAATGATTATTTGCCGTGAAAGTTGTTGTTCTTGTTGTGAGCGATTGTCGTGAGATAAAACTTTTATCCCCTTTAAATAACAAACAAACAAACAAACAAACCAAATAATTTTAGTTTGAAATTATGTTGAAAATCATGGGTTAACGTAATTTTTTTTTTGGTGAAAATCAAAAGAAAAAAAAAAGCGGTAGTAATTTTTTTCTCTCTCTATATGTAAAAGTTTTATTTTGTAGAGATTTGTGTTTTTGTGTGGGTGGGTGTGTATGTTTTCAATTTTTGTCGTCTGTGCAATTTTTTTTTATTTGAAATAAAAATGATGATGAACAGTCAAGATATACCGGATTCACAAAAAACAACTCAAAATACACAAGTTGGAGATATATTTTCACAAGATTTTTTGGATTCTCCAGTGTCATTGCTACCATGGGGAAGATTGTGTCCTAATAAACCAAAATTTATCCCAGTCGGTAAGAATTTATTTTCTCTTTTCTAAAAAAAAACTTAACTTTTTTTTAATTTTAAAATTTTTACTTTTAATTTTACTTGAAATTAAAACTTTAATTTTTTTTCCTCACACTTTTCGTTTTGAGACAATTTCGGTTTTTTCCCCTCTTTGTGAATTTCATAATTAGAAGCGGAAAAATCGTTGAAATATTATAATTTTTAATAATTAAATAATAAAAATAAAAATTTAGATAAATAATTATTAATATAATTAATAGAAATTTAAAATGTAATTTTATATTTAGATAATTAGTTTAATGGTAAATTTTCTTTAGAAATTGAAGGAAAATAACGGAATCAAAACAAAAACAAAGTATGTTGACATTGATAGGAGAAAGTTATAAATGTTTACAAGTCAAATTTTCAAATCATAAGAAATGATTTTCTTTTCATTTCAGATTGCAATGGGAATAAAAATCTGTTTTTTTTCTTCTTTATTATTTAAATATTTAATTAAATATGTTTTATTATCTTAATTTATCGTTTTTTTATTTAAATTTAGTTCTTTCATATTTTAAAATGTAAAAAAATACATTTTTAATATTTATTTTAAATTATTACCGTCTTTAATTATTTTCGGAATAAAAAAACTAAGAAATATTTATTCTATCGCCTTTTTTAAGTGCAAAATAATTCTTTAGTTTTTTTCATTTTCATCAATTAATATTTATAATAATAATAATAATTTTCATTAATTATTTTACAAAAAAATGTATTCTTTTTAAATTTAAATTCATTTTTATTTAATTCCTTTATTATTCTAATTTATATTTTTTTAAATTGTAATTTAATTCTCTTTTTTTTATCTTTAATTATTTTTTATTTTGAATGAATTCATTTTTATTAAATTCCTTTTTCATTTTAATTTTATATTTTTTAATCTTAATTCAATAAATTGCTTCTTTATCTTTAATTCTATTTCATTTTAATTGTATTATGTTTTGATTTTTACTTAAATTCTTTTTTATTTTAATCAAATTTTTTTTTAAAATTGAATTCTTTTATTTCCTTCTTTTTATGATTATTTAAATTAAATTTTTCTTAATTTTTAAATAATTGTACAACTTTTGATAGAAAAAAAAATATTCACATTTAAGTGATAAATTTTTAACTGTCAACAACTGATTTGATTTTTAAATTAAGATTTTTTTTCCATTCAAATAAAGTTTGTTTTTAATTAAAATATGTTTAAAATTTTAATTTATTTAAATTTAATTGAATTAATTTTAATACTTAAGTAGTTAATTTATTAATTAAATAGTTCGTTTAGTAACTAAATAGTTAATTAACTAATTAAATAGTTAGCTTATTATTCAAATAGTTAATTAACTAACTCAATAGTATATTTAGTAATTAAAATTTTAATTTAGTAACTAAATTGTAAATTTACTAATTAAATAATTAATTTAGTAATAAAATAATTAATTTAGTTAATTAAATAATTCATTTTGTAACTAAATAGATAATTTAGTAACTAAATAATTAGTTTAGTAACTAAATAGTTAATTAACCAATTAAATAGTTTATTTAAGAATTAAATAGTTAATTTAGTAATTAAATAATTATCTTAGTAATTAAATAGTTAATTTAATAACTAAATAGTTAATTTACTATTTAATTAATTAACTTAGTAATTAAATAGTCCATTTAGTTAATTAAATAATTCATTTTGTTACTAAATAATTTATTTAGTAACTAAATTGTCAATTAACTAATTACATTGTTAATTTAATAATTAATAATTAATTTATTAATTTAATAATTAATTTATTAATTTAATATTTAATTTATTAATTTAATAATTAATTTATTAATTTAATAATTAATTTGTTCATTTAATAATTAATTTGTTAATTTATTAATTAAATGGTTGAAACTAGTGAATTTACAAAAGTTATTCGATATTTAAATAAATGTTTAAAAATTGCAGTGGATTTTTTTTCTTCCAAATATTGTTGAATTTTTTGTTTTTAAAATTTTTTACAACACTTTTTGGATTTAATTGGAAAATATTTTTTATTAATTATTTACTTCCCTTTCTGTGTTTTTTTTAAAGAATTGATCGGAGATTCCTACACACTGGGAAGAGCAATGACCTGTGAAATAAATGTAATGATGCTTGGTTTGGAAAAAAAAGTTGTCGATTGCATTAGTAAACAGCATTTTAAAATAACAAAGGAAAAAATAAAGAGCTCGAATAACATCGAGGACATCACTGTCGTCTACATTGAGGATTTATCACAAAACGGCACCTACGTGAATAAAGTGAAAATTGGAAAAGGAAACAGAGTTATTCTTGAAAATCACGATGTTATTTCACTTGCTCAGGCAAAATTTGCAGGTGTGTGTAAAAAGAAAAATTTAAATATTATTATAATATTGTTCATTAATTAAATTTAAATTCAATTATTGTTCATTGTTTATCGAATTATTTTCGGTAAATTATTTATTATTTTACAATATATTTTTTGTATTTATTATTATTATTATTATTATTATTATTATTATTATTATTATTATTATTAATATTATTATTGTTATAATTGTTATTCGTTACGTTTTTAATAATGTGTGCTTTCTTTTTTGTTTTATTGTTTGAATACAGTTTATATATTTATGAATATTCAGGCCTATGAGGGCAACGATTTACCGCCTGAAATAAAATCAAAATATGCAATATCTCGAAAATTAGGATCAGGCGCCTGTGGCGAAGTGAAATTAGTTTTCGCTAAAATACCATGTAAAATGTTTGCAATGAAAATACTTTCCAAGAAAGGATTAACATCATTAACAAGTGACTCTGATAAATTTATCGACGACAGAAAAATTCTTAACGAAGTGGAAATTTTAAAGAAATTGCGACACGTGAGTTTTTTTTTAATTTACGTCCAAACTTCTTCTTCTTCTTCTTCTCCCTCTTTTTATTATTATTAATAATAATCTTTAACGTTCTTCGATATTTAATAATTTTTTTTTTTGCTATTTTTTTTAAGTTTAGGATTTTGTTTATTTTAGTTAAATAATCTTTAACGTCATTCGATATTTAATAATTTTTTTTTTGTTGCTATTTTTGTCTTTAAGTTTAGGATTTTGTTTATTTTAGTTACAGGGCTCGGATTGTGCGACTTTTTCGACTTTTTTTCGACTTTTCTAAGGAAATGTGACATTTTTCGACTTTTTTGTGAAAAAATGCGACTAATCGACTTTTTTGACTTTTTTTTTATTAAAATGCGAATGAAATTTAAACATTTTTTGAAAATTTAAAGGAAAAAGTTTGAAGAGAATTTAAAGAAAAAATCTTTTGAAAATAATTGAATTTCTGTGAAGAATTTTTTTTACTTTTGAAGAATTGAATTTTGCAAAAAATTTTATCAGAACTTTTGAAAATAATTAAATTTCCATTATGAATTTTATTATTTATGAAGATAATAAACATTTTAACGAGAAATTGAAAAAAAAATTTTAAATAATTTAATTTCTGCGAAGAATTATATTACTTTTGAAAATAATTGAATTTCTAGAATAAATTTTATTATTTATAAAGATAATTGAAAACTTGACAAGAATTTTATTAAAATTCTTTGCAAATAATTGAATTTCAGAAAAGAATTTTATTACTTTTGAAAATAATTGAATTCATGTGCGAATAATTTTATTAATTTTGGCAAATAATTGAATTTCCGATGGAGAATTTTATTAAAAAGTTATGAAAATAATTGAATTCTTGCAAAGATTTATTTATTTTTATTAATATTTGAAAAAAAAAATTTATTTCCCGTAAAAAATTCAATTGAATATTGAAAATAATTGAATTTTTGCGAAGAATTTTATTAAAATTCCTTAAAATAATTAAACTTTTGCGAAGAAAATTTTGTATTGAAAACAATTCAATTCTTATCATTAATTTAATCAAAATTTTTCCAAATAATTGAATTTCTTGAGAAAAATTTTAGTGATAATTGAAAATAATTGAATTCTTACGATAAATTTGATGAATTTTCGAAAATAATTGATGTCATGCGAAGAGTTCAATTATTTTTTTGAAAATAATTCAATTATTCCTGTGAAGAATTTTATTAATTTATAACAAAAAATTACTGTCAAGAATTTTAAAGTTTTTAAAAATAATTAATTATTCTTGTAAAGAATTTTATTAATTTTAAAAAATAATTGAATTCCTTTGAATAATTTTATTAATTTTGTCAGATAATTGAATGTCTGCGTAAAATTTTTTTAAACGTTGTAAAAATAATTGAATTATTACAAATATTTTTTATTAATATTTGAAAATAATTGAATTCATAAGAAGAATTTTATTTCGAATTTGTGAAAATAAATTTGAATTTTTGCGAAGAATTTTATTACTTTTGAAGATAATTGAATTTCTGCGAAGAATTTTCATTACTTTTGAAAATAATTGAATTTCAGAGAAGAATTTTATTATTTATAAAGATAATTGAAATTTTGACAAGAATTTTATTAAAATTTTTGTTAAATAATTGAATTTCGGAGAAGAATTTTATTATTTATAAAAATAATTGACATTTTAAAGAGAATTTTTAAAAAAATGTTAAAAATACCTAATTAAAATTTTGCTATGAATTTTATTCAATTTTTTAAAATTTTATTCCGGATTGTTTGATATTAATGTATTGTCGAGAAATGTGATTTTTTTTTACAATTTTGACAATTTCGTGTTTCCTTTTTTCTAAAATTTCATGCGACTTTTTTCCGACTTTTTTGCAAATTTTATGCGACTTTTCGTGACTTTTGTTGTAAATTTATGCGACTAAAGCGACTTTTTTTGAGTCTTAAAGACGATCCGAGCCCTGTAGTTAAATAATCTTTAACCCCCGAGATCCTTTATAAATTAAGGAAAATAAAACGAAATTATTAAATTTAGGAAAAGGAAAATATTTTGCGTATCACAAAAATCTGAGTTTTTTTTTTGAAAAAGAAGAAAAATTTTCTTTATATGAAATTTATAAATTAAATAATTTATTGACATTATGAAATATTAAAAATTTGTTTTGCTTTTTGCAGCCGTGTGTGATAAAAACGGAAGAAGTTTTTAATACGAAAAATTCGGTTTACATTGTTCTTGAATTAATGGAAGGCGGCGAACTTTTTGACAGAATTCGTCAAACGCAAACTGGTTTGTCCGATAGAAATGCAAAATTAATATTCTATCAGGTTGCATTGGCCGTGCAGTATTTACATTCCGAGGGTATAACGCATCGTGATTTAAAGGTGAGAATTCTCTTCTTCTCATTAAAATAATTTAATCTTTTTTCTCAGTATTAAAAAATAATTTTTAAATTAATTATTATTTTTTTTGTGTTACTATTTTATTTTTTTTTATTTTTTTGTATTGTTTTAATTTTTAAAATTTTTTTTTGTGTTGCTTTTATTTTTTTGTATTGTTTTTATTTTTTTGTGTTACTTTTATTTTTTTTACTTTTTGTATTCTTTTAATTTTTTTTGTGTTACTTTTATTGTTTGTACTTTTTGTATTGTTTTTTTATTTTTTTGTATTTTTTGTATTATTTTTTTTTTTACTTTTATTTTTTGCTTTTCTGTATTGTTTTTATTTTTTCTTTTTGGGTTACTTTTATTGTTTGTACTTTTTTGTATTGTTTTTATTTTTTTTTGGTTACTTTTATTGTTTGTACTTTTTTGCATTGTTTTTATTTTTTTGGGTTACTTTTATTGTTGGTACTTTTTCTATTATTTTTATTTTTATTTTTTTTTTTACTTTTATTGTTTGTACTTTTTCGTATTGTTTTTATTTTTTTGTCTTATTATTGTTATTTATTAGAAATAAATATTTACAGCCGGAAAATATTCTCCTGGCTTGCGACAAGGAAGTGACTTTAGTGAAAGTTAGCGATTTTGGATTATCGAAATTCGTCGACGCCGAAACAATGATGAAGACATTTTGCGGTACGATGATGTACGTTGCGCCGGAAATTCTATTGACACATGGACGTGGCGCGTACACGAATAAAGTTGACGTGTGGAGTTTGGGTGTTATTCTTTACACTTGTCTCAGTGCATTAACACCGTTTAATAACAATAATCCAAGAATAAGTCTCTACGAGCAAATCACTCAAGGATTATATAATTTTCCCCAGTCACGTTTTGCAAATGTTGATGAGAAGGCAAAGGATCTTGTAAGAACACTTTTCATTTTTTTCTTATTTATTTTTCAATTATTTTGTTCATTTTGCTTCAATTATTCGATTATTTCATTTATTTTTCTTCAACTATATTCAAATTAGTTTATTTATTCAAATGGCAAATTTTACGTAAAACATGATATTCAATTTATTATTATTATTATTATTATTATTATTATTATTATTATTATTATTATTATTATTATTATTATTATTATTATTATTATGCAAATTATTCAGAATTTTAAATACAATTTCAATTATTTTCAAAATTAATAAAAATCTTCGAAGGAATTCAATTATATTCAAAAATTTCTATAAAATTCTTCTCAAGAATTCAATTATTTTCTAAATTTTATAAAAATTCTTGGCAAAAATTCAATTATTTTTATAAATAATAAAATTTTTCCAAGGAATTCAATTATTTTCAAAAATTTCTATCAATTTCTTCTGAAGAATTCAATTATTTTCTCAAATTTCTTGGAAACAATTCAATGATTTTTAAAATATTCAAATTCTTCCAAGGAATTCAATTGTATTCAAATTTTTCTATAAAATTCTTCTCAAGAATTCAATTATTTTCATAAATTCGAACATTTTTCGGAAGAATTCAATTATTTTTATAAAAAGTAAAATTCTTTTGCAGGAATTCAATTATTTTTTTTTAAATTTTTCAAAAGAATCGAATTATTTTCTAAAATTTTTTTAAAATTCTTGGAAACAATTCAAATGAGTTAATTTCAAAAATTCAATTATTTTCCAAATTTTTAAGAAATTTATTGTAAAATATTAAATTATTTTCTATACAAAACAGAAAATGACACAATTTGTTTTTGAAAATTTAATTATGTCAATTTTTTAAAAAAAATTCTTGGAAAGCAAAATTTCTTTTTATAGAATTTAAAAACTAATTTTTCAGAATTTTGAATACAATTTCTTAAAAGAATTCAACTCGGATTCAAAAATTTTTGATTAAATTCTTCGAAAAATTTCAATTATTTTCATAAATTTAATTAAATTCTTCGGCAAAAATTTTAATAAAATTCTTCCCAAGAATTCAATTATTTTTAAAAATAAAAAAAAATTCTTTAGAGGAATTCAATTATTTTCAATAATAATAAAATTCTTCAGAGGAATTCAACTTGTTTTAATGCAATTTTAATAAAATTTCAAGAGAGGAATTTTCCAATTTTTAATTAAATTTTTCGAAAGAATTTAATTATTTTCTAAACTTTTGTGATAAATTCTTGGAAATATTTAATTATAATTTTTAACTGACACAATTTTTTTTTTAAAGATTTGAAAGAAATTCTTCATAAAATTCAATTACTTTCAAAAATTTTCAATTAAAATTATTAAAAAAAAAGTGAAAGAAATTCTTCAAAAGAATTTAATTAGGATTTAAAAAAATTTTAATAAAATTCTTTGCAAGAATTCAATTACTTTCAGAAATTTTAAAATGCATCAGAAGATTTCAATTATTTTAAAAAATTTTAATAATAATAATAATAATAATAATAATTTATTGCTACATTTAGAAATTTACATTTCGTTGTAATAAAATTCTTCCGAGGAATTCATTTATTTTTAATTGAATTTTAAAAAAAAGTTCTCCAAAGAATACAATTATTTTTGAAAAATATTAAATAAAATTCAATTATTTTCAACAGTTTTATGATAAAATTTTTAAGAAAAAATTAACTATTTTAAATGTTTTAATAAAAATTATCGATTGGATTGAATTATGTATTTTGAAAATTTTTAATAAAATTCTTTCAAAATATTCCATTATTTTAAAAAATTTAGATAAAATTCTTCAAAATAATTCAATTATTTTTGATAAACTGTAAATTTTTTCGCAAGAATTTAAATTACTTCTATAATAAAATTCTTCTCATAAATTAAATTATTTTCAATACCATTTTAATAAACTTCAATAATAAAATATTTAATTATAATTTTTAATTGACAGGATTATTTGAAAAATCTGAAAGAAATTATTCTTTAAAATTCAATTACTTTTAAAATTTTTCAATTAAAATTATTAAAGAAATTAGAAATTCTTCAAAAAAATTTAATTAGGATTTTAAAATTTTTAAATAAAATTCTTCGCAAGAATTCAATTATTTTCAGAAATTTAAAAAATTTTCAGAAAATTTCAATTATTTTCAATAATTTTAATAAAATTCCTCGAAAGAATTCAATTATTTTTAAAAATTGTAAAATCCTTCGCAATAATTAAATTATTTTTATAAATAGTAAAATCCTTTGCAGAAATTCAATTATTTCCAAAACAATTTCAATTGAATTCTACGGATGAATTCAAATATTTTAAAATATTTCCACTAATTTTTAATTAGGTCCTAAAATTTTAATAAATTCTTCGAAACAATTCAACTATTTTTTATAAATTAGTCAAATTCTTCGCAAGAATTTAATTATTTTCAATTCACTTTTAATAAAATTCTTCTTCATAAAATTCAGTTTTTTTTGGGGGGAAATTTTATTAAAATAGTAAATATTGAAAATCATTGAAATTAGAAAAATGCATTTTATTTTTGAAAATAATTGAAATTAGGACAAGAATTTTTTTTTTGAGCATTTATGAAAATAATTGAACTTTGGAGAAGAATTTTTATTATTTATTAAGACAATTGAAATTTTTACGAGAATTTTTTTCAAATTTTGAACATAGTTAAATTTTATAAGAATTTAAATTTTTAAATTTAAAAAATTTTTCTTTCTTTTTTTTTTAAATAATTGAATTTTTGCAATTATTTGTAATTTCTCGAAAATTGAATTTTTTTTTATTGTTTTCAACAAAAATTTAATTTAAATTTTAGAAAATTTTTAAATTCTATTATTTTTAAAATTGCTAATTTTATTTTTAAAAAAAGGTAGTAAGAAGTTAGCCGCGAGCTTTAGCGCGCGAATTGTTGCTAGTTGAATATTAAAAGCAAAATATCGTGAATTTTTAATGATAATTGAATTTTGAAATTAATTTTTTTGAAAAAGTTTAATTTGAATTTTTTTTTTTTAATATTATTTGAAGTTTTTATTTTCTAATATTTATTTAATTTTGAAGAATTTACGAATAATTGAAATTTTGTAAAATTGAATAATGTAAAGGAAATAGATTTAAAAATTGTCAAAGAACTTTTTCGTAAATTATTAAAAATAATCGATTTAAATAAGAATTTTTGTTAAAAATATGTAATTTTTCGGATTTTTGTTCTGCAAAGTCCGTATTTTTTTTAAAAAATACTTTCACTGGTTCGAGTCCTGCGAATGTTTCTTAAATAATTAATGAAAATTCCTCTTTTTTTTAAAGATAAAGTGTATGATGACATTGGATCCAAAAAAACGATTAACAATCGATCAAGTGATAAAACATAAATGGCTGTGCGATTCAACAATGAAAACGACGGTTTTGGATTTGTTTCGAGTGTCAGGTGATAATCAAAATTATGCACCATTCTTGGAGAATCAAATGAAAAATATGAAATTGTCGGAGAGAAGACCAATTACACACGCTCCAACCTTTACACAAGTCGCGAAAAGACCAAGATATGACTTTCCCGATCCCAGGTTGTAAATAACAAAACAAAAAAAAACAAAACAATATTTATTTTATAAATAATATTTATAAATATGTAAAATAGAGAAATTTTTCGAAAAACGAACAAAGAAAAATGAAGACGACACTGAATATTAATATTCAGTCGAAACTAACGATCGTGATATTTAAAAAGATAAAAAAATTGAAACAAATACTGTGAGATTAATTAATAGAGTAAATGAAAAGTTTAACTTTTTTAAAAAAAAATAGTTTAATTGTGCCATGTTCAAATGTTTTCTTTTGTGTCTCTCTCTCTCTCTCTCTCTCTCTCTCTTTCTCTCTTTTTATTTTTCTTAAAAGTAAATTTTGTTACTATTTCAAAAGTAGACATTAGTTTTTGTTATAAAAATCTACAGTTTGTCCAAAGAGTCTCTGTCTAATAAAGAAAACATTTTGTAAATGAATTTTTTTCTAAAAAAAAGTCTTTTGAAATGAAGAGAAAAAAAAATAAAGAACAAGTTATTTTTTTTTATGTAAACGGTCGTTTTTTTTCTTTGGAAGGAACAAAAACCCTTTTTTTTCATCAAAGTGGATATGGAGAAGGAATTTTTTTGAAAAAAGAATTTTTTTTGTGTAAAAATATTTTTATAGACTGAATTTTTGTAGAGAAAAAATTTTTTAACGAATTTTTTTAAGAATATTTTTGGAGAAAAAATTTCCTAAAGAATATTTTTATAAAAAATTTTTAAGAAATTCTGAAGAAATATTTAGAACAAGAAATTTTCTGAATTTTGAAAAAATATTAAGATTTACAATTGTTTTAATGAATAAATTTTCTAAATTTAATAATTTGAATTTTTGAAATTTAATGAAATTTGAAAAATTTTTTCAAATCTGAATTTAATTGAATTTGACAATTTTTTCAGTTATAAAATTTGTTGAATTTAATAATTACAATTTTTGAAATTTAATGAATTTTGAGAAATTTTTCAATTCTGAATTTAATTGAATTTGACAATTTTTTCAGTTATAAAATTTGCTGAATTAATTAATTACAATTTTTGAAATTTAATGAATTTTGAGAAATTTTTCAATTCTGAAATTAATTGAATTTGACAATTTTTTCAATTATAAAATTCTCTAAATTTAATAATTACAATTTTTGAAATTTAATGAATTTTGAGAAATTTTTCAATTCTGAATTTAATTGAATTTGACAATTTTTTCAATTATAAAATTTTCTGAATTTAATATTTTAAAAATTTGAAATGTAATGAATTTGTTAATTTTTGGAGTTATAAAATTTTCATTGAAATTTTGCCAGTTTCTTCAATTTTGAAAATTTTCTAAAGAATTTTTTTATAAAAAATTTTAAAGATATTCTGAAAAAATATTTAGAACAAGAAATTTTCTCAATTTTGAAAGTTATTCAAATTTCCAATTGATTTAATTATTAAATTTTCTGAATTTTTGTATATTTTTACAATTTAAAAATTTTCTGAATTTAATAATTACAATTTTTGAAATTTAATGAATTTTGAAAAATTTTTCAATTCTGAAATTAATTAAATTTGACAATTTTTTTGACTATAAAATTTTTTGAATTTAATAAAATTTTTTAAATTTTAAATGTAATGAATTTGTTAATTTTTTTTAATATGAAATTTTCATTGAATTTTTTTTTTCAATTTCGAACATTATCTGAATTTTTGTCAAATTTTTTTTGAATTTGTAAATTATTTGAATTTTTGGCAATTTTTTCAATTTGTTAATTTCCTGAATTTATTATTTTCAAATTTGATATTAAATAAATTTTTGTAGAGAAGAAATTTCCTAAAGAATTTTGTTTATAAAAACTTTTAAAGAAATTCTGAAGAGATATTTAGAACAAGAAATTTTCTCAATTTTAAAAATTATTCAAATTTACAATTGTTTTAATTATTAAATTTTCTGAATTTTTGTCTATTTTTACAATTTGAAAATTTTCTGAATTTAATAATTACAATTTTTGAAATTTAATGAATTTTGAAAAATTTTTCAATTCTGAAATTAATTAAATTTGACAATTTTTTTAATTATAAAATTTTCTGAATTTTATAATATTTTTAAAATTTGAAATTTAATGAATTTGTCAATTTTTTCAATTATGAAATTTTCATTGAATTTCTGTCATTTTCTTCAATTTCAAAAAATTTTCTGAATTTTTGGCAAATTTTTTCAATTTGGAAATTTTCTGAATTTAATAATTACAATTTTTTTAAATTTAATGAATTTTGAAAAATTTTTCAATTCTGAAATTAATTAAATTTGACAATTTTTTTAATTATAAAATTTTCTGAATTTAATAATATTTTTAAAATTTGAAATTATGTAAACGAATTTGTCAATTTATTCAATTATGAAATTTTCATTGAATTTTTGTCATTTTCTTGAATTTCAAAAATTTTCATTGAATTTTTGTCATTTTCTTTAATTTCGAAAATTTTCTGAATTTTTGTGAAATTTTTTTTGAATTTGTAAATTTTCTGAATTCTTGCCAATTTTTTCAATTTCTTAATTTTATGAATTTATTATTTTTAAATTTGATTTTTAATAAATTTATGTAGGGAAAAAATTTTCTAAAGAAATTTTTACCTAAAGAAATTGTTTAGAAAAAGAATTTTCTCGATCAAGAAGTTTTTTTACATAAAGAATTTTATAAAAGAAATTTTTACAGAAGGAATTTTTTTCAGAGAAAGAATTTTCTAGAGAAAGGAATTTTTAAATTTTATTTTCCAAACAGAAAATTTATTTTCCAAACTGGAAATTCATTTTCCAAACTGAAAATTTATTTTCAAAATTAGAAATTTATTTTTCAAACTAAAATTTTTGTTTTCAAAACAGAAAATTTATTTTCAAAGGTGGAAATTTATTTTCCAAAGCTGGAGATTTTTATTCAAAGCTGGAAATTTATTGTCAAAGTTGAAAAATAATTTTAAAAAACTGAAAATAAATTTTCCAAAACTGTGGTGAAAATTAAATTCGCCAAAACTTTAATATGAAAATTTTTATTTTTTTCAAGGTTTCTTTTTTGTTTACAGAAGAGAATTTGAATAAAGCGTCATTTTTATTAGCGCGAAATTGGTGCACAGGGATTTGGCAGTGGACTCTCGATTTCCGGCGGCGGTTTCTTCTTCAATCCTGCCAAGTACATTTTTATGTGCGCCACAGCTTTTCCTGGATTTAGACCCTAAACATAAAAAAAGGAAAGAAGAAAAAGAATAGAAAACGAAAAAACAAAAAGGTGATTTTAATTCAAAAGTTAATTTCGAAAAGAAAATGTTACTTTTGGACACGTTTTTGTGCAATTGAAAATTGTGTGACATCGAAACACGGAGAAATAGTCACGTAAATTCTTCAAACGTTGCTCGTGACACAAATCTCGTGAGTCCATTATCCATCGGTAGGCCTGTAATTTTTTTTTTTTTTTTTTTTTTTAATTAATTATATCACGATTTTTCAGAATTTTAAAATTTGCTAAATTTGCCAATTTTTTCAATTTAATTTTCTGAATTTAATATTTTCAAATTTAAAATTGAATGAATTTGACAAAATTTTCAACTTTAAAATTTTCTCAATTTAATATTTTGAAATTTTGAAACTTAATGAAATCGACAAATTTGAAAATTTGAAAATTTATTGAATTTGGCAAATAAATTTTCTCCATTTTGAAAATTTATTGAATTTGGCAATAAATTTTCTCAATTTTTATTTAATTTAATTTAATTTGACAATTTTTTCAATTATATACTTTTTTTGAATTTTAGACAAATTTTTCAATTTTCATATTCTCCAAATTTTTGCCAAATTTTTTTCATTTTGAAATTCTCTAAAATTTTGACAATTTTTTTCATTTGGAAATTTTTTTAAATGAATATTTTCAAATTTAAAATTTCATAAATTTAACAGTTTTTTAAAATTTCGAAATTTAATGAATTTGGAAAATTTTTCAATTATACATATGAAATTAATTAAATTTGGAATTTTTTTTAATTTTTCAATTTTCTGAATTAAATTTTCAAATTGATTGAGTTTGAGACAATTTTTTCAAATTTTGAAATTTACCGAATTTGTCAATTTTTCCAATTTTGAAGTTCATCAAAATTTATCAATTTTTTTAATTATGAATTTTTTTGAATTTTCGGGAAATTTTTCAATTTTAAAATTCTTTTAATTTTTGACAAATTTTTTTTATTCTGAAATTCTTTAAATTTTTGACAATTTTTTCATTTGGAAATTTTCTGAATTTAATACTTATTTTCAAATTTGAATTTTAAGTGATTTAAAATATTTTTCAGTTCTTAAAATAATTCAATTTTCAAATTTTCTGAATTTAATAATTTCAAATTTGAAATTTCATAAGTTTGACAATTTTTTCAATTTTAAATTATTGAGTTTATCAATTTTTTTTTTTAAATTTTGGAAATTTTTTGAAAATAATTGAATGTTTCAAAGAATTTAGTTGAAATATTATTGAAAATTATTTTGAAATCCTACGAGGAATTTTATAATTTATCAAATAGTTGAATTTTTATCAAGATTTTTCTTGAAAATTTTTTGAAAAAATAATTCAATTTCTTTCGAGATAATAAAAATTATATTCAAAATAATTGAATTCATTTGAAGAATTTTGTCAAAAATAATTCTGAGAAAATTTTTTTTTTGAATTTAGAAATTTTCTTTATTTATTATTTTCAAATTTGAAATTTAATGAAATTTGACAGTTTTTTCAATTTTGAAATTTATTGAATTTGAACAATTTTTTTCAATTTTGAATTTAATTAAATTTGACAATTTTTTTTTTTAATTTTGAAATTTTTGTGAAGAAAATTAAATTTTTCGAAAAATTTTAATAAAAGCTTTTTTAAAAAATTAAAATTTCTTATAGAATTTAATTCAAATTTGATTGAAAATAATTGAAATCCTGCGAAGAATTTTAGAATTTATCAAAGAATTGAATTTTTAAAAAGACTTTTCTTGAAATTTTTGAAAAATAATTAAAAATTAAAATAAATTAAAAAATTGAATTCTTTAGAAGAATTTTAATAAAATTTTGAAAAATAATTGAATTTCTTAAGGAATTTAATTAAAATTTTAATGAAATTAAATTGAAATCCTGCAAAGAATTTTATTGTGTGTAAAAATAATTGATCTTTTTCATTTTAAGTTTGAATTTTCATTTTTAAGAATTTAAAAATTTTTTTTTTTTGAGAAATTAAAAAATTTTCTTATTAATAATTTAAATTTTTCTTTTCATTGTTTTAATTGTTTTTTTTCCAACGTTTCTCTTTTTTCTTTTTTATTATTTTCTTTTTGTTTAATTTTCTCCCTTTGTCTTATTTTTTCTTTATTGATTTATTTTTCCCTTTCAAACAAAATATTAAAATAGAAAGAAAAAAAGAAAAGTTTTTTCTTTTAATTTTAATTTTTTTATTTGTTAATTATTATTACCTGTAATAAAACTGCGGGCCCCAAATATTTATCCTCGTGCCACCAATACGGGGGACAAGCGAACGAACAACAACCGCACAATATACATTCGTAGAGTCCATCGAGTTTTTCTCTCTCCTTTTGCGTTTGTAAAATTTGCCTCTCGCCGACATAAGTTTCCTCGCCGGGTCTTTTTAATTGGGGCTCAATACTTTTGTACTGTTCCAAAAATCTCGTCATGTCGGGCACCAAATCGCGAATCACGTACGTGTGCGGCAGGGGATAAATAATTAAAGGTTTCGTTACGTCCTCGTTAATTTTTCTAGAAAAAAAATTTTTTTATTTTTAAATTGTATTTATTTATTTATTTATTTTGTTTTTCAATTATTTACACAAGAATTTTGTTATAAAAAATTTTAAAGAAATTCTAAAGAAATATTTAGAGAAAGAATTTTCTAAAGAAATTTTTACATAAAGAATTTGTTTAGAAGAAGAATTTTCTCGATCAAGAAGTTTTATTACGCAAAGAATTTTCTAAAAGAAATTTTTACAGAAGGAATTTTTTTATAAAAAAAAAACTTTGTTTACTTTTTTATTTCTAAATACTTATTCATTTATTTGTTCAAAAATTTAATTGTTTATTTATTTTTTCTTTGGTTACTTTTTTATTTACTTATTTATTCATTTACTGAAATTTTTATTTAATTATTTATTTTGAGTTGAATTTTGTAAATTTTAGTAAAAAAAAAAAAAAATTTGTTTTGAAAAAAAAGAAAAGAAAAATAGAAGAACTCACGTGATGCAAGCGAGTGTATTGACGCCGTTAATGTTCATTGAACAACTTCCGCAAATTCCCTCGCGACACGATCTTCTAAATGCCAATGTTGTGTCTTGTTCCTTTATTGTTTGCAAAACATCAAGAACCATTGTTCCACATTTATTTAAATCGATTTTATATTCTTGAATGTGAGGTTTCTTCGTTGGATTGTCGGGATTCCATCGATAAATCTTCACTGTTTTTAGTTTCGTTGTTTCTGACACTTTTACCTTTTAATCGGAAATAATTTTTTAATATTTTAATTTTACAGAATATTTTTTTTTCTCTCTAAATATTTTTTTTTACTATTTTCTGTATTTTAGTAATTAAAGAATTTCTTTTTAAAAATATTTTTTCACTTTTTTTTCGTATTTAAATTAAAGAATTTTTTTTTCCAAATATTTTTACTACTTTCTGTATTTTAATAATGAAGAATTTTTTTTCCAAATATTTTTTATTGTTTTCCATATTTTAATTGAAGAATTTTTTCTTCTAAATATTTTTTTTTCAGAAAAAAAATTCTTATTTTCTGTATTTTAATATTGAAGAATTTTTTTGTTTAATATTTTTTTTCCTATTTTCTGTATTTTAATTGAAGAATTTTTTTTCTAACTATTTTTTTCTCTTTTTCGCTTTTTTGGTTTTTTTTTCAGTATTTTAATTAAATAATACTTTGTTTTTCTTTTCAAAATAGAAAATATTTTAACGGAAATTTATTTTAAAACAATAAAGAAAGAAAAAACGAAAATTTCCTCCTTTTTTCTTTTTACATTCTGTTCATCCAATTTTGGACAATTTGATTTCTCCTGATTTTTCTCCACTGCCATTGCAAATTGTTTTTTGAAATTTTTTTGAATCCATTGATTCTCCTTTTTTCCGTTAATAATTAATCGCGTGCGGAAAAATCGGTACATTTTGAAAAATTCTCCTCTTTTTTTTTTTTTGCTCTAAAAATTAAAATTTTTAATTTTTTTTTTAATTATTAATTTATTTTTCCTCTTTTTCGAAAATATAACCAAAAAAATATTTCAATTCCATATTTTTTTATTCTGTAGATAAAATATATTTTTTAATTTTATAAAGTTTTTTTTTACCTTTTTTCTGGAATATTTGAAAAAAAAATACTGAATTCTTTCCTTTTTGTTGGGAATTTTTTTTATTTTCGAAACATTATAGAAATGTCATTTTTCGAAAAGCTGGTGATTTTTGGAAATAGAGAAAACAAATGACGATTTATTTATTTGTGTAATTGACTAATTGTTTATTTAAATGTTATTAATTATTAATTAAAAAAATTAGATTATTTTCAAGAATTTTACTATATAAATTTAATTACCTATTTTGAAACAAATTTTCATGAAATTCTTTAAAATAATCATTATTTTCAAAATTTTTAATAAAATTCCTTCAAAAAATTAAATTATTTTTAAAATTAGTAAAATTCTTCCCAAAAATTAAAATATTTTCATAAATAATAAATTTATTTATAAATTCAAATTATTTTAAACAATTGTGATAAAAAATACTTGGAAACAATTCAATTATTTTTATAAATTGTAAAATTCTTGACAGGAATTCAATTATTTTTTTGTAAATAATAAAATTCTTCTGACATTAAATAATTATTTATTTAGTTTAAAATTTTTTATTTTTATTTAGTTATTATTATTAATTGGTTATTATATATGTTTTATAAAGAGTAATTTTTTTTTGTCATTTTTTCTACAAATTGCAAGAAAAAAAAATTCTTTTTCGTAAATTGTTAGAAAAAAAATATTTTGTCATTTTTTTTATGAATTAACAACAAAAAAATATTATTGTTTTCAATATTTTTAATTTCATTCACTTCGTCAATATTACGGATAACCTTTAACATTTATTACACAAAGTTTGATAAACTGAGAAATATTATTAAAATAATAATAATAATGACAAAAAAAATTATTATTAATAAGAAAAATATTAATATTAATAAAATAGAAAAACTAAAAAAAAATCTAAATAATAAATTCGGAGTTTTTCTTCTTTACTTTCTTTCAGAAATTCGATAAATAAATTCAAAGTGTGATTTTAATTAAAAAAAAAAAAATATTAAAGATTGTAAAATTATCAATATTTTTGCGATAAAGAAAAAATAATTACGAAATAATTATTTTTTTCTTAACGTTCAAGAGATCCCCCGCGGTGATTATTGATGAAAATCGATTGGCTTTCAAAGATCACGTGACATTTAATTTAGAGAATATTCCAAATTTTATTGGACAGTTTTGTTGGAAGATTTTTTGACGCATGTGCTCGTGGTGTCATAAAATTAAAGCAGACGATAGAAAATATTTTCTCGACTCCGGTTTTATAATTCCCTTGGCCACCTGTTGAATTTTTCTTTCCAAATAAAATTTATTCACTATTTGAAATTGTTATAAAAATCAGCAAATTGCAACAATTACATTCATTGTTTCTTTTTGGGTAAGTAATAAATTTTACTTTATTTTATAAAACTACTTTTCTGTTACAACAATAAAATTCTTTCTTGTGTTCTTTTCATCTTTTTTTCAAGGTCACGGGGAGATTTAATTTTAGTTGCGAGAAGAGATTCTCTCTAATCTTCTGCGATTATTATAAAGAAAATAAAAAAAGAAAACAGTTTTCTTCTAAATAGGTATTTATTTTTCTCTTATTTTTAATTATTACTGTTAATTATTTATTTATTTATTTATTTAACAATATTATTTATTCGGACGTAATAGAATTTTTTTAATAATTGTTATAATTCGTTATTATTATATAAAGAAAGTAAATTATAATTATTCTTTATATTTCGTTAATTATTATCAATGAGAAATAATAATTTTACTATTGATTAAGAAATAATTATTTTCCATCAAATTCATTTAAGTAATAAATAATAATTATTCATAATTATTATTATTATTATTAAATTATTTAAAATTATTCATAATAATTATAATTATGTAATTAATAATAATAAATTTAGTTTCTAGAATTTTTTGTGTTCAATTTAATAAAGAGAAAACAATTTTTCCTCAGATTATTATTAATTATTTTTTATTTTCCATTTTTGAAAATCAATAAATTTTATTTGTTAATTTATTTTTTATCTAATTTTAATTTTTTTTGCAGCAATGTCACAAAAATCGATTTTGGTCATTGGAAGCGGTGGAAGGGAACATGCAATTTGTTGGAAACTTTCTCAATCGAAAGAGGTATTTTTATTTTCATTTTTTTTCGAAATTTGTAAGAAAAACGAAAAAAAAATTGAATTTTAATTTTATTTTAATTAAAATTAAATAATTAATAATTTTATTGAAATAAATACTAAATAAATTTTAATTTGCAAAAAAAAAACATTCTTTTTTCTATTGTTTTACTATTTATTACCTATATTTAAAATTAATTAAAGTAGATAATTTAAAAATTAAATTAAAATTACAAAATTTAAGGTGAAAAATGTATTCGTCGCTCCTGGAAATTGTGGAATGGCTTTGGAGCCGAAAGTTTCTCTGGTTAAACTCGACATTAATGACAATAAGGTAATTTGTTTATTTAATTAATAATTTAAAAATATTTATTAATGATATTAAATTAAATTTCTATTTTTTTTTTTTTTACCAAAAAAGTGAAAATCGAATTCTTGTAAAGAATTTTATTAATTTTTAAAAATAATTGAATTCTTGCGAAGAATTTTATTAAAATTTTTGTAAATAATTTATTGAATTTTTCTCGCAATTTTTTAAAATAATTTAATTCATTCACGGAATTTTATTAAAAATATGTATTGAAAATAATTGAAATCATTCTGAGAACTGAATAAATGAATAATTTACAGACTGTCGCCAAGTGGTGCATGGAAAATAAAATAAATCTAGTCGTCGTTGGTCCCGAGGCTTATTTGGCAAATGGATTAAGTGACGAATTAAACAAGAACCAAATTCCATGCTTTGGACCCGAAAAATGTGGAGCACAACTCGAAACCGACAAAAATTGGGCGAAAGCTTTTATGGACAGACACAAAATTCCCACTGCAAATTGGAAAAGTTTCACTGATTCCGAAGAGGCGAAAAAATACATCAAAACGTATTTAATTCATTTTTTATCTCAATTGACAAAAATTCTTTTTTTTTAAATTTTTTTTTCTAAATGCGAGAAATAAAAATAATTTGTTTTTTTATTTTTCAAAGGGCAACTTTCAAGGCGTTGGTGGTAAAAGCTTCGGGCTTAGCAGCGGGAAAAGGTGTCGTCGTCGCGGAGAATATCGACGAAGCTTGCAAAGCAGTCGACGAAATTTTGGGAGAGAAAAAATTCGGCTCCGCTGGAGAGACGATTGTAGTCGAGGAACTTTTAGAGGGGGAGGAAGTTTCCTTGTTAGCCTTCACTGACGGTATTTTTTTTTTTTTTCATTTCTTTGTTTAATATCTTTTTTAATTTCTTTTTTAAAATTCTTTTTATTATATTGATTTCTTTATAGTTTTAAATATTTTTTCTATTTTAAAATTAATTTACTGAAAATCATTGAATTCTTGTAAAGTATTTATGAAAAACTTTGAAAATAATTGAATTCGTTTCAAGAATTTTATAAAAATTTCTTACAAAATAATTGAATTCTTTCGAAAAAATGTAATAATTTAATTCTTGGCAAGATTTTTATTAAAATTCTTTAAAATAATTGAATTGTTTAGAAAAATTTATTTCAATATTCTTGAAAATCGTGGAGTTTTTTTTAAATAAGTTTTCTGAAAATTTTAAAAGTAATTGGATTTTATGAATAATTCAATTATTTTCAATAATTGTAATAAAATTCTTTGCAAAAAGTCAATTTCAAAATAATAAAAATCTTCGTAAAAAAATTCAAATATTTTTATATAAACAAAATTCTTTATCAGGATTTCACTAATTTTCAATACAATTTTAATTGATTTCTTAGAAAATTTCAATTATTTTTTAAAATCTTGTAAAAATTCTCCGAGAAAATTCATTTATTTAAAAAAAAAATACGTGAATTTTTCACAGAAGTTCAATTATTTTAAAAACAATTTTAATTGAATTCAATTCAAGAATTCAAGTATTTTCATAAATAATAAAAATTTTGCAGGAATTCAATTAACAAAATTTTAAGAAAAAATTCAATTATTTTCTAAAATTTCATTAATTTCAATTATTTTCAATATTTTAATAATATTCCCCAGAATGAATTAAATTATTAGAAAAATTGTATTAAACTTCTCAGGAGAATTCAAATATTTACAAAAATCTTAATAAAATTCTTTAGAAGAATTCAATTATTTTTATAAATAGTAAAATTCCTTGCAGGTATTAAATTATTTTTTATACAATTTTAATAAAATTTTACAAAAGAATTCAATTATTTTTTCTTTATTTTTAATACAATTTTTCGTTGAATTTCAATTATTTTAAATATAATTTTAATAAAATTCTTTTCAAAAATTAACTTATTTTTTAAAATTTTGCAAATATTCAATTATTTGTAGAAATAATAAATTTTTATGCAAGGTTTCAGTTTTTTTTAAAAAAGTTTTAATAAAATTCTATTTAAGAATTCAATTATTTTCAGAAATAATGAAGTTGTCAATGTACTAAAAATTGAATTGTTTTGAAAAATTTAATTACAATTTTGAAAAATAATTGAAGATTATTAATCTTGCGAAGATTTTTCTTATTTATGCGAAAATAGTTAAATTCTTGTCGAGGATTTTACAAATTCATAAAAATAATTGAATTGTTTCGAAGAATTTTATCTGAATTTTTAATTTAAAATCGGAATTTTAAATTATTTTAGGAAAAACGGTCGTCAATATGCTTCCTGCTCAGGATTACAAGAGAATTTTTGACAATGATCTTGGACCAAATACAGGAGGAATGGGAGCTTATTGTCCTTGTCCTTTTTTGAACGAGGAACAACAGAGGGAAGTGAAGAAAAATGTTTTGCAAAAAACAATCGACGGACTTCGAATGGAAAATATTCCATTTGTTGGTAATTTTATTTTGTTTCTAAATTATATATTTATTTACTTCGTTACCTAATTACTTATTTACATATTTATTTTTCAATTTATTTACTTCTCTTTTTCTTTTCTAATTTATTTACTTCCATTTTTCTTTACTGATTTATTTACTGTTATTTATTTACTTTATTTATATTCACTGTTTAATTTATTTATTTAGAAAATATAAATTCTCTTTTCGTTTTTCCCTCTCAAAATTGAATTTTCTAAATTTTTTTTTTCTTTTATTTCAAAACCAAAGAATGAAATGAAAATATTTCTTTAAATTTTTCAGGTGTTTTGTACGCGGGTCTCATGATTACGGAAAATGGACCAAAAGTTTTGGAGTTCAATTGTCGATTTGGCGATCCAGAGACGCAAATTCTTCTCCCATTGCTGAATTCTGATCTTTTCACCATTATGATGGTAATCATTGTTCTTTCAAAGAAATTTATTTTTCTCCTTTTCTTTTTTAGTCAATTATTTATTTATTTACGGCTATGATTAATTATTAAGTATTTTCTTTTTAATAATTAGTTATTTTCAATTTTTCCTTATTTATTTCTCTATTTTATTTACAAACTATATTTTTTAACTCCCTGTTTTATTTACAAAAAAAATATTTTTTATTTCTCCAAAAAAATATGTTATTCCTCTATTTTATTAACAAAACAAAAATATTTTGTTATTTGTTTATTTTGTTTTATTTAATTTCTCTATTTTATTTACGAAATATTTTTTTTTATTCTCTGTTTTATTTACAAAAAAATATTTTTTATTTCTCAAAAAAATGTGTTATTTCTCTATTTTATTTATTTACAAAATACATTTTTTGTTTCTTTTTTGGTTTTTTTAATTTCTTTCGTTTTCTTTAGTCCTGCTGCGAGGGAAATTTAAATGAAAATCTCGTCTCCTGGAGGAGAGATATTTTCGGCGTTGGCGTAATTCTCGCATCGAAAGGTTATCCAGAGTCGTCGTCAAAGGGAGAAATAATAACTGGCGTTGAAAATTTAAATTCCCATCAGGATCGTTTGATATTTCACAGTGGAACGAATTTATCTCCGAGTGGAAATTTACTGACAAATGGTAATTAAAATCAAATCAAAATGTTAAAATCTTTATTTTCATAACAATAATCTTTTACTTATAAAAAAGAACAGAAATTATTTTATTTTTTTTAATAAAAGAAATTCAAATACAAATTTTTGTTAATATTTATGAAAGGAAATATTCATATTTTGAAAGGAAAATACTAAAAACGTAAATTTTCTTAAAATTCAATTTTTTTTCTTAAATAGAAACAAGAATATGCAAAAATAATTTTTTTTACCTTTTTTTGTTTTTATTTATTATTAAATTACTAAAAGTGTATTTATTTTGTCAGATTAATTTTACGAGGCCTTTAAAGGCCTGACAAAATATTTAAAAAAAATGGGCGTAAAATTATTTTAACGAAAGTATTTATTATTTATTATTATTAATTTGTTATTTAAAGAAAAATGGTGTATTTTTAGAAATAAAAATAAGTTAAAGTTTTTTTTTTTAAATCAGAATAAAAAAGAAAAACTAATTTTTTATTTTCAGGTGGTCGGGTTTTAATCACAGTTTCTTTGTCATCGTCATTGGCTTCGGCCGCTGCAAAAGCAACGTCGATGGCGCGAAATATTTCCTTCGAGGGAAAACAATTTCGAACGGACATTGCACACAAAGGAATTGCAAGGTGTCAAAAAAAGAAAATAATTTCACTTTTTTTTCTTCGATAAATAGAAAAAGAAATTTATTTTTTATTTTTTCTATTAATTTCTTCATTTTTAAGTTTTTACTTATTTTTTTCTATTTTTTCTGTTTTCTTTTTTTCTATCTTTTGTTTTTTTTAATTATTTGTTTATTTTTGCATTTTTACGTTTTTTTCTATTTATTTATTTCTTTTCTATTCGTTTTTTTCTATTTATTTATTTCTTTTCGATTCGTTTTTTTTCTATTTATTTATTTCTTTAGTTTTTATTAATTTTTTCTTTTTATTTATTTTCTTTCGATTTATTTTTTTTTATATTTATTTTTCACTGTTTATATTTTTCCACTTGTTTTTTATTCGCTTCTTTTCTGTTTCGTATTTTCTTTTATATGCTTTTTCTATTTATTTCTTTTCTTTTTGTGTTTTTTTTTAATTATTTTCTTTTAGTATTTCTTTTATTTATTTTCTTTTAGTATTTTTTCTATTTATTTCTTTTCGATTGGATTTTTTTCTATTTTTTTCGTTTTCCTCTATTTATTTCTATTCTTTCTGGGTTTTCTATTTCATTCCTGTATTTCTGGTTTCTTTCCATTTATTTTTTTTCTATTCGTATTTTTTCTATTTATTTCTTTTCGAATGGTTTTTTTCTAATTTTTTCGTTTTTCTCTATTTATTTCTTTTCTTTTAATTTTTTTTTAAATTTTTTTTCTTTTTTTTCCTTTTATTTATTTAATTAGTTTTATTTAATTTTTTCTTCTTATTTATTTGCTTTCGATTTATTTCTTTTCTATTTATTTTTCTCTATTTCTTTATTCCACTTGTTTTTTTTATTTGTTTCTTTTCTGTTTCGTATTTTCCTTTTTTTATATTTTTTCTATTTGTTTATTTTTTATTTGTTTATTTATTCAGTTTTTTTTATATTTTCTTCTGTTTATTTTCTATTTATTTATTTTCCTTTTGTGTTTTTCTTTTTATTTCTTTTCTTTTAGTATTTTTTCTATTTTATTCTTTTCGATTTGTTTTTTTTTCTATTTTTTCGTTTTTCTCTATTCATTTCTTTTCTTTCTGGTTTTTTTGCTATTTATTTATTTTCTTTCTAATTTTTTTTTTCTAATTTTTTCTATTCATTTCTATTCTTTCTGGTTTTTTTCCATTTATTTCTTTGCTATTCGTATTTTTTTCTATTTCTTTTTTATTCAATTGGTTTATTTGCCATTTTTTCCGTTTTTCTCTATTCAATTTGTTTTCTATTTCTCCGATTCGCATTTTTTTCTGCTTTATATAATTATTGAAAAAGAAATTTTCAGATCGATTCTGGAGCATGGACAATTAACGTACAAAAGCAGTGGTGTGAATATTGAGGCGGGCGATTCATTTGTGGAGAATATTAAAAAAATGGTGAGTTCGACAAAAAGAACAGGAGTTTTGGGAAGTATCGGAGGATTTGGCGGTTTATTCGACGCGAAAGTTGCCGGCTATCAGGAACCACTTTTAGTCTCTGGAACCGATGGCGTTGGAACCAAATTGAAAGTAAATATAAATATAAAAATAATAAATAAAAGAAAAATATAAATATAAATGAAAAATATAACAAAATTAAAAAAAATAAATTTCTTAATGAAATTTTGCAATTATTTTTCGTTGGTCCTCTAAAGATAGCGTTCGAATGCGACAAGCACAATTCAGTTGGAATCGATTTGGTCGCAATGTGCGTGAACGATGTTCTTGCTCATGGAGCCGAGCCATTATTTTTCCTCGACTATTTTGCCTGCGGAAAATTGAATATCGAGAGAGCAGCGGAAGTTGTCAGTGGAATTGTCAAAGGCTGCAAACAAGCCGGATGCGCACTGGTAATTTTTTTTCCCCCTTTTCTTTAATTTACAAAATTTTCTCTTCTTTTCAAACAAAAAAAGAATTTCCTCTCATTTATAAAATTATTTATCTACTGAATAGACAAATACGAATAGATTCTTTATTTTTTTATTTATAAACTACAATATGTAGAATTATTAAATTGTTAACAAAATTTGCTTTAAAAAATTAAGTTAATGGTAAAATTTGTGCTTTGAAAAAAAGGTGGGAGGAGAAACTGCGGAGATGCCGGAAATGTACAAAGAGGGAGAATACGATTTGGCTGGATTCGCCGTGGGAGCAGTTGAGAAAAATCATTTAATGCCAAGAAGAAATGATATGAAATCAAATGACATTGTCATTGGACTTCCATCGAGTGGAATTCACAGCAATGGTTTTAGTCTCGTTAGGAAAATCATGAAATTAGCCGATAAATCCTACAACGATCAGACGCCGTTCTCGAATAAAACGTTTGGTAATAAAAAGGGAGAAATAATTTTTAATTTACTATTTTTTTATTTTTAATTTAGTATTTTTTTTCATTTTTGGTGATTTCAGTTTGAAAAGAATTCTATTTTATTTATAGGTGAAGAATTTCTAACGCCGACGAAAATCTATTCAAAGGGCGTTCTTCCCGCTTTGAGGACAAATTTAGTTAAAGGATTCGCTCACATAACTGGCGGAGGATTAACGGAAAATATTCCTCGTATTTTGCCGGATAATATTTCCGTTTCGTTGAATGCGAAAAAATGGATAATTCCGTCTGTTTTTGGCTGGCTCGCCACTATTGGTTAGTAAATAAAAATTAGTAATTTTATATAAATTTGTAAATTTAATCTAAATTTGGTTTAATTAAGCAAAAAAAATTTGTTTAAAGTTTAATTCACTTTTAAAAAAGTTTCATTCTTCCGCAGGCGGAATCAATAAAGCGGAAATGTTACGAACATTTAATTGTGGAATTGGTGCTGTTCTGGTTTGTGCGCCAGAAGATGAGAAAATTGTTCTTGAAAAATTAAAAGGCGAAAATCCCATTGTCATTGGAAAATTGACACATTTCAATGGTAATTCATTTTTTGTTATTAATTTTAACTTTTTTTCTTTTAATATCTTATACACAACGAATTTTACTCTCAATTATTTAAAACAATGTTTGTAAAATATTCAATTTTCAATTGAATTCAATTATTTTCAAAAATAACAAAATTTTTCACTCAAATTAAATTCTTTTTACACATTTAAATAAAATTTTTCGCAATAATTCAATAATTTATATAAATAATAAAATTCTTCTCAAGAAATGAAATATTTTTGAAAATTTTAATAAAATTCTTAGCAACTATTTCATTTATTTTCATAAATAATAATATTCATCGCATGATTTCAATTATTTTTAAACGTTTTAATATAATTTTTCGCAATAATTCAATTATATTTTCATAAATAATAAAATTCTTCTCAGGCATTCAATTATTTTTGAAAATTTTAATAAAATTCTTTGGAAGAATTCAATTATTTACAAAAATATTAGAATATTTCACAGGAATTCAATTGTTTTCAAATATTTTCATAAAATTCTTCGAAAAAAATAAATTATTTTAAATACAAATTGAATTACATTTTTTTGAAATAATTCAATTATTCTTTTGGATTTTAATAAAATTCTTCCCAAGAATTCAAATATTTACAATTAAATAATTCTTCGACAGAATTCAATTATTAAAGATAAATAACAAAATTATTCACGAAAATTCAATTATTTTGAGGCATTTTAATCAAATTCTTTGCAAAATTCAATTATTTTCAAAAATAACAAAATTTTTCACTGAAATTAAATTCTTTTTACACATTTAAATAAAATTCTTAGCAACTATTGAATTATTTTTATAAATATTAAAATTTATCACAGAATTTCAATTATTTTTAATATACAAGTTTTTAGGAATTGCTCGAAAAATGAAATTTTTCTTAAAAATTTATTTTCAATTCCTCAAAAAAAGTCAATTATTTAAAATATGTTGTTTTTATAAAATTCTTTGGAAGAATTCAATTATTTATAAAAATATTAGAATTTTTCACAGAAATTCAATTATTTTCAAAAAATAATAATATTCATCATAGGAATTCAATTATTTTTAAAAGTAATAAATTTATTCTTGAAAATTCAATTATTTAAAAATATTCTAATAAAATACTTTTTAGGAATTCAATTATTTTCAAAAAAATTTACTTAAATGCCACACAGACATTCAATTATTGTCAAAAATTTTAATAGAATTTTATTCTTTGTAAAATTTAATTATTTTTAAGCATTTTTCGCAATTCAATGATTTTCAATATTTACTATTTTCATAAAATTTACAAACAGAATTCAATCATTTAAAAAAATTTCTCAGGAATTCAATTATTTTAACTTGAATTTGAATAAATTTAGTCAAAAAAATAAAATTATTTTTGAAAATATTAATTGAATTTAATTATTTTCAAGAATTTTAATAAGAATTTAATTATTTTCAAAAATTTTTATAAAATTCTTCGAAACAATTCAATTATTTTTATAAATTGCAAAATTCTTCGCAAGAATTCAATTATTTTGATAAATAGTAAAATTATTGGGAAGAATTCAATTATTTTTTATAAATAATAAAATTCTTTGCGAATTTCTTTAAAATGATTGAAATGTGTTGAAGAATAATTGTAATAAAATTCTTTGCAAAAAGTTAATTTATAAATAATAAAAATCTTTGTAAAATATTCAATTATTTTTAAATAAATAATAAAATTCTCAACAGAATTTTACTTATTTTCAATACAATTTTAATTAATTTCTCCGAAAATTTCAATTATTGATAAAATTTTTTAAAAAATTCTCTGAGAAAATTCAAAAAAATAATTGAATTTGTCACAGGAGTTCAATTATTTAAAAAAGTTTTTAAAATATTCAATTCAAGAATTCAATTATTGTCAGAAATAATTAAATTTCCGCTGGAATTCAATTATTTTAAATACTACAATTTTAATTGAATTTTATGGAAAATTAAATTATTTTTAAACATTTTTTTCTATTCTTCGAAAGAATTCAATAATATCAATAAATAGTAAATTTTTTCACAGGAATTCAATTATTTTTAATACAATTGTAATATAAAATTCTTCTCAAAAATTTCATTATTTTTTGAAATTTTGCTGAAATTCAATTATTTTTATTTATTTTATTTATTATTATATATTTATTTCTCTTTTTTCGTTTTAAAAATAAATTTTCCAATTTATTGTTTTCCTCGATTTTCAGATAATGTGACGCGGGTGGAAGTGAATAATTTCGAGGAGGCAATGGATGGTGAAATGAGAAAACACGTGAAGCCACTTGTGGAGAAATTGTCGAAGCCATTGAAAAAAGTTGGCGTTTTAATATCGGGCAGTGGAACTAATCTTCAGGCATTAATTGACGCGACTTTGGATCCATTGCAACATATTGGAGCCGAAATTGTTCTCGTCATTTCCAATAAACCGGACGTCGAGGGCTTGAAGCGCGCCCAGAAATTTGGAATTCCCACTAAAGTTTGTCTCACATTTCTTTTTCATTTCTTTTTCGAAAATTTGTATTCAAAATTATTATTTCTATCATTTCTTTTTCATTTATTTTTCGAAAATTTGTATTCAAAATTATTATTTGTCTCATTTCTTTTTCATTTATTTTTCGAAAATTTGCATGCAAAATTATTATTTGTCTCATTTCTTTTTCATTTATTTTTCGAAAATTTGTATTCAAAATTATTGTTTATTTTTTTATCTTCAACAAAAAACGGAAAGATAAATAATAAATTCAATAATTATTATTATTCTATTATTTTATTTAATAATAATAATTATTATTATTGTTCAAATAATTAAACGTCCTTTTTTTAAATATTTTGTCAGTTTAATTAAAATTTAAACTGACAATAATTATTATTATTATAAATAACAGTTAGTTAGTTGCTTTTTTAGTTTTCTGCTAGTTTTTTATTATTAGTGAAAAATAATTAATAATTAAATTTATTTTTTATTAGGTCGTAAAGCATACAAATTATCCGACTCGCGAGGAATTTGACGAGGCAATGGACCTGGAATTGCGAAATTGCGGAGTGGAAATTGTTTGTCTCGCTGGATTTATGAGAATTCTTTCGGCGAAATTCGTTCACAAATGGAAAGGAAAAATGCTAAATGTCCATCCATCGCTTTTACCATCTTTCAAAGGTTCACACGCGCACAAGGATGTTCTCGCTGCCGGTGTTCGAGTTTCCGGTTGCACCGTTCATTTTGTCGAGGCAAATATTTTTTTTCCTTTTTCAAAACTAAAATTTCTTTCAGTTTTTTTTTTTTTATATTTTTCTATATTTTCTTTCTCGTAACTTTATTTATTTTCTTTGTTTTCTGTACTTTTTGTTTTTTTCTAACTTTCTTTCTCTTCAAAACTTTATTTCATTTATTAAATTTCTTAATTTTCTTAATTTCCCTCATATTCTTTACTTTCATCATTTTCTTTACTTTCTTCATATTCTTTACTTTTCTTATTTCTTCATTTTCTCTATTTTCTCTATTTTCTTTATTTTTCTGTTTTTTCCCTTTTTCTTTTACGTTTTCTTTCTTTTTCTCCATTAATTTTTGTTTCTTTTCTTTTTTTGTTAAAATTTTCATTTCAATTAATTTATTTTTTCTTTTTACTTATTTTCATTATTTTTCTTTGTTTTTTTTTCTCTCTTTTATTTTTGTATTTTTTTCTCTTTTTTATTTTTGTATTTTTTTCTCGTTTTTAATTAATTAATTTTTCATTTTTTAATTATTATAATTATTTCTTTATTTTCTCTATTTTCTGTACATTCCTTATTTTTTTTCTTATCCGTCTTTTTCCTTTTATTTTTATTTCTTATTTGTTTTTCTTAAAATTACCATTTTTTCTATTTTTATTTCCTTTTTTTATTTTCATTTTCTTAATTTTCTTTTCTTTATTTTTCTCTGTTTCATTCTCTTTTTCATTTTTGTATCTTTTCTCGTTTTTTATTTAATTTTCTATTTTAATAAACTTCTTTTTTCCTTTTCATTTTGTTTATTTTCTTTTTATAATTTCTATTTATTTCTTTCTTTTTATATTTTTCTCTGTTGTTTTCTTTTTATTTTTGTTTATTTTCAATTTGAATTATAACTTTCAATATAAATTAATTTCTTTTTAGTTTTTTTTAAAATTTTTTTCATTTTTTTTTATTTGCTTTATTTTTTTTCATTTATTTTACTTATTTCTTCATTTTCTTTCATTTATTAAAATTATTTCTTTATTTTCTCTATTTTCTCTACTTTCCTTATTTTTCTTTTCTTTATTTTCTCTATTTTTCTCTGTCTTTTTCCTTTTATTTTTGTTTCTTATCTCTTTTTTAAAATTTCAATTTTTTCTACTTCTATTTCTATTTGTATTTTCTATTTTCATTTTCTTAATTTTCTTTTCTTTATTTTTCTCTTTTTTTCCCTTATTTATGTTTCTTTTTTCTTTCTGTTCTTTTTCTATTTTTATTTTATTTTTCTATTTTTTACTTATTTTTATGTTATTTATTTTCTCTATTTTATTAATTTCTTCATTTTCTCTATTTTTCTTCCTTTTTTTTGTTTCTTATATTTTTTTCGTAAAATTTCCATTTTTTCCATTTTTACTTTTCTTTGTATTTATTTTCTTTATTTTTACTTTTCTTTACATTTTTTTTCTTTATTTTTATCTGTTTTTCTCCTTTTTATTTTTGTATCTTTTCTCGTTTTATTTAATTTTCCATAATAATTAATTTCTTTTTTCCATTTTTATTTTCTTTATTTAATTTTTATTTGTTTTCTTTATTTTTATCTGTTTATTTTTTTCTTTTATCCAATTTTATTTCTTTTTTCTTACCTATTAAAATTTAAATTCATATTTTTTTATTTTACGTTTTTTTGTTCCTTTTTTTTGTTTAATTTTTATTTGTTTTCTTTATTTTTATCTGTTGCTTTTCTTTTTTCGTTTTTATTTCTTTTTTGTTATTAAAATTTCAATTCAATTTTTTTTTCTGCACGTTTTTTGTTGTATTTTTTTATTGAAATTTTTTGTTCTTCTTTTTATTTAAATTTTCTGTTCTTTTTATTCATTTAAATTTTTTGTTCTTTTTTTTATTGAAATTTTTTGTTCTTCTTTTTATTTAAATTTTCTGTTCTTTTTATTCATTTAAATTTTTTGTTCTTTTTTCTATTTAATTTTTTGTTCTTCTTTTTATTTAAATTTTCTGTTCTTTTTATTCATTTAAATTTTTTCTTCTTTTTTCTATTTAATTTTTTGTTCTTCTTTTTATTTAAATTTTTTGTTCTTTTTATTCATTTAAATTGTTTGTTCTTCTTTTTATTTAAATTTTCTGTTCTTTTTATTTATTTAAATTTTTTTTCTTCCTTTTTTCTATTTAAAGTTTTATTCTTTTTTCTATTTAAATTTTTTATTCTTTTTTTTTATTTCAATTTTTTTGTTCTTTTTTTTCAATTCAATTTTTTGTTATAATTCCTTTTTTTTGTTATTAACAATTTTTTTTTTGTTTCCAGGTGGACATTGATTCAGGTGCAATAATCGAACAAGAAACAGTTCGCGTTTTACCAAATGACACTGAAGAAACTCTCCAGGAACGTGTGAAAAAAGTTGAACATTTGGCTTTTCCAAAAGCTCTCAAACACCTCGCGACGGAAAGAATTTTCCTCAGAAATGATGGAACCTTAGAATGGAAATTTTAAATTATCAAAAAAAAAAAAAAAAAAAACATTTTAATATCCAGAAAATAATGTATTTTTTAATTTTGTACATTTTTATCATAATTATACACAACACAGAAATATAAAAAAAACAATTTCAACAAAAAAATTAATTCCCTTCTTTCATTTCCTGTAAATTTTCAAAATTAAATTCATTAAAAAATTATTTAATGAATTCGAAGCATTACATTTTTTTCCATTCAAAAAAAAAAAATATTGAAATTAAAAAAAAAGTTTTTAGATAATTAATATTTTTTTTTGTAATTTTTTACTAATTATTTTCGTTTTCAATTAATGATCAAAATTAAAAAAGTCCAATTAATATAAAAATTGGAAAAAAATTTTTTTTACTTGAATTACTATTTTTTTTACTATTTTAATAATTTTTTATTAATTATCTTCAATTTAATAATTTAAACAAAAAAGTCCAAAAAATAATTAAAATTTTTTGATTTTTTTCTGTTTATAAAAAAAGAATTTTTGAATTTTAAATTTCCCGCGCACTTTTAGATTTGTTAATTTAAAGGTAAGTCCACAAGAGAACTGGAAATTCGATCTTCTTTTTTTCGTTATAAAAGAAGGAGAGGGGGAAGTCTTGATGAAAATTACCAAAGAGGGGGAAATGCAAGAGGAAAATAATGAAAAAGAAAGAGGGGAGGGGAAATTCTCCTCCTTTGTGTTTGAATTTCCCGCGCAGCTTGAAAAAAAAGAAAGAATAATAAAGGTGGTATCCACAAGAAAAAAAAAAACGTTTCGTGTGGTGGGGCGCGCCTTAGATTCAACCTTCCCATCTCTGCTGACTCGAATGAAAATTGCAACCCTATGAATCAAACTTAATCCCTCACTCTTCTTTTTTTCACGGTTCAGTGCAAGCTTCACGTTGCTAAAATGCGCTGTCGCGTCCTTTGACACGGTTTAACCGAAACTTGAGAGACGGTTTTCAGCACATTTTTCACTCATTTTTTTTCACTCTTCGAAATATGATTTCAGTGAGCCGGGAATTAATTTGTTACGCGAATCAATTATAATTTGTGTTAATTAGTTGACGGAGTTATTATTTAGAGGGGACTTTAATTTGAAAGAAATAAAGTGAGAATATATACAGACGTGAGCATCCCAATCGTGAGAATATATTTGCTTTATTGATATTTTGAGAAGTGCCACGGGCCTGGCGCGGTGTCTATGCATATCTCCAGGTAAATAAATATTATTTCACCAAATTTTTTAAACATTAAATATGAAATTAAGAATGCTTTTAATTGTCTGTGTGTGTGAAAATTGTGAACATTATTGTTCTAAATGATATTTTAGGGGAAAATTTTGTTTACATTTCTTGTTGAATGCGTGCGGGGTACGAACAACATAACCTTAAAAAAATTCACCTCTATACGATGCTCTGGCATTTTTCTTTATAATTATAATAAAAATGTTATAATCGAAACTAGTTTTTGTAATTAAAAAGTGAAAATTCTCCATCTCTTGATTTTCATTGCAAAAGAAATGTTTTATTTCCGTTTTAAATCGTAAACTGAAATTGTATGTAAAAAATTGTTTTGTCTTTTTTGTTCCGGAAAAAATTGTTTTTACCATTTCTTTTTACAGAAAATATTTTAATTCCAAATTTGACAATTTTTTCCCTCCTATTTTTGTAAATTTGGTGCTAATTCTCTTTTATTGATGTGTTTGTAATAATTTCGTTTTTTTCCCCTTTATATAGTAAGTAATTAGAGATAATTTTTGTCATTGTTTTCACAATTATTCTTTCTGCAAATATGTCGGATTTGTGTTTGTTCTTTTTTTTCTTTGCTTTTTTTTTTGTTTTTTTTTGATAAAAAAGAATAAAAAGTGGGAAAAAAAATATAAATTAGGTGGAAATATTAACAGTTGTGTTGTGATCTATTTTTTTCATGCATTTGTGAAATTTAAAATCTATTTTTCCAAGGTCTTATAATAAAGAATTCCAAGAAAAAAAATTGTGTTAAACTAGTTAAATTTACGGTTTTAGTAAAATTCAAATTTTTACTTAAAATATTTTGGTGAAACAAAAAAAATCGTAGAATTCGTTATTCAATTTTAAAAAAATGGAAAATTAATTACTTGATAAATATTATGATTAGTCTAAATAAAATAAAAATTAGTTATCAATTTTTTATTCTTTCAGGTATTTTTTGTTTTATTATTATTGTCATTATAATTATTGTATTTTTAATAATTTTTAATTTTTCTATTTAAATGTTTTCAACTTTAAAAATTAATGTATTAAAATCATTCAATTCTTGCAAAAAATTTGAAAATAATTGAATTTTTACGAAGAATTTTATTTAAATTTTTGAAAATTTTAATTAAATTCTTTCCAAGAATTTATTTGAATTTGATTTTTTGAATAATAATCGATTTTGTTAATAATTGTAATCAATAATTAATAATTTTACTATTATTATTATTATTAATTGTAATTAACAATTTTCCTATTAAATTATATTAAAATTATTCAATCGAAAATTAAATTATTTTAAACAATTTTATTAAAAATTTAATTTTTTTTTTGATAAATTTCATTAAATTTCGTAAAAATAATAAAAAAATTTTAAAGAAAGTTTAATTGAAAATTTAGAAAATAATTAAAATTATCTTGAATATAATTGAATTTTTTGCTATAAATTTAATTCAAATTGTATTGAAAATAATTGAATTTCTCAGAAGAATTTTATTATTTACAAAAAAAAATTGAATTCTTGACAAGAATATTTTAGAATTTATAAAAATAATTGAATTGTTTCGAAAACTTTATTAACATTTTCATGGAAAATAATTGAATTAATTCGAAAAATTTTGTTAAAAATTTGAAAAAAAAGTAATTGAATGCTTTCGTGAAATTTTACTATTTATAAAATTGATATAAAAATATTTGTATTCTTGAGAAGAATTTTATTGAACTTTTTTGAAAAGAATAAACATTAATAATTAATTCTGTACTTTTTTGGAATTTTGAATAAAAGTTAAGTAAATAAAAAAATACAAATATTTACAACATGAGTAATAAATAAATAAATAAAGAAGTAAAGAAATAAAAAAAAGTATTTTTATCATTTTTGTCAATATATCCAAGAATATTTTCAAGTTTTTTTATTTAATTTTTTTTTTTAGAGCAAATTTTGTTGAAATATTTTCGAGTCTTTTTTCATTTAATTAATTTTTATTGGTAAATTTTACTCAAATATTTTAATACATACTTTTTTTATTTTATCTATTTCCCTTTTTTTGTTGTAAATTTTGCTGAAATATTTTCAATTTTTTTTTGTTATTTCACTTTTTTGTTTAGTAAATGTTTCTCAAATATTTTCGAATTTTTTTTATTGAATTAATTTTTATTAGTAAATTTTACTCAAATATTTTAATAGCCTTTTTTTAATTTTTCTATTTCCCTTTTTTTGTTGTAAATTTTGCTTAAATATTTTCCATTTTTTTTTATTTCATTTTCTTTAGTAAAAGTTTCTCAAATATTTTCGAGTTTTTTTTTGAATTAATTTTTATTAGTAAATTTTACTCGAATATAAATATTTTCGTTTTTTTCTCGTTTTTTTAAGTATTTATTTTATTTATTTGATTTATTTCTCCATTGTACAGTTTACAGAAGCTTATACAATATAAGTTTTTTTTTTCGTTTGTTTTTTTGTAGTAAAATTTGCTGAAAAATATTTTCGAGCTTTTTCATTAGTAAAATTAGTTACAATATTTTTATGGTTTTTTTTATTTAAATATTTTTTTTCGGTAAATTTTGCTCATATATTTTCGAGTTTTTTTTTCATTTTTCATTTAAATTTTTGGGTTTTTTTTAAATAAATTTAAAATTAAATTTTCTATTTTTCATTTAAATTTTTGGGTTTTTTTAAAATAAATTTTGTTTGTTGCATTGTTTTTGCAGAGTTTGGACGGTATTCTAGACGATCGTCGAGATAGTAGGAAAAACTCTTTAAATCAGTGTCGATTTAACAGCTGACACCATGACTGAAATTGTTTACCCTCAGGGGTGCAGGCCCGTCACTGAAGATTTAGGTCCTGATGAATTAATTCGACGACTCAAGGTTCATTCATTTTTCATTTTAATTACCAATATATTTTTTTTTTTACTTTTCAACGTAATTAGATATATTTTTAATTTATATGTTTCTCTATTTTTTATTTTTGAATATAATTATATATATTTTTCTTATTTCTCAATTGTCTCTCGTTTTTTTTTATTTTTCAATATAATTTTATTTTCCAATTTCTATATTTCTCTATTTTTTTTTATTTTTCAATATAATTATATTTTTCATATTCAATATTTCTCGATTTTTTTATTTTTCAATAATAATTATATTTTCCTTATTTCTCAATTGTCTCTCGTTTTTTTATTTTTCAATATAATTTTATTTTTCAAATTCAATATTTCTCTATTTTTTTTTTATTTTACATAATTATATTTTCCAAATTCAATATTTCTCTATTTTTAAAATTTTTTATCTATTTTTTTAATTCCTCTTTTCTCTCTCAATTTTTTTTCTAAAGTTTTTAAACAATGATCTAAAAAAAATTTTCTCCTTCCTAACTTTATAGTCGTAATTGTTTTATTGTTTTGAAAAAGAATTCTTTTTACACTTTTTTTTTAAGTTTTGCATTTTTTTTTAATGTTACTTTTTAATTCTATATTTCTCTATTTTTTCTTTTTCTTTTCTTTTCTTTATAGTAATTTATTTTTTATCTATTTTCTGGTTATTTTTTAAAACTTTTTTGTTTTTTTTCTTTTTTCTATCTTTTTTCTTTCTTTAATGTTTTTCCTTTTTCTTCACATTCTTTCGTTTTTCTTTCTTAAAATATTTTCTTTTTTCTTTCTTTACATTCTTTCTTTAGTTTTTTTCTTTTTCTTTAATGTTTTTCCTTTTTCTTTAATTTTCTTCTTTTTTCTTTGTTGTTTTTTCTTTCTGTAATGTTTTTCTTTCTTTAAATTCTTTCGTTTTTCCTTCTTTAAATTTTTTCTTTTTCCTTTCTTCAATGTTTTTTTTTCTCGTTTCTCTTCAGACTTTGGCGCACACATTGCAAGCAATGGGCCAGGATGAAGGAATGTATCAACAATACATCCCATTGGCACTTCATTTGGCAGAGGAACATTTCCTGATGCATCCAAGTAAAGATGTTCAACTTTTAATTGCCTGCTGCATTGCTGATGTTCTCCGAGTTTACGCGCCCGAAGCTCCATACAAAGATGCTGATCAGGTAATTTTTTACATTTAGTTTTATTCAATTAATAAAGAATTTTTTAAAAATAATTGAAAAAGGAATTAAATTTAATTCTGTTTTTTTCTCTCTTAATTTTTATTGCAGGTGAAGACAATATTTCTGTTCCTCATCAAGCAGCTGGCTGGCTTGAAGGATCCAAAGGATCCGGCATTTAAACGATATTTTTATCTTCTGGAAAATTTGGCCTACGTCAAGTCCTTCAATATGTGCTTCGAACTTGAGGATTGTCAGGAAATATTTTGCGCCTTATTTTCCCTCATGTTCAAAATCGTCAAGTGAGTTTTATTCAATTTTCTCTTAAAAGCAAAAATAAAAAAAAAAACAGAATTTTTCCTTCTTTAAATAGAATTTTCTTTAGCTCTAAAAATAGAAAAGGAAGAAAAAATTGAATGAAATTTATTAAAAAAAGGGGAAATTTTTCTTTTCTTTCAGTGACGAGCACTCGGGAAAGGTGAAAAGTTTCATGTTGGACGTTCTGTGTCCACTGATCACAGAATCCGATATTGTCAGCAATGAATTGCTCGATATTATTTTATTGAATATCGTCGAGCCGAATAAGACCCAGAGGAAGAATGCTTATCTCCTCGCTAAGGAACTTGTCGTCAAATGCAGCGATACTCTCGAACCTTATATTCAAGCGGTAATTTATTTCATTTTTTTAAATTGTAATTTAATTAATTTACAGGTCTTGGATATTGACATTTCCGACTTTTTTTCGACTATTTTCAAAAAACTGAGACTTTTTTCGATTTATTTTCAAAATTTGCTACTTTTTCGACTATTTTCAAAAACTCTGACTTTTTTCGACTTATTTTCAAAATTTGACACTTTTTTCAACTCTATTTCTCAACTTTCTTCAAAAACTAATTTTTTACGACTTATTTTCAAAATTTGACATTTTTTCAACTTATTTTCAAAAATTGACACTTTTTCGATTTTTTTCGTGACTATTTTCAAAAACTGAGACTTTTTTTTACTTATTTTCAAATTTGCCACTTTTTCGACTTTTTTTTAAAAAACTGTTACTTTTTTCGACTTATTTTCAAAGTTTCCCACTTTTTCGACTATTTTTAAAAACTGTGACTTTTTTGACTTATTTTCAAAATTTTCCTCTTTTGTCGACTTTTTTTCTCAACTATTTAAAAAAAAGGACTTTTTTCGACTTATTTTCAAAAGTTGCTACTTTTTCGACTTCTTTCTCGGCTATTTTCAAAAACTGCGACATTTTCAACGTTTTTCGACTTCTTTTTAAAAAATTGCCTATAAAAAAATTCTTCTAAGACTTTTTTAAATGTTTGAATAAAATTTTTCGATGAATTCAATTATTTTTATAAATAATAAAATTCTTCAAAGGAATTCAATTATTTTCATTAATAATAAAATTCTTCGGAAGAATTCAATTATTTTCAAATTATACAATTTAAAATTTCACGAATAGATTCAATTACATTTATTTAATTGTTAATAGAATTTTTCGAAAAAATTCAACTACTTTTTTAAAATTTTATTAAATTTTTTGAAACAATTCAATTATTGTTTTAAATAGTAAAAATTTGTAGGAATTCAATTATTTTCAATACAATTATGCAATTTTAATAAAGTTTCACAAAAAGGATTCAATTTTTTTTTCAATACAATTTTTCGAAAGAATTCAACTATAATCAAAAATATTAATTAAATTCTATATAAGAATTCAATTATTTTCCTAAATAATTGAATTCTCGGAAAGGATTTTTTTTTATTTTCATAAATATTTGAATGCTTATAAATGATTTTATTAATATTTTTGAAAATAATTGAATTATTTTAAAAGAAATTTAGTATCATTTTTGAAAATAATTAAATTCTTCAGAAAAAAATGATAATTGAAAATAATTTTATTAATTTCAAATATTTTAATAAAATTCTTGTCAAGAATTCAATTCTTTTCAGAAATAATAAAATTCTTCGGAAGAATTCAATTATTTCCAAATTTCTTTATAAATGACTACGAATATTTTTGAAAAATTATCTTTAAAAAGAGTAAATTAAAATTTTTAATAAAATCTATTTAGACTTGTCATTTAAATTTTCGCGAAATCATTATATTTTGCTTTTTATAAATTAAAATTTGTTAAAAAAATTCCTTAAAAATAATTTATTTAGAGAAGAGATTCAATTAGAATTTTTCTAGAAAATAATTGAATTCTCGAAGAATATTAGAAAAATTATTAAAAATAATTTTTTAATTAAAATTCTTAAAATAATTCCTCAAAAATAATTTATTTAGAGAAGAAATTCAGTTAGAAATTTTCTGGAAAATAATTGTATTCTCCAAGAACATTAAGAAAATTATTAAAGATAATTTATATAAAGAAGAAATTTTGTTCGAAATTCTAGAAAATAATTGAATTTTGAAAGAATTACAGTTAAAATGATAGATTATTGAATTTTCTGCGAGCATTTGGAAAATTTTTATTAATAATTTATTTAGAGAAGAAATTCAGTTAAAAATTGTCTGGAAAATAAAAGTTGTTGTTTAGAAAATAATTGAATTTTAGAAAACAATTGAATTTTCGAAAATAATTGAATTTTCGAAATTAATTCGAACTAATTGAATAATTTAGATAATTGAATAAGAAAACTATTGAATTTTAGAAGAGTTACGATTACATCGAAATATAATTGAATTTTTGTATTTGAATAATTGAATTCTCGCGGAAAAACTTTTGTTGGAAATTATTTGAAAAAAAATTGAATTTTCAAAACTAATTCGTAATAATTGAATAATTGAATTTAGAAATAAGTTAAAGGGGAAAATCAGATTATAAATAATTCTAAAGAAATATAAATACTGAAGTGCAACTTAATTAAAAAAAAATAAGTTTGATAATTTAAATTAATAAAATAATAGGTTTAATATAATTGAATGAATAAAAGAATTCGTCGTTCTCTTTTTTCAGTTCTTCAATCACGTTCTAATTCTGGGCAAAGAAGAGAAGAATCTACAGATTGCAAAGAAGGTTTACGATTTAATTTACGAATTAAATCACATATGTCCGAGTGTATTGCTCTCGGTTTTGCCGCAATTGGAGTGTAAATTGAAATCGGCATCGGAAAATGAGAGATTGGGCGCCGTTGCACTGTTGGCGCGAATGTTCTCGGAGAAGGGCTCACAATTGGCCATTCAGCATGCCCAATTGTGGCGCGCATTTCTCGGCAGATTCAATGATATTAGCGTGTCGATTCGCATAAAGTGCGTTCAATATTCAATGCATTTTCTCTTGAATCATCCTGAGCTAAGGAAAGACATCACCAATACATTGAAATTGCGACAGCACGACGCTGATGAGAATGTGCGCTACGAAGTTGTCATGGCAATTGTCACCACTGCCAAGCGTGACTTTGAGGTCGTTTCCGACAGTGAGGATTTACTTGAATTCGTCAAGGAGCGCACTCTCGATAAGAAGGTATTTTTGCTTTTAATCTTTTTTGTATTCTTTCCACTTTTCTGTATTTTTTTGTCCCTTTCTGTATTTTTTCTACTTTTCTGTATTGTTTGTCCCTTTTTTGTATTTTTGTCCCTTTCTGTATTTTTTCTACTTTTCTGTATTTTTTGTCCCTTTCTGTAATTTTTTCTACTTTTCTGTATTTTTTTACCCTTTTTGTATTTTTTCTACTTTTTTGTATTTTTCTACTTTTTTGTATTTTTATCCCTTTCTGTATTTTTTATAAAAAATAAAATTTTTTTAAATTTGTCATTAAATTCTTCCCCTAAATTCAATTCAATTTTTATACAATTCATTGTAAAATTCAATTATTTTCATAAATTACGATATTTATCATAAGAATTCAATTATTTTCAATCAAAATTAATAAAATTCAATTATTTTCAAAAATTTCAATAAAATTAAATGCAAAATTTCAATTATTTCCATAAATAACAGTATTCATCACAAGAATTCAATTATTTTCAAAATTAATAAAATTCAATTATTTAAAAAAATTTTTTTTAAATTCTATGCAAAATTTGAATTGTTTTCAAAAAAATTTCTTAATTTAATGATTTTCAATATTCTACTATTTTAATGACATTTTTTTATAAAATACAATTATTAAATACAAATTTTGATAAAATTCATTGTAAAATTCAATTATTTTTAGAAATTACGATATTCATCATAATTCAATTATTTTCATAAATTACGATATTCATCATAAGAATTCAATTACTTTCAAAATTAATAGAATTCAATTATTTTCAAAAATTTTAATAAAATTCAAGGTAAAATGTCAATTATTTTCAAAAAATTTTCTTAATTCAACGATTTTAAATATTCTATTTTTATTAAATTTTTCCAAAAGAATTGAATTATTTAACAAAAATTTTGATAAAATTCTACACGAACATTCAATTATTTAAAAAAAAACAAAAATTCCACAGGAATTCAATTATTAGAAATAAAATTTTCAAAAATATCAAATGTTTTAAAATTTAGCACTAAATTCTTTTCCCAAATTGAATTATATTCAGGAATTTTTATAAAATTCATTTGTAAAATTCAATTATTTTCAAAAATTTTAATAAAATTGAAGGAAAAATTTCAATTATTTTCATGAATAATAAAATTCATCACAAGAATTCAATTATTTTCAAAAATTTCAATAAAATTCAAGGTAAAATTTCAATTATTTTTAAAAATATATTCTTAATTAAAGTATTCAACGATTTTCAATATTTTACTATTTTAATTAAATTTTTCCAAAAGAATTTAATTATTTAACAAAAATTTTGATAAAATTCTACACGAACATTTAATTATTTTTCAAAAATGAAAATGAAAATTCCACAGAAATTCAATTATTTAAAATAAAATTTTCATAAATTTTTTCAAAAAAAAATCAAATTTTTAAAAATTTCGCGTTAAATTCATCGCCGAAATTCAATTATATTCAAGAATTTTGATAAAAATCATTGTAAATTATTATTCAATTATTTTTATAAATTATGATATTCATCATAAGAATTCAATTAGTTTCAAAAATTTTAATAAAATTCAAGGAAAAATTTCAATTATTTTCATAAATAACAGTATTCATCACAAGAATTCAATTATTTTCAAAAAATTTCATAAAATTCAAGGTAAAATTTCAATTATTTCAAAAAAAATTTTCTTAATTCAATGATTTATTCTACTAAATTTTAATTAAATTTTTCTAAAAGAATTTAATTATTAAACAAAAATTTTGATAAAATTCAATTATTTTTCAAAAAAAAAAAATTAAAATTCGACAGGAATTCAATTAATTAAAATAAAATTTTCATAAATATTTTTAAAATTTGGCATTAAATTTTTTTCCGAAATTCAGGAATTTTTACAAAATTCAATTATTTTCATAAATGATGAATCTCATTGAAAATTTTTTATAAAATTCTACGAAAGCATTGAATTATTCTCATAAAATAATAAAAATTTCACAGGAATTCAATTATTTACAAATTTTTATAGGGTTTCAATTATTTTCGTGAACAATAAAAACTTATTGCAGAATTTCAATTATTTTTAATACAATTTGAATCAAATTCCTTGAAAAATGTTAAAATTTTATTTAAAATTCGTCAAAAGAATTTAATTGTAAGTTAAAAATATGAAAAATTCAGATATGCAAATTTTCATAATAAATTCTTTAATTAAAAATTTATTGATATAATTCATTATGATAATTCAATTTTAAGAAACATGCAAGTATTCAATAAATTTTTCTTTTTTTTTTTTTTTTAGTATTTAAATAAATGAATTCTAGTAGAATTGTCTAATAAAAATTGATTTAAATATCACGTAAAATTGAATTGTGAACAAATAGATTCGAAAATTGTCAAAGAACTTTTTCAAAAATTATTAAAAGTAATTGATTTAAAGAAGAATTTTAGTTAAAAATTGTAGAAAATAATAATTTTCTATAATTAGAAAATATGAACTAATAATTTGAATTTAAATTATGAAAATAATTTTGAAGAAGTAATGCTAACAATATTTTTATAATATAAAATAATAATTTTATCAATTGGTCATCTTTAATAATTATATTATATAAAAACATGAAAAAATAGATCACTCCGAGTCGAAGACTCGGAATTATCTATTTTTTCATGTTTTACAACAATATTTTCATCAATTATTGAATTTCAAAATGTTTGATATTTTCGAATAATTTTATTTTTGAAGAAATTTGTAAATAAAGGTAATAGTATTTTTTTTACATTTTTGTATTTTTGTTCCTTTCTGTATTTTTTCTACTTTTCCGTATTTTTTTGGCCCTTTCTGTATTTTTTCTACTTTTCCGTATTTTTTTGGCCCTTTCTGTATTTTTTCTACTTTTGCGTATTTTTTTGTCCCTTTCTGTATTTTTTCTACTTTTTCGTATTTTTTTGTCCCTTTCTGTATTTTTTCTACTTTTTCGTATTTTTTTTGTCCTTTTCTGTATTTTTTTCTGACGTGCATTTTTATTTTGCGCCTCCAGTTCAAAATAAGAAAAGAGGCGATGTCGGGCCTGGCGAATATCTACAAGAAACACTTGGACGACGCCGACGTGCCACAGGCGACGAAAAAGGCGGTCACATGGATCAAGGACAAAATTCTGCACGGCTACTATATGCCGGGAATGGAGGATCGATTGCTGGTCGAAAGGTTACTGAACATTTGCTTAGTGCCTTACACACTTCCGCCTGAGGAGAGAATGAAGAAACTTTATCATCTGCTTGGAACAATTGACGATCACGCTTCCAAGGCTTTCGTCGAACTTCAGAAACATCAATTGGCGTAAGTTCTTTAATTCCCAACTCATTTTTTTACAGGCTCCGCACTCATCTAGTAAAACCTACTATTTACTACTATTTGGATACTTTTTTTTAGATTACAACCACTAAAAGCTACTATTTCTGTTTTTTTTTTAATTTTGACCACTTTAAATTCGCTAATACTAGAAATAAAAAAACTTCTCAAAAATTAAAGTCTCAAATTCTTTAAAACGATTCAATTATTTTCAACAAATATTCCAAATTCAATGATTTTCAATATCTGGCATTTTCAAAAAAATTCGCAAAAGAATAATTAAATTTTTTTCATACATAATAAAACTCATAGAAGAATTTCAATTGTTTTTAAATACTATTTTAAATAAATTAATAAAAAAATTCAATTATTTCCAAAAATAAAGTTTTCCACAAGAATTCCATTATTTAAAATAAATTTTTCATTATATTTATGATATTTCGAAAAAATTAAATATTTAAAACAATGTTTATAAAATTCTTATGAAGAATAAAATTATTTTAAAAAATTCTAATAAAATTGTTCGCAAGAATATTCAATTATTGTCAAAAATTTTAATTAAATTCTTTGTAAAATTTAATTATTTTTAAAAACTTTTAAAAATTTAATGATTTTTAATATCCACGGTATTATTTAAAAACACAATTTTCATAAAAATTTTTGAAAAAAATTTTATTTAATAAGATTGTTAACAAATTTTTTGCAAGAATTGAATTATTTTTAAAATTTTTTTTAAAAATTGTTGCAAGAATTAAATTATTTTTGTAAATAATACAATTTCTCTCAGAAATTGAATTATTTTTTTTAATAAAAAAATTTCGTTGCAAAAATTCAGTATTTTTGAAAATAATAAAATTTTTCGATTGAATTCAATTATTCATGAAAATTATAATAAAAATTCTTTACCACTATTCAATTATTATCGTAAACGATAAAATTCATTGCAGGATTTTAATTTTTTTTAAAACAATTTTACAGGAATTGCTCGAAAAGTGTAATTAATCTTAAAAATTTAATTTCAATTCCTCAAAAACATCAATTATTTAGAAAAATATTAGAATTTTTCACAGGAATTCAATTATTTTTAAATATTTTAATAAAATTGTTCAAAAGAAATCAATTATTTTAAATACAATTTAAATTAAATTTTTTTTGAAATAATTCAATTATTCTTTTGGATTTTAATAAAATACTTCCCAAGAATTCAATTATTTACATAAATAATTCTTCAAAAGAATTCAATTATAATAGCAAAATTATTCCCGAAAATTCAATTATTTTGAAGGATTTTAATAAAATTCTTTGCAAAATTCAATTATTTTCATAAATAACAATATTCATCGCAAGAATTCAATTATTTTCCAAAGTAATAAATTTCTTCTTGAAAATTCAATTATTTTTAAAAATTCTAATAAAATCGTTCGCAAGAATCCAATTATTTTCATAACTATTAAAATTTATCCCTAAATTTCTATTTTTTTAAATACAATTTTAAGTGGATTTCTCGAGAAATGCAATTATTCTGAAAAAGTTTATTAAAATTCTTCAAAATTAAATTATTTTCAAAAATTTTAATAAAATCCTTGGCAAAATTTCAATTATTTTCAAAAAGTTCCTTCAATTCAATAATTTTCAATATTATTTTAAATGAACTGTTTCTAAAGAATTCAATTATTTTTACATAAATAATTCTTCGAAAGAATTCAATTATTAAAGATAAATAACAAAATTATTCCCGAAAATTCAATTATTTTGAATGTTTTAAAGAAAATTGTTTGCAAAATTCAATTATTGTCATAAATAACAATATTCATGACAAGAATTCAATTATTTTTCAAAGTAATAAATTTCTTCTTGGAAATTCAATTATTTTTAAAAATTCCAATAAAATCTTTCGCAAGAATTCAATTATTTTCATAAATAATAAAATGATTTTTTGAAATTCAATATTATTTTCAAAAAAAATTTAATAAAATGCCACACAGACATTTAATTATTCTTAAAAATTTTAATAGAATTCTTTGTAAAATTTAATTATTTTTAAAAACTTTTCGCAATTCAATGATTTTAAATATCTACTATTTTCATAAAATTTCCAAACAGAATTCAATTATTTAAAAAATTGTTTGTAAAAATCTTCGTAAAAATTCAATTCTTTTCATGAATAATAAAAATTTCTCAGGAATTGAATTATTTAAATTAGAATTTGCATAAAATTAGTCAAAAGAAAAAAAAAAAAAAAAAAAAAAAAAAAAATGAATTATTTAAAAATTCTTGGCAAGAATTGAATTATTTTTCTAAATATTGAAATTTTTTGATGAATAATAAAATTCTTTGCAGGAATTCAATTTAAAGCAGTAGGATAAGAAACAAGTGAATATTTTTGATGAAAATTAGGAAAAAAAGTCGGGAAAATAAAAAATAGAATAGAATTTTTGTCAGTTTTGTGAAGTGTTTAAAATGAGTTTTTTGGTCGTTGAGTTTAATTTTTCGATAACTATTTTTTTACTACTTTTTTTTTTTTAGTTTGAAAGCCACTTTTTGCAACTTTTTTAAAATTATTTATCGAGTGCAAAGTTTGTTTTTGTTTATACTGATTGTAATTTTCGTTGAGTATTTTTTTCTTTCATTTATTCTGATTGTAATTTTCGTTGTAAATTTGTTTCTTTCATTTATTCTGATTGTAATTTTCGTTGGGTATTTTTTTCTTTCATTTATTCTGATTTTAATATTCCTTGGATATTTTTTTTTATTTATCTGAATTTATGTTGCGTATATTTTTAATTTTTGATATTTCTTTTGGACAGTGTGAGAAGATCAGTGGTCGAGTGGATTGAAATAATAAAGAAGCCGGACGCATCAACGGAGTTGACAAATAAAATTCTGCAGATTTCCCGCTTTCTGCCGGATCCAATGAAGGTGCAGGAGTTTTTGCAAAAATTTAGCGCACACATGAAGAAGGACGGGCACTTATTGCAGGGACTCGAGACAATTGTTCAGCCGAATGTCTCGTGTAAGGAGTGCGCCGAGACAACGAGCGCTGTCCTCAAGAAATTGGGACAGCCGGTCATGACAAATTTGTATTATAATACAATTAAAATGCTTCTCGAGAGGGTCAGTTCGGTGATGATCGACGAGGAAGCAATTAGGGTCAGTATTTTTTTCTATATTTTTTCTACTTTTCTGTATTTTTGTCCCTTTTTGTATTTTTTTACATTTTTGTATTTTTGTCCCTTTCTATATTTTTTCTACTTTTCTGTATTTTTGTCCCTTTTCGTATTTTTCTACTTTTCTCTATTTTTTGTCCCTTTTTGTATTTTTTCTTACTTTCCTGTATTTTTGCACCTTTTTTTTATTTTTTTACATTTTTGTATTTTTGTCCCTTTTCGTATTTTTCTACTTTTCTGTATTTTTGTCCCTTTTCATATTTTTCTACTTTTCTGTATTTTTGTCCCTTTTCGTATTTTTCTACTTTTCTGTATTTTTGTCCCTTTTCGTATTTTTCTACTTTTCTCTATTTTTTGTCCCTTTTTGTATTTTTTCTTACTTTCCTGTATTTTTGCACCTTTTTTTTTATTTTTTTACATTTTTGTATTTTTGTCCCTTTCTATATTTTTTCTACTTTTCTGTATTTTTGTCCCTTTTCGTATTTTTCTACTTTTCTGTATTTTTGTCCCTTTTCATATTTTTCTACTTTTCTGTATTTTTGTCCCTTTTCGTATTTTTCTACTTTTCTCTATTTTTTGTCCCTTTTTGTATTTTTTCTTACTTTCCTGTATTTTTGCACCTTTTTTTTTATTTTTTTACATTTTTGTATTTTTGTCCCTTTCTATATTTTTTCTACTTTTCTGTATTTTTGTCCCTTTTCGTATTTTTCTACTTTTCTGTATTTTTGTCCCTTTTCATATTTTTCTACTTTTCTGTATTTTTGTCCCTTTTCATATTTTTCTACTTTTCTGTATTTTTGTCCCTTTTCGTATTTTTCTACTTTTCTGTATTTTTGTCCCTTTTCGTATTTTTCTACTTTTCTCTATTTTTTGTCCTTTTTTGTATTTTTTCTTACTTTCCTGTATTTTTGCCCCCTTTTTTTTTATTTTTTTACATTTTTGTATTTTTGTCCTTTTCTATATTTTTTCTACTTTTCTGTATTTTTCTTCTATTTTCTTTTAACTTTCTGTAAATTTTTGTTTTTCTTCATAAATTTTTGTTTTTCTTCATAAATTTTTGTTTGTTTTTCTGTACTTTATTCATTTTTTTCCCTCAAATTTCGACAGGTTTTAATTCAATACGTCCTGGATTGTTTAAAAGGCGGAAATGTAATTGAGGACATTGGACTGAATCCAAACAATGCTGGAGAGAAAGGCCTCAGATTATTAGTGGTAATTTTTTTTTTTGTAAATACTAATTAATAAGTATAAAATTTAAAAATAATTCATTGAAATTGAGAGAAAGTAAAAATATAAAGAAAGGGGGGAAAAAAATAATTTTTCTAATTCTCTTTTTGCAGATGCTGTCATTCGCTTTTGGCCCACATTTTATGCACAATGATATTTTAATGCAATTGGTGCAATTTTTGGATCTTGAGGACGAAATGGTCGCGCCACTTGTACTTTCAATTTTCACATTCCTCGGTAAATATCGACCATTGTGCGATGTTGCGCCCGAAATAATGAATCTAATGGCGCCAATTTGCAAGAATTTCTCCGAAACTGGAACGCCAAAACAAGCGAAGCAAGCGATTCGTTGTCTATTTGTGAACATGCCAAATATTCACGACACAATATTCCCCGAAATTATTGAGAGAATTAAAAATACATTAACACCAAATTCAGAATTTTATCGCACATCGATAGTCACACTCGGTCATATCGCTTACAATTTGCCGGAGAAATATCAAGCTCAAATTAAGAGTTTAGTCTCAAGAAAGGTGAGTCGTTTTTTTTACAATTTTCCTTTTTTACTTCCGCATTTTGAATTTACGACTTTTGTCTAAATTTCTCTTTTCTTTTCTTTTATTTATATTTTTTAATTAATTAAAACATTGTCCGTTTATAAATAAATAATGTTGATCGAATGTGTCGTTTTTTATTAATAAATAAATAAATAAATAAATAAATAAATTGAAAAGAAAATGTAAAAATGTTCTTTTCCCACAAAAGATCGTGAAGGAGTTGTTGGTGAAGGACGTGAACGAGCCGACAACGGACTCGATAGACGGCGACTGGTGTCGGGAGGAACAATTGCCAGAGGAGACACGCTGCCGATTAGAGGGACTGAAATGCATGGCGCGCTGGCTCTTGGGACTGAAGACGGACGTTCTGTCGGCGCAAAAGACTTTTAGAATGCTGAATGCATTTATCGTGAATAAAGGCGATCTTCTGCAGCAGGGACGATTGAGCAAAGCCGAAATGAGTTGGCTGCGTCTTCAGGCTGGCTGTTCAATGTTGAAAATTTGCGAACAAAAAGGCGTCGGCGATCAATTCACCGCTGAACAATTTTATAATCTCTCTCAACTCATGGTGGTGAGTCCCTTTCTGTATTTTTTCTACTTTTCTATATTTTTTAAAGTCTCTTTCTGAATTTTTTTTCTTTTCTGTATTTTTTGTCCCTTTTTGTATTTTTTCTACTTTTCTGTATTGTTTGTCCCTTTTTTGTATTTTTGTCCCTTTCTGTCCTTTTTCTACTTCTCTGTATTATTTGTCTCCTTTTGTATTTTTTTCTACTTTTCTGTATTTTTTGTCCCTTTCTGTATTTTCTTTACTTTTCTGTATTTTTTGTCCCTTTTCTGTATTTTTTGTCCCTTTTCTGTATTTTTTGTCCCTTTTCTGTATTTTTTTACTTTTCTATATTTTTGTCTCTTTTTATATTTTTCTACTTTTTAAGTATTTTTGTCCCTTTTTGTATTTCTTCTAGTTTACTGTATTTTTTTTTCTTTTCTGTATTTTGTGTCCCTTATTGTATTTTTTTCTACAATTTCTTTAATTGTTTTTATTACAATTTTAATCAAATTCCTCGAGAAGTGTAATTATTCTTAAAAATTTTGTTAATTCGTTAAAAGAATTCAATTATTTAAAAATTTTAGAATAAAATTCTTCATAAGAATTCAATTTTAAGAAAGATTCAATTATTTTTCAATTATTGTTTTTTGTATTTAAATAATTGAATTCTCGTAGAATTTTCCAATAAAAATGGATTTAAAAATTAAAAGCGTTATTGCGTAAATTTTTAGTAATAATCGAATTTTGAAAATGTTTCAAATTAAAATCTTTGAAAATTTGATTTTTTCATACTTTTCACTAACATTTTAATATTATTTTAAAAATGTTATCCCACTTCTTCGAAAGAATTCAATTATCTTGATAAATATTAAAATTCATCCCAGAAATTCAATTATTTTCAAAAAAAACTTTTTTTAAAATTTTTATCAAGATTTCAATTATCTTAACAAATATAGTAAAATAAATAACCGAAATTCAATTGTTTAAAAAATTCTTCAAAAAAGTTCAATTATTTAAAGAAATAATAAAATTTTTCACTGGAATTCAATTATTTTCAATAAAATTTACTGGAAAGAATTCAAATAATTTATTTTCAATAAAATTTACTGGAAAGAATTAAATTGAATTATTTTCAATAAAATTTATTGGAAAGAATTCAATTGAATTATTTTCAAAATTGTTTATAACAGATTTTAAGCAAAAATTCAAATATTATTAAGATAATGAAATTCTTCACATTTAAAAAATATTTGACATTCATTTTTATGAAAAAAAAATCAATGATTTAAACATATTTTATAAAATTCATCGCTTTAATTTAATTATTTTCATAAATAATAAAATTTTTCGAAGGAATTCAATTATTTTTAATATAATTTAACAGAAATTGGTCGAAAAATGTAATTATTCTAAAAAATTTAATTTAAATTCCTCGAAAAGTTCAATTATTTAAAACAATGTTTTTTTTTTAATTATTTGGAAGAATTCAATTATTTACAAAAATATTAGAATTTTTCACAGGAATTCAATTATTTAAAAAAAATTCTAATAAAATCGTTTGCAAGAATTCAATTATTTTCAATAGAATTTTAATTACATTTTCTCGAAAGAATTCAATTATTGAAAAGAATTTTATTAAAAATTTTTTAAATAATAATTGAATCCCTGCGAAAAAATTTATTATTTCTGAAAATAATTGAATTTTTGCAAATTTTAAAAAAATAAGTGAATTTTCGAGAAGATTTTTATTAAAATTGTATTTAAAATAATTGAATCTCGGTGAAGAATTTTATTGCTTTTAAAAATAATAAAATTTCTTGTGATGAATATTGTTATTTATGAAATGAATTGAATTCTGCAAAAAGTTTTATTAAAATTCCTGAAAATAATTAAATTTCAGCAAAGAATTTTAATACTTTTATAATTGAATTCTTTCCAAGGATATTAAAAAATCAACTAATTTTAACAGAATTGAAATGAAAATTAAAAAATTCTACGAGAATTTAATTATTTAAATACAAAAATAAATAATTTATTGAATAATTCTATTATTCAATTTTAATTTCATATAATTGAATTCTCAAAAAAAAATTGATTAACAAAAGATTTTAAATAATTGAAATCCTGTGAAGAATTTTATTATTTATGAAAATAATTGAATTCTTACAATGAACTCTTACAATTTTATTACATTTTTTTTAAATAATTGAATTCTTTTGAAAAATTTGATTAGAATATCAGATTTTGAAAATATTTGAATTTTAGCGAAGAATTTCATTTTTTGTGAAATGTAATTGAATTTTTACAAAAATTTTTTTAAAATAATTACAATTTTCGAGGAATTAATTAAAAATTGTATTAAAAATAATTGAAAATCCTATGAAAAATTTTATTTTTTATAAAAACAATAAATTCTTGCTAAGGATTTTATTAAAATTTTTGTAAATAATTTAATTTTTTTTTTAAAATCTTATGAAAATTTAAATTATTAGAAAAATTTTTTCTAGTTTTCTTGTATTTTTCTCTATTTCTCTCAATTTTTTTGTATTATTCCTTTTTTTCTATATAGTTTTTTTGTCCGTGTATTTTAATTTTTCTCTGTAATTTTCTGTATTTGTTTCTTTTCATTTTGCTCTAAAATAATTAAATAAAATATTTTCCTTTTCGTTTTGCTACTAAAATTAATCGTTATTGTCCTTTTTTTTTTTGTTTCCGAAAAAAAATAGGACGACGTCCCGCAAGTGAGAGAAGCTTTTGGTAACAAATTGCACAAGGGTCTGGGAAGAGGAATTCCGAATAAATGTTTGCCTCTCGATTTCATGGGATATTACGCTCTCGCCGGTAAAGAACAAGACAAACGATTGAAGTGCGTCTTAAAATCCTACATGCACACCGACATTACAAAACGAAGAGATTACGTGAAAACTCTTTCACTGGGAACTGTCGAGCGAGCGATGGGTGAGTCATTTTTCTGTATTAAAAACAAAAATTTATATTAGAATGTAAATATATTTTTTAATTTTTCTAACTTCAAGTTTTTTCTATATTTAACAAAATGTTCTCTTTTTTTTCTCTCTTTTCAAAAGTTATAAAGTTATATATTTTTAATTATAAATAAAATAAAGTTATAAATAAATAAACAAAATTTCTCTATTGTTTACTTTTTGTTTCTTTTGATTTTAAAAGGAAACGATAATTTTTTTTAAGTAGTAGAAAAATTCAGTTTTAATTTTTTTTCTTTTAAAATCGATTTAATTGATTAAGTTTAAAATTCGAAAAACGTATTTTTTTGACAGGTCAACTGCCACATATTTTGCCGGATTACATGCTAGTGTTCGCAGTGCCGGTACTAGCTCACGATCCGGAATTCACGAATCACACGGATGTTCAACAATTAAAAACCATTCAGTCATGTCTTTGGTTTATTCTCGAGCCACTCATCACACGCAATGAATATTATTGTTACGGATTTTACAAGAATCTCGTCGAGAGAATGAAGAGTCACAAGGACGCAATGAGACCCGACGACGATATCGTCAATATTGTAAGAGATTTTCAACGTTTCTCATCTTTTTTTTTCTTTTCTTATATTTTTCTATTCACATTCATTATTTTTTTCTATTTTTCTTTTTTATGTTTTGTTATTTATATATTTTTTTTCTTTCCCAATTTTTATAATTTTTCTGTTTGTTTTCTATTTTTCTTTCTTCTATTTATTATTTTATTATATAAATGTTACATTTTTTACTATTAAAACGTATTTTGAAATTAAGATTAATTTTCTCGACTAATTTCAAAATTAGAATTAAAATGAATTTTAAAGGCAAAAATACAAAAATTGATTCAAAAATAGATTCAAAATACAAAAATTGACTAAAAAATACAGAAATTGATTCAAAAATAGATTAAAAAATACAAAAATTGATTCAAAAATTGATACAAAATACAAAAATTGGCTAAAGCATACAGAAATTGATACAAAAATACAAAAATAGATTCAAAATACAAAAATTGACTGAAAAATACAGAAATTGATTCAAAATACAAAAATTGATACAAAATACAAAAATCGACTAAAAAAATAGAAATTGATTCAAAAATACAAAAATAGATTGAAAAATACAAAACTTGACTGAAAAACACAGAAATTAATTCAAAAATACAAAAATTAATTGAAAAATACAGAATTTTATTCAAAAATACAATCTGATCTGATTGAAAAATATAGATATTTATTCAAAAATACAAAAATTGATTGAAAAATACAGAAATTTATTCAAAAAAAAACAAAAATATATTCAAAATACAGAAATTGATTCAAAAATTGATTCTAAATACAAAAATTGACTAAAAAATACAGAAAATAATTCAAAAATACAAAAATAGATTCAAAAATAAAAAATAGAAAAATAATTTGGAAAATACAGAAATTGATTCAAAAATACAAAAATTGATTGAAAAATACATAAATTTATTGAAAAATAGATTTGAAAAATACAAAAATAGATTCAAAATAAAAAATTGACTGAAAAATGGATTCAAATTACAGAAATTGACTAAAAAATAGAGAAATTGATTCAATAATAGAAAAATTGATTAAAAAATACAGAAATTTATTCAAAAATACAAAAATTGATTGAAAAATACAGAAATTTATTCAAAAAAAGATTGAAAAATACAAAAATAGATTCAAAATACAAAAATTGACTGAAAAAATACAGAAATTGATTCAAAAATACAAAAATAGATTTAAAATATACAAAAATTGATTCAAAAATAGAAGAATAATTTAAAAATACAGAAATTGATTCAAAAATACAAAAATTGATTGAAAAATACAGAATTTTATTCAAAAATAGATTGAAAAATACAAAAATAGATTCAAAAAACAAAAATTGACTGAAAAATACAGAAATTGATTTAAAAATACAAAAATTGACTGAAAAATACAGAAATTGATTCAAATTATACAGAAATTGATTCGAAAATTGATTTAAAATACAAAAATTGACTAAAAAATACAGAAATTGATTCAAAAATACAAAAATAGATTCAAAATATAAAAATTGACTGAAAAATACAGAAATTGATTCAAAAATAGATTGAAAAATACAAAAATAGATTCAAAAAACAAAAATTGACTGAAAAATACAGAAATTGATTTAAAGATACAAAAATTGACTAAAAAATACAGAAATTGATTCAAAAATACAAAAATAGATTCAAAATATAAAAATTGACTTAAAAATACAGAAATTGATTAAAAAATACAAAAATAGATTCAAAATATACAAAAATTGATTCAAAAATAGAAGAATAATTTGAAAAATACAGAAATTGATTCAAAAATACAAAAATTGATTGAAAAATACAGAATTTTATTCAAAAATAGATTGAAAAATACAAAAATAGATTCAAAAAACAAAAATTGACTGAAAAATACAGAAATTGATTTAAAAATACAAAAATTGACTGAAAAATACAGAAATAGATTCAAAAAACAAAAATTGACTGAAAAATACAGAAATTGATTTAAAAATACAAAAATTGACTGAAAAATACAGAAATTGATTTAAAAATACAAAAATTGACTGAAAAATACAGAAATTGATTTAAAAATACAAAAATTGACTGAAAAATACAGAAATTGATTCAAATTATACAGAAATTGATTCGAAAATTGATTTAAAATACAAAAATTGACTAAAAAAATACAGAAATTGATTAAAAAATACAAAAATAGATTCAAAATATAAAAATTGACTGAAAAATACAGAAATTGATTCAAAAATAGATTGAAAAATACAAAAATAGATTCAAAAAACAAAAATTGACTGAAAAATACAGACATTGATTTAAAAATACAAAAATTGAATGAAAAATACGGAAATTGTTTAAAAAGTACAAAAATAGATTCAAAATGCAAAATTAATTTGAAAAATACAGAAATTGATTAAAAAATACAAAAATACATAAATAGATTTGAAAAATACGGGGAATAGTTTTGAAAATTGTGAAAAAATGATGTTTTACAGAAATTGTGGGCGGTCTGCGACTTGGCGATGAACGTGATATTCTCAAAGACGACGAACTTCGATTTAAAGGAATTCCCGAGCGAATTGAGAATTCCAACGATGTACTTTAAACGGGCCGATGAACTTTTGGCAAACTCGAAAAATTATTTGCCAGCTGAAATGCAAATCAATATGTCCAGTCCAAAGGGTAAATTAAATACACACTCGTTTAATGAACGACCACAGCGTAGAAAGAAGGGACAAAAGGAAGTTGGCATTGGACCAAATGAAACTGACGCAAGGGTAAGAAAATACACTTTTTCCCTTTTTTTATTTTTACAAAAAAATATAAATTTCAAATTAAATTAATTAGTTTAACTCGAATTGCAATTTTTTTTTTAAAACAAAATGAAGAAAAATATTTATTTTACTTGTCAAGTTATTTAAAACTGAATTAAATTCTAAATTATTTTATTTATTTATTCAAATTATTTAAATTCAATTTCATTTTCAATTCAGTTGAAAATAAATTTAAACGCAATTTTATTTTAAACTTATTTCAATAAATTCAATGTTTTAAAACAATATTAAATTTTTTTAAAAATAATTTTTGCATCTTTGCAAAATTCAAAACGAAGGAAATTAGAAATTTTTTTTAAATATCGTTTCAAGCTGCATATTGGAGAAATGGAATGTATCGACGCGCAGGTAATAATTAAATGAATCACGATTTATTATGATACTAGAAATTTGAATTTTCATTTACCATTAGCAATTGTTTCGTTGTTGTTATTGTTCTATTTTCAAATAATTAGCAAATTTTTAATAATTTCTTTCATTATTTTTACAGCCGGCTGAAGCCTCAGAAACTAGAATTCAACTGCCAGGTTTAGAGGAAGAGGTAATAAATAATTAATATTCTATTTATTTATTTTCAATTTCCTTTTTTTAAATTAAAACATTTCAAATTAATTATTTACATAAATCGTAAAATTCTTCGGAGAAATTCGTATATATTTCTAGGAAAAAATTCAATTATATTCAAGAAAATTTTAATAAAAGTTCTCTAACAGGTTCAATTATTTTTAAAAATTGCAATAAAAATTTTTCTGTACAAATTTAATTGTTCTCAAAAGTTTTTAATAAAATTCTTTGTAAATTTCAATTATTTTCAAAATTTTCAATAAAAATTACATTATTTTTACGAACTTTAATGAAATTCTTTAAAAAAAAAATGTAATTATTTATAAAATCTCTAAGAAAATTGTTTAAAATAATTGGATTCTTGAATAGAATTTTATTGAAATTTTTTTAAATAATTGAATCCCAGCGCAAAAATTTATTATTTCTGCAAATAATTAAATTTTTGCAAAAAAAATTTTAAAAAAAAATTTTTTTAATTTAGTGAATTTTTGGAGAAGAATTTTATTAAAATTGTATTTAAAATAATTAAATTCCTGTGAAAAATTTAACTATTTATTGATATAATATTGAATTCTTACGATGAATTTAGAAATAATTAAATTTTCCCTGGAGTTAGATTAAAATTGAATTACAGCGAAAATTTTATTATTTATGAAAATAATTGAATTCTTGAATCAAATTTTATTGAAAGTTTTTTAAATAGCTAATTGAACTCCTGTGAAAAATTCAATTATTTTAAAATATAATTGAATTTTCTCAGAGGATTTTTACAAGATTTTTTTAAATATAATTGAATACTTCCAAAGAATTTTATTAAAATTTTTTGTAAATATTTGAATTCTTTAAAGAATTTTAATACAATTTTCAAAATACATAATTTAATTCATTCAAGGAATATAATTAAAATATTTTGAAAATAATTGAATTCTTTCGAAGAAATTAATAAAAATTTTAGAAAATAATTGAATTTTTTTGAAATATTTAAAAAAAAATTGAATTGTTTCAAATTTATAAAATTTTTAGGAAGTAATTGAATTTTTTCTAAAAATTTTGTTAATTATTAAAAAAAAAAAGTAATTGAATTCTTTCGTGAAATTTAATTAAAATTGTATTTTTGTAAATAATTAAATTCCTCCGTGGAATTTTCCTATTTATAAAAATAATTGAATTCTTCCAAAGAATTTTATTATATTTATGAGAATAATTGAATTGTTTCGAAGAATTTTTTATCAAAATTGTTGAAAATAATTGAATTCTTTATAGAAATTTTATTATTTTTGAAAATAATTGAATTCTTTATAGAAATTTTACTATTTTTGAAAATAATTGAATTCTTTATAGAAATTTTACTATTTTTGAAAATAATTGAATTCTTTAAAGAAATTTTATTATTTTTGAAAATAATTGAATTGTTTTGAAGAAATTTTATTATTTTTCAAAATAATTGAATTCTTTATAAGAAATTTTATTATTTTTCAAAATAATAGAATTCTTTAAAGAAATTTTATTATTTTTGCAAATAATTGAATTCTTTAAAGAAATTTGATTATTTTTCAAAATAATTGAATTACTAATTTCTATTTTTATGATTATTTATTTCTTTTTTTATGGTTATTTATTTATTTTGTAATTTAATTAAATTAATTAAATTAATTAAATTAATCCTGTTGTTATTGATGTTTATTTTTATTGAAAAATTAAAATTTTTCGAATTGTGATTATTTATTTTTGTGTTTTAATTTTCAGATCGAAGAACCACCTTCGAAAAGGGCATTAAGGGACACTGACAAGATAAACAAATAATAATAATAATAATCGATTGACTGCACCTTAAAAGAGGGAAAGGTAATTATTGAATTGAGACGACGAAAGAAAAGAAAATAAAAACGTTGTCAATCATTAAAAGCAGTAAACTAAATAAAAACAATAAATAAAAATACACACTCAGACACTCACGAAAACACTCACAGTTTTACAAATGTGGAAACAAAATATTTTGGTTATGTACAACAACTAGTACACCTAAGTCGATCGCGTATTTTTAAATAAGTCCCTTTACGTTATGAAACATTTCTCGAAAAATTTTATATAAATTCCCTCTTTCTTTCTCTCTCTATCTCTCACTGCCTCTTCTTTAACATATTTTTCCCTCCTTCATCTTTATACATTTTTTCTATTCTATTTTCCTTTTTCTTTCATTAAATAAAAAACTTTTCTGTCTTTTTTTAAAAAAAAATTCTTTATTTTCACGCGATGGAAAAGTTTTCTTTCTCTTTTTCTCTTTTCCTCTCTTTCTCTCTCTCTTTTCCATAATCGAGAATTGTTTCATAGCGTTAAAAATTTTTTAGGATAGAATTTTTATCTATATGAACGTTAATTATGTTTTTTTTTCTCTATTGTACACACACTTGATAGAATTATTCTTCCTTTAACAAACAAAAAAAAAATATTCCCCAAATTTTGTCTCTTCTGAAAAAGGAAACTTTTTTTTTTGTTTCTCAATTTCGAAGAGAAAATTTCTAGATGAGAAATTGTATTTTTTCCTTTTCTCTCTCTCTCTCTCTCTCTAAAAAAAAGTGTAAAATTATTTCTCTCTTTTTTTTATTTATTTGGGAAAATTTTCTAATTTTTCTACAAGTAAAAAAAAGAATTTGCTTTTTTTTACTTTGAAAAATTAAAAAAAAAATTCTTTTTTTTCATTTTTCAAAGCAAATTCTTTTTTATAATAAAAAAAATTGAAAAATGAAAAAAAAATTTTTTGTTTGTGTAAAGTTGTGAAAACTGTCATTTTTCTTTTTTTGAGGGTTGATAAGTTTTTTTTTTTTGTTAATTTATTTTTTAAAAACAAATCTGAATATACAACTTTTTTCCTTTCCTTTTTTTTCTCTTTTTCTCTCTCTCTTTCTCTGTTTTCGAACCAAGGAAGTTGAATCGTTTTTTTTTCTTGTTTATTTATTAATTTGAAAGAAAATTTATATTTTTTTTTGCTGGTGACAAAAAAAACATGTTTAGAGAAAAATGATTTTAGAAAAAACGAAAGTAGATAAAAAATTTAAAAAAATAAATAAATATAAATAATAAAATAATAATTTATATAATTTACAGAAATATTTAAGATTGAAATAAATTTTTATTTAATTTTATTCATTTTATTTATGTTATTTCATTTATTTTTTTTATTTTTTATATTAAAATTGAAATTAAAATTGAAATTGAAATTAAAATTGAAATTGAATTTAAAATTGAAATTAAAACTAAAATTGAAATTAAAATTAAATTTAAAATTGAAATTGAAACTAAAATTGAAATTAAAATTGAATTTAAAATTGAAATTGAAACTAAAATTGAAATTAAAATTGAATTTAAAATTGAAATTGAAACTAAAATTACAATTGAAATAAATATCGAAATAAAAAATAAATGAATAACAAATTATAATTTAAATAATTATTAATTATTATTTTTATTATTATTATTATTATTATTTCTACGAAAATTGTTGAATATTTAATTCGACTTCCTTGGGAATTTCACAATTTTTTCCAGGCCTTGTTCTTATATACGTTTATATAAATATAAAAAAAAAATTTCCCCTATGCGAGATTCACTTCTCTCGTTATTGTTTAATTAATTATTGTGTTTTTCTTTTTTTCTTTTTTTTTTGAATAATTAAAGAAAAAAGAAAAAATATGTATGAATGACAATGTGTGATATTTTTTTTGCCTCTACGAATGTGACGTTTCAAGATTGAAATATAATTTTTAAGTTAATTGATTAATTTGATAAGCAACATGTTTAAACTTAAGAAATTAATAAATAAGTGAAGAAGAAGACGATGAAGAAAAAAAAATTATTATATAAGGAAAATTAAGTATAATATTATTAATTAAATATAATTATAATAATTGAAATTTAAGTTAAATAAAAAGACTAGAGAGTAAAAAAAGGAATAAAAAAATAAGAAAAAAAAACTTGAAACTGCATTTTTCTATTTTCTTCAATGAAATTACAGTACGTTTTTAATTTTTTTTTAAAGCGGGAAACGGGAAATTTATTTTTAAAAATTAATATAATTATTACCTATTATTATTATTAATATTATTCAAGATTTATTAAAAATTAGTTAAAGTTGTTTGAGAATTGAATAAAAATTGATTGACAATAATTTATTCAAAATTGAATAAAATTAAATAAGAATTGAAGAAAAAATTGAATCAAAATTGAATTAGAATTGGAAAAAAATTGATTCACAATAATCGATTTAAAATTGAATAAAATTGAATTCAAAATTGATTCAAATTAATTTAAAATTGACTGAAAATTGAATAAAAAATTGATTCAAAATTGACTTCAAATTCATTCAAAAATTAATAGGAATTAACTAAAAAATGGATTGAAAACGGAATAAAAATTAATGTAAAATTGATTCAAAATTGAATAAGAATTGAAAAAATTGATTCAAATTATTTTTAAATTGATTAAAAACAAAAAATTAATTTCCAAATTGAATAGAAATTGATTTCAAATTGAATATGAATTGATTTCAAATTGAATAAGAATTGAAAATCAAATTGATTCACAATTAAATTAAAATTGATTCAAATTAAATAAAAAATTAATGTAAAATTAATTGGAAATTGAATAAAAATTCATTTAAATCTCATTCAAAATTTATTTAAAAATTGTTACAAAATTGAATTAGAATTGAAAAAATGTTTGATTCAAAATTTGATTAAGAACTGAATAAAAAAATTAATTTCAAAATTGACTGAAAATTAATTCAAAATTGATTAAAAATAGAATAAGAATTGAAAAAAATGCATTCAAAATTGAGTAAAATATTGAAAACAAGAAAAAAGAAACAAAATTCTAAAAGAATTTTTCTTACATTTTTCGAAAATTTTACTATTTATGGCGATTAAAAAAAAAATAAGTAAAAACAATTTTTTTTCTTGGAAAATTTCTAATTAAAAAAATTAAATTATTTAAAATGTTAGTTGTTTTATTAAAAAAAAACTTCGAAAAGAAAATTAAAAATAGAAAATATTATAATTTTTTGCATAGAAAATGTTATAATTTTTTGCAAACTAAAAAAAAAAAATTCGTTCTTCGTGTTTTCTTCGAGAGGTGTGAAAGTGCTGAAATTTCTCGATGAAACGAGAGAAAGCAGATTCGAAAAATAGTCATTTTTTTAATGTCAATCTGTGCCGCAAGTATTGTATTGAATCGTATACCTAATAAAATGTCGAGAGAAAACAAATTATTTCTAAAAGTTTACGACAAAGAAAAAAACGGATATTTTTGATTTACAAAAGAAAATTTAAAAAAAATTTTTTTTAAGTTCGATAATTAATAAATTAAATTATTCAATTAATTACTGTCAACTTGTAAAAATATTTTTTAAATTTCATTTTTTTTAATAGAAAATTTAATAAATTGCATTATTCAATTAGTGAATAATTAAATTTAATAAATTAAATTTATTGAAATCAACTTGGAAAAATGATTTTTATAATTTACAAAAGAAGAAGGATTTTTATAATTTTCAAAAAAAGAAATTTTTTTTTAATTTACCAGAGAAAAATATTTTTTTTTCATTTAAAAAAGAAAGAAGATTTATTATTTCATTTAGAATATTTTTTAATTTAGGAAAGAAAAATCATTTTCTATTTCATTGAGAAATGAAAGAAGATTTATTTTTATTTACAAAATAGAAAAAAATTAATTTTACTAACACGAAATTCAAAATAAATTTTATAATTTATTTCCTTTTTTTTTGTTTGTATTAAAGTTATTTTCGGGTTTATTTTTTCCTTTCACTTCAACGTTTTCCAAATGATCGTTTTGGACCCTTTCCTCCCCTCGATGATGAAAATTTATCATTTTTCTTCTGTCCTCCTTTCTTGCCGCCGGGAAAACTTCTCGGACTCTTTTTATTTGCTCTGTAGAAATGAAGATGAGAAGAAATGTGAAAAATTAAAAAATTCACGAGAAATGAGAAAAAATATTTTAAAATTTAGTGAAATTTCAAGTAAACAAACAAAAAAATATTCATTTTCAGTAAAAAATATTTTAAAATTTCAAGTAAACAAACAAAAAAATATTTACTTTCAGTAATTAAATATGTAAAAAATAATTAATTTTCAACAAACAAAGAAAAAATATTAAACTTTCAATATAAATAAACAAAAAATATTAAAATTTCAACAAACAAGAAAAATCCAATTGTTATCAATTTGAAGAAAATTAATTTGTATGATTTTTAAAAGTAAAAAACAAAATTCGGTTGTTTGTAATTTGAAGAAAAATAATTTGTTTACTTTTTAAAAGTAAAAAACAAGTAAAAAAAAAATTATTATTATTTCTACTCACTCGTATCGCATTCGTTTAACTCCCTTGCGACTTGTGTCGGTTAAATCATCAACAAATGATGATTTCGCTTTTCTCTTCAAATCTGTGACAAAATAATTTTTTTTAAATTAAATTATTAAATTAAAGCAATTAATTATTTGCGTAATAATTTACTAACTTATTAAATTAGAATTATTACTAAGATAAGATAAGAATTACTAATTCAGTAAAAATTTACTTCTTTACTAAAAATTTACTAATTAATTTAAGTAATAACTAATTAATTAGTTTAAAAAAATTAAATTTACTAGAAATATATTTTTATAGTAAAAATAATAATTTTTCATCTTCTCGAATTGAACTCACTTTTCTTATCCATTGGATTACTGTAATTTTCAACAACGGTGCGAATTTTCTTCTGTCTATTCATTCGTTTCGCGACTCGCGCTTGATAGGCGGCAACTTTTTCTAATTCCTTATTAACTCGCTCCTCTGCTTCGTCTACTGGTTCGTTTTTCTTGTTCTTCTTCTCCTTGGCGTTTCCCTTTTCCTTTTCCTTTGAATTCTTCTCCTTCTCCTTCGCTTTTTGCGGAGGTTTTTTCTTTTCCGTCAATTGCAATCTTTCTGCATTTTCAAACAAAAGAGACGAAAAAAAATTAGTGTTAAAAAGTTGGATAAATTTCTCCTTCAATCCAAAGATTGATAAATAAATAAATATAAAGAAAAAAAAATACTGAATGCTAAACAAATTGAATTAAAGAAAATAAATAAATAATAAAAAATAAATTTAATCAATAAGGAAATAAATAATTAAATAATTAAAAATTAAATGCATAGAGAGAAAGGAAAAAAGAATCTAAAAACCTTTCTCGTCCTTTCGTTCCTTTTTGGTTTGGAACCAAGTGCGCGACTGATTCTCGTCGCCCTTCAATAAATTCTCAACTCTATTCGCTTGATTCTCCAATTTCGCGAGTTCCCTCTCGTGCTTCTCCTCGTCTAAAATACGCGTCACATCGTCGGCGAACGATTCCAATTTCTTGTAATATTTCTCAATGATATCGGGTGGAATTATGCGATTTTTCACTGGATTTCGCGCGTGTTTTATCACATCCTTGACGAGTGATCGCTCCTGCTCGCCGGCCAATGAAACCGACACACCGGCGCGTCCCGCTCTCGCTGTTCGTCCAACTCTAAATTCCAAAAAGCAACAAATTAAATTATTATATTTTCCCTTAATTAATTAACAAATTTCTTTTTCTTTTATAGTTTTAATTATAAATTATTATTTCCTGTATTTAAATTCGCTATTTATTTTTAATTTGAAATCAAATTTACCGATGAATGTAGTGTTGTAAAGTTGCGGGCATAACGAAATTAATGACAGTTTTAACGCCACTAATATCCAAACCACGAGCAGCGACGTCTGTCGCTATTAAAACGTCAATTTCCTCGTCTTTGAATTTGCGTAAATTCTCCAAACGTTGAGGCTGCGTTAGATTTCCGTGCAATTCGCCGACCTTTAAAAGAAAATGCAATGAAATACAATAATTACTTTTCTTTTTTCTCTCCTTTTATTAATTATTTTAAAATTAATATTTTCTTGTTTCTTTATTTTCGAGAAATTTTCAATTTAATTTCAATCTTCAATTTAATTCCAAATTCGTCTGAATTTTTTAAAATTTAATTTCAATTTTAACTTTATTTTCAATTAAATTTGAAATTCGAATCAATTTTTTCAATTTTAATTCCAATTTTATCTTAAACTTCAATTTATTTCCAAATTCGACTCAATTTTTTCTATTTAAATTTCAATTTTAACCTACTTTTCAACTTAATTTCAAATTCGTCACAATTTTTTCAACTATAATTTCAATTTTATGCCAATCTTCAATTTAATTCTAATCTAATTTACAATTTAATTTCAACTTCGTCTCAATTTTTTCAATTGTAATTTCAATTTTACCTCATTTCTCAATTTTTTCAATTTAATTTCAATTTGGTCCAAAATTTTTTTATTTTATTTAAATTTCATCTTAATCATCAATTTAAATTCAAATTTGTTTCAATTTTTAATTTAATTTCAATTTCGTCAGAATTTTTTCAATTTTAATTTTAATTCTACCTGAATTTTCAATTTTTTCAATTTAATTTCAATTTAATTTCAATTTTATCTCAATCTTCAATTTAATTTTAAATTCATATTAATTTTTTCAATTAAATTTCAATTTCGTCTCAACTTTTTCAATTTTAATTTCAATTTTATCTCAATTTTCAATTTAATATCAATTTGGAAATTAATTTGAATTGATTTTCAAATTTGCAATGTAATTGTCATTCAATTTTATTTAAAAAATTAATTTAATATCAATTTGGAAATTAATTTGAATTGAATTTCAAATTTGGATAAAATTGGAATTCAATTTCAATTTTATTTGAAAAATTTATTTTATTTCAATTTGGTAATTAATTTAAATTGAATTTCTATTTTCTATTCTATTAAAAACTTTTGTTAAATTTCAATTCGAAAATTAATTTGAATTGAATTTCAATTTTATTAGAAAAATTTAATTTCAATTTCGAAATTAATCTGAATTTCATTTCAATTTGGAAGTTAATTTGAATTGAATTTCAAATTTAGAATGTAATTGAAATTCAATTTCAATTTAAGTTGAAAAATTTATTTAATTTCAATTTGGAAATGAATTTGAACTGAATTTCAATGTTCAATTCTATTGAATTGAATTTCTATTTTCAATTCTATTAAATTAAATTTTCTATATTCTCAATTCTATTAAAAACTTTTTACTAAATTTCAATTCGAAAATGAATTGGAATTAAATTTTTATTTTTTAATTAGAAAAATTTATTTAATTTCAATTTCGAAATTAATTTGAATTGAATTTCTATTTTCAATATTCTATTAAAAACTTTTGTTAAATTTCAATTTGACAATTTAATTTGAATTGAATTAAATTTTTAAATTCAAAAAGCGAGCAAAAAAGAAAAAATCCTTCAATATTTTCTTACATTGACTCCCAATAATCCGAGTAGAATATGAAGCCGATGAGCTTGTGTTTTTGTCTGAACAAATACCATCGCGTGATCGTGAAAAGTTCGACAAATTAAAGCCGCTAGAATTGCCTCACGATCTCTTTCTCTCTCTTTTCGGATTCTGTAAAAAGAAAAGAACAATTATTTTTTAAACAAAAAAACAAAATAATTATTTCTACTTCTATCGTAAAATTCTAATTCTAGAAAATTAGAAATTAATTATTATTAATTTATTTCTTTATTTTTCTTCAAAGCAAATACTATTTTCTTTATTGTTTTTTTCAAACAATTTGGAAAAAACATTGAAAAGATTGAATTTAAATTTAAAGATTTGATTGAAAGAAAATTTGTAAAAAAAAAAGATGAAGAATTCAGTAGTAATTTATTGACGAGTAAATAAATAAATAAATTACCGAATAAATTCCTGTCTCAAATTAAACGCCACGTCTTGATTGCTGTCGACGAAAACTTTAACTGGACGATCCAAGGAAACGGCGGCCAAATCCTTAACTTCCTCGGTCATTGTCGCCGAGAAGAGGATCGTTTGCCGTGTCCGCGAGCATTGTTTCACAATATGTTTCATTTGCTCCGCAAAATATTCGTCCAACATTCTAGAAAGTAATTATTATCTATTCGTTATTATTAAATTAACATTTAAATAATTAATTACTTATTTTAATTGTCAAATTATTATTATTATATTTATTAATAATTTTCTTTCTCACCTGTCGGCTTCGTCTAAAATTAAAACCTCAATCGTGTCGAGAGAAAACGACGGCGTATTTGCTAAATGATCAATTAAACGACCTGGAGTCGCAATCACAATATCGGGATTTTTCCTCAAAACTGATTCCTGTAAATAAAAGAAAAAGAAGAAGAAAAAGAAAAATTAGAATTAATACAAAACGATTAAACAGAACGAATTCGATATTAATTCAATATGATAAATAAAAAATATAATTATCTTAATTCAATATATTAAATAAAAAATATAAATATATTAAATAAAATATTAATTGAATGTATTAAATAGAGACAAATATTTAATTGCAAAATAAAAAATTGAAACTAGACACAATTAGAGGGGAATTAAAATTAATAATTTATTTTATTAATTATAATTGAAAAAATGAAAAAGAAAAAATGTTCGTTACCTGTACTTTAAGATCGAGACCACCAACGGACAATCCAATTTCAATTGTCGTATGTTGAGAGAGTTGCTTGGTGACCTGATAAACTTGAACGCCCAATTCACGTGTGGGAACGAGTACGAGAACTCGCGTTACCGCCATTCCCTCGACTGGCCTGTAAAGTAATCGCTCCAATGTTGGCAGCATATAGGCCGCGGTTTTTCCCGTTCCCGTTGCGGCACAACCGCAAATATCGCGGCCCATCAGTGCCACTGGAATCGTCGCCGCTTGAATTGGCGTCGGATGAATGAAATTCATTGACGCCGCCGCCTATACAAGAAAAATAATAATTAACTATTAATTAAATTAATTTTTTACAAAAATTTCTTCTGGAAAAAAAACAGGAAAAAACGTCCATAATTTCTAATTGTTAATCACGATTTTTAAGAAAATTACATATAATTTAAAAAAAAACAAAAATTACTTGACAATGATAAAAAAAATGTCTTAAAAATAAAATACTCAAAAATGACAAAAGAATTTTTTATAATTTAAAAAACAATTAAAAAAATTTTAAATTAATAAATAAATTTCTTAGAATTGAAAAAATAATAAATTAATTTTTAATTAAATTGATCGTTTGACCAAAACAATTAATAATTATTTATTATTTTCTCTAAAATAATAAAAAAAAAATACTTGAAAATAACAAAAAATTCGTTGCAATTGGAAAAAAATAGAAAAAAAATACTTGACAATGACAATAAATTTTTTACAATTGAAGGAACGATGAAAAATACTTGAAATGAAAAAAATTTGTTTAAAACTAAAAAAGTAAAAAAAACTTGAAAATGCCAAAAAATTCCGTTTAATTTCAAGTTCGTCTCAATTTTTTCAACTTAATTTCAACTTCATCTCAATTTTTTCAATTTTTATATTATTTTTATATTTTACTTTATTTTCAATTTTTTCAATTTAATTTCAATTTTATCTGCATTTTTCTCAATTTGATTTCATTTCGATCTTAATCTTCAATTTAATTTTAAATTTGTCTCAATTTTTTCAATTTTATTTCATTTTTCAATTTAATACCAATTTCGTCACAATTTTTACAATTTTTTAATTAAAATTTTATCTCAATTTTAATTTAATTAATATTTCCAATTCATTCTTTATGATTTAAATTTAATTTGAATAAATAAAAATTGGAAATTACAAAAAATTCATTGCAATTGAAAAAAAATATTTAAAAAATACTAGAATTGAGAAAAATTTGTTTAAAACTGAAAAAGTAATGAAAAAAACTTGAAAATGACAAAAAATTTAATAAAAATACACGAAAATTGACAAATAAATTTCTCAGTGGTGAAAAAATAATACAAAAAAAAAACACTTGAAAATTACAAAAATTCTTTAAAATTAAAAAAAAATCGTTATCAATGACAACAAATTTTTTAGAATTGAAAAAACAATAAAAATACTCGAAAATGACAAATAAATTTCTTAAAATTAAAAAAAAAAGAAAAACTATTTGAAAATTATAAAAAAAAACATTTGCGAATTGAAAAAACAATAAAAAAATACTTGAAAATTAAGAAAAACTTCCTTACAATTCAAAAAAAGTATAAAAAAAATCCTTGGCTGTGACAAAATTTTTCTTATAATTAAAAAAAAATTTGCAGTGACAACAATTTTGTAAAGTTGAATAAACAATAAAAAATAATTAAAAATAAGAAAAAAAGATTAGAATATAAAAAATGATTTTCAAAAATAGAATATGCCAAAAAATCTTAAAAATGAGAAACAAAAAAAAATACTTGAAAATGACAAAAAATTCTTTGATTAAAAAAAAAACAATAAAAAGTTCTTTAAAATAACAAAAAGATTTTAGAATTTAAAAACGAATTTTAAAGAATAGAAAATGACAAAAAAAACTTTTACAATTGAAGAAAAATAAAAAAAAATAAAATAAAATAAAAGAAACTTGAAAATACTAAAAAGAATCTTAGAATTGAAAAAATAACCAAAAATATTGAAAAATTAAAAAAAATGCTTTACAATTGAAAAAAAAATTGAAAAAACTACTAATCAATGACAAAAACCTCCTTAAATTAAAAAAAAGAATACTTGACAATGACAAAAATTTCTTACAACTGGAAAAAAAATGAAAAAATAATTTTAAAAAATTGAAATTAACAAAAAATCTTTAAAATTAAGAAACCAAACAAAAAAAATACTTGACAAAAACAAAAAATCCCCTCAAATTAAAGAAAATCAATATAAAAAAAAATACTTGTAAATAACACAAAAATTTTAGAATTGTAAAAACAATTAAAAAAATAATAGAAAGTGACAAAAAAAACAATATTAGAACTGAAAAAACAATTTAAAAAAATAGAAAATGAAAAAAAAATCTTAAAATTGAGAAACCCAAAAAAATTATGTACTTGACAGTGACAAAAAAATTCTTTTAAATTAAAAAAATCAATAAAAAATTTTTGAAAATAACAAAAAAATTTTAGAATTGAAGAAACAATTTTTAAAAAAGAAGAAAATTACTTAAACAATCTTAGAATTGAAAAAACAATTTTAAAAAAATAGAAAATTACTTAAAAAAATCTTAGAATTGAAAAAACAATTTTAAAAAAATAGAAAATTACTTAAAAAAATCTTAGAATTGAAAAAACAATTTAAAAAAAAAAAATTACTTAAAAAAATCTTAGAATTGAAAAAACAATTTTAAAAAAATAGAAAATTACTCAAAAAATATTAGAATTGAAAAAATAATTTAAAAAAAAACCTTAAAATTGAAAAAACAATAAAAAATACTTGAAAATTACAAAAAAATTCCTTAAATACAATGAAAAATAAAAGGCACAGAAAATAAAAATTTCAAACCTTCATTAAAGGTCGCGAGAGATTCATCTGATAAAACGTGGCAGATGTATCGTAATTGGAACATTCCTCGAAATCCATTAATTCCTTATCTTTTTCTTTCACGAATTTTTTCCCTTTCTTTTCCTTTGTTTTAAAGACATCTAGAAAAATTAAAAAAAAGAATTATTTTCACAAAATATTTTTTTATTTATTTATTTCAGAAAAAAAATCACAATTTTTTCTCTATTTTCTTCTCTTTCTAAATTAAACAAAATTTATATTTCCTTTCTTCTCTTAAATTATTTATTTACTTATTTAAATATAAACTCGACAATTTTATTTATTATAAACTGGAAAATAATAAAAAAAAATTATTAATTATTTGAATAATATTTAAATAATTATTTAAAAACTGAAATTATAATTTAAATTTAATAAATATAAAACAAATTTTTTTTATGAAAATAAATTATGAAATATTTATGAAATAAATAAATATTTAATTTAAATATTTGTAATCCATTAATAAAAAAATTATATTTTCCTTCTTTTTGCTACTAAATTAAAACAAAATGTATATTTCTTTAAATTTCCTTTTCTTTCTTTTCTTTTGAATTAAAAAAGGAAAAATTATCCAGACCGTTAAATATTGAATAAACGAAAAAAAACAAATCATTATATTTTTTCCCTTTTTTTCTTAGTAAAAAAGAAAACAAAACTTTGTCTTTTTTCTTAGGGGGAAAATTAGAAAAAAAATTTTCATTATATCGATTTTCTTTTTTACCTTTTTTCAAATCCTCGTCCGAAAGATAAATTGCATCGTCATTAACTTCTTTTACCTCTGGATCATCATCGTTTGTTTCGTTCTTTAAAAAAAAGAGACAATAATAATAATATAATTAAAAAAAGTTATTAATTAAAAACGAATAAATGGAGAAAAACAAAATCCAATCCACATACTTGTCGTTCTAAACGGGCCTTTTTAATCTTATCATCGAGTTTCGTTTTTGCCTTTCTCTTGATATATTTACTTAAATCATTCCATGGATCTTCATTATATTCAGAAACGCTATTTATAAATTGAAAATCATTTTCAAAATCTTTGCGCTCCTTTTTCTTTTGTTTTCTCGGCTGAAACTATGTGGAAAAAAGAAATTTTTTTTTTATTATATTCCATATTAAATAATTACAAAATACAATCGAAAAATTTTTTGCTAATAATTAAATACCTTCGAAAAATTTTATTTTTTTAGTAAAATAATTGAATTATTTTGAAATATTTCATTATAATTTTTGAGAATAAATTGAAAAATTCTAATTAAATTCTTTTTAAAACAAAATTTTACAGACAATTTTAGAAATAATTGAATTTTTGAGATTAAAGCACTTTTAGAATTATTTTAATTATTTTCTAAAATAACTGAATTTTGAAATTATAATTGAAATTTCTTAAGTTTTAAAGAAGTGATTTGAATACTTTTTAAAGATATATTAATGAATCGTTTTGAAAATAAGGAAATTTTTTAAGGAATTTTACAGAAAAAAAGATTTTAAATAACCAGAAGGAAAAAATTCAAATAATTGAAAATAATTGAATGTTTGCAAAAAGTTCATTATTTAAATAATAATAATAATAATAATAAAATTTGCAAATAAATAAATAAGTAAATATTAAAATTACTATTTTATTAGAAAAAAAAACGTTAAATTCCAATTTCCAACAAATAGAAGAAAAAAATTCACTTACATCGTCTTCTTCGTCTGAAGGTTCCGAATAATCCGAAACTTCCTGATCGTCTTCGATCGTTTTTATTAAATCACAATTATTTTCCATTTTTTACGAATGGAAACACTTGTTTTCTTTAAATATACTGAAAATAAGAAAAATGACTAAAAAACAATAATCGCAGAGAGAAATATTTTTTCTTGTGTCAAATTTGAGGTTATGTTTGCACTTTGACACGTGCTGCGCGATACAATCTGAAGTTGGCCACATATACACTTTTCTCTTTTAGCGAAAAGAAAAAAAATTCTATCCTTTTTTTTACGCAAATAAAATTCAAAATATCATAAAGGCTCAATCAAAAAAAAAGCGAAAAGAAGAAATTGAAAAAGAGTAAATATAGGATAAATAAAAAAGTAAACAATTTGAATTTTCCCGCTAATGGGAAGTGTGTGAAGTTGTTGGCAAGCCAACTATGCAGGGATGGGTCGTGAATATACACAAGACGCGCACTAATCCTAAGAAAAAAGGACATATATATATATATACAAACGTGTTTGTGTAAATCGTATATATATATATATACAAAAATGCGTCTCTAACCTAACCTAAAAAAATTTTTGCCGCACCGTCGCCGTTGTCGTGTATGATATTCGTTCTGTTCAGTTCGCTTGTCTTTTCTAATCTAAAGCATAAGCAAGCACACAAAATTTGTGTATAGCAAAGGTCTTTATCGAGACGCTTCCTTTATGGAATTTTCCTGGGAAAAAAGGAGAAAATGAATGAAGTCGAGGAGTTGCAGGGCCTCGAAAGTGCCTGTCGACTTTGTTTAACAACCGATGAAACGAGATCTTCCATATTCGGTGCAGCCTACAATGTAGATCCGTTGATTGTGAAAATAAAAAATTGCCTGTCCCTTCAAGTGAGTAATATACAATTTATAATCTTTAAAACGTTTTAAAACACTTTTCTTCCTTTCTCTTTCACTTCTAGAATACAGTACTTCTCTCTCGCACGACACGCCTCAATATTTATAATCTACTTTTTTTTTGTTTATATATATTATACCCCATAATAATTTATTTCATTTATTTGCTTATGCTCGAAACATTCGAGGTTATATTCCGCAGGTGTATTCAATTTCTTTTTTATTAAAATTATATTTATTATATTTATATATATTTATAAAAAAAAAAATTCAATTTTTGTTTGTTTCGATTCTTGTTCTTTAAGGATTTTAGGCTTTCTTTCTGTTTGGGATTTTTATTGATTTCTGTTTCTTACGATTTTTATATGCCGTTTTTTCGATTTTATTCTTTTTCTCTTTTTTTTTATTCAATTTTTGGTTTATTTGTGGCTTTTATACGATTTTTCGCCTTTTATTCTTGTTTTCTATGCAATTTTTGAATTTTATTCTTTTCCTCGTATTTCTGTAATACAAATTTTGATGATTTTGGATTTTTATTCGATTTTTAGATTTTAATCGATTTTTGTTTTTTTATTCAAAATTATTTTTTTATTTATGATTTTGATTCGATTTTTTCTCTTTTATTCTTGTTTTTTATTCGTTTTTTTGTCTTGCTATTTATTTATTCTTGCTATTTATTCGGTTTTTGTTTTTTTACTCAAAATATTTATTTTTTATGATTTTGATTCGATTTTTGTTTTTTATTCTATTTCTTGTCTACTATTTTTGTTTTTGATTCGATTTTTTGCCTATTATTCTGGTTTTTTATTCGATTTTCGTTTTTCAATTAATAGGTTTTTTTATTTATGATTTTGATTTGAACTTTGTTTTTTATTCTATTTTTTGTCTTCTATTCTTGTTTTTTATTCAATTTTTGGTTTCTATTCGATTATTTGTCTTTTATTATTGTTATTTATTTGATTTTTGGTTTTTATTTAATTTTTTGTCTATTATTCTTCTTTTTGTTTTCAATTTTTGGGTTTTATTCAATTATTTGTCTTTTATTCTTGTTATTAATTCAATTTTTGTTTTTTAATTAAAACGATTTTTTTATTTATGTTTTTTTATTCTGGTTTTATATTCGATTTCTGCTTTTAAATTAATAGATTTTTTTATTTTTTATTTACGATTTTAATTTGATTTTATGTATTTTATTCTTGTTTTTTTAAAATTTTTGTTTTTGATTTGATTTTTTATCCTTTATTCTTGTAATTTATTCGATTTTTGTTTTTATATTCAAAATATTTTTTTATTTATAATTTTGATTCGATTTTTTGTATTTCATTCTTGTTTTTTTCGATTTTGGGTTTTTATTCAATTTTTTGTCTTTTATTTTTGTTATTTATTCGTTTTTAATTTTTATTCGATTTTTTGTCTGTTTTTCTTGTTATTAATTCAATTTTTGCTTTTATATTTAAAATATTTTTTTATCTATGATTTTGATTCATTTTTTATTTCGTATTTAATTTTTGGTCTTCTATTCTTGATGTTTTTTATTCAATTTATAATTTTTATTTTATTTTTTGTCTTTTATTCTTGTTTTTATTTGATTCTTATTTTTTTATTCTATTTTTGTTTATTTAGGATTTTTATTTCTTTTTCGGATTTTATTCGATTTTTTGTCTTTTAGTCAATTTTTTAAATTTGATTTTTTGTCTTTTATTCTTATTTTTTATTCGATTCTTGAGTTTATTATTTACCATTTTTTTCGTTTTATTTGTCTTTTTTCCCCTTTTGTTTTAATTTCATTTTTATTCTTTTTCTATTTACGATATTTATTCATGTTTTTATATATTTATTTTCAATTTTTTTTCTTTCCTTTCGATTATTACAAAAAGAAAAAATTTTTGTTCCTTTCTATAAAAAAATAAAAATTCGTAACTTTTCTTTTCCAGATTTCTCAGAAGGACAAATTGTCGACATTAATTTGCATTACTTGCGTTAATAAAGTGAATCAATGGCATCAATACAAGAAGGAATGTCTTCAGTCTCAGGACAAGTTATCAGAATGGCTCGCAAAACAATCGGAACCACTTCCGGTGAGTTTAGACGAAAGGAACAAAATAAATAATTACAAATTAAAAACATTGTTTTTTCGTATTTTTCTTATTTTTTTTCTTCTTCTTTGTTTCAGATTATTACCGTAAAGAAAGAAGTAGAAGAAGAAGAAGAAGATTCCGCAGAAAATACAGAAGTTGAAAAGGTAATTTGTAATTTTCATTTTATTTCTTTACTTAAATTATACATTTTTTTTTCTATAATTGTAAGAAAATAACAAAATGTTTTTTATCTAATTACTAATTTTTATTATTTTTCTCTCTAAAAAACAGATTCAAGAGAAAATTGCCGAAAACGAATTAACAAACTCGGAGGAAATCGCACCCGAAATAAATGAAAATACGGGGAAAAATTCCGAAACGAAAAATGACGAAGTCGAAAAAAATATCGAAGAAGAAAATTCAATAAATGAAAATCCCGAAGCAAATTTGCAAAATGCGGAGAAAAATTCCGAAAATTCAGAAAATGGTGAGAAAATAACGGAAAATATAGAAAAAACAACGGCGAATGTGGAGAAAAATTCCGAGAATGCAGAGAAATTGGTACAAAATTCGGAAAATTGGGAGAAAAATGTGCAAAGTGGAGAAAATACGGAGAAAACGGGAGAAAATAACGAAAAGAATGAAAAAATGGAGAATTTGAAAAAATCGAGTGAAAACGAGAATGAAATGGAAACTGAAACTGAAACGGAGAAACGAGAGACAAATAAACGACGACTATCGACTGATTTAGAGAATGATTCGGCGAAACGTTTTAATCCACTGCCGATAAAGACGGAACCAATCGACGAGACGGAAATCCCACTTGCCGACGATGTCAAAATTCCCCTCGAGGTGCAGCAAAAAGTTCTCAACAAAGGCAAAAAGAAAATACGTCGCGGACCGCATACACACTTCCGTGGTGCTAGAATTTTCAAACGCAAATGCCTTCACTGTCAGATTAATTTGCACTCCAAGACTTCTTACGCGAAGCATATGGCGCGTTTTCATTCTAAAGCGCATCAAAAAACGGGAGGAATTGCAGAAATTGGACAAGGAACGGGAATTGGACAAGGAACAGGAATTGGAATGGGAATTGGAAGAGGAAAAGGAATCGGAACGAGAAGTAGAACAGACTCAGAGATCGAGGAGACTGAGGAGCTGATCGAGGACGTCGAGGAGGAGCTGGAGAATCTCGAGGAGGACGCGCCGTTAACGCCAGTGCAGCAGAACATCATCAGTCAATTGAAGACCTACACCTGCTACTCCTGCGAGCAATCATTCCAAGATCGTCGCAGTACTTTGAACCACATTCGCCAGCACATGCCGGACCTGCGAACCTTCACCTGCGTCGCCTGCCTCACGGAATTCGGAGACCAAGGAACCTACAAGGAACACTGCGAGGAGAGCTTCGAGTGCGCGATGAAAATCGCCCTAGTGATTCCCATTCAAGGTACCGAGAAGTACTTCACCTGTAATATGTGCCTCCAACCGATGGCCAACCGGAAGGAACTCCTCAGTCACCTGGCCAAACACTCCGACAAACAATACGAAGAACTAATGGCCCCACCGCCCAAGCTGACCCCAATCGTCACCGTGAATTCCGCCTCCTTGCCCTACGGAATGGGCGACCCGGCCTACAACCACGAGTGCGATCTCTGCGGAATGATCTATCGCTACAAACCAAATATGATTAAACACCGGGAACTTTGCGCCAGTCTCCAACCCGAGGGTCGAACCTCCTACAAGTGTATCGACTGCGGCATGACCTTCCTAGTGTTCAACAAGTTCCACAATCACGTCATCACCGAGCACAAGAAAAAGGAGCTCAAGTGTCCCAAGTGCGCCGCGAAGTTCCGCTCCCCCAGTGACTACCTAACGCATCACGAATTCCACCGGAAGAAGAATAACCTCAAGGATCCGCAAATATGGAAAATCGAGGGCGACGACAAAAAGGTCGCTTGTTCCTTGTGTAACCTTCTTGTCCCCAGGGCGGACCTACCCGAACACAGGAATTTACACCTAAAGGTCAAAATCTACTCCTGCGTTATCTGCCGATCAATGTTCAGTAGCCCCGGCGCTTTGGAGATCCATATGAAGGACCATGGAATCGACGACCCCGGGGAACGAACCGCGAACACCAAGTGTATGGAATACGGTCACGAGGAGACCCAAAGTCCAGTTGTGAAAAACACCGAGTGCGCGGAGTGCGGGAAGAACTTCTCCAACGTCGCGAACCTCAAGCGCCACATCCGTAACGCCCACGGCGAAGAAAGAAGAATCGACTGTCCGGAGTGTAACCGTAACTTCAAGAACAAGGAGTCTTTCGACGAGCATCAACGACTAGCGCACAACACCGAAAAAACAGTCCTCAACTGCCCCGAGTGTCCAAAAACTTTTGTATTCCAAGCGAACTTGGATCTACACATCAAGAACGTGCACATACCAAAGGAAACCTCTTCACACGAGTGCGAAATCTGTGGCAAGTGTTTCGCGGAGGAATCTTCGTTGAAAATCCACCGCGGATGGCACAATAGAGCAAACTCTAGGTTCAGTTTAGAAGGAAGTTTGGCCGGTTCTTCAAAACCGGCTAAAGCGAGAAAGAGCTTTCCCACCTCGCAAGTGATACAACTACAATGCCAAGTGTGTGACGACAAATTCCACGACGTTGGGGACTTGAGAAAACACGTCTGGGACGTTCACTGTGCGCGAACCGCGAAACAAGAGATCTGCTCCATCTGCTCTAAGACCTTCCCCGACCAGGAGACTCTGACGATCCATATGGAGCTACACGAAGCTAAAGACGACGACGACGACGAGGAAAACCAATTCCGCTGCGACATCTGCGACAAGTATTACAGTTCGCGAAAAATCTTATGGCGCCATAAGAAGCTGCATAAAGTCTCCCAAGTACCCTCCTACCAACGCTTTCAGTCCCTAGCAACCCGAAAAACCTTCTGCAACGGGTGTAATCGTACATTCTCCACCGAAAACCTCCTCAAGCGGCATAAGCTAACTTCCAGTGATTGTCAATTCGGTCGAGTGGTGATAGAAGGAAAAAAACCCGTCACATGCCACATTTGTAAGAACCTATTTCCAAGTATGAGCATCCTCTACCAGCACAAGCAGCTAATGCACAAGTTCCCATCGCGTGAGCGGAATAACGAGTGCTTGCCAATAACGAGTGAAGAAGGGGTCAAGTGCAACATTTGCGGTAAACTATTCTCCGGTGTTTCGAATCTAAAGCAACATTTCGCGATGAAGCACAAGAGTGTGACGACTCATCCTTGTAATGTCGGGAATTGTAAGATGATCTTCTCGACGCCGCACGCACTAAAGAGTCATGAGTTACAGCATTCGAATATGATCTTCAGTTGTGGAATGTGTGAGAAGCATTTCTTTCATCGGGGGATTATGGAGAAGCATATTTACAATGCGCATCGAGCCGCTTATGAGTCGATTGTAGGCGATGATAAGGGTTCGCTGTTCAAGGAAACGGACCTCACGTCGTACACTGTGAAGGGAGCGACTGGAACTGTGTGCCCACGGTGTAAGATCAAGTATCCGAATATCAAGGCTATGAAGATTCATTACTTTAAGTTTCATGAGACGATGGGGTAGAGAGGATGAATCGTCGAAATGTTCACCATCATCGAACTGTTCAGAATCGAACTGTTCATCATTGAACTGTTCACCATCATCGAACTGTACACCATCATTGAACTGTTCAACACCATTGAACCGCTAAGAAGAAGAGGAAGAAATCAGGAAGAAAGGACCAACAGCAGGAATTCAGGATAGGTTTGTAACTTCGGATGTTGGTGTTGATGGACGAACAGATTTCACCATGACTAAAGCGTGGTTCGCCTCGAGTTAGCCATGTCGTCAAAACTTGTCGCCCATTGTCACCAACCTCCAACTTTGACTATCCACCTTGGCTAGGTTGTTAGCCAAGGTCTAACTTTCCGTCTACTGTTAACCGGAGTTAACGATCGCCGAACCCTTCACCCAGAATTGACCTCGAACCGTTCCTGTTCGGACTTTGTAATAATTGAGACCCTGGAACCGAATAAATTCGCCTGACGTTAGGATGCCACATCGCTTCTTGATTCGCTCATGGCAATTAGTGAGCACTGAGCGCCTCCGGGCCCACTCACTGCTACCTAACTGTTATTAGCGCGTTGCATCAGCGTCGGGGGATTTTATTCGATCCAGGACCTAAATTGATAACATTCTGTTGGATCTTCCTAACAACCCGAGGTTTACCCTGGACGAGTGCCGAAAACAGCCTAAGCGAACCCAGAGGCTTTCGGCAGTCGCTCAGAGTGAACCTCGAGTTGACCACGTTCTAACCATTCATCCACAGGTAACATCGAGGTTAACCCTGAGCGAACGGTTGATAACAAAGAATGAAATAATTGAGGTCCTGGAACCGAATAAATTCGCCTGACGTTAGGCTGCCACATCGCTTCTAGATTCGCTCATGGCAATTAGTGAGAAGTGAGCGCTTTCGGGCCCACTCACTGCTACCTAACTGTTATTAGCGCGTGTATCAGCGTCGGGGGATTTTATTCGATCCAGGACCTAAATTGATAATATTCTGTTGGATCTTCCTAACAACCCGAGGTTTACGCTGAACGAGTGCCGAAAACAGCCTAAGCGAACCCAGAGGCTTTCGGCAGTCACCCAGAGTGAACCTTGAGTTGGCCACGTTCTAACCATTCACCCAGAGTTTGGTTCGAGTTAACTAGGTGCAAACGTGTTTGGATCGAGTTAACTAGGTCCAAACGTTTTTGTCGGATCTGGAGAATCAAAACCCGAGGTTAGTTCTGGGTGACCGCCGAATACAGCCTTGGCTAAGGTAAAAACTTTCGGTAGTCACCCAGAGTTAACGTCGAGTTGACCACGGTCTAATTCACCCAGAGTTAACCTCAATTTAATCATGGACTAAGGGGCCGTTCATAAACTAAGTAGACCCATTTTTTTAAAAAAATTTGACCCCCCCCTCCCCTACATAGATGCTGTTACATGTATTAGCGACATTTTTTTCTCTTATCGTAGTCAATAGCTTGACCCCCCTCCTCCCCTTGAAATACTACATTGTTTATGGACGACCCCTAATTAATAAAATTTTGTTAGATCTAGCGAATCAGAACCCAGAGTTAACCTCGAGTTTTAATTCGAGGTTATCTCTGGGTAAATAATTAAAGTGTTAACTTAAAGTTAAACCTCTGGTTGAATGATTAGAGTGTTACCTCAAGGTCAACCCTGGGCGAATCGTTGATTAAAAATGCGTCTTCAAAAGCAACCTATAAATTTTTGTCCTAGTCCCCCAAGCGGAATAGATTCTCAAAGAGGAGAAGCTTGGGGGCTCTAGCGCCCTTTCTTCGCGACGCATAATACAAGTAGATAGACTCTTAGCACTTCTTAGTAAATCGTGAAAATGGATTTAGAAAAAACATCCGATTATCGAAAAAGTGACTTTTTTTTAACGCTCTTGACTAAAGGCCATAATGCGCAGGAGATTTGGGACAATGGGTGAGAGAAGGACGGAGATATATCACTATCCTTCTCCCACTCATTGTTACGGATCGCTTTTCCGAAAAAAAGGCTAACGCAATAGATTCGTAATCGGAATCGAAAATATGAGAGAAAGAGAAGGACAAGTGTATATTAGTTTCCTTCTCTCACTAGCACTTTTATGTTGAGACTACAATAAAAACTTTTAGGTTAAGTTGACGAGATTTTGTCGAGATAGAATCTTGTTTCGATCAATGCGTTAGTGTAGACTTAACCTAAAAAACCTTTATTGTGAACTCAACCTTACAAGTTAGTAAATGGTTTAAAAAAAATGATTAACTGAATCGCGACTAGGTTTCTGATTACGAAACTATTTTGCATAGACCTTTAATGGTCCATTTTCGGTTGTTGAAAATTTTTTCGATATTTTTACTATAATTAATTAATAAACTAATGAATTGAATAAATAATTATTTTCAATAAAAAATAAATATTTTCAATAAATAGTTAATTATTTTAAAACAATAAATGCCATTCTGCATTATTCATGTTTATTAACTTGTAAGGTTGAGTCTACAATAAAGTTATTATAAGGCCAAGTCTACAATTTTCCAAAAGCGCACCAAGTTAACCTAAAAATGTCTTCAGTGTAGATTTTACTTAATCCAATTTAATTTATTTAATTAATTAGTTTATTAATTTAATAGTAAAAGAGAAATTGTCCAATAACTACAAAATTAGTGCGCTATTTGTTCGTGTTAATCGTGTTAATATTGAAAAAGAAAATTATTATAGAAAGTCCCTAAAGAGAGAGAATAACAAACATAACCTCTCATTGACGTGTTTTTTTCGACAAAAAAAAAAGCGAAAAGATATAAGAAATGTAGAAAAAACAGTAGTTTGTATTCGCGAACAAATTTGTGACGCAAAAAAAGCTAAGGAAAACATTAACCTTAAATTTTTATTTTCTCTTATCGAGCCGCAAGGATATTCTTCTTTATCAAATTATATACGAGAAAATTTTAACGACGAATTGCAATTTATTGAAATCATACCCTACTATATATCTAATTTCTTACCTATTAGATTTATTTTTTTAATTTTTTTTACGTTTTAATTATATATATATATAATAATATAAAACTATTTTTTAATAATAATTATTACATTGACTCATTTTCTTTTTAAATTATATATATATGTATGCGAATTATCATTTTTTTTTCTAATAGATAAATCGTGTTATTTAAATAATCGTGAAAGATTATTTATAATATATATTAGATTTTAGAAGCGAAGATTTCAGTAAATATTATATAGATATAAATATATAATTATTATCATTCGAGTGATGAATTTTCAACTTTCCAAATACCATTTATCCATATATTATTATATATTATAATAAGTCAGTTAGATTGTCGTGAAAATATTTTTTTAATGTACTTTATTAGCGCTAATTATATATTTGAAAATAAAAATAATTATAGAAGTAATAATATAGTTATAAAAATAATAATGAAAAAATAATAATATTAATTATAGTATTAATAATAATAATAATAATAATAATAATAATAATAATAGTAATAATAATAATAATTGTTTCGTGAAAAATTCTGGAAAAATTCAAATAATAATAATATTATTATTATTGTTATTGTTAATAATAAAAAGAGTAATAGTTACAATAATAAAAGTAATAGTAACAATAATAATAAAAATAATAGTAATAATAATAAAAATTGGGAAAATAATTTGTTTAATCATTTGTTGTAAGAAATAAAAAATTTTAGAAACCTAATTAAAAATGGTAATAAAAGCAAAAATAGTGAAATATTATTTACTCCTTGAAATTTTTTATTTTTTACCTACAAATATTTCGCAACGTGTTATTTAATAGAAAATTTTATTTTTCGGTTAAACCTTTTTTTTTATTTATTATTTTTCAATTATTATTAAAAATACTTAAAAAATTATAAAAAATACTTTTAAAAAAAAGATGGAAAACAAATTTTTAAATTAGAAAACATTTTTTTTTTTAAATTATTCCTTTGTTGCAATAAATAATAGAAATTTCGGTATACCGAAATTTTTATTTATTACGTAATTAAATTATTTATTAGGTAAACAAAAATTATTCTTTTCGTATTTTTTTTTACAATTCTTCATTTATTTGGATTTTTATATTAAATATTTTCTGTCGTCTTCCATTTTTTTTAATTGTCTCTGTTAATTTTTTCTAATTTTTTTTTCTTTTTGTCAAAAATTAAATTTTGTACAATTCTGCATTTTTTCTGTTTCTATAAATTATTATTATCATAGATAATAAAAAATGTAAGTGGTTTTGTAAGAAAAATTCTATATTTAGTCGCCAGTATATCTGTATTAATTAATATTTATGAAAAAAATATACATTAATTTTGAAATTGTAAATTGCTTTTTCTTCCTTTTCTTTTTATATTTTAGAAAAATAATACCAGATTTGTTGGAAATTTAATTATAAATACTAATATAAAATTAGTTTGTGAACGACCCTTTAATCAATAAAAATAGCCTGGTTATAATAATAAAAATAAGAATTGTGAACGTACCTTAAATAAATAAAAAAATAGTAGTAATCAGATAATAAAAAGCAATTAATCAACAAAAATAGTGATAATAATAATGAAATAATAATTGTGAACGACCCATAAATAAGTAAAAATTGTAGTAATAATAAAATTACATATAGAAATAACAATTTTGAACGACCCCTAAATAAGTAAAAATAATTGTAATAATAAAATAACAAAAAATAATAATTATGAAAATAAGAATTGTGAACGTACCTTAAATAAATAACAAAAAAAATAATAATTGTGAACGACCCTTTAATCAACAAAAATAGTGATAATAATAATAAAATAACAATTGTGAACGACTCCTAAATAAATAAAAATAATATAATAGTAATAATAAAATAACATAAAAAATAATAATTGTGAACGACCCTTAAATAAATAAAAATAATATAATAGTTTAATAGTAATAATAAAATAACAAAAAATAATAATTGTGAACGACCCTTAAATAAATAAGAATAGTAGTAATAATAAAATAACAATTCTGTACGACCCCTAAATTAATAAAAATTATAGTAATAATAAAATAACAATTGTGAACGACCCCTAAATTAATAAAAATAATGGTAATAATAAAATAATTAAAATAGTAATAATAAAAGAAAATTTGAATTTTCCCGCGTTTATTTTGACAGAACATTAAACAACGAATGACCGTTTCTTTCTCCCATTCCCTCGCTTCTGATTGGTTGTATACTTCTAAACACGTGCCACGATTTGCTATTCACAGAAAATCAATCACGATTGGTTGAATTATTGTTTCAAAAAAGTTAGTTTGGCTCTGTGTGTGATGACGTTATGTTGTCTAATGTCGTCGTCGTTAATTATTGTTCCTTATTTTAATCATTGTTTTCGACAAATATTTAATCAGTTTATATTTAATAGTGTTTATTGCGCGGAAAAAACATTGAATTCAAGTTAATAACGCGAGAAATATTAGTTATTTAGGAAGGAAAATAAAAAAAAACATGGCGACAGCTTCATCGGTAAGTCAGTCAAAATTTTGTATATGTAATTACCTTTTGCTTTTCCATTTTAATAATATAAATAAATGTATAATTTGGAAATGTAATAAATATACTTGGTTTCTTGGAATATTATCTGCTGATAGTTTTCATCTATTAGGGACACGAGTCAGTGTTTTTGTTTATATAAAACTTGCTTTGTTGTTATGGACTTTCTCACATGTTGATTTTTTTTTCTTTTGACGTTTCAGTTTTATATTTGTAACTTGTTTACAAATATTGTTCTCTTTGCGTTTATATTATGCTTTTTTCGCTTGCGTTACTATATTTACTGTATATTTGCTGATCGATTAAACATATAACCAAAAAAAAAAATTTTTTATTTTTTATTGTAATTTAGATTTCAAATGTGGAGAATTTATCGCCACAAATTATAAGACGCGTTGCTAAGGAGGTGAATGAATTGGCGAATGAACCTCCGGAAGGTATACGAGTTATTATTAATGAACAGGACATAACTGACATTCAAGCTGTGATCGAAGGACCTGGTGAGAAAAAAGTTTTGTTTTTTTCCTAATTCCCTATAATTTCTACGTTATTTTTTCTTTCGGTTTTTTTTCTTTTTTATTGAGAGAAGAAAATCGAGAATATTCGCATATTATTTTTAGAGCAAAAAAGAAAATAATAACGTTTAATAAAATGAAAATAGCGAAATAATAATTTTTGCCCTTCGTTGTAATTTTGAGGTTATGTTTGATATTTTCATAATTTTTTCTATCTTCGACAGCCGGTACTCCGTACGCGGGTGGATTTTTTAAAGTAAAATTGGCACTGGGCAAAGATTTTCCACAGGGACCACCGAAAGCCTTTTTTCTTACGAAAATTTTCCATCCAAATGTTGCAAAAAATGGTGAAATCTGCGTGAATACTTTAAAAAAGGATTGGAAATCCGATCTCGGAATTAAACACATTCTCTTGGTGAGTTCATTTTTATTTTCTTATTTTTATTAATTAATTAATATTTATAATTTCAAAATTTAGAATTATAAATAATAAATATACAAAAATGTAATAAATATAATATAATTATTTTAATTATTAAATGAATAACTATTAATACTAAAATTATACTATTATTAATTAATTAATTAATTAATTGAATATTATTAATAATTAGTTATTAAACTAAAAAAATTAAGTTTCATTTTAAATTGTAAAAAATAAAATAGAAATTTCGGATAAATTCGAGAAAATACAAATTAAAATAAAGAATAAATAATAATTAAAATTAATGTCAGACTTTGCAGTCGATAATTAATTTTAAAAAAGTAGTTTCAATTCAATTCCTGCAACGAATTTTATTATTCATCAAAGAATTTCAATATTTAAAAATATAATTTAATTCTTCCGAAAAATTTTATTAGAATTTTTAAATAATTCATTTCTTTCGACTAATTTTATGCAAATTCTAATTTAAATAATTGAATTCCTGAGAAATTTTTATTATTCATGCGAAAATAATTGAATTCTTACAAAAATTTTTAAAAAAAATTTTTAAATTATTTATGAAAATAATTAAATTCTTGCGAACGATTTTATAAAAATTTTCTAAAATAATTGAATTCCCAAGAAGAAATTTTTACTTTTAAAAATAATTGAATTCTTGTAATGAATATTGTTATATTTATGAAAATAATTGAATTTTGAAAAAAAATTTATTAAAATACCTCAAAATAATTGAATTTTCGGGGGTAATTTTTTTATTGATCTTTAATAATTGAATTCTTTCGAAGAATTATTTATACGTAAATAATTGAATTCTTGGGAAGATTTTATTAAAATCTAAAAGAATAATTGAAATATTTCAAAAAAATTAAAAATTAAAATTACATTAAAAATAATTGATTTCTTTCGAACAATTTTATCAAAATATTTGAAAATAATTGAATTTCTATAAAAAATTCTAATATTTTTGTAAATAATTGAATTCTTCCAAAGAATTTAAAAAAACCATTTTTTTAAAATAATTGATTTTTTCGTGGAATTGAAATTAAATTTTTAAGAATAATTATATTTCTTGAGCAATTCCTGAAAAATTGTATTAAAAATAATTGAAATCCTGCGATGAATTTTATAATTTGTGAAAATAATTGAATAATTGCTTAGAATTTTATTTAAATTTTCAAAAAAAAAATTCAATTCCTGAGAAGAATTTTATTATTTATGTAAATAATTGAATTATTGCGAAAAATTTTATAAAAGTGTTTAAAAAGAATAGAATTTTAGTGAAATATTTTGTTATTTTTAAAAATAATTGAATTCTTCATAATAATTTTATAAACATTTTTTTAAATAATTAATTTTTCCGAATAATAAATATTATAAAAATTTTATATTAAATAATTAAATTCTTGTGGAAAATTTCAATTGTGAAAATAATTGAATTTTTCGATTAATTAATTAAAAATAGTATTCATAATAATTGAAATTCTTCGATGAGTTTTATTATTTATGAAAATAATTGAATTCTTGCTTAGAATTTTATCAAAAAATTTTTTAATAACTATTAATTATTTTTAATTAAATATTGTTAGTAATTAATTATGAAACTAATGAAAATCATTAAATTTCATTCTTTTGAATTGTAAAAAAAAACAAAGAAATTTCGGATAAATTCGAAAAATACAAATAAAAATAGAGTTAAAGAAAGAAAATGTTTTTTGAAATTTAATTAATTTTTTTTCTTTTATTAACAGACTGTAAAATGTCTGCTAATTTTTCCAAATGCCGAATCTGCGCTTAATGAGGAAGCAGGTAAATTACTATTGGAAAGGTACGATGATTATTCGGACAGAGCGAAAATGATGACGGAAATTCACGCACAAGTAAGTAAAATTAATTTTTCTTTTTTTTTTAAATTTAAAATAATGCAAATTTAATGAACATATTTTAAACTATTTAAATTTTAGTAACATTTTTTGAAAATAATTGAAATTTAGTAATAAAGTTATAAATAATTGTAAGTTTAGTTAAAAATTGTGGCAATAATTGAAATTTATATCAAAAACTTTGATAATAATTTGAAATTTAATAAAAGAAATTGAAACTAATTAGAATTTGGTGAAAAAAATTTGAAAATAATTTTTATTTAGTTTAAAAAATGGAAAATAATTGAAATTTAGTAATAAAGTTATAAATAATTGAAATTTAGTTGAAAATTGTGGAAATAATTGAAATTTTGTTTAAAAATGGAAAATAATTGAAATTTAGTTAAAAATTGTGAAAATAATTGAAATTTAGTTTAAAAATGGAAAATAATTTAAATTTAGTTAAAAATTGGGAAAATAATTGAAATTTAGTTTAAAAATCGAAAATAATAAAATTTAAATTTAGTAAAGTTTGTTTTGAAAAATAATTGAAAAGTAAATAAAATTTGAATTATTGAAATTATGCAAAATTTTATCAAATTACTTGGAATTTAGTCTCCAGAAATTGAAAATATTTGAAATTCAGTTCAACAAAATTGAAAGTAAATGAAATTTATAAACAAATTTGGAAACTAATTAAAATTTATCGAAAATAATTGAAATTTGAATCTTCTAGACACAATTTAGTAGTAAAATGCTAACAAAAAAAGAAGTAAAAACCCACGTGAAAAGTGAAAAGAAAAAGAAAATTAATAAATTCGCAAAAAAATTTTCAGGCAATCAGAAAAGGCAAACTAGGCCTTGAGAATGGACCACAATTACTGGAAGTTGGCGGTCCACTTCCCAAGAAGCACGCCGGCGACAAGAAATTAACCGCGGAAAAGAAGAAAATGCTCAAGGACAAAAGAAGAACACTAAAAAGATTATAAAAAAAAATTAATTAAGCAAAAAAAAAACTAATTTAAAAGAAAAATTCGAAAAAAAAGAAATTTTTAGTGTAATTTTTTTCCATTGTGTCGTTGTCGTCGTCTTCGTCGTCAGAATTTGTCTTATTTCGTGTGAATGTGTGTTTAAAAAAAAAGTATTTCCTCACATTTGCACACAATGTGTGTAGAATTTGCAAACAAAAAAAAAAACTATTTAAAAAACAAAGAGAGATAAGAAAGAAAAAAGAAAAAAAAACAAGCTAAAAAAAACCTCGACTGATCTTTTATTTTGTTCTGTGTTTAAAATAGAAGAAAATTTGGTATAATCGTTTTTTCTTCTTTTTTTCTTTTGTAGTGTGTGATAAGTTTTTTCTTCTTCTTTTTTTGTGAAAAAGTAAAGAAAAAAAATTAAAAAAAGAACGTCCCGGGATCGTTAATCTACTAGTGAATATTTTTTCATATACATGTGTACAGAAGATTTATCGTGTTTATTAAAGGGCTACATGAAAAAAAAATAGTGGAAATGATTATTTATTAATAATTTAATTTTTTTTGGTGTTATTCTCAAATTATTTTCATTTCATTTCTTTTGGTCAATTCTCAATTTTCATTTTATTGGCTTTAATTAAATTAAATTATCTTCGAAATATTTGAAAAGAAAAATTATAAAAAAGTTATGGTATTCATCAATTACTAGAGCATTACTATCAGTTTCTTCTGACGATGATATTCTTATTTTCTAAACCGTTTTACTATTTTCAAATCGTTTATTTGCACATTAAAATTTTTCTCTGCTTTCCATATTTCAATGAAAACAGGCAAAACATACTCAGCAAAGATTCTTTCAATTGCAAGAAAATTAAGATTTTTGGATTCCTTTCTCAACGAGCGAATATTCTTAGTAATGAGATTGTTTGAGAAATCATGATACAAAATTTCCTTTACATATTGGAAAAGCTTTTGTTTCGTTATCCTTGAAATCATTTCTTATATAACCTGTAATGTTACCATAGTGGGCAAACAAACCCATATTAATAATGTACCGAAAAAATTTGTTAACATTCTCAAAATTATTCAGCTCTTCAAAATCAGAAATATTAATTTTACTTCGCATTTCTTTAAAAAGAAGGATTTTTGCAGCTGACGTTGAATTATTCGCACGGTTGGGACGTTTGGAGTATAAGTTTCTGTAATGTACACGGCTGGGTCAGTACGATTTTAAATTTTTAAATGCGAATAAGAAACAGGGATGGGTATATCAAAATTCAAGTAGCCACTTTTTTTAACCTTTTTAACTAATTTCGTAAAATAAAATTACTTACCTTTAGATTCTTAATTCGAATTCTTCGAGTAGCAAAAAAAAAAAAAAAAATATGCAAATGACTGAAACTAAAATTATCAATGCACCGGAAAATAAATAGAAGTCTCCTTTTTTGGTCAAGTTGCATTTTATTGGTTGTATTTAAATCTTACGTACATTCCTAAAGACAAAAATTATAATTTATAGAAAGAAATCGTAAATTTGTAATCCAATTAAAAAAAAGTTCTATAGAATGACTATAGATCATTCTATAGAATATTTTGTAGAATTTATCTAAAAATATAATTTTTTAATTTCTGCACGAATTTTATAAAATATTTCTATACTCAAATTCTACAGAATTCGTGCAAAAATTAAGAAAAATATTTCTTTAGATAAATTCTATAAAATATTCTATAGAATGTTCTTTAGAATTTTGACTGGGATTTTATAAATTATTGTGTGATATTTTCTCTTGAAACATTTGTAGTTTCTTTCTTAATAGTAAATTTAAATAGAGATTCATTCAAATATTAGAAAAGTATGAAGAAAATGAATTGCTTTTTAATATTCTTCAACAAAATAATTAACACCATCCATATAAATATCATTTAGCTTATTCACAATGTTTATAATTTTTTCTTCTTTTGATTTTATGTCATTTGATTCAACAGTTACAAAAATTACTTTCTGATTCTCAATGGTTTCTTCAAATTCCTCAATTCGTTTATATTTCTCATTAGAAATTAAAAAATGTGACTTGACTTCATTCTTGAAAAATTGATAAACGTCTGCTACTCCACAACGATTATTAATTTTTATTTTGAAAAAAAATAATATTCCTGTACCAGTAGAATCATTTAAGGCGCTTGATAGTACAAGACTACGATTTCTACTGCATGGTACATTTCCTTTTAAAGTTACATGCTCTCTTGTATATAGGTTTATGTTAGAATAAGTATCGGTCGCATAGAAAGCCTGATAGAGTACAATTGGCTCTTCATTCAATTCCTCGTCACATTGTCTGAGAGCCACTCTCAAAAGTGAAACTTTCTCATGTTTTGTCACATGTGGAAAGTTTGCCATGACTAATAACCAGTGAATTCTATAAAAATCTTCAAATCTGATTTTCTTGTGGAAAATATCCAAGTCTGCTTTGTACCTATCATAATAGTGATCAAGAAAGGATTTCGTTGTTGATTTAAAATTTATCTCTGAATTCCACTTATAATGATTAGAGTTATATTGAAAATAAAATTTTGATTCATATAGTACATCATTTATGTATTTGCTATTATCAATTTTCCAGGGCGAATAAAAGTCAGTAATCGTCGTGCCATTCGAATAATTTTCAGCCAGTTGTTTATATGTCAGTAAATTGGGGTTGTATGTACCTACAGACAATATGAAACTCTTCAACATAGTCACAGCTTTAGAAAATCTTTTCAATGGAACATTTGACGAAATGTATTTTGCAGCTTTTTCAATAGCTTTCATCCTTGTGGAATCTCTTGCATTAGACAGTTCACTGTGTTTCGTAGCATTAATAATTCTATACCATCTATCAAGCGATAAATTCATCCTTTTCAGATTGATAATTAAAAACAATTTATTTTCAATTTCAACATATCTTGTATTTGTAACTTTAAAATCAACCTCTGGAAACACTATGTATAGATTATGAATATTGTATTTATGCAAATCGACAAAACCTTCTTGTGATTCACTTACTATATGATAAAGTACGTTTGTTTCATCCGATTGAGTATATGGTTTCCATATTTTTGGCGGCACTTCACCGGATGGAGTCTTTGTAAGTATTTTGAAATCATTAAAAAAAAATTTCGATCCTTTTAAATCAAATAAAGAATTGGCAAGATTTGCATCAGTTGTAATTTCTAGAAGCCAAAGATCAAGTGGATTATTTGTATAATCGATTATTTCCTCAAGAGCGATATTTGTTACTATTTTAGAGAATAAATCTCTCTCTTGATTTAAAATTGTTAAACCATTAACTTTTAGGTTTGATAAAAATTCAAGACGAAAATTTCTTATTGGATACTCTACTTTAGGTGGGTCTTCATCCATTCCTACAACATCAATATCACTGTCTTCTGAAGATGATACTTGTCTTCTAAACCGTTTTACTATTTTCAAATCGTTTCTGCGCACATTTAAATTCTTTCCTTTCCATATTTCAGTGAAAATTGGCAAAACATACTCAGCAAAGATTCTTTCAATTGCAAGAAAATGAAGTTTTTCGGTTTCCTTTCTCAGAGAGCAAATATTCTTAGTAGTGAGATTGTTTGAGAAATCGTGATACAAAATTTCCTTTAGATTGGAAAAGCCGTTGTTGTTATCATTGAAAACATTTCTTACATAACCTGTAATGTTGCCGTAGTGGGCAAACAAACCCATATTAATTATGTACTGATAGAGTTCATTAACGTTCTTCAAATTATTCGGATCTTCAAAATCAGAAATATTAATTTTACTTCGCATTTCTTTAAAAAGATGGATTTTTGCCGCTGACTCATTGTTTGACTTGTTTAGATATTCAAAAAATGCATTCAGAACAGGTATGGTATCATTTTCCGCTGTAGTTGAAAGCAGGTTATTGTTATTCAAAATAATTCCCAATGTTGTAATGTAGTGACACACTGAAAAGAAATGATTGTTTTTCAGTGGAGAAATAAATGTTGTAGGCATCATAAATCACTTTTTCCTTTTAGGTTATGTTGTTTGCTTTTTGTTGCGTTTAGCTAGAAATTGTCGTTGCTATTAACTCTCTGGTAGGTATTGTCTTTTTACAGGTGACCTGAAAATAAGTGTCAAGTATTCTTTTAAATTAAATTTGGCATTAATTAATAAATTTTTGTACAGACGATAAATTAAATATTAAACTGGACCTTATTACTCCGTGACAGGACCTGACGACGTTGAATTATTCGCACGGTTGGGTCGTTGGGAGTATAAGTTTCCATAATGTACAGGGCTGGATGAGTACGATTTTAAATTTAAATTCGAAAAAGAAACAAGGATGGGTAGTTAAAAATCCAAGTTTTTAAAAATCTTTTCTACGCTCTCATTACGGTTTGCGCATCTGTTTGAAAGCCACGTCATTTCTATCACAATCTTTATAGTTCGTGACTGGCGTATTAAAAAAAACATGCCACGAACTAATAAGATAATGATAGAAATGCCACGTCTACAAAAACGTGTACCATAACCGAACGGACTGCATACAAGCTGTCACACCTGTATCTTACATCATAACCTTACTTTTTGCACTTTTGGTTTGTATCAATACGTCGTTAATTTCACGTGTTAATAACGAAATAAAGTATTTTTAAATTAACAATTTCTAAAAAACTTAATAAAATGAAACATTTCTTACCTTTAGATTCTTAATTCGACTTCTTCGAGATAGGCAAACAATACTAAACTGTAAAATATGCGTCTCTTCTCAAAGCTTTTATAGTACTAATAACTAATAAAAATTATTATCTAAAAATCGTGAGACATCAGGAAAATAAATTTATTATCATTTCATTCTATTAAAAAAATTTACAATTTTCACTAAAAAAAAATTTCTTTCTTTTGTAGCAAAAAAAAAAAAATACTCATGGAATAAAATCACAAACACCATAAATTTCTCTCTCGAATCCCATGCAAATGACCGAGAGTAAAATTAACATTGCACCGGAAATATTTGACAATGTTGGTACTTCGTCGAAGAAATAAATTTGACAAACATAAGCGAGTATAATGTCAAGTGAACGTGTCACTGATACTTTACCGGCCCCTTCAATTTTCAATGCTTTTGCCACTAGAACTTGTCCAGAGAGACCGGTGACAACAACGAGAATAATTTGACCCCATGTGAACCAGTCGTGTGGTAAGTGAAAATTAATATGACCTTGAGAATTTATTAGATAGAATGTAGTCGCTGATATTAGTGTCCAACCAGAGAGATTAAAAACAATAACGGCGTAATGAATTTCGACACATTTTCTCATTACAACAATATTTAGGGCTGTGAAGACAGTTGCCAGTAGGGCACACGTGTAGCCGAGGGGATCGTAATTGTCGAGTTTACTAGTCTGGAACAAAAAAAAATTTCATTATTGAATAGAAGTTTTTCTGTTGTCAATAAAGTGTCTTTTTACTCATATATGCTTTCCTTCCGGTTTGTGGACAACTTTTTGAAAAGTGGTGTGCCTTCTATAAGAATGTTTTAAGTCTATGGCGAATGATGGAAACGCCATAGACTTAAAACATTCTTATAGAAGGCACACCACTTTTCAAAAAGTTGTCCACAAACCGGAAGGAAAGCATGTTTTAAGTCTATGGCGTTTCCATCATTCGCCATAGACTTAAAACATTCTTATAGAAGGCACACCACTTTTCAAAAAGTTGTCCACAAACCGGAAGGAAAGCATATAATGGCATATATGCAATTGAGTGTACCCTCTGTGATAAATTAACAGTTTTTATTTTATTTAAAAAAATTTGATCTCACCTCGAAAATGAAAGGAGGTCTTGAAACAAGAATAACTCCGGTTAATAGAGCCGTTATCACTGCAATTCGTAAAACTCCACATGGTTCTCGTAGAAATATAAATGAAAGTGCAATGACAATGACGGGCGAACTAAAAATAATTGTTGTCGCATCGCCGAGGGGTAATTTTCGAAAACTGTAGTACAAAAGGGCCAAAGTTATTCCGCCAACGAATCCCTGAAAAGTGACGGAAAAAAATTTCATTACATTTTTTATTTTCTTGACTTTTTTCTATCATCAAAAATATTTACTTTTTTTCATATCCTACTGCTAATAAATTCAATTCCTGCAACGAATTTTTATTATTCATCAAAGAATTTTAATATTTTTAGAAAAATAATTTAATTCTTGCGAAGAATTTTATGAAAATTTATAAATAATTCATTTAAATAATTGAATTCTTGAGGAATTTTTATTATTCATGCGAATAGAATTGAATTCTTACGAAAATTTTTTAAATAATTGAATTCTGTTTGGAAATTTTTTGAAAATAGTAAATATTGAAAATCATTAAATTGTGAAAATTTTTTTTAAATAATTAAATTTTACAAAGGAATTCAATTAAAATTTTTGATAATAATTGAATGACTGTCTATGGTATTTTATTAAATTTTTTTGTAAATAATTGAATTCCTAAGAAGCATTTTATTATTTATGAAAATAATTGAATTCTTGCGAACGATTTTATTAGAATTTCTTTGAAATAATTGAATTTTCAAGAAGAAATTTATTGCTTTTGAAAATAATTGAATTCCTGTAAAATATTCTAATATTTTTATAAATAATTGAATTTATCTAAAGTATTTTATTACTTATGGAAATAATTGAATTATTGCGAAGAAATTTACAACAAAATTGTTAAATAATTGAATTCCTGTGAAATTTTTATTATTTATGAAAATAATTTAATGTTTGCGTAGAATTTTATTACAATTTTCTTTTTAATAATTGAATTCTTTAGGAAAATTTTATAAAAATAATATTTAAAACGATTGAATTTGAGGAAACTTTTTGAAAATAATTGAAATTTTGCCAAGAATTTTATTAAAATTTTTCAAAATAATTGAATTCTTGGCAAAATTTCAATTATTTTCAAAAAGTTTTCTCAATTCAATAAATTTCAATATTATTTTAATAAACTGTTCCTGAAAAATTCAATTATTTAAAAAAAAAATGTAATAAAATTTGATAATTGAAATTTTGACGAGAATTTTTAAAAATTGAAAATAATTGAATTTCTGCAATCTTTTGTAATTTTAGAAATTAATTGAATTCCTACGAAGAAGTTTATTAAATTTTCTTTGAAAATAATTAAAATATTTTGAAAAATTTCATTACAATTTTTGAGAATAAATTTATTTTCTCATAAAATTTAATTAAAATTGTATTTAAAATATTTATTAAATTCTAATAAACAAATTATATCAAATTTTTTTTAAATAATTGAATTCTTTTGAAGAATTTTAATAAAATTTTTTATAATAATTGCATTTTTCGAGAAATTTACTTAAAATTCTATGTAAAAAAATAGAAATTCAGAAATAAATTTTATTAATTTATGAAAATAATTGAATTCTTGGGAAGAATTTTATTAAAATTTAAAAAATAATTGAATTATTAAAAAAAAAATTTAACTAAAATTGTATTTAAAATAATTGATTTCTTTTGCACAATTTTATTAAAATATATTTGTAAATAATTGAATTTATGTGAAAAATTCGAAAATTCTAATATTTTTGATACAAAAATTGAATTCTTTCAAAAAATTGTCGTTAAAAATTAATTAAAATTTTGCGATGAAATTTATTATTTATGAAAATAATTGAATAGTTGCTAAGAATTCGAAAATTTTTTGAAAATAATTGAATTTCGAATATGTTTTGAAAATAATTGAATTTGAAATATTTTTCGAAAATAATTGAATTTCGAATATTTTTCGAAAATAATTGAATTTAAAAAATATTTTTCGAAAATAATTGAATTTCGAATATTTTTCGAAAATAATTGAATTTAAAAAATATTTTTCGAAAATAATTGAATTCCGAATATTTTTTCAAAATAATTGAATTTCAAATATTTTTTTAAAATAATTGAATTTCGAATATGTTTTGAAAATAATTGAATTTGAAATATTTTTCGAAAATAATTGAATTTCGAATATTTTTCGAAAATAATTGAATTTAAAAAATATTTTTCGAAAATAATTGAATTCCGAATATTTTTTCAAAATAATTGAATTTCGAATATTTTTCGAAAATAATTGAATTTAAAAAATATTTTTCGAAAATAATTGAATTCCGAATATTTTTTCAAATTAATTGAATTTCAAATATTTTTTAAAAATAATTGAATTTCGAATATGTTTTGAAAATAATTGAATTTCGAATATTTTTTCAAAATAATTGAATCATTAATTAAAGAATTTGAAACTATAATTTTCTAGAATAGTTTTAAGAAAAAAAGAAGAAAAAATTTTTTAATTAATTTTTCAAAAAAAAAAAAATTTGTTTTTTTCTTACCTGAAAGTGAATGAGAAGGCGTTGGCCTTTAGGACCAAAAATATTTGTTTCCCGCCAGCCGCAAATTAACATTAATGTCATTTGAAAACACGCACGAATCCCAAGTAAAACCATTGGATCGACATTTCTTATTGCTTTAACTAATGCTGAACTTAATGTGAAAAATGTACCGGAGAGAAATGCCAAAAAAATGCCAAACCACTTGGTGCCCTCGTGATAAATTGGTAAATTATTGTTAAATTGTTCTGAATAGAGATAAACTGGTGGAATACTGTCGTATGAATTTGTTGCTTCAAGGGCAAATTTCATTTTTTTGGGGGTTTTTTAAAAAAATATTTTTATCGACAAAAAAAATAATGAAGAAAGTAATTTTAATTATATTTTTTTCAAGTGAACGAAATATGAACGAATTTCGTGGAGACAAATGATTTTAATATTTGTAATAACACATCTGTTGAGTCGATTCTAATATGCTAATAAATAAGAATAGGGATTAATAATAAATAGGATTAATGACGTTTCGAGTGAGAAGTGAGTCGTGTTTTAGTTTTTATTTTTTATGCCTTTAAAAAACACAACAATGATTTTTCATTTTCGTTAGGCAATTTTTTTTTTTTTTTTTTTTTATTAAAATTATTAATTTAATATTTATGTATACATTTTTCTATTTTATTTACTACTTTATTTTTATTTATTTTTTGGTTTTCATTGTTTATTTTTTTTCGTATATATATGTATTTCGTTTTTATTTTTATTTATTTATTTTTATTTTTGTTTATTTATTTTTATTTATTTATTTATTTAGTTTGTTTAGTTAATTTATTATTTAATTTTATTTCTAGTTTATTTTTTATTTTATTTTTAACTAATTGTGCTAGAGATAGTCGGGAATTTTATGCGCATGCGCGCAGGTTTCCATGGTAACTTTCAAGAGCGAGAGAGACGAAAGAATTGCCTATCACTCTCACTCTCGTTAGTTACCATGGAAACGCATTTAAAAGTCAGACAGGCGGAGCCTGTGAACCCATCATTAGGAGTCAGACTTTTTTAAAACTTTTTTTTCCTTTTACAGAGAAATAATTAATTCTACGTCGGCAAAAAAATTATAGAATATAAATAAATAATAAAAAATTAAATAAATGAACTTTAAAAAAAAAACAATAATATATAAATACTAATAAATAAATAATAATAAATAAATAAATAATAATAAATAAATAATAATAAATAAATAAATAATAATAAATAAATAGTAATGAATAAATACTAAAAAAAAATAAATAATAAAAAATAAATAAATATTAATAAACAAATAATAAGTAATTATAAAATAGATAAGAAAAATAATTTTTTATTTTTATTATTTTTTTAAATAATTATTTATTGTTATAAAGAAATAATATTTTCGAGAAAGAAAAACAAATTTTTTAAAAGTTTAAAATTACAGAAACAAAAAATTGTTTTGTAACCAAAAGAATGAGTAATAAATGCAAAAACTTGATAAGGTAAAAATTTAAAAGTGTGTAGTAAATAGATATTGTTACGAAATTAAATAAATTTTTTTTTTTTGAATCTGCAATTCTAATTGCAAGGAGAATAAATAAAAGCATTTTTGCAATAGTTTTTTATTTTTGTCTATTAAAATTGCTAATTATTATGTTTATTTAACAGTATAATTTCTATTACACTAAAAAGAATTTGTTAAAAGAACAAATTTTTTTCCAACATTCAAAGTACTAACATTTTTTCTCTCCTATAGAGTTTCTTCATTTTCTTTAACCTAAATAAAATTTTTCTTTTTAAAAAATATAATTTTTTTTCAATAAATAAATTTTTTCTTAAACAAATAAAAAAATTTTTTTTTTTAATAAATACACTTTTTTATAAATAAATACACTTTTTTTTTTAATAAATATAATTTTTTTTTAAATATAATATATAATTTTTTTTAAATATAATATATAATTTTTTTTAAATAAATATAATTTTTTTTAAATTCAAATTTTCTTTTTCAAATCTAATTTTTTTTTTAGTAAATATAATTTTTATTACAAAGTAAATTCGAAAAAAATTGTTTAACAGAGTAAAATTATTATGGTGAAACTTTTTTTGACAGTGGAAAAAATTGGTCAATTATTAAGAAAAATGTCTACAACAATAAATGTATGTATTTAAGTTAAATTTTTTGCAAATTATAAAACTACTTTTTTTTACTGAGAAAACGAAAAAAAAAAATTTTGTGGAATAATTAAAAAAAAAATATGCCAATTGAACTTTTTTTTTAAATAATAAATTAATAATTACTATTTTTTAATTTATCAGAATTCTGTTGTTTTGGATTCAACGAAATTGACTTATGAAAAAAAAGCCATTTACGTGCCTTCTCTAGAGGAACTCAAAAATGGTTAAAAAAATGTTTAATTATTATTTTTTTTAATTAATTTATTGTAATATAAATTATTTTTCCAAAAAAAAAATTTAATATTAATAATTTTAATAATTTAGAAATTTAATTAATTAAATAAATTTCAGTTCTTTACGAAGCATTATCGAAAAATTTCGCTCAAGTTTCAGTGGATATTGTCGATTTACCCGATCTTAGAAAATCTCCTTTCAATTTAAAAGCCGAGGGTAATTCTTTTTGAAAAAAAATTATTTATTAGTTTTTTTTTTTATTTTTTTTTAATTATTTTTATTATATAAAATTCTAAATCTAGAATCTAATGAATATTAAATATTTATCATTTATTATTTATTAAAAAAAATCTAATAATATTATTTATTAGATGTTTTTTTATTTAAAAAAATTATTAATTTATTAGATTCTAGATTTAGAATTTATTATTTTATTAATTGTATTTATTTATTTGTTTATTATTCATTTAACCATTCACTTTTTTACTTATTTATTCTCTTTATTTAAAAAAAATTTTTTTTCTTTCTTTCCAATTTTGAAAATAATAAAAAAAAAATTTTTTTTTCTAAAACAATTAATTTTACTTTAAAGGCATTTGTGGTAAAACAACTGCGGCACAAATTGGCGGACTTGACAATATGTTTCCACATCCAAGATTTGATAAACTTTATGACGTGAAAAAAATTTCAAAACATCTTGGATTTAATGATGAAACATTTGTATTTGGCGCCTCTTTCGGTCCATGGCCGTTTGTCAAAACCAAGTCAAAGGCAACAGAATATTTTATACAAGTGTTTTCAATTAAAAAAAAAAAAAAAAAAAAAAAAAAAAAAAAAAAAAAAAAAAAAAAAAAAATTGACAGGAGATAATTATAAAAGGTAAATGCATAAAACTCGTTAATATATTTACAGTTGGCGTATAATATGATTTTAAACGAGAAACCCGAGTCTTCAGGTTCAACAATAACATATCTTGAGGATGCAGAAAGAAGTGATAAATTTCTTTATAAAAATCTACCAGCAAATGAAATGCGTTTTGCATTTGCGGGAAATTTAATTTACACTGATGGCAAAATAGGCGAAACTTTGCGAATTCAGGTGAAAAAACGTTTGGGTCCTGATGATTTTGTTATTGTTATGCAACAAGCCTTAGCGAATCGTTATTCGGATAAAATTGTTGGTAAAAGAAAAAATTGCTTTTTTTAAAATTTAAATAAAGAAAAAAAAAGATTTCTATTGTAACTGTTTCCATAGCAACGGTTGCCATGGTAGCGGTTGCTAGGCAACTGTTTCCATAGCAACCGTTGCCATGGTGGCGGTTGCTAGGCAACTGTTTCCATAGCAACCGTTACCATGGCGTTGGTTGCTAGGCAACTGTTTCCATAGCAACCGTTACTAAGGGAACAGTTTCCATAGCAACCGTTGCTATACAAAGAGGAAAAAAAATATTTTTTTTCTAAAGAAAAAGTGACTAAATTATTTTGTTAAACAATTTTGCTTGTGAATTCAGTTTTAGGTGGAGTTTTTGCAGTGACAAATGGCAAAGTAAGGATTCAATTGCCCCTCGATTATTCAAAAAAACCAGTAAATATTTATGTGAAAAATTCTACGCCATGGTTTTTCAATTATGAAGCTTCAAGTCCTTTAATACAAGTTGGAAGTTTACAATCCATCATTTCTGTGGGTGTTTAGAAGTATTTTTTTTTATTTCTCTGTTTTATATGTCTTCTTATTACACTTTATTTTGTTTCTAGTTTTCATTTTCTTATATTTTTATTTATTAATTTATTTTTGTTTACAGTTTTATTTTTATTTAATTTTTAATTTTTTTTACATGTATATTTATTATTTTTTTTTATATTTCTAGTTTTCATTTTTTATATATTTATTTATTTTTATTTTCTTTATATTTATTTATTTCTATTTTTTATTTTTTTTCAAAAAATTTTTTTTTTCACTTTTTTTATTTACAATTTTAAAAAAAAATTTTTTTCTAGGATTTCGAATTTAATTATTATTTTCACACATTCTCGGATCATAAGGAAGGTGGTCATTATTTAAAGGACACGACACCCGAAATTGTAGAATATTTGGCATTCTTTACGCCAGTTGAACATTTATTTCGAATTGATAAACCGAAAATAATTCACAATCCGTATTCGCAAGTCTAATGTTTTATGCGTATTGTAAAAATTATTAGTATATTATTACAATAATTATAACTTGCGTGATGGCTAAGTGTTATTACATTAAAAAAAAAAAAAAAAAAAAAAAAAAAAAAAAAATTGTAAAGTGGATTTATTACTGGATTTCTGGCCGAAAGGTTTGGGGTTCGAGTCTTCATGACAGTAAATATTTTTCTCTGTTGTAATTTATTTCTGATTGTTATTTACTATTTTAATTATTACATTATAATTTTATAATTATTAGTAGTATTATTATTAATATTATTATTGTTAAACTAAATTAAAAATTAAATTGAAATAATAAAAAAAAAATTAATAAAAAAAAATCATTTTCAAAAAATTATTAGTCTTTTCCAAAAGTTGAGGCCTTTGGCGGTTGATCGACACGATATAAAATTTTACCAGGCGTGAAATATCCTAAATATTCGACAATTTCCGGTGTTGTGTCGATATGATAGTGTCCTCCTTCGCCGTGTTGTGAAAAACTGTGAAAATGCTGGACCCTCAAATCTAAATTCTGTAATAATTAAAAAAAAATAAAATAAAAAAGTGAGTTTGGAAAAAAAATATTTTTTAAATTCATTTTTTAAATAATTATTTCATTTATAAAAAAAATGTTAAAATTTTATTTATAAAAAGTAGCAATTTTATTTATAAAAACTATAAAAAAAATGTTATTAATATTTTTCTAATTAAAAAAAAAAAAAAAAAAAAAAAAAAAAAAAAAATTTGCAAAATTATGACTTACAGTTTCGGCTGAAACAAAAGTTCCAACTGCAACTAATGGAGCGGACATATTGTAGAATTTTAACCAATTATTAAGATCGACTTCCGTTTTTAATGGAGTTTGGGAAAAATCTTGCATTACGTGTTGCTTAGCTTTTCCCTCTTTCAATAGAAATGTTCCACCTAAACCTGTAAATTAAAAAAACAAACGAGAAATTTTTAATATTTGATTTGTCGTTGGCCGCGGTCGCTAAGGCGTGAAGCAAGTTCAAAATCGAACTTGCGGTGCAGCGTTCGAATCTTCCTGTAGGTGAAAATTATTTTTCAACATCTATTCGAATTAATATAATAAAATAATTATAATAATAACATAACAAAATTATATTATTATAAAAATGAATTATTAATTAAAAAAAAAAATTTTTTTTTTAATTATAATAAAATTGCAAAATAAAAAATGCAGATAACAATTAAAATAATAAATAAAAAAATGTAAAGAATGATAAAAATAATAAATAGAAAAAAATGTAAATAATAATAAAAATAATTAATAAATGAAAAATAAATAAAAGATAAATAAAAAATAAAATAAAAGATAAATAAAAAATAAAATAATAAATAAATAAAAAATAATAATTAATAAGTTAAAAATAAAATTACAATTTAGAATTTTTTAACGAATAAAATTTATTTATTAAAAAATTTTTTTTTAAATAAATAAATAAATGTAAAAAAAAAAATTACCAACGAGTTTATCGGGATAATTTTTTTCCAAAGCTTTTTGCATAGTGGCAATAAAATCATAATTTCCAATTCGTTTTTTTGCAAATACTCGTATCACTCGTCCCTGTTGTCCGTGACTTAAAAATAAATTTGCCAATAATGCAAAACGCGTTTCATTTCCTGGTAATGTTTTTAAAATGCATTGTCCATTATTTTTATTCACCAATGAAATTTTTGTACTTTCAGACGATTTTGGACTGTTTAAAACAACATTCATCATCATCTGGAAAATTAATTTTCAATAAAAAAATTGAAACTTATTTTCTTTTTTTTTCTTATAAATAAATTATTCGAAATATGTTTTTAAATGTTAATTTATTTTTTTATAAACAAAATTTTTTTATTTTTTTATTGATAAACAAAAAATATTAATTTATGAAAACAATAAAAAAATTTTTTTATTAAAATTTTTTTTTATTAAAAAATTCTGTAAATAATTTTTAAATTAATTTAATTAAATTATTGTAAAATTCACCTCGCAATTTGTATTGGCATAGGGCCATGGTCCAGCTCCGGCTCCAATAACAAATGATTTATCTCCATGATTTAAATGTGGTGCCAAATTTTTAATATCGTAAACTTTTTCCTTTTGAACTAAAGGAAGTAAATAAGCTGGTCCTCCAACTTCCAAAATTGTTGGATTTCCACTCAAACCTATTTTGGAAAAAAGAAAAAAAAATTTTCACAATATTTTTCTTTTGTTCACTTAATTTCCATTTTCTTTGAAATATATTAATATTACAGTATTAATTAATAATAAAATTTATTATTTTTATTGTTAATAGAAAGAGAGTTTCGTTATTTAGTTTTGAAAATGTGTAAATATTTCTAATTATTATTTTCTATTATGAAATGCTTCGGTGGTTCAGTGGTAGAATACATTGCCTGCCACGCGGACGGACCCGGGTTCGATTCCCGAGCGAGGCGGCGTTTTTTAATTTGTAAAGAAAAAATAATTAAAAATAATTGTTGATTTGTAGTTAATAAATTAATTAATTAAATTGATAATTGTTAAATAATAATAATATAATATATATTAATTAATAATAATAATTTATAAATAATAAAATAATAAAGTAAATAAATAAAATAAACAACAAATATGAAAAATAGTAACAAAAATAAACAAATATAAAAATAAAATAATAAAAACATAAAAATTCAAATAACAAAATAAAATAAATAAATAAATTAAAAGAAACAACTAATGTACAAAAATAAAAATATAACAAAATGTTATAAAATAAATAACAAATGTAAAAAATAAAAATGTAAAGAAATAATAATAAAGTAATAAAAAATTTAAAATACAAATAGAATAAAGTAAAATAAATAAATAAAATAAACAATAAAAATAAAAATATGAAAAAAAATTAATGAAAGTATAAAAATTCATATAACAAAGTAGAATAAAATAATTAAATAAAATAAACAAATATAAAAAATAGTAAAATAAACAAATGTTAAAAATAAAAATGTAAAAAAATAATAAAATAAACAAATGTAAAAAATAAAAATATACAAAAATAATAAAATACACAATAAAAAAGTAGAGAAAATTAACAAAAATAATAATAAAGTAATAAAAATTAAAAAATACAAAATAATGAAGTAAAATAAATAAATAAAATAAACAATAAGTTTAAAAGTATTTTAAAAAATAATAAAAATAATATTACCAGAAGCAGCGAGGGTAAATGGTGGTTTTTGAAAATCAGGCGAATCGACAATTTCCACTGAAAATTCGGCGAAATTTTTTTCTAATGCTGCGGAAAAAACTAAAAAACAAAAAAAAAATCAAAATCAATTTTTTTTCTATTTAAAAAATACAAAATATGCTTTTTTATAATTTTTTTTTTTTTTTTGAAATATTTTATTATTGAAAATTAAATTTTTTTTTAATATACCAGTTTTTAATTCTTCCAATGGAGGAACGTGTAAAGTTTTCTTTTCAATTTTTATCTTCGTTGGATCTAAACTTTCCATTGTTACTTTCTGTAATAAACAGCAACATAAAAAATAATTAAAAACAATAATTTTCACCATTTTTTTTTTTTTTTTTTTTTTTTTTTGAAAATAATTTTCTAATGAATATTCTTATTTTTATTTCACAATTTGCAAAAAACTAATGAATAAACTTAATAATTTTGAAATATTTTTCAAGTAAAATAAAAAAAGTTTATAAAATTAATAATTTCTAAATATTTTCAACGTAAAAAAATATTTATGCAAAATTAATAATTTTTGTAAATAATTTTAAGTAAAAAAATGTTTATGAAATTAATAATTTGTAAATATTTTTGTTTTATTGTTAAAATAAATAACGTTCACTATAAAAAATTTCCAATGATTTTCTAAATTAAAAAAAATCGTATTTTTTATTTTTTTGAAATTTATTTTTTGTTTAAATAAATGAAATAAAAAAAAGTTAAATAGAAAAATAAATATAAACGAAGAAGGATATAAATAAAAAAAAAATAAAATAAAAGAATAGATAAATTTTCAAAGTGATAACTTTAAGTAAAAAAAAAATCTTATCGCAATTATTGACGTTTTATAAGTCACGATAAATAGAAGAAATTTATTTTTCTATTTTTATTTGACAAACATTTTTTTTAAAAGTTTAAATTTTTGAATATTACATAAAATATTATAAATATTGAATATTATCATGAAATAATTTTTGTTTTTTTTCAACTTTTTTTTTCTCTTGTTACAAAATCCGGTCTGCAAATAAATAAATTTATGAATTAATTAAGTTCAATTTAAAAAAAAATATTTTCATTGGGACAATTTGAAAAAAGGATTTTTTTTTAATTTCTTATTTCACTTGCGTTAAATAATTAAGAATGAAACTTACTCAAAAGAACGCCTCGAGCGATAAAAGTGAACTGATTAATAAAATGTAGCAAACATCGACGTCACAAATTTTTATGAAAAAAAACTGTGCCTCTCGATTGTCTGTCACGTGACACAGTTTCAATTTCCTTTTAAAGAGATTTAAATTTCGAAAAGTAAAGAGGAAAAAAAAAATTTGTTAAATAAAATTTTCAAAAAAAAAAAAAAAAAAAAAAAAAAATGAAATTAATGGAAGAATTTTTTTCTTGCTAGCGAATTAAACATTTTTTTCATTTTATTGCTGGTAAATTTAACAAATTATTTCTTTTTTTTTTGTTAGCAAATAAATTTACATTTTTTTTTCTTTTAAAATAAAAAAAAATTTTTTCCATTCTTATAGCTCAAATAAATAAACATTTTTCTATTTTTTTGCTTTCGAATAAATAAACATTTTTCAATTTTCTCGCTAGCGAATAAATAAACAAATTAATTAATAAATAGTATAAATAAATAACTAAATAAAAAAATTCTTTTATTTATTTTTTTTTTTAAAAGCAAATAAATAAATAACTAAATAAAAAAAAAATTTTATTTTTTTTGCTAGCGAATAAATAAATAAGAAATTAAAATAAAATTCATTACTAATTTTTTTTTTGCTAATAGCAATTAAATAAAATGGAATTTTCATGAAAAATATTTACAATTTTTTTTTTTTCATTGAAATAAAAATCCCCATTTTCTTCATCAATGAGAAAAAATTTTTATTCTAAATAATTAACATAGACATTTCGTGCGACAACATTATATTTTGTTAATAATAATAATTATTATTATTGTCGGGGCTTTCAAAACATGTTTACGATTAAAAAACCTTTAAAAGACTAGAGAGAGAGAGAGAGAGAGAAAGAGAGATTATAAAAAAAAGATTAATTATTCAAATATAAACTGAAAATACATTAAAAAAAAAAGAAATAATGTTAATAATAATAATAATAATAATAATATTAATAATAATAATAATAATAATAATAATAAAAATAATATAACATTCATAATAAAAATAATAATTATCATTATCAAAATTATAAGAATTATTTTTATAACAAAATAAATAATAATGCTAATAATAATGCTAACAATAATAATAATAATAATAAAAATAAAAATAAAAATAATTAAATATACAGTAAGAGTTAAAAAGCTTTAGTTATTTTCGAAGAGAATATTCCGAAAGATTCGTATATAATTTGACAATAGAAATTCACGCAAATTTTACAATATTTTGTTATTATATATATTTATATATATAGAATATTTTAACTAGATTTTTTTTTCAGTTTGTCCCAAAAAATTGCTTTTCGGAAAGGGACAAGAAAAAAACTCGTCCGATATAATAAGTACTCAAATTGTGTGGAAAAAAATAATTTTTTGCAAAAATTATTAACTGTTTTTTTTTTTTTTGTATCGTGCGCATCACAAATTCTTTTTTTTTCTTTTTTTTTGCCTTACTCACAAAAAGTATAATTGACGCTAATAATTTGTTTTAATTCATAATTTTTTTTTTCTCTTTTTTTTTTTTGCTTTTCTCGCTATAACAATAAATTCGATTAACAATATTTAATATTATAATTTTTTTTATATACTAGAGTTTGATAAATACTTAAATACAATATATGCAATGGAGAAAAAAAATGACTGGACAAATGTTTTTTTTTTCAATTTCGATGGAGACATTTTTTTTCACGAATTTTTATTGCAAAATCGTTGCCGAATAATTTTGGTGGGGGAAATTTTATAATTTTTCAGAAGAAAGAAAATTTTCTGTTATTATTTAGAATGATAATTAATAATTAATCATTAATAAAATTGAGTAAAAATTTTTCCTTTTTGATTTTCTTTCTTCTTTTTTTGGTCTTATTTTTTATAGCAAAAGAAAAAAAAATTTCGTTCTTTTTTTATTCACTGGTCTCGAGTGTTTTATTTATTTTTGGTTTTTTAATTAAATAAGAAAATTAATAAATTCTAAACAGTAATTGAAAGTAAGAAAAAAATTTTTAGCTCCAGAAAAAAAGATTTTTTGCTAGAAACGATTTTTTTTTTTTTTGCTAAAAAAAAATAAGAATTTGCTAACAAAAAAATATATTTTGGTACCAAAAAAATTACTTTGCTAAAAAAATTATTTTTTGCTATTTTAAAAAATTACATTTTGCTGATAAAAAAAATATTTTTTGCTACTAAAAAAAATTAAATTTTCTCCTAAAAAGAATGTTTTTTGCTATTAAAAAATTTTAGTTTGCTAAAGAAAACTATTTTTTGCTACTAAAAAAAATTAAATTTTGCTAAAAAAGGAATATTTTTGGCTATTAAAAAATTTTATTTTGCTAAAAAGAATATTTTTTGGTATTAAAAAAATGTTATTTTGCTAAAAAGATTTTTTTTTTGTGACAAAAAATGTCTTTTGCAACTAAAAAAATTAAATTTTGCTAAAAAAGAATTAAAAAATTTTAGTTTGCTAAAAAAAATATTTTTTGTTATTAAAAAAATTTTATTTTGATAACAAAAAAAAATGTATTTTGCCTACTAAAAAAAAATTAAATTTTACTAAAAAAAACTATTTTTTTTCTACTAAAAAAATTAGTTTTTGTTATTAAAAAATTTTTTCTTTGCTATAAAAATTACCTTTTTCTTTTTAAAAATTACTTTTTGCTAAAAACAATTATTTTTTGCTAAAAGCAATTATTTTTTTTTTTTGCTAAAAAAATTACTTTTTGCTAAAAGAAATTATTATTTTTTTTTTTTGCTAAAAAAATTACTTTCTGTTATTAATCTTTTACTGTTAAAAAAAAAATTATTTTTTGCTAAAATCAATTATTTTCTTTTTGCTAAAAAAATTATTTTCTGCTACTGAATCTTTTACTATTGAGAAAAATTACTTTTTGCTATATTTAAAAAATTTACCACTTTCCATAAATTAATCGGCAACGATTTTAGTGTAAAATGAGGGAGAAAACGTTTCTCTTTTCTCCTATTTAACATTTCGATTTCTATATAAAATTGTTTTTCATTTGATGATGATAATAATAATAATAATAATGATAAAAATAGTAATAATAATAAAAATAAAAATTATAAAATAATAATAATAATAATAATAATAATAATAATAATAATAATAATAATAATAATAATAATAATAATAATAATAATAATAATAAAGATAGTAGAAATTAAAATAATAATAATGATAAAATTAGTAATAATAATAAAAATATTAATAAAAAAAATAATATTAATAATAATAATAATAATAATAATAAAATTAATAATAATAATAATAATAATAATAATAATAATAATAATAATAATAATAGTTCTAGTAATAATTTTCCTTTTGCTTTTGAACAATGGCAATCATTACATAATTTAAAATATGTAAACACTTATTTTTTTTTCTCTTAAATTTTTTGTGTACTTTTTGTTTTCTTTTTGTGTTCGTTTCTTTCTTTTTTTTTTAAATTTAATTTGCTAATTTTCCCTTTTCTTTGCTAATAATTATTCTACAAGAACGAGCGAGAGACGAACACCTGAGAAACATTTTTTTTTTTTAAAACCAAACAAACAATAATATTATATATATATTACTATTAATAAGACTTACGAGTGTATATAATAACAATTTAAAAAAAAAGAAAATTCTAGACTAGGCACGTTATTGGCAAAGTACTCTTCGCATTTGTTTTTTTCTTTAACTCTGTTTTTTTTACTCAATTTGGAAAATTTGATTTTCCTCCTGAATTTTTCAGAGGGTTAAATTCTAATTATTTTGTTACCATCCCATTGCTGATGGGACTCGCGAGCCCACCGTGAAGTCTTTATATTGCGAGAAAACACAGATCTGAAAGAAAAATTACAAGAAAAAATTATTATTTCTAAAGAAAAAACAAATAATTTTGTTACTTTATTAACTAATTTTTTTTATTATTACAAGCCTTGGATCGACTTTAAGATGGGAAGAAAAAATTTTCAATTATATTTTTCTTGAAAATTCAATTATTAGAATAAATATGGAAATATTTTTAAGGATATTTTGCAGAAAATTCAATTTTCAATTATATTTTTTTTCTGAAAATTCAATTATTTTCTTTATTTTTATTTAAATTTTACCGAGAATTGAATTATTTTCAATACTTTTAATTATACTTTTCCAAAATATTCAATTATTTACAAATATGTTTCAATTATATTTTTCCTGAAAATTCAATTATTTTCTATATTTTCAATTACATACACTTTGTCAAAAATTCAATTTTCAATTATATTTTTCTGAAAATTCAATTATATAAATATAGAGAAATTTTCAAGTATTATTTTGAAGAAAATTCAATTTTCAATTATATTTTTCCTGAAAATTCAATTATTATTTTCCATATTTTCAATTAAATTTTACCGGAAATTCAATTTTCAATATTTTCATTTGTAAAATTCCAGAAATTCAATTATTTCCAAATATTTTCAATTATATTTTTTCGTAAATTCAATTATTTTCAATTACACTTTGTGAAAAATGCAATTTTCAATTATATTTCTCTGAAAATTCAATTTTCAATTATATTTTTCTTGAAAATTCAATTAGTAGGATAAATATAGAAATATTCTCAAGTAAATTTTGCAGAAAATTCAATTTTCAATTATATTTCTCCTGAAAATTCAATTATTTTCTATATTTTAAATAAAATTTTATCAAAAAGTCAATTATTTTCAATATTTATAATTAAATTTTTCGAAAAATTTATTTATTTTCATATATTTTCAATTATATTTTTCCGAAAATTCAATTTTCAATATTTTCATTTATAAATTTCCGGAAATTCAATTATTTCCAAAAATTTTCAATTATATTTTTCCATAAATTCAATTATTTTCTATATTTTCAATTACACTTTGCCAAAAATTCAATATTCAACTATATTTTTTTGAAAATTCAATTATTACATTTTACATAAATATATAGAAATATTTTCATTTATATTTTGCAGAAAATTCAATTTTCAATTATATTTTTACGAAAAGTCAATTATTTTTTCTTTATTTTCATTTAAATTTTGCCGAATTTTAATATTTATTTATTTTCAATTATCTTTAAAGAAAATTCAAATATTTTTAATTAGTTTTCAAAAAATTTCAATTATTTTCTACATTTTCAATTAAAATTAACCGAAAATTCAATTACTTTACTGAAAATTTAATTGTTTTAATTATATTTTTAAAAAAATGCAATTATTTTCAATATTTTCAAATTCGATAAAATCTTTAAAAAAAAAAATTGGAATTTGATCAAATCTTTAAAAAAAAATAATTGAAATTTGATAAAATCTTTTAAAAGTAATTAATTTCTTTTAAGGGCATTTGAACCATGATGACGTCACAGATTTAAAACTAATGCTTTGCACAAACTGTGACGTCATCAAGGTTCAAATCCCCTTAAACTTAAATTTTTGAGAATTTAATTATTTTTGCAAAAATTTGCAATTAAAATTATTTTAAAAAGTTGATTTTCAAAAATATTAATAATAATACATGCAAAAAATCAATTATTTTCAATTAAATTTTACAAAAATTTCAATCATTCAAAATCTATTTAATTTAATCTTTCGAAAATTTAATTAGAAAAATTTGAAAAATAATTTTTTAAAACATTTGTATATAGTTATTTTTTTACATTAATAAAAATTGAAATAAGTTTTGCAAAATTTTTATTAAAAATTTGGTATTTTGTTTTGAGAATTTGAGAAAAAGTAAAAAAAGTCTAATAAGTGGCAAATTTTGTAAATTAGTCAAAAAAAGTCGAAAAAGTGTCAAATTTTTAAAATAATTTGAAAAAAGTCACAATTTTTTGAAAACAATTGAGAAAAAAAGTCTAATAAGTGGCAAATTTTGTAAATTAGTCGAAAAAAGTCGAAAAAGTGTCAAATTTTTAAAATAATTTGAAAAAATTCAATGTTTTTGAAAATAGATGAGAAAAAAAGTCGAAAAAGTGGCAAATCTGGAAGAAAAATCGCAATTTTTCAAAAAGAAGTGGAAAAAAAGTCAAAAAAGTGTCAATTTTTGAAAATTAATCGAAAAAAGTCGAAAAAGTATCAAATTTTGAAAATCAGTCGAAAAAGTGTCAAATTTTGAAAATAAGTCTAGAAAAAGTTGCACTTTTTGAAAATACTTAAGAAAAAAGTCAAAAAAGTGTCAATTTTTGAAAATCAGTCGAAAAAGTGTCAAATTTTGAAAATAAGTCTAGAAAAAGTTGCACTTTTTGAAAATACTTAAGAAAAAAGTCAAAAAAGTGTCAATTTTTGAAAATCAGTCGAAAAAGTTTCAAATTTTGAAAATAAGTCGAAAAAAGTCGCAGTTTTTGAAAATAGTCGAGAAAAAAGTCGAAAAATTTTCAAATTTTGAAAATAAGTCAAAAAAAGTCGCAGTTTTTTAAAATAGTCGAGAAAAAAGTCGAAAAAAGTGTCAAATTTTAAAAATAAGTTGAAAAAATTCAATGTTTTTGAAAATAGATGAGAAAAAAGTCGAAAAAGTGTCAAATTTTGAAAATAAGTCTAGAAAAAGTTGCACTTTTTGAAAATACTTCAGAAAAAGGTCGAAAAAGTTTCAAATTTTGAAAATAAGTCGAAAAATGTCACAGTTTTTGAAAATAGTCGTTAAAAGAGTCGAAAAAATGTCGAATTTTGAAATTAAGTCGAAAAAATGTTGTCGAAAAAGTCATAATAACCGAGGCTTGTTATTAAAAACAGAAAAACATTATTTTAATGTAGGAAAATTTTTTAGTTTAAAAAAAGCTTTTCTTTTTAGAGAGAGAAAAAATTAATTAGAAACCTTGTCCTTGAGTCTCTGACACAATTGCAGAGCTATTGTCAATAGAACGAGAGCTTCGTTAAGCCAGGGAACACTGCATTCGGCCTGTTGCGTTTCGTACTTGACGCTGCCGTGCGCATTCTCCAATTGATAAACAGCCAGCACCAATTTGTAACTTTGAATGTAAAAACTAATTGCCAAATTTTCCGGTAAATTTGGATTCAACGATTTCTGAAAAAAAAAATCAAAAACGAAGAATTAGAAAATAATTAATTATAGGTATTTAATAATAAAAAATAAAAAAATTTAATATTTGAATAAATTTCTTCACCATATTACGACTTTTAATGAGATCGTCGAGATTTTTCTTCCTCGGGACAATTAAACTGGTGCGACTGCGTTGCAGACAACCTAAAATATTTCCTAAAACGTGCATCACTTCGTCGGATGTTTTAAATGAATAATGCCGATCGACATTGTCAATGTGCGCAATTGCCTGTTGCAAATGATTGGCGGCATCTTGAATTTGTTGCAATTTCCATGGATGATCATTTTGTATACTTGTTCTCATATTCACATTTTGTTGACGTTGTACTTTAAAATTCACCTCCTTGTAATTTCAAAAATTCATTATTTTCAAAATTAAAATTCTATAAGTATTTATCTCTTATTTAATTTTTTTTTTTTTTTTTTTTTTTTTTTTTAATACTCACGGCATTTGTTATACTGTCGCCAGTAAGTACGACGACGCATTTCACAAAATCGTGCGGAGCGGCAAAAACAAATCGATCCGTTTTATTTTGCTGATCGTTTCCAAAAAGTGCCATTGGAAATCTTTGCGCGCATTCCTGAAAATTATTATCATTTTTTTATTTTAATAATAATATTTTCCTTTTCATTATTATTATTATTTTTGATATCCATTCCAAATAAGGAATATTATTTTTATTCTAACTTATTATTATTATTATATTATTTTTCTTAAATTAACGGATAGTTAATGAATCATTAACTAATTAATATAATTAATATAATTAATAATAATATTGTCAGTATTTTTGATATCCATTCCAAGTAAGGAATATTATTATTATTTTTTTATTAAAAAAAAGAGAGAAAAAAATCAAAAATTATTATTATTATTATTAGTATTATTTCTATAATTTAATTATTCTTATTATTATATTTGTCATTCAATATTAAATAAATAAATAAATAAAAATAAATTAATAATTCAATATTAACAGTAGTTTAATTAATAAATTAATAGTAGTGGCAATAATTATTGATAATAATAAAAAAATTTTTTTTAAAATTAGATAGAAAAAGAAAAAATGAAAAATAATAATAAAGAAAATAATATTTTTAAAAAAAAGAAAATTAATAAAAAAATTTAGATAGAAAAATAAAAAATGAAAAATAATAATAAAAAGAAAATAATATTTAAAAAAAAGAAAATTAATAAAAAAAATTTAGATAGAAAAAGAAAAAATGAAAAATAATAATAAAGAAAATAATATTAAAAAAAAATTAATAGAAAAATTTAGATAGAAAAAGAAAAAATGAAAAATAGTAATAAAGAAAATAATATTTAAAAAAAAAGAAAATTAATAAAAAAATTACCATCAAAATGTTCCGAAGATGTGAAAGTGATGAATGAACTTCTTCGTGAAGAACCCATTCGAATTCCATCTGCTGTAAAAATAGAACATGAACTCATTAATTGACTGCAATTAAAAAAAATTAAAACATTTTAATAAAAGGAATAAAAAACTATTTTTTTATTTTTGAAATAGAATAAAAAAAAAAAATTATAAATTTTAAATAAAAGCGAAGAAAAAATTGGTATTTACAAAATAATACAAAAAAAGAAACAAAAATTTGGAAAAATAAAAAAAAAATTGAAATTCAATTCATTTCAAGAATTTTATCAACATTTTTTTTTCTTCAAATAATTGAATTCTTCCGAGAAAATCTAAATTAAAATTGTATTGAAAATAATTAATTTCTCGGCAAGATTTTTATTAAAATAATTGAATTGTTTTGAGAAGAATTCTGAGAAGAATTCAAATACTTACAAAAATTTAATTAAAATTCTTTGGAAAAATTCAATTATTTTTATAAATAGTCCAATTTTTTGTCAGGAATTAAATTATTTTTAAATACAATTTTAATAAAATTCTTTTGCAAAAATTTATTTATTTTTTTAAAAATTTTGCCAAAAATTCAATTATTTGTAGAAATAATAAATTTTTTCGCAAGGGATTCAATTATTTAAAAAAGTTTTAATAAAATTCTTTAAAAACAATTTTATTAGAGTTTTTTTAAATAATTTAATTTTTTTTCTTTCGAAAAATTTCAATTAAATTTCGTGTAAAAATAATGTATTTTTTTCAAGTAATTTTAAATGAAAATTGTTGAAAATAATTGAAATTTACAATGAAATTTTATTAAAAATTTTTGAGAACAATTGAATTGTTTAGCAAAAATTTTATTACAATTTTTAAAAATAATTGAATCTGTTAAGAGAAATTTTATTAAAATTATCTTGAATATAATTGAATTTTTTTCGTATAGAAATTTTATTAAAATTGTATCTGAAAATAATTGAATTTCTCAGAAGAATTTTTTTTTATTTACAATTAAAATAGTTGAATTCTTGCCAAGAATTTTACAAAATTTATAAAAATTGCAAAGAATTTTCTTATTTATACGAAAATAATTAAAATATTAAAAAAAAATAAAAATAATAATAAAAAAAAAATATAAAATACGTATTTAATTAAAATTAATTATACGAACTAATTAGTTATCATTTAGGTAATATGACAACTGGTAGGCAATTAGTTAAACAAGAAAGAAAACATTTTCTTATCCGTGAAAAAATAATCAAATAATTATCAAGAAATCTTGACATATTAACAATTATCCATTTTATCGACAAAAGAATAAACTTTTTTAATTAAAAGTATACATATTAATAATAATAATAATAATAATAATAATCTCAAAATAATTATATTATACTTACGAAATTATAATTATATACAAACATAAAGAAACAAATTTTCTATTTCCACTATCTTTATTTTTAGCACCAAATTTTTAACACACAAATAAAAACCTTTTTTTTCCTTTGCAAAAACTAAAGTACTAAAATTTAGTTAAAAAGAACTGTACATTTTCCAGTAAATTTTATCGGATTTTAAATTAAATAATTCTCTCGTTCAAAAATTATAATAAAAAAAAATCGTGATCTTGATATTCGGGGAGGAAAAAAGCACAATTTTCTGTTTTTTTTTTCATCTCTCTTACCAAAGAATCAAAACTGTCACAATCGTACATTTTGTGTTTAAAATTATTTATATTTTCCACAAAAATATCGAAGAAAGAAAATTAAAAAAAAAATTTGACAGATGACAGGAGCTTTCTCTCTCTCCTAACCTCAACAATTGTCATGTAATTAGCCTCGAGAAATGATTTTTGGTTAAAGTGACTTGGAATTTGTTTATTGAGAGATAATGGTATTTATCACCTCGAGACAAAGTCAAGAAGCGATTAGATAAAATAAATAGACAAATTGCTTACGAGATTATGAGCCTCCTCCTTTTCACTGTCCGCCATTTTTTTTCCTGGTTTTTTATTTTTTTTTCCTCATTCACAATAATAATCATAATAATAATAATAATACTGCTAGAAAAATGGGGAATTTGGAATTGAAACGCGTTACGGTTCCAATCTTCCAAAAACTGAAACAGTTGGACATTTTCGAAAATTGACATGTGAACATAACCTAAAACTGGCGACGCAAGCATGTGAACAAGGCTTAATAACGGAAATTTGTTGAAACTAGAGAGTTTCTTTGAAAACTCAAAAGCTACGCATGCGCATTGTCAGCGTAGTTTTCGTTAATACGCGTTTCATAAGGTAAATATGTGTGAAAATGAGAAATAACGGAACCAACGGAACTGAACCATTCGAGGTGTCCATTTTTTTCGCCCACAAAAAAATATATTTATACTCAATTCAGGATAGAAATTTAATTAATTAGAACGAAAAAATGGCAAAAGTAGCAACAAAAGCATCTCCCTTATTAGCAAGTAAGTAGAAAATAAAATTTGTGATACAACAATCATTTCTTTTTGGTATTTACAAGGAAATTTATTCAATATTCAACTGTCAATTATGTCACATTTTGACTTCACGCATTATTCTCGTCTCTTATATAACTCTCATTGATTTTTTTCTCTATTTTCCAACTGAAAATACTAACGAATTTCTTTAACATCAAGAATTATTGACAACATTTGTAAATTTTTAATAATTTCTTACCTTAAAGTTGTGTAATTCTTTTATATTTTGAAATTAAGTTCCGAAAAATCGTCTTATTCTTTTTGAGGTTATGTTCGAGTTTTGATAAATTTTCTCTTATTTTAATATTTTATAATAATATTAATAATATTTTGAATATATTTTAATATTTTAATAATATTTTGAATATATTTTAAATAATATTCTCAAAAATTGCAATCAAATTCTTTAAAACGATTCAATTATTTTCAAAAATTATTCGAAATTCAATTATTTTAAATATTTAGTATTTTCATCAAATTTCGCAAAACAATTCAATTATTTTGAAAAAAAATTGATAAAATTCATCCAAAATTCAATTATTTTAAATATTTATTTTTATCAAATTTCGTAAAACAATTCAATTATTTTGAAAAAAAAATTAATAAAATTCATCCAAAATTCAATTATTTTCATAAATAATAAAATTTCCACAGGAATTCAATTAATTTAGAATTGCATTTTCAACAAAATTTCGAAAAAATCAATTATTAAACAAAATTTTTATACAATCACAATAATTCAATTACTTTCACTAATAATAACATTTTTCATGGAAATTCAATTGTTTGAAAAATTTTTTTATAAAATTTAATTCAAGAATTCAATTATTTTCATAATTAATAAAACTCATCGAAGAATTTCAATTATTTTTCATATTATTTTAAATTAATTTATCGAAAAATTCAATTATTTTCACAAATAAAGTTTCCCAGAAGAATTCAATTATTTAAAATAAAATTTCCATGATATTTATTATATTTCAAAAAAAATTAATTATTTAAAATAATATTTATAAAATTCTTATAAAGAATTCAATTATTTTCCAAAAATTAACTAAATTTTTCACTGAAATTCAATTCTTTTTAGAAATTTTAATAAAATTTTTCGCAATAATTCAATTATTTTCATAAATTAATAAAATTCTTCTCTGGAATTCAATTATTTTTTTGAAATTTTTTTATAAAATTCTTAGCAACTATTCAATTATTTTCATAAATAATAAAATGCTTTTTAGGAATTCAATTTTTTAAAAATTCTTTTATAAAAATCTTCGTAAGAATTCAATTATTTTCATGAATAATAAAAATTTCTCAGGAATTCAAATTATTTAAATTAGAATTTGCATAAAATTAGTTTTATTAATTTTTGAAAAAAAAATCTAGCAAATAAAAAAATGTAATTAAAATAATAAAATTGAAAACAAAATAGTAAATAAAAAACAAAATAATTGAAATAATAAAAATAAAAAGAATTGTAAATAAAACAAAATAATAAAATTGAAAACAAATAGTAAATAAAAATAAATAATTAAAATAACGAAAAAAATAGTACGTAAAAAGAAAATAATTAAAATGACAAAAAAATAGTAAATATAAAAAAAAAGAAAATAATAAAATTGAAAACAAATGGTAAATAATGAAAATAATAAAAACGAAAAAAATGTAAATAAAAGGAAAATAAATAAAATAGAGAAAATAAAGAAAAAAAATAAAAAGAAATGAAAATAATAAAATGATTTTAAATAAAATATAATTTTTTTTCTCCAGGAATATTGACGGCAGCGAAGCCAAAAGTAAATATAGCGATTCGTTATGCAAAAGTTGAATTGGTACCGCCGAAATTCAGCGACATTCCACAAATTGGCGCCAGTGTGAAAAAAATCATGCACAGTGCAAAAACAGGAGCCTATAGAGATCTCAGCGTTAAAGAAGCCTGGCTAAACACTCTTGTTTGCATTGAAGTTTATTGTTGGTTTTTCATTGGCGAATGCATTGGCAAACGTCATCTCTGTGGATATAATGTCTAGAAGCAAACAAAATAATTAAATTCCCCTTCAAAAGAAAAATCTCTCTCTCCCCCTCTCGAAAAATAGATAATATTATGTAATTATAATGCGAAAAAAAAATGGTTCCAAATAAATGGTACTAGGTTCAAAAAAAGAAAATTGGAATTTGATATGAATGATTCTCCTGAAAGGTACCACACAATATTTAATTTATAATTTACGAAGATTTAAATTTATTTTTACATAATCTTTTAATGATTAAATACTAAAAGTTCTTCTCAGTTAAAAAAAATGTATTTAATTTTATCTTCAATATTGTATTCCATTTATTATTATTTTGTAAATTAAAAAAATTTTCTATTTTCAAGAATAAACATTAATTTTTGAATGATTAGAGATTCTAAAAAAAAAGAATTTTTAAGAAACAATTTTATTATTTTCAAAAATAATAAAATTCTTCAGGAAGAATTCAATTATTTTCAATACAATTTTAATAAAATTTCTCGAAAGAATACAATTATTGAAAAAAAATATTAAATAGATTCGATTATTTTCAAGAATTTTAATATAAATTCAATTTGTTTTGAACAAATTTTCATGAAATTCTTTGCAAAAAATCATTATTTCCAAAATTTGTAATAAAATTCATTCAAAAAAAATTAAATTATTTTTTAAAAATTTAAATAAAATTCTTCAAAAGAATTCAATTATTTTCAATACAATTTTAATAAAATTTATAGAAAGAATACAATTATTTTTCCAAATATTATAATTAAATTTGATTATTTTCAAGAATTTTAATACAAATTCAATTTATTTTCAACAATTTTCTTGATATTCTTTTTAAAAAATCATTATTTTACAAATTTGTAATAGAATTCCTTAAAAAAAATCCAAATATTTTCAAAAATTTAGAAAAATTTTTTCGAAGTAATTCAATTATTTTTATGAATTTATAAAATTGTCGGGAAGAATTTAATTATTTTCGTAAAAATAAGAAAATTCTTCGCAAGAATTAAAATATTTTCATAAACAATAAAATTCTCCAAAGAAATTCAATTATTTTCAATTATTTTCTTGGAAACAATTCAATTATTTTTATAAATTTTGTAAAATTCTTGGCAAGAATTCAACTATTTTAATTGTAAATAAAAAAAAATTCTTCTGAGAAATTCAATTATTTTCAGATACAATTTTAATAAAATTTCTATACGAAAAAAATTCAATTATATTCAAGATAATTTTAATAAAATTTCTCTTAACAAATTCAATTATTTTTAAAAATTGTAATAAAATTTTTGCTAAACAATTCAATTGTTCTCAAAAATTTTTAATATAATTTCATTGTAAATTTCAATTATTTTCAACAATTTTCAATTAAAATTACTTGCAAAAAAAAACATTATTTTTACGAAATTTAATTGAAATTTTTCAAAAGAAAAAAAAAATTAAATTATTTACAAAAACTCTAATAAAATTGTTTTTAAAGGATTTTATTAAAACTTTTTTAAATAATTGAATCCCTTGCGAAAAAATTTATTATTTCTACAAATAATTGAATTTTTGTCAAAATTTTTAAAAAATAAATAAATTTTTGGAGAAGAATTTTATTAAAATTGTATTTAAAAATAATTTAATTCCTGACAAAAAATTGTATTAAAAATAAAGAAAAAATAATTGAATCTTTTTGTATAATTTTGTTAAAATTGTAATGAAAATAATTTAATTCCTGCCAAAAAATTGACTATTTATAAAAATAATTGAATTTTTCCAAAGAATTTTATTTAAATTTTTGTAAATATTTGAATTCTTCTCAGAATTTTAATTCAATTTTCAAACAAAATTTAATTCATTCCAGGAATTTTATTAAAATATTGAAATTAATTGAATTCTTTCGAAGAAATTAATAAAAGTTTAGAAAATAATTAAATTCTTTGGAAAAATAAAAAAAAAATTGTATTGTTTTAAATTTATATAATTTTTAGAAAATAATTGAATTTTTTCCAAAGAATTTTGTTATTTATGCGAATAATTGAATTCTTGTTGAAAATTTTATCAGAGTTTTTGAAAATAATTGAATGTTTTGAGAGAATTTTTTTTCTAAATTTTGTAAATAATTGAATTGAATTTAAAAATTTTATTAAAACGTTTAAAAATAATTGAATTCCTGGGAAAAATGTAATATTTTTTGATATAATTGAATTTTTACGAAGAATTTAAAAATAATTTAATTTTTCCTAGAATTCAATTAAAATTGTATTTAAAATAATTCAATTCCAGCGAAAATTTCGTTATTTTTGAAAATAATTGAAATCTTGAATTGAATTTTTATTAAAAGTTTTTTAAATAATTGATCTCCTGTCAAAAATTTAATTTTTTTTTAAATAAGTGAATTTTCTCAGAGAATTTTTACAGAATTTTCAAAAATAATTGAAATTTTCGAAGAAATCAATTTTCTCGAATGAATTCAATTATTAAAAATTCAGTTTAATTATTTGAAAAGAATTAAACCTAAAATAATATTGTTTTTACATAGATTGTAATATTTTTAAAATTAGAAAAAATGGAGAATTTTTCAATTTCCTAATTAATTTAAATTCATCTCCGAAGTCGTTTTTACATTTCGTAGACGGTTTTGTTTTGTTTTTAATTTTTTTAATCATTGTTTTCAAAAATCTAACCCTAAAATTAAATTATTTATGTAAAAGAATAAAAATTCACAAACTAAAAGTGCAATAAATTAAAAGGTAACAAAAATTGTAATTTCGAACAAAACCTGGTCCCTTTCAGGAGAATCACCCATAAAAATAATTTATTTTTTATGCATGAATTAAAATTCATCTAAATTCCCTGCTCTGTTATTATAAATTAGAAAATCTTTGTTTTCTTATACTTTTCACATTAAAATCCTTTTTTTCTGCTATTTTTCACATTGAAATATTTTTCTTTGCTATTTTTGTCACATTAGAAAAATTTTTAAAAGTGTTTCTTCCCTTAACTTTTTATAAAATAAATTCAATAATTATTTAACTATATTTTCAATTTTGTTTTCTAAATTTTTTAGAATAATCGTTAAAAATTTCGAGGAATTCGAATTATTTTGCAAAAACAAAATTTTTTAACGGGTTTATAATTTTAAATTAATTTACAATTATTAATTACTATAAAAAAATGTTATAAAAATAATTATAAAAAATAATTTTTAATATATTCGCAATCAATTCATTTATCAATAATAATAAATTTTCACATCGATGAAAATATTATCAAATTTAATAAAAAGAATGTACACTTTCAAAAAAAACAATGTTTATTTTTTTTTATTTTTTTATAATAAGTAGACAATTTTTTTAAAGCATCTTTGGCTGATGTATTTGGCAAAGTAATATATACATATATATTTATTATACTATTTATTTTGGTGAAAAAAAATATTTTTTATAAAAGAAATTAATTTTCTCTAAGGCACATAGAGCGTATTGTATAACAAGGCACACTTAAATGCAAAATTAATAAAAAAAAAAAAAATTTCCAGCATTATTTTTCAACGCAATTATATTTATAATTGAAAATCTTATATACACACAAAACAGGGACAAATATTCAATAATAAAATTTATACAAAATGCCCGCAAATTTATATGTAGAACGTAGCAAATTTTATACAGAAAAATGTCTGTCATTCAAGGGCAACGCAATTTTTTTTTCATATAATAATAATAATAATAATAATAATAATAATAATAATAATAATAGTAATAGTAAAAATAGTAATAATAATAATAATAATAAAAAATAATAGTAATGTAAAATAATAAAAAAAAGAATAATAATAATAATAATAAAAAAAATAATAATAACAATTTAAAATAATAAAAAAAGAAAAATAATAATAAAAAAAAGAATAATAATAATAATAATAATAATAATAAAAAAAATAATAATAACAATTTAAAATAATAAAAAAAAAAAAATAATAATAAAAAAAAATATTATTAATAATGATGATAAAAATAATAATGATACTGATAATAATTAATAACTATAATTATAATAATAAAAATTAAAATAAAAAATGAAAGTAATAAAAAGTAAAAATAATAAAAAAATAAAAATGTAATAATAATATAATAAAGTATAAATTTAGTTTACTTTAATATATATTGTATTAATCAATAAATCGTTTAAATTAATTACTAAGAAAGAAAAAAGTATTTTCAGCAAATATAACAATTAAGCAATTAAAATTAAAAAAAAAAAAAAAAAAAATCTATAACATTTAAAAAAAATTAATAATAAATTTAGAAACCTTAATCTTAATTATTAAAAAAAGGAAAAAATATTTCTTCTATAAAATTAATTATAATTTTAGGAGAAAAAAAAGAATTTTCTTTCTACAAAGTATAAAATAAAAAAAACTTGTATATATTTATAGCAAAATTCTCTTTTCTTTTTTCTAGTGATGAGTGAAAAGTTTTCATGTTCCTTCAAAATATAGATGAATCTATAAATAAAGCAAACATTTAAAGTGAACTGAAACTAGTACAAAGTTAATCCAACCCTTTGATTTGTTATAATGTATATAGATGAGATATATACATAAACAGAAAGTTTCCACTTCAAAGCCTACTCATATAAAATACGCCTTCTCTTTGGATTTTACAAAAAGAAAAAAAAAATTACAAAAATTTTTATTTTTTATTTCGAATAAAATATCACAATTATAATCCCTACGAATAATTCCATTTTAAAAACAATTTTTATTTTTCAATTCCTTCGAGAAATTCATTTTTTTAATTTGTATTTTATGATTTTTATTTTTTCATTATCAAAAAAATTTTTTTTTTCATTATCAAAATTTTTTTTCATTCTCAAAATTTTTTTTTCTTTTAAAATTGGTTTTTTTTTTTTAAATTTATTTTTCCAATTCTAAAATTTTAAAATTAATTTTTTTTGGTTTTTAAAAAATTTTTTTTTTATTTATAAAATTAGATTCTTTCGCTTTTTAAATTTATTTTTTCATTTTTAAAATTTTTTCATTCAAAAAATTTTTTTTTCTTAAATAGGAAGGTTTTGATTTTTTTTTATTGAACTCGTCGACAATAATAGCCGAGAGTTTTACATTTCTCACACAAATGTTGAGGATGAACTTTACTTTGATCGGAAACGTCTAGTCCATCTGGTTTTTCCAGTGGCCTCTGAAATTTAAATAAATTTTTCACAATTAATTTCTTTTTTTAATTAATTTTTAATAATTAATTTACTATTTGTTACTTAATAATTATTAACTAATTGTTACTTAATAATCATTAACTAATTGTTACTAAATAATTATTAACTAATTGTTACTTAATAATTATTAACTAATTGTTACTTAATAATTATTAACTAATTGTTACTTAATAATTATTAACTAATTGTTATTTAACAATTAATTAACAAATTGTTTTTTGATAAATAATTTACTAATGGTTTTTTGATAATTAATTAATTAATTTTTATTAGATAAATAATTGACTAATTATTACATAATAATTAATAAACTAAATATTTTTTATTGAATTCTTCTTTTCACTTTTTTTCGACGATAATTTAAAAATTTATTTCTGTACAAAAAATCGTGTTTGAAAATAGAAAAAAATTGTTTCCTTACGTGTTTAAATTTATAAATATAAAACTAAAAAGATAAAATCGTTTGGTATTTTTCGCCTTTATTTTATTTCAACGTCAATTAATGTAGATTTTATATAATTATTTTATTTTCATCTTTTGATGATGGTATCAAAAAAAAAATAAAAATTACAATGAAATGCGTGAATAGAAATGTATTAAACATTTTACACGCTCAAGGGGAACAAGAACGATTTTCCTATAATTAGATCAGACTTTAATACACACCGAGTTCACGAAATATTTTCTACCTTATATAATCGTGTCTGCGCACTATTATTTTTTTACCAAAATAACGTCCCTCGTGCGCGACTAATTTGCAAATAATAAATTCCCTTTTTTTTCGATTTTAGAAACTCTCTATAAATTTGAATTTAGTAAAAGAGAGAGAAAATATTTAAAAAAAAAAAATAAAATGAAAATACCTGTTTGTGGGGATAGACGTTTATATGGCACTTGATGCATTCTTGGCCCATGTTGGCCCAACTATTGCCCGACATCCATTTTCGTTTACATTTTGCACATTTGTATTCGCCAAAGCAACGTTTTTTTCCCTGATACGGTGTGAGGCCTTCTCCCTTTGGTCGAGCCTGCAATTCAAATTATAATCATTAACAATTAATAAAACTAATAACAATAGTAGTAAAAAAAAACCGTTGTAACAATAATAATATTTCTTATTTGGAATGGATATCAAAAATACTAAATAATAATATGTAACAATAATAGTACAAATAATAATACTAATCCAGACATTTGAATTTTTACAGATTTTCTACTTTTGACGACAAAAAAAATATTCCCTACTTGGAATGGATATCAAAAATACTGACAACAACAATAATGATAATACAAATAATATTCCTTATTTGGAGTGGATATCAAAAATACTAAATAAGAAACAAAAATAATATTCCTTATTTGGAATGGATATCAAAAATACTAAGTAGGTAATAAAATAATTTCCTTATTTGGAATAGATATCAAAAATACTAAATAGGTAAGAAAAATAATGTTCCTTATTTGGAATGGATATCAAAAGTACTATAACAATAATAATAGGTAATTAAAATAATATTCCTTATTTGGAATGGATATCAAAAATACTAAAGTAGGTCAAAATAATATTCCTTATTTGGAATGGATATCAAAAGTACTATAACAATAATAATAGGTAATTAAAATAATATTCCTTATTTGGAATGGATATCAAAAATACTAAAGTAGGTCAAAATAATATTCCTTATTTGGAATGGATATCAAAAATACTAACAACAATAATAAAAATAATATTCCTTATTTAGAATAGATATCAAAAATAATATAGTAATAATAGCAGACTTTGCACTCGATAATTAATTTTAAAAAAGTAGCAAAAAGTATCTTTCAAACAAAAAAGTAGCTATCCAAAAATTAAACTTGACTATAAAAAAAAACTCGTTTTAAAAATACTTCACATTTCGACTAATTTTATGCAAGTTCTAATTTAAATAATTAAATTCCTGAGAAATTTTTATTATTCATGAAAAGAATTGAATTCTTACCAAGATTTTTACAAAAAAAATTTTAAAAGACAGAATTTTGTTTGGAAATTTGATGAAAATAGTAGATATTTGAAAATCATTGAATTGCGAAAAGTTTTTAAGAATAATAATTAAATTTTACAAAGAATTCTATTAAAATTTTTGACAATAATTCAATGTTTGTGTAGCATTTTATTCAATTTCTTTCATAATAATTGAATTCCGAAAAATCATTTTATTATTTATGAAAATAATTGAATTCTCGGGAACGATTTTTATTAGAAATTTTAAAATAATTGAATTTTCAAGAAAAAATTAATTACTTTTAAAAATAATTGAATTCTTGTGATGAATATTCTTATATTTATGAAAATAATATTGAATTTTGCAAAGAATTTTATTAAAATGCCTCAAAATAATTGAATTTCGGGAATAATTTTGTTATTTATCTTTAATAATTGAATTCTTTTGAAGAATTATTTTTATGTAAATAATTTAATTGTTGGGAAGAATTTTATTAAAATCTAAAAGATTTAAAAAAAAATTTTTTTATTATCAAAAAAATTTAATTAAAATAAAATAATAATAATAATTAAAATATTGTATTTAAAATAATTGATTTCTTTCGAACAATTTTATTAAAATATTTGAAAATAATTGAATTCCTGTGAAAAATACAAATATTTTTGTAAATAATTGAATTTATCTAAAGTATTTTATTACCTATGAAAATAATTGAATTATTGCGAAAAAAATTTAGAAAAAATTGGTAAATAATTGAATTTCTGTGAAATTGTTATTATTTATGAAAATAATTAAATGTTTGCGTAGAATTTTATTAAATTTTGTTTAAAACAATTGAATTCTTCAGGAAAAGTTTATTAAAATAATATTGAAAATTATTAAATTGAGAAAACTTTTTGAAAATAATTGAAATTCTGCCAAGAATTTTATTAAAATTTTTTGAAAATAATTGAATCTTGGAGAATAATTCTATTATTTATATTTGATAATTGAAATTTTGCCGAGAGTTTTTAAAAATTGAAAATAATTGAAATTTTGACGAGAGTTTTTAAAAATTGAAAATAATTGAAATTTTGACAAGAGTTTTTAAAAATTGAAAATAATTGAAATTTTGACGAGAGTTTTTAAAAATTGAAAATAATTGAATTTCTGAAACCATTTGTAATTTTTGAAATTAGTTAAATCTCTACTCAAAATTTTATTTAAATTTATTTGAAAATAATTGAATTATTTTGTAAAAATTTAATTCTAATAAACAAATTTATATTAAATTCTTTTAAAATACTTGAATTCTTTTGAAGAATTTTAATAAAATTTTTTAAAACAATTTCATTTTTCGAGAAATTTACTTAAAATTGTATTTAAAAAATAGAAATTCAGAGATTAATTTTATTAGTTATGAAAATAATTGAATTCTCGGGAACAATTTTATTAGAAATTTTTAAATAATTGAATTTCCAAGAAAAAATTAATTATACTTTTAAAAATAATTGAATTCTTGTAATGAATATTGTTATTTATGAAGATAATTGAATTTTGCAAAGAATTTTATTAAAATCCGTGAAAATAATTAAATTTATTAATTAAATTTTCGGGAAAATAATTTTGTTATATTTATCTTTAATAATTGAATTTTTTCGAAGAATTATTTGTGAAAATAATTGAATTTTTCGATTAATTCATTTAAAATAGTATATTAAAAATAATTGAAATTCTTCGGTGAGTTAAATTATTTATGAAAATAATTGAATTCTTGCTTAGAATGAAAATATATAAAATTATCTTAGTGAGATATTGTATAATATATAATTTGGTTTTGCTCAATTGAGTGCTAATTGAGACAACAAATATATTTCAAGTCTGCCTCGCTCAAATGTATATATCTAAATATGACGTCATAATCCAGTCACTGTTAAACGCGTGTATACATAATATAGTAATAATTATAAGTAAATTACGCGATTTGCCCTAAATTAACCATTCGAAAATATTTATTTAATTATTTATTAGCTTTTTTTATTACTACTTATTATTATTTTTATTATTATTATTAATATTATTATTATTAATATTATTATTTATTATAAATAATATAAGTATATATAAGTATATATTAATATACTTCTTTATTTATTTATTAACATATTTATTTTATTTATTCATACTTATTTATTTATATTTATGACGCTGTCCCATGGTATATATTGAAGTAAAAAATATTCACCTGAGGACAATCCTTGATGTAGTGTCCCTTTTTAAAGCAAAGATGACACATGTAACTCGTGGGAGGTCGTTTCGTTGGTTTTCTGTCGATAATTCCAAGTTCCATGAAATGCTCCGCCAAATCGCCAATACTGTCGCCCAAATTGCCGCCAATTGTGCCCGATTGATTGATAATACTCTGATGAAGATAAGTTTGTGGCGTTGCAGTTGGAAAGCTTCCCCATGTTGTTGACAATAATTTGCTCTTTTTTTTTGAAAGAAAAGGAAAACAATTAAAATTTTAGTATCCAACGGATTTTAGGAGTAGTTAATCTATAAAATCTATCAAATTGTAACTAACGGATTAGAAGGGTACCTAACGTGTTTTTAATGTTCTAAGTGGATTTTAAAAGTTCTTTAAGGATCCTAAGAGTAGCTGAAGGTTTGTTAGGGTTCTAAACAGATTTTAAGTGTTCCTTAAGGGTCTTAAGAGTACCTGAAAGTTTGTTAGGGTACCTAACGTATTTTTAATTTTCTAAATGGATTTTAAGAGTTCTTTAAGTATCCTAAGAGAGTATCCTAATATAAATATTTGTTAGGGTTCTAAACAGATTTTAAGTGTTCCTTAAGGGTCTTAAGAGTACCTGAAAGTTTGTTAGGGTACCTAACGTGTTTTTAATGTTCTAAATGGATTTTAAGAGTTCTTTAAGTATCCTAAGAGAATATAAATGTTTGTTAGGGTTCTAAACAGTTTTTAAATGTTCCTTAGGGGTCCTAAGAGTAGCTAAAGGTTTATTTGGGTTCTAAACGGATTCTAAGAGTTTCTAGTGAATTCCAAGAGTTCCTTAAGAATTGTAAGCGTACCTAACGTGTTTTTAATGTTCTAAATGGATTTTAAAAGTTCTTTAAGGATCCTAAGAGTAGCTGAAGGTTTGTTAGGATTCTAAACAGATTTTAAGTATTCCTTAAGGGTCCTAAGAGTACCTGAAAGCTTGTTAGGGTACCTACCGTGTTTTTAAAGTTCTAAATGGATTTTAAGAGTTCTTTAAGTATTCTAAGAGAATATAAATGTTTGTTAGGGTTCTAAACAGATTTTAAGTGTTCCTTAAGGGTCTTAAGAGTACCTGAAAGTTTGTTAGGGTACCTAACGTATTATTAATGTTCTAAATGGATTTTAAGAGTTCTTTAAGTATCCTAAGAGAATATAAATGTTTGTTAGGGTTCTAAACAGTTTTTAAATGTTCCTTAGGGGTCCTAAGAATAGCTAAAGGTTTGTTAGGGTTTAAACAGATTTTAAATGCTCCTTAAGGGTCCTAAGAGTACCTAAATGTTTGTTAGGGTTTTAAACATATCCTAATAGTTCCTAGTTAATTGCAAGAGTTCCTTAAGGATCCTAAGAGTCTCTATACGTTTCTTAAGGTTCTGAACGGATCCTAAGAGTACCTAACGCTTCGTTAGGGTTCCAAACAGTTTTTAAGAGTACCTAACGGTTTGTCAGGTTTCTAACCGAATTTTAAGAGTCACTAATGAATAGCAAGAGTTCCTTAAGTTTTCTAAAGGTACCTAATAGATTTTTACGTTTTTCAACGGATTCTAAGAAATTAGAAAAAAGAAATTAGAAAATTCCTTAAGAATTGCAAGAGTACCTGCTCAGTGGTTGGCGTTTGATCGGCTATTGTCAAGTAGACCCAATTCAAACGATGTGGATGTGCATAGTGGGTCTGCTGATGGATTTGCTGCGGTGTTTGAGGAGCAATGCCGTTCAATGTGATACCACCGAGATTTATCGTTGTATTCGTCTCCTGCTGTTGCTGCTGCAGTTGCGGATGATGATGATGGTGGTGGTGATGATGGTGATGCTGCTGCTGTTGCTGCTGATGCTGCAAATGTTGAAGTGGTGGCCGAGGATGACAAGCAGCCATTTTTTCTTTTTCTTCTTCTTCTTTTGCACCAAAAATTTAAAAAAAAAAATTACCAACAACTTTTTCCAAAAATTATTTATTTTTTACTTTCAATCTTTTAATTTTAGTTTTTTCGAATTTTTCTCCCTTGCCATATTTTTTTGCCTCTTTTGCTTTCTTTCCATATTAACCACGCAAATAAGTACTTTCTTCTTCTTCTTTTCCTAATTTTTCTTCTTCTTCTTTAAACCAACTTTTCTTTTGTTTTCAAACAAAAATTTGCTTTTTTCAAATTTTATCGTTTTTTCAATGATGGAAACAATTTCTTTATATTTTTCTTTTTCTTTGCCTAAATTTATTCCTTTTTCAAGAAGAAAAATTTTGTATTCAGGATTCTTTTCTATTTTTTCTATTTTTTTTTTTGAAATTTTCTTCTTTTCAAAATTTTTGATGAAATCTTTCGTTGAAATTCGGTTTTTTTAAGACGAAAAAAAAAATGAAAATTCGAAAAATGTCAATAAAAAAATACTGTTGATTCTCAAGTATACACGTGTTGACCATATAGAGGTTTTTTTTCTGTTTCATTCAAACAAAGTTTTAAGTGTCTGCTACATATTATTTCTCGCCGGTCAAATTCTCTCGCTGTTTCTTTTTCTTTCTTTTTCTCTCTCTCTCTCTCTCTGTCTCTCTTTCTCTCTTTCTCTCTTTCTACGGTAACATCATCATCCGACTCAGTTTACTTTCCATGAATCCAATTTATCGTTACTTTGTTTCGCCTATCGTTCCTTTCGCTGAAGCAAAAATTATATTATTTTCGATTATTTTTTATTTTTCTTCTTACAATAAAATTATAAATTAAAAAAATTATTATAAAATAATTAAAAGTGGTCGAAAATTCGAAAAAAGGGAAAAATTAAAAAAATCTATTTATTTACTTTTTATATATTTTATGTAATTATTTTTTTAATTATATTTTAAATTTAATTAATTTTATTCATTTTATTAATTAATTAATTAATTAATTTCTTTATTTATTAATTTATATATTTTATTCGAGAAAGAAATTTTAACTTTTCTATAATTATAGATTTAAATTGAAAGCAATTTTTTGCAAGTATATTTTTTATAACAAAAGTAATAATAATAATAATGATACAAATACAATATTATTTTTATAATAATTATGATTATTTATAAAAATTTTATAACTATTATTATTATTTTTAAAAAATTAATTAAAGTAAATTAATTAATTAAAGTACAAATAAATTAACAATTGTATAATAATTAAAATAATTAATGAAGACAATAATAATAATAAAAAATATAAATTAACAATAGTAAAATATAAAAATGATTGAAATAAAAAATTAATAATAATAACTAATAAAAAACTTAGTTTTAAGTAAGAAAAACAACAATAAATAAAAATAAGAATAAATAATAAGCATAATTATTATAGTAGAAAAATATTATTAAATAACAATGACAAAATAATAATGTTAAAAATAATAAAAAATAATTTCAAAAGCCTAATAATTACTTGATTTAAATTAAAAATAATAATAATAATAATAATTTTCTAAATTGAAGAAATAAATAAAAATAAAATTAAAGAAATAAAAAAAAATTAAATAAAAAATTTTTTATTAAATAATAAAAAATATTTAAACTTTCAACTCACAGGGAGTAATTTTTCCCTTTTTCGAAAACACTTCCTTCACTTTATAATTTTGAATATCAATTTTTTTTTCTCTTTCCTTTTTTTATTTTTGAAATCACTATATATATTTTATAAACTTTGCCGCAAAGTCATAAACTCACACAACACGAAACTTTAGAAAAATTATTATCCTTCACTGTAAAAAGAATTTTTATTCAAAAAATAATAAATTTTCTTTAGTAATTATTTTTTTTCCTTGAATTATTTTTAATTTATTATTAAAATTATTTTGAATTTAAGAAAAAAAAATTTTTTTCAACAAAATTTTTATAGTCGCACTGAAAAAAAAAACCGAACAAGAAAAATAATGAACCAATAATAAAAAAATTCGACGATTTTGGGGGGAAAAAAAAGTCGCGAGGGGAGAAAATAAAAAGAATATTAAAAATTTGTGAAAATAGATAGAATAATTTAAAATAATATTTGGAAAAATTCTTTTATTTTTTTTTACTTTTTTTTTTGTTGTCGTTGTTAATTTTTGTATGAATTTTTGTTTGGAATTTTTTTTTTTTTGTTGGGCAATTTTTCTTTGGATATAGCGATTCAGATGAGAAATCTTTTGTAGATGGAGACACGTCTGTGGCCCGGCAAAAGACTGTGTTCTTGAGCACATACGCCTGCAATGGCAAAGACCCCCGCCATGTGTTATTTATATTTCTGCGTCTATATGCTCTCCGGCAGGCGTGCCTCACATTTAACACACGTTACGTACACAAATACAATTGCAATATTGGTCCACGTTTTCGTTTTCAAAACATCCTCCCCGGCAAATGAAGAGAGAGAGAAAGAGGGGGAGGGAAAAATTCTTATCCCCCCCTCCCTCAAAGAGGGGATTTTGAAAAGTCATTTTTTTACTTGGAAACTCTTAAAAGTATTCTTTTCTTTCCTTTCGGCACTCATAAAAATGATTAGGCACTCATAAAAAATGTTAGGCACTCATAAAAATGATTGGACATTTATAAAAAATGTTTGGTACTCATAAAAAAAGTTAGGTACTCATAAAAATGTTTAGACATTCATAAAAAATGATAAATACTCATAAAAATGATTAAACACTCATTAAAAATGTTAGGTACTCATAAAAGAAAGTTAGGGACTCATAAAAATGATTAGACACTCATAAAAAAGTTAGGTACTCATAAAAAATGCTAAATACTCATAAAAATGATCAGACACTCTTAAAAAGGTTAGGCACTCATAAAAATGATTAGACATTCATTAAAAATGTTAGGTGCTCATAAAAAAAGTAAGGCACTTATAAAAATGATTAGGCATTTATAGAAAATTATAAATACTCATAAAAAAGTTAGGTATTCACAAAAATGTTTGATACTCATAAAAAAGTTAAGCACTAATAAAAATGATTAGACATTCATAAAAAATGATAAATACTCATAAAAATGATTAAACACTCATTAAAAATGTTAGGTACTCATAAAAAAGTTAGGCAGTCATAAAAATGATTAGGCATTTATAAAAAATGATAAATACTCATAAAAAGGTTAGGTATTCATAACAATGTTAGGCACTCATAAAAATGATTAGACACTCATTAAAAATATTTGGTATTCATAAAAAATATTAGATACTTATAAAAAATGAAACGTAGCCATAAAAATGTTAGGCACTCATAAAAATGATTAGACACTCATAAAAAAGTTAAGTACTCATAAAAAGATTAGACATTCATATAGAATGATAAATACTCAAAAAAAATGTTCAGACACTCTTAAAAAAGGTTAGGCACTCATAAAAAATGATAAATACTCATAAAAATGATAAAACACTAATTAAAAATGTTAGGTACTCATAAAAAATATTAGATACTTATAAAAAAAATTGCAGGTATTCATAAAAATGTTAGGCACTCATAAAAATACACTTATAAAATAGTTAAGTACACTGAATAAAAAATTCGGCAGAATGTGCTTTTTACTGAGTCAATTTTTGCCTAAGAACAAAAGCAATACACGTAAAGCAATTGTTTCTTTTAAAAAAAGGCAATTTTTGCCTTTAAAAAAGGTAAAAATTGCCTTAGTTAAAATTTTTGCCTTTTTTAAAAGCAAAAATTGCCTTTTTTAAAAGAAACAATTGCTTTACATGTATTGCTTTTATTCTTAGGCAAAAATTGCCTGAGTAAAAAACACATTCTGCCGAATTTTTTTTTCAGTGTACTCATAAAAATGATCAGACACTCTTAAAAAAGGTTAGGCACTCATAAAAATGATTAGACACTCATAAAATAGTTAAGTATACTCATAAAAATGATTAGACATTCATAAAAAATGTTAATAAATACTCATAAAAATGATCAAACACTCTTAAAAAAGGTTAGGCACTCATAAAAATGATTAGACATTCATTAAAAATGTTAGGTGCTCATAAAAAAAGTAAGGCACTTATAAAAATGATTAGACACTCATAAAATAGTTAAGTATACTCATAAAAATGATTGGACATTCATAAAAAATGTTAATAAATACTCATAAAAATGATCAGACACTCTTAAAGAATGTTAGATACTCATAACAATGATTAGACGCTCATAAAAAATGTTAGGTACTTATAACAATTGTAGGATACTCATAAAATCGTTAAGCACTCATAACAATCGTCAGGGAGTCATAGAAATTTGTAGGCACTCATAAAAATGATCATATACTCATAAAGTATGTTAGGTTCTCATTCAATTTTTTAGGTATTTATAACAATTGTAGGATACTCATAAAACCATTAGGCACTCATAACAATCGTCAGGGACGCATATAAATTGTTAGGCACTCATAAAAACTTTAGACACTTATAAAAATAGTTTCGAACTCAAACAAACCGTTAGGTACTTAGAACACCCTTCAGGTACTCATAAAAAACGTTAGGCACTCATAACAGTGGTTTAGGAACTCATAAAACAATTAGACAATCATAACAGTAGTTTCGGAACTCATAAAAACAGTTAGCAGACTTCGCACTCGATAATTAATTTTATAAGTCATTAAATTTTACAAAGTATTTTATTAAAATTTTTGAACCTAATTAAATGTCTGTGTGCTATAAATTTTATTTTAAATAATTGAATTCTTGAGGAAAACTTTATTTGTGAAAATAATTGAATTTTTCGATTAATTAATTTTAAAATTTAGCGTTGTCTTCATAAAGTTTTTTGGCTTTGAATTTCGACAAAAAAAAACTAATAAAAACTCTTCAAATCCGTTGGTAACTCTTAGATAACTCATGGAGAACTCTTAAAATTAGAGTTAAACTTAAGTATCTAAAAGTTTAAACAATATTTATTAATTTATTAAAATTCCATCAAAAACTCATAAAATGTTTTCTGAAACTCTTAAAATCCAGTTAAAAACTCTTATAATCTGAAAGAATTCCTTTGAGAGTATTTGACCTCTTAAAATTAGAGTTAAACCATAAGTCTAAAAGTTAAAAAAGATGTTTATATTAATTTATTAAAAATCAATTAAAAACTCATAAATTTTTTTTTGAAACTCTTAAAATCCGGGTCTTGGAAGCCGAAGAAGTTTCTTTAAAGGGATTTGTCCATTTTTTGCACATATAGTTCTATTACCCGGTAAATATTTAAAAAGAGTTATTAATATTTTTATGCTTTATTTAACGTTTAAAAAAATTTAATGTTATTTTTATTAAATATTGGGTAGTATTTAAAAAGTAAATAAAATTAAATTCACCTCTTTTATAAATTTTATTTTTCTTTTTGTACATTATTTATATACAAAGTTGATAATTTCAGACAGTAAACTTTATATAAATTTTTCATTAAAACCCCAAAAAAAGACTCTCGTGTAAAATGTCATTTTTTCATGTTTATAAAACATTAAATTTAATTGAATTTAATTATTAATAGAATCGAAAAGAAAAACGCTTCGCTTAATATATACCAATTTATGAAAAAGTGAAACTTTCTGCAAAATTTATAAATTCTAATAAGTATTTTCAATCATTTTTTTTTTTTTTTTTGTAAAAAGAAAAGAGAAAGAATCCCACACGAACTAATTAGGACATTTTTGTTGGGGAAAAAGAAAAAAAAATATGAAACTTTGTGTACTTTATAAACTCTACTTGAAAATTCGACCTTTGAACTTCTTCTGCGCGTCAAGGATATACACGCAAAGTTCAGAATGCGATAATTATAATGTGGCCCCACGATTTATTCTTTTATATTTACTATACTAAAAAGAAAAAAGTTTTCTTATTTTAAGTTTTTTTTTCTTTTTTTTCCCCAATATTTCTCGGTTTTCTCTTTAGAAATATACTTTAACAAAAGTAAGAAAAAAATAACCTTTATATCGTTTTCTTTTACCTATTTTTATATTTTTTTTATTCTCTAACCTTAATCGCGTATCTTTTTTTTTCTTTTTATATATATTTAAATTTGCTTCTAATTCAGATTTTATTTATTCAAATTTTTTTCCCCCGGAAATTATTTATGTATAATTTTATTTTATTCATAGATTTTAATTTAGTGAATAATAATGAATTTTTATTTGCTTAAAATATTAGTGAACGGAAAATTATATTATTAATAATAATAACATTAGTTATAAGTATACTTTTATTATATAACTATTATTATTTTGTTATAATTACTATTTTTATTCATTTTTATTATTATTGTTTATTTTATTTTTACTAAATTATTTTGTAATATAAAAACACTTCAATATAAAATAATTAAAAAAGACGGTTTTAACGAACTAAATGTTAATTATTATTAATTTACTGCAGAGTGATAGAGTCAGAAAATTATATTATTATTATATATTATTAATTCAAGTAAATAAAATAATAATAATAATATAATAATAATAATAATATTAATAATATTAATAATAATAATAATAAAGCAATTTTTATTACAAAATAACGAAAATTTATAAAAATATTGCGTGTACTCTTCGGATTATTAATAAATTCTAATTATTTTAATTAATTATAATCGATTATAATAGTTAATATAATATAGAAGTAAAAATAAAAATGACGGAATGATAATTAGAATAATTAAAATAATTAGAATTTAGAAATATCGTGGGAATAATACATCTGTACTCCGGAAATAGATTGCGACGGAAGTAATTATATCGACTTCCGCACACAAGGTCGTCACGAGATAGATGCATATTCTCTAGAACATCCCTCATATACATATAAAATTCTTTATAAAAAAATAATAAATATTTCAATTTTATTGAATCAAGTAAATTTTACCCCCGCATAGAAAATTAATGTTATGTATTGAGTTATAAATTCAACTTTATATTACGAACATTACGCGTTATCTCAAAGCAAATATACGAAATATTACACAAATATTACTCAAAAATATTTTACAGAAATTCTAAGTATTACGGACTATTACGTAATATTACAAAAATATTACGTAATATTTTGTAAAAAAAAGTACTGAAAAGTACTCAAAAATATTTTACGGAAATTCAAAGTAGTACGGAATATTACGTAATATAACAAAAATATTACGTAATATTTTTTGAAAAAGTACTGAATATTACTCGAGTATTGCGCAAGTATTTTTATGAAAAAAGTGATATAAGACAATATTACAGAAATATTACGTAATATTTACAGAAAGAAATACATAATTTAACGCGATATTACACGAATAATACGCGTACTACTATTTTTAAGAAATAAGTTATATTACAAACAATATTACGCAATATTTAAAAAGATATCCATTTAAAGTAAGTAATATTATTTGTATTATCATTATTGTTGTTGTTAGTATTTTTGATATCCATTCTAAATAAGGAATATTATTTTTATTATCTACTTAGTATTTTTGATATCCATTCCAAATAAGAAATATTAATTTTACCTACTTTAATATTTTTTATATCCATTCCAAATAAGGAGTAATATTTTTTGTTACCTATTTAGTATTTTTGATATCCATTCCAAATAAGGATTATTATTTTAATAACCTATTTTTATATTTGTAGTATTTTTAATATCCATTCCAAATAAGGAATATTTTTTTACCTACTAAGTATTTTTGATACCCATTCCAAATAAGGAATATTATTTGTGTTATCAGTATTGTTGTTGTCAGTATTTTTGATATCCATTCCAAATAAGGAATATTTTTATTACCTATTTAGTATTTTTGATATCCATTCCAAATAAGGAATATTATTTTTGTAGTCGGAAGTAGAAAATCTGTAAAAATTCAAATATCTTGATTAGTATTATTATTTGTATTATTATTGAAAAATTTTGAACTATTATTATTATTATTATTATTATTATTATTATTATTATTATTATTATTATTATAATTACTATGATTTTAATGTTGAATTTAATTATCATAATGAGAAATATAATGAAAATGAAAATTCATGAAAAAGCAATCAATTTACTGATTTCCTGATACGAGACTTGTACCAGGCATTTTCGCAATTGTTGTCACAGGTCGTGACTTATTCTCCTGGTTATGAGTTGGTTAGCTGTACGGTTGAATGGGCTGGAAAGGGAGGGTGGTCCGTTCTCCACAACTCGAGGGGGTGAATGTTTAAAACGTTTAAAATCAACTTCATCCTTCGTTCTAATAGAATTTCTTTTTCCCATCTTCTTTCTGATAATAGAAAATAAAAAATTTATTATACTTATATAACGAGTTATTTTTTTTACACAATTGTACAATTATAGCATAGCTTGTAAACTATGTAATGTTACAGAAATTAATATTTCTGTAACATTACATAGTTTACATGCTATGCATTTACAATCGTATAATTGTACAATTATGTAAATAAAGTAGCACGTCATGTAAATACATTCCATAGTTAATAGTATAATTATACAGAAAAAACGAGTCTTTTATGATTCGACAGCATTTTTTTTTTGAAGATTCGCGTTCACAATGTCCTGTGACTGATGTTGTGTCTGGTCCCAACGTTAATGTGTACATTCGTATATATATATATAATAATATATGTATAACTCTCTAACATCATTTTCAATCGATAAATGTATTTTTGGTGACGTGCGCGTGACTTGGAAGAATTGCCTCTTCAAACTGCGATCTGGTTACATGGAATAATCGGTCGAAACCTTCAGTTGTGCGCTGAACCTTCAGCCATCAGTCACGATTTGTCTTCAAATTCTTTTCCCCTTTTTAATAATTCCATTTTTTTCTATTTCATTCAAAAACAAAACATTCCCTCTCTTTCTTCTTTGTCGAATTTTCAACTACATCATTTTCTTTACTATTCGTAATTGGCATTTTTTATTTCTTCAATAATTAATAATTGATTGTCAATTTTTGTTTTTTCCAATTAATCTCTTCAATTAATCGTCAATTTTTACTTCTTCAATTAATTTGATAATTAATTTCTTCAATTAATTTCCAAACACTTTTCTTCAATTAATTTGTAACTTCTTCAATTAATTTTCAAACACTTTTGTCAATTCATTTCTAAACACTTTTCTTAAATTAATTTCCAATCACTTTTCTTCAATTAATTTCCAAACACTTTTCTTTAATTAATTCCCAAACACTTTTCTTCAATTAATTTTAAAACACTTTTCTTCAATTAATTTGCAATTTCTTCAATCAATTTCCAAGCACTTTTCTTCAATTAATTTCCAATCACTTTTCTTCAATTAATTTACAGTTAATGTCTTCAGAATTAATTTACGATTTTAATTTCTTCAGTTAATTTAGACAAATAATTACAATACAGAGAATTTTCATTTCTCTAATTTTTAAAAAACGTTATTTTTTTGGTTTGTTTAAAAAAAAGTCTTTGAGAAAAGAAAATTTGAAATTAAAAAAAAAATTAACCTGAAGAATAGGAAGAGTACGAGAATTGAAATGACGATGGGACACGTGAAGATAAACAGAAAAACGGAAGTAGTGGTTTAAAGAGAACGAGAGAAAGAGAGAGAGAGAAAATGGATAAGTACGAGAATTTAGAAGTTGTTGGAGAAGGAAGTTACGGTGTTGTGATGAAGTGTCGACATAAGGAGACGGGACAAATTGTTGCTATTAAAAAATTTCTCGAGACCGAGGAGGACATTCATGTGCGAAAATTGGCCTTCCGTGAAATAAGAATGTTGAGGGTAATAAGCTCTGATATATGTATACATACGAAATTTAAAAAAATACATCCTCCCACATAGCACCATAGTATGAGGTAAGGTTATGTTGAGTACTAATCGTAAGGCACATAAGGTTACACAATATTGCTGCGGTAGACCTGAGGTGAACTAAAAACTTCCGCCATGGAGGTAAGGTTACATGTTAGGGTGTGGTGAGTATATATGATAAGGCCATGGTAACCTTACACGTTAAGGTTAAGGTAACCTTACACGTTAAGGTTGATGTAACCTTACACGTTAAGGTTGAGGTAACGTTACATGTTAAGGTTGAGGTAAGGTTACATGTCAAGGTTGAGGTAAGGTAATTAATAAGTTGTAAGGTTAAGGTAAGGTTGTGATAAGCTTACCAGTTATGGAAAATATTGAAAAAATAATTAATAATATAATAAATAAATATTAAATTAGAAAGTTAAGTTTGTTGCTCTTCTCTATTTTGGAAACCTGACATAAAGCAGAAAATTTTGAAAACAAATTTGGGGGGACTGGGATTCGAACCCGGGATCGACGCGCATAAACCTATCATTCTAACTAACTGAGCTAAGTAGAGAACTGGCAGAAGGAAAATTAATGTTGCCTTTAAGGTGAACCAAGAAGATGATTAACTCCTTAAAGGCAATATTAATTTTCCTTCTACCAGTTCTCTACTTAGCTCAGTTAGTTAGAATGATAGGTTTATGCGCGTCGATCCCGGGTTCAAATCCCAGTCCCCCCAAATTTGTTTTTAAAATTTTCTGCTTCATGTCAGGTTTCCAAAATAGAGAAGAGCAACAAACTAACTTTTTAATTGAATATTTATTTATTAATTATTTTTTCAATATTTTCCATAACTGGTAAATTTATCACAACCTTACCTCAACCTTACAACTTAATAATTACCTTACCTCAACCTTGACATGTAACCTTACCTCAACCTTAACATGTAACGTTACCTCAACCTTAACGTGTAAGGTTACATCAACCTTAACGTGTAAGGTTACCTTAACCTTAACGTGTAAGGTTACCATGGCCTTATCATATATACTCACCACACCCTAACATGTAACCTTACCTCCATGGCGGAAGTTTTTAGTTCACCTCAGGTCTACCGCAGCAATATTGTGTAACCTTATGTGCCTTACGATTAGTACTCAACATAACCTTACCTCATACTATTGTGCTATGTGGGCTAGAACAAAATTGGTACTCTTACAATGAATTGAAATTTTTCACACAAACATGAACCCATAAAACAAATAATAACTCTTAAGACAAAATACTCTTAAAATAAATAAAAAAAACTCTTAAAACAAAAAGGAGGTCCTTAAATCTCTTAAAATAAACAAAAAACTCTTAAAAACAAACAAGAACTCTTAGAACAAGAAGAAACTTTTAAAACAAATGCGAACCCTAAAAACGAATAAAAACTCTTAAAACAAAAATAACCTCTTAAAATAAAGAAGAAACTCTTAAAACAAAAAGAACCTCTTAAAATAAACAAAAGCTTTTAAAAACAAACAAGAACTCTTAGAACCAACAGAAACTCCTAAAACAAAAAAGACCTCTTAAAATAAACAAAAAAAGTCTTAAAAAGAAACATTTCTCAGAACAAAAAGAAACTCTTAAAACAAAAAATATTAAAATAAACAAAAAACTCTTAAAAACAAACAAAAACTCTTAAAACAAATAAGAATCCTAAATTGGAAACTAAAACTCTTAAAACAAAAAGAAACTCTTAAATACAAACATGAACTCTTACAACAAAAATAAACTTTTAAAACAAGTAAGAACCCTAAAATCGTTCCAAAACTCTTGAAAAAAACGAGAACTTTTAAAATAAATAGAAACTCTAAATAAAAATAAGAACCCTAAATCGAATCAAAACTCTTAAAACGAACGAGAACTCTTAAAATGAATGGAAACTCTAAAAAATACACTCGGTACTCTTACAATATACTTGCAACTCATAGAATTCTCAGAAAACATTAAAAATACGTTTATTAATACGTAAATTCCTTTTGAATTCTTGAATGCTTTTGGAAACTCTTAAAATTCATCGACAACTATTACGATTCATCAGGAACTCTTGTTACTTGCAAGGTTTCGTACGTTGTTAATTGATTAGAATGATTTTACACCCTAATAATCCCATAAATACTTTTTTGAATTCATAGAAAACTCTTAAAATCCATTGTTAACTCTTAGAATCCATTTTCGAATTTTTTTATAACTCTTTAAATCCACGGTTTCTTCCTACCATTTAAAACTCTTGGAATATTTTGAAAAATCAATTTAAAAACTTTGGCAATCCTCGTGGGAATTCTTAACCTCTTAACTACGATGACAAAGATTAGACCAGAGATTAGACAACCAAAATCTTCGTCATTCACAGTTAAGAGGTTAAAATCATAGTTGAAAATTCTTATAATCCATGGGAACTCTTAGAATCAATTGAAAATTCTTTTAATCCATGGTAACTCTTGGAATTAGTTCGTAGTCTTTTGACCTCTTAGGAACTCTTGGAATTAGTACAGTAAACTCTTATAATCTCTTGGAAACTCTTGGGATTCGTCGTAAACTTTTGTATCTTTTAGAAAACAAAACAAAAACTTACATCTTTTAGAAACCGTTCGAAACTCTTAGAATTAGTTAGGAACACTTTAAAATAAACACTTTCAATTAAAACTCTTAGAGGATGATAGAAAAAACTTTGAATCTTTCAAAAATCTTTGTAATTCGGTAGAAACACTAAAAATCCGTTTGGGAACGATTGGAATCAGTTAAAAATCCTTGTTATCCAATATAGAACACTATAAACCGTTATAAACTCTTAGAATTTATGAGAAAACTCTTAAAATCCATTAGAAAGGGTCAAAACGGTTGAAACAAGTTTAGAAACACTTAGAATTCGAGGAAAATTACTATACTATTACCAATTACTGCCTTATGTACATTTTTTTGTTTTCTTTCACAGAGGCTACGACACGAGAATTTGGTGAACCTACTGGAAGTTTTTAGACGACGTAAACGATTTTATTTGGTCTTTGAATATTTGGATCACACCGTTCTCGATGAACTCGAAACAGTTGGCGGTGGATTAGGACCAGATGTTTCGAAACGACACATCTTTCAAGTTATTCGTGGACTTCATTTTTGTCACTCGAATAACGTAAGTAATTTTTAAAAATTTTTCTATATGTACATTACTATACATTCCAATTTTTGATATCCATTCCAAATAAGGAATATTATTTTTATTGACGTTTTAGTATTTTTGATATCCATTCCAAATAAGGAATTTTATTTTTATTACCTTTTTAGTATTTTTGATATCCATTACAAATAAGGAATATTATTTTTGTTACCTATTTAGTATTTTTGATATCCATTCCAAATAAGGAATATTATTTTTATTGACGTTTTAGTATTTTTGATATCCATTCCAAGTAAGGAACATTATTTTTCTTACCTATTTAGTATTTTTGATATCCATTCCAAATAAGGAATTTTATTTTTCTTACCTATTTAGTATTTTTGATATCCATTCCAAATAAGGAATACTATTTTTTTGGCCTTTTTAGTATTTTTGATATCCATTCCAAATAAGGAATATTTTTATTACCTTTTTAGTATTTTTGATATCCATTCCAAATAAGGAATATTATTTTTATTGACGTTTTAGTATTTTTGATATCCATTCCAAATAAGGAATTTTATTTTTATTACCTTTTTAGTATTTTTGATATCCATTACAAATAAGGAATATTATTTTTGTTACCTATTTAGTATTTTTGATATCCATTCCAAATAAGGAATATTATTTTTATTGACGTTTTAGTATTTTTGATATCCATTCCAAGTAAGGAACATTATTTTTCTTACCTATTTAGTATTTTTGATATCCATTCCAAATAAGGAATTTTATTTTTCTTACCTATTTAGTATTTTTGATATCCATTCCAAATAAGGAATACTATTTTTTTGGCCTTTTTAGTATTTTTGATATCCATTCCAAATAAGGAATATTTTTATTACCTTTTTAGTATTTTTGATATCCATTCCAAATAAGGAATATTATTTTTATTGACGTTTTAGTATTTTTGATATCCATTCCAAATTAGGAATTTTATTTTTATTACCTTTTTAGTATTTTTGATATCCATTACAAATAAGGAATATTATTTTTGTTACCTATTTAGTATTTTTGATATCCATTCCAAATAAGGAATATTATTTTTATTGACGTTTTAGTATTTTTGATATCCATTCCAAGTAAGGAACATTATTTTTCTTACCTATTTAGTATTTTTGATATCCATTCCAAATAAGGAATTTTATTTTTCTTACCTATTTAGTATTTTTGATATCCATTCCAAATAAGGAATACTATTTTTTTGGCCTTTTTAGTATTTTTGATATCCATTCCAAATAAGGAATATTTTTATTACCTTTTTAGTATTTTTGATATCCATTCCAAATAAGGAATTTTATTTTTTTGGCCTTTTTAGTATTTTTGATATCCATTCCAAATAAGGAACATTATTTTTACCTACTTTAGTATTTTTGATATCCATTCCAAGTAAGGAACATTATTTTTCTTACCTATTTAGTATTTTTGATATCCATTCCAAATAAGGAATTTTATTTTTCTTACCTATTTAGTATTTTTGATATCCATTCCAAATAAGGAATACTATTTTTTTGGCCTTTTTAGTATTTTTGATATCCATTCCAAATAAGGAATATTTTTATTACCTTTTTAGTATTTTTGATATCCATTCCAAATAAGGAATATTATTTTTATTGACGTTTTAGTATTTTTGATATCCATTCCAAATAAGGAATTTTATTTTTATTACCTTTTTAGTATTTTTGATATCCATTACAAATAAGGAATATTATTTTTGTTACCTATTTAGTATTTTTGATATCCATTCCAAATAAGGAATATTATTTTTATTGACGTTTTAGTATTTTTGATATCCATTCCAAGTAAGGAACATTATTTTTCTTACCTATTTAGTATTTTTGATATCCATTCCAAATAAGGAATTTTATTTTTCTTACCTATTTAGTATTTTTGATATCCATTCCAAATAAGGAATACTATTTTTTTGGCCTTTTTAGTATTTTTGATATCCATTCCAAATAAGGAATATTTTTATTACCTTTTTAGTATTTTTGATATCCATTCCAAATAAGGAATATTATTTTTATTGACGTTTTAGTATTTTTGATATCCATTCCAAATTAGGAATTTTATTTTTATTACCTTTTTAGTATTTTTGATATCCATTACAAATAAGGAATATTATTTTTGTTACCTATTTAGTATTTTTGATATCCATTCCAAATAAGGAATATTATTTTTATTGACGTTTTAGTATTTTTGATATCCATTCCAAGTAAGGAACATTATTTTTCTTACCTATTTAGTATTTTTGATATCCATTCCAAATAAGGAATTTTATTTTTCTTACCTATTTAGTATTTTTGATATCCATTCCAAATAAGGAATACTATTTTTTTGGCCTTTTTAGTATTTTTGATATCCATTCCAAATAAGGAATATTTTTATTACCTTTTTAGTATTTTTGATATCCATTCCAAATAAGGAATTTTATTTTTTTGGCCTTTTTAGTATTTTTGATATCCATTCCAAATAAGGAACATTATTTTTACCTACTTTAGTATTTTTGATATCCATTCCAAATAAGGAACATTATTTTTACCTACTTTAGTATTTTTGATATCCATTCCAAATAAGGAATTTTATTTTTTTGGCCTTTTTAGTATTTTTGATATCCATTTTAAATAAGGAATATTATTTTTATTGACGTTTTAGTATTTTTGATATCCATTCCAAATAAGGAACATTATTTTTCTTACCTATTTAGTATTTTTGATATCCATTCCAAATAAGGAATACTATTTTTTTGGCCTTTTTAGTATTTTTGATATCCATTCCAAATAAGGAATATTTTTATTACCTTTTTAGTATTTTTGATATCCATTACAAATAAGGAATATTATTTTTGTTACCTATTTAGTATTTTTGATATCCATTCCAAATAAGGAACATTATTTTTACCTACTTTAGTATTTTTGATATCCATTCCAAATAAGGAACATTATTTTTACCTACTTTAGTATTTTTTATATCCATTCCAAATAAGGAACATTATTTTTCTTACCTATTTAGTATTTTTGATATCCATTCCAAATAAGGAATTTTATTTTTTTGGCCTTTTTAGTATTTTTGATATCCATTCCAAATAAGGAATATTATTTTTGTTTCCTATTTAATATTTTTGATATCCATTCCAAATAAGGAACATTATTTTTACCTACTTTAGTATTTTTGATATCCATTCCAAATAAGGGATATTATTTTTATTATCATTATTGTTGTTGCCAGTACTTTTGATATCCATTCCAAGTAGGTAATATTGTGTTTGTAGTCGGAAGTAGAAAATCTGTAAAAATTCAAATGCCTGGATTAGTATTATTTGTACTATTATTTTTACCTATTATTATTTACCATTTTTGATATCCATTCCAAATAAGGAGTATTATTTTTATTATCAGTATTGTTGTTGTCAGTATATTTGACATCCATTCAACGATAAAATTATATTCAACAGATTATTCATCGTGACATAAAACCAGAAAATGTTTTGGTCTCACCAAATGGTGTTGTGAAACTTTGCGACTTTGGCTTTGCCCGCTTCATCAGTCAGAGTAATAACGAATCGTGTACGGATTACGTCGCGACAAGATGGTACCGAGCACCGGAATTATTAATTGGCGATAATCGCTATGGGAAGCCAGTTGATGTCTGGGCAGTTGGATGTCTTTATGCGGAAATGGTTACCGGTGATCCAATGTTCCCGGGGGAAAGTGAAATCGATCAATTGCACAGGATCACTAGAATTTTAGGTATTTATTCTAACCCCCCCCCCCTGAAGCATCTAAACTTGCAGCAACATTGACTATATTCCTGCAAGATTTACAATATTTATTTATTTATTTATTGAAAATAAGTCCCTAATATTGAGGCGATGTTGGCAATATTGTTGCAAATTTAGATGTTTTTTTATTTGTTAAGAAAAATTTAGTTAGGCCCCAATTTTTTTTTATCATTGTTACAGGTGCACTTTGTGGGAAGCATCAGAATATAATCGGTAAAAATGCCACCACTCGTCTATTGAGACGAGCGAGTGTTGATGAATCGCAATTTGGAAATTATGCCTCGAGATCATTGAGAAATGTTTTTCCAAATTGGAATTCAATGGCTGTTGATTTTATCACTCAATGTCTACGCATGGATCCTGAGGCACGACCAAATTGCACGAATTTACTGCAACATTCACTATTTCAGCAAGATTCATTTGCCGAGAAATTTCTCGTCGAATTGCAAACGAATGTCGCTAAGGAGGCGACAATGAATCATCTTTTGATGAAGAGAGAAGAGGCACGAAGATTGAGTGTCCTCTCTGTTGACGAGGCACCGCGTGTCTGTCGAAGTGGAACTGGAAGGTAATTTCTTTTTTGGTTGCTAATAATAATTAGCTTCTATTGCAGAAGTACCTTAAACTACCTTAAACAAATTTCCACGTTTCTCGCCGCTTTTTGTGTCAGTGTCGATGAAGAAAAGAATTGATATTGCAGAAGGACCTTAAACTTATTAGTTTAAGGTACTTAGGCAATAGAAGTACCTGCAGAAGTACCTTAAAGTTAATAATTAGCTCCTATTGCAGAAGTACCTTAAACTTTAATGTACTTCTGCAATAGAAGTACCTGCAGAAGTACCTTAAAGTTGATAATTAGCTTCTATTGCAGAAGTACCTTAAACGTTAGTTTAAGGTACTTCTGCAATAGGAGCTAATTATAAAGTTTAAGGTACTTCTGCAATAGGAGCTAATTATTAAGTTTAAGGTACTTCTACAACAGGTGCTAATTATTAAGTTTAAGGCACTTCTGCAATAGAAGATAATTATTAAGTTTAAGGTACTTCTGCAATAGAAGATAATTATTAAGTTTAAGGTACTTCTGCAATAGAAGCTAATTATTAAGTTTAAGGTACTTCTGCAATAGAAGCTAATTATTAAGTTTAAGGTACTTCTGCAATAGCAATTCTTTTTTCAGATGGCAAATGAATTTAATTAAGGAACCAAAACTACCACTAGGCAATAAATTAAATGCGGAAACAAAAGAAAATACACCGTCGCATGAAAATAATTTTCAAAAGGAACACTGTTACATTGGTCCAGTGTCCGTTGTTCCTAATACAACTACAACAACGACAACAACAAAAACAACAACCTACATTAAACGACTGAATCAAAAGGATCTTATTATTCCTGAGACGAAACATTTCTCCCTACCGGCATTATCAATTAAAACACACGCCAAACCACCGGGGAAGAGAAAAAAACTCGAGCTTTCAAATTATATTATTTGAAATAATTATTCAAAAAAAAAAAAAAAAAATTTTTTGCCCGAAAGAAAAGGATATATTTTGTATTTTATAAATATATTTGTAAAAAATTAAAGTGAAGGTTATTAAACTACAAAATCAATATATTGTAATATTAAGAATTTTTCCATACTTGTACAAATTTCTGGAAATTTTTTTTTCTTTTTTTCTTTTTTTTTTAAATAAATGTGTAAATTTTCGAAAAATGTGACTTAATTATTTTTACCCCAAAAGAGAGAAATAATTTTTTTTAAGGAAGAAAAAATACTTTTTAGAAAAGGAAATTAATTTTTGGAAAACAAATTTTTTTGAAACGGTAATTACATTTTGAAAAAAATTATTTTTAGAAAAAGAAATTTAATTTTGAAAATAATACTTTTTTGAAGAAATACTTTTTGGATAAAATACTTTTGAAAAAATATAAACACTTTTTTGAAAAAATACTTTTTGGAAGAAATACATTTGAAAAAATATAAAAACTTTTTTGAAAAAATACTTTTTGGAAAAAAGACTGTTCAGAATGAAAATATTGTTTGGATAAAATACTTTTTAAAATATTAAAACTTTTTGCATAATAATGTTTAGCATACAAATACTTTTTGGAAAAAATACTTTTAGAATAAAAATACTTTTTGGAAAAGAAAGTTTTTAGAATGAAAATACTTTTTGGAAGAAATACTTTTTAGAAAAGAAAATACTTTTTAGGAAAAGAAATATTTTTTTGAGAAAATTCCTTCCCCCGCAAATTTTAAATCTTTAAAAATTGGTGGTGGCCCTCTGGTGAGGGAAGTTTGAAACCAATTAGACAACAGTTGATAACGGGTACATATTTTTTAATGAATGCGGAAATGAAAATAAATAATTATCAATGTTGTATACTTAACTAACAAAATGATAATTCAAGTTTTTTATCAACTTTAATAACCCAGCAAAAAGTGGATTGAAATGACAAAGTGTGAATAACTGTAATTATCGTTTTAGAAGGCAACTTTTTGTAAAGCGTAAAACGATGAAATTTGTGTCCCATCTGACAATGAAAACATAACCAATAGAAAAATTATTTTTAAAAGAAAACAAAGTAGAAAAAAAATTTTCTCTTACATTTAATTTTCAGTTGAAAGAAAAAAAATATTTTTCTTTAATTATCGATTAGAATTTTTATTGTTTTAATAATTAGTAATTCCTTTTTTAACTACTTCTTAATAAATATATATAAACACATAATAATTAATTAAATATTAAACAAGTACAACAATATTTATGCTTATTTTACAATTTACTATATTTAAAAAATTATATTTTAAAAACGTGATTAAAAATTTTAGTAAAAAATATTTTCAAAAAATATGAAAACTAAATATTTTTAGAGTAAAATTATAAGAATCGAAATATCCTCCTTGAATAAGAAATATTAATAAAAAATATCTTAATTATAATAATAAAAAACTTCATTAAGGGCATTTGAACCTTGATGACGTTACACGTTGTGCAAAGCATGGGTGACGTCATCAAGGTTCAAATGCCCTTAAAGACAATATTTATAGTAATTTATTATTTGAAAATAAATTATGACTTATAATAATTATAAAAACAATAATATTTAGTAATATAATATTAATAATAACGTTAATTAATAATAGTAGTAAAAGCATTAATATTATTATTAATTGTTTTTATTTTATTAAAATTATTATTATTATTATTCGTAGAATTTTTGATATCCATTCCAAATAAGGAATATTATTTTTGTTACCTATTTAGTATTTTTGATATCCATTCCAAATAAGGAATATTATTTTTATTACCTATTTAGTATTTTTGATATCCATTCCAAATAAGGAATATTATTTTTATTACCTATTTAGTATTTTTGATATCCATTCCAAATAAGGAATATTATTATTATTATCATCTATTTTTATTAATATTATTATTAATAAATAAACCCGTTTGTGCAAAAATGAATAATTACTGTTACTGTTAATAGTAATTATATAATTAATAGTAATTCGTAATCAAATAAAAATTAAAGAGTTAAAAATAAATTTTATCTATATCTACGAGATTTGTCAATAGTTTTGCGTATAATTTGCGCGTTGATTAACTTTTTTTTAAGAGAAAAGCGAGAAGATTTATCTCGTTTAGCAAAATATTTATCAACTTCGCAGGGGGTCGATAAAAATTATTGAACGAATCACAAAATACGTTATTAGAAATTATTATTCTGAAATTATTGTGAAAGAGTCATTGCCTCATATATAATAAAATATACGCATATTTTTGATTATATACAAAAAGAAGAAGAAAAAAGAAAACAAAAATCTAAGAAAGTTATACATATATAAAGAAGTACAATCTAATTTCTCGTTTATATATTGGAGAAAACTGGTTCGTGAACGGTTCTCCAACAACTAAAAATTATTTGTCGTTTTTCTTTTGCTATTACTTTTTTTCATTTATTTTACAAGTAGTGCAACACTGTATATACGTGTTTAAATAATTGTTATACAACTTTCTCTACTTTGGTCTCAATCGACTTTTTGCAAAATGGGAGTAACTAAGTAAGTTGACAACTTTTGAATCGATTTGATTAGATATTGACGAGTTATCATACTCGTCAGGTATATAGAGAGAAATAAGTGGTGAATTAAAAAATATATTTAAAATTGAGGAAACATTTAAAGAAAATCGAGAATAGTAAAAAAAAAAGAAGAAGGAAACTAAACGTTTTTGTGTTTTGTGAAATATGTTCAGTATTATTTTTTTAATGAAAATATGTTTATGAGAAAATTTGTTAATATTTTTGCGAGGGGATTACATTCCACGAAAGCATTGTGAGTCTAAACGGATTTTTAACCCCCAAAAAGTTTTAATTTAAAAAAAAAGTTTCGTTTAATTTTTTAAATAAATTTAAAAAAGTTATCTCATTCAAAAATATAAAAAAAAAGAACTAATTTTGAAGTTAAAAATTCTAATGGTAAAATTGTTTTCGTAATAGATTAGAAGGAGCGATAATCGATGGAAACGGTATTGCGAAGCAAATAGAAAATGAAATCAGCGTCTCCGTGGAATCATGGGTAAAGAGTGGAAAAAGACGACCAAAATTAGTGGCAATTATTGTGGGTGATGATCCTGCCAGTAAAGTTTACGTATCGAGAAAAGTTAAAGTAGCAAAAGCCGTTGGTAAGTTTTGGAGTAAATAACTATATATCGATTTTTAACTTTCGAAAATTTCTAAAGAAAAGAAATTCCTAATAAAATTTCTAACAAAATTTCTAACCAAATTCCTAACAAAATTCCTAACAATATTCCTAACAATATTCCTAACAATATTTCTAACCAAATTTCTATCCAAATTTTTAACAAAATTTCTAATAAAAATTCCTTAATAAGTAATAATTCCCATAATCATAAGTATATTCAAAGAAGAAAAATCTGCACAAAAATGCCTAACTTCTAATCGTTATTTTTCATAATTTTCAGGAATCGAAGCCGAGACATTGACATTCGACAAGAATATTTCGCAAAAATTTCTATTGAATGCGATAAAAAATTTAAATAATGATTCAACGGTGGATGGAATTTTGGTGCAATTGCCAGTGCCAGCGTCGATGAATGAGAGGGAAATTTGTGAGGCAGTTACGCCTTCGAAGGATGTCGATGGTTTTCATTCGGAAAATATTGGCAAATTGTGCGCCGATTGTGACGCAATTGTCCCAGCAACGGCACTAGGGGTTAAGGAATTAATTGTCAGAACGAGATTCGATACATTTGGAAAGAATGCCGTTGTTATTGGACGATCAAAACACGTTGGTCTTCCAATTGCAATGCTCCTGCATTCCGATGGCAAAGGTATTTATTGAGAAGTGGCAAAATTTTTGAATTATTACCCTATAGATCCTAGTTTATTACCTAATTCAATTATTTTTATTCATAATAAAATTTTTCACTGGATTTCAAATTATTTTTAATAAAATTTTTAATAAATTCCATTTCAAATAAGGAATATCATTTTTGTTACCTATTAATTATTTTTGATATCCATTCCAAATAAGGAATATTATTTTTACCTACTTTAGTATTTTTGATTTCCATTCCAAATAAGGAATATTATTTTTACCTACTTTAGTATTTTTGATATCCATTCCAAATAAGGAATATTTTTTTACCTACTTTACTATTTTTGATATCCATTCCAAATAAGGAATATTTTTTTACCTACTTTAGTATTTTTGATATCCATTCCAAATAAGGAATATTACTATTATTACCAATTTTCATTAATAAATAAACCCTTTTCCGAATTCTTATTATTTTTTTTTTTTTGAGAAAGACGATTTCTAATTTTGGAAATATAAATTTCAAGGTGAAACCGGAGCTTTGGATATGACGACGACAATTTGCCATCGCTACACGCCGGTGGAGGAATTAAAGAGACACGTGAAATTGGCCGATGTGATAGTTTCGGCGGCGGGTGTTCCTGGCCTCGTTACTCAGGACATGATAAAACCGGGAGCTTGCGTTATTGACGTTGGCATCACCAGAGTGAACACAGAGAAGGGACAAAAATTACTGGGCGATGTCGATTTTGAGAATGTGAAAAAAATCGCTGGACATATTACCCCAGTGCCCGGTGGCGTTGGACCAATGACGGTTGTTATGTTAATGAAAAACACCCTCAAAGCGGCGGAGAAAAATCAAAGGAGCTAACTTTTTAGTGGCTAATGCAGAAACTTAAGAGAATTTTTCTTTAATTTAGATATATATATATTCTTTGAATATTGTTCTACTTTTCCTAATTTTAGTATTTTCCCTCCTTTTCCCTATTTTTAGTATATTTTCCCTAGTTTTTCTACTTTTCCTACTTATTCCTTTTTTTTCTTTCACTATTTCTTTTCGTATTTTCCCTACTTTTAAAGACACTTTTTTTAGTCTTACCTATTTTTACTTATTTTTATTTTTCCTAACTGTCCTATTTTTGCTATAATTTTACTACTTTTCCTATTTCTACTATACTTTTAGCCCCCTTACCAATTTCCTATCTAATATCTAATTTTAAAAGAGATTTTCAAGACTTGATGAAAAGTATTTCTGATCCACTTCATATGTTCATAAAATACAGTATTTTTTGTTTACTAAACAAAATGTTGTGACTTAAAAGAAAATCTTCTAAGTGGAAGTAAAGTACTTCCATAATATTGACAATTAAAAATTATAATAAAAACGTTAATTAAAAAAACTGTCTATTTATTGTAATTCAAATGCGTTTGAAAAGTTAGAAAAAAACTGTAAATTGAATGAAATCACTTTTTGATTTTAATTCAAAATCCGTTTCAAATAAAAATTGTTAATTGAAAGAGTTCACCTTTTGATTTTACTTCAAATTAAAATTTTAATAATTTTAAATTAAAAATTTTGTTTTTAAAAACTGATTGTCGATTTGAAAAAAATTCTATAGCATTGAAAATTCACCATAAAGATGCTAAAGTCACGTGGAAGCGCGAATTTTCCACTTTTGAGGTTATCGACCAAAAGTTTTGAAAGGTTATCTCGAAAAATACAAAAACAATATCACAATATCAACGTCAATAAAGCGATAATATAAAGAATTTTGTTTCAATCATTAATTACCATTATTCTAAGAACGGTGCGCAAAACAATTTTATTTATAAATTCTAATATATAGGTTATAATTGTAAGTACAATAATTTTTTTTTAAATAAAAACTATTAAAGAATTTAAAAAATTTATGGAAAAGAACATTACTAAAAGGATTGTAAAAAATTACAAAGAGCTATAGAAAACGAATTCTATTAAAGAAACTACTGAAAATAAAATAAACTGTCAAAAGTATATAATAAAAATTATAAAAAGAATTGTAAAGGATTAGAAACTATAAAAAGAATTCTGAAAATTTATAAAATTTAGAAACTATAAAAAGAATTTTGAAAATTTATAAAATTTAGATTATAAAAAGAATAAATAAATATATAAATATTAAAAAGAATAAAGTACAGATCGAATTGATAAAATTTTTTTTAAAGAAAGAAAGTCAAAGAAAATTTAAAAAATTTGTATAAATGTTTATAAGAAAATTAAGTGAATTTATAGTTAAACGACCGAATTTTTTTCTTTCGAGTGATAAAAATTTACCGCTTAGAATCGTCGGGGGGAAAAGTAAATCAACAATGTCAAGACCAAAAATACTTGTCACTCGTCCTGATATCCCTGCGATTGGCTTCGAATTACTAGCAAAAGAGTGAGTATCCTAAAATCCTAACTTAAAATTCTCTTTACCTCCCTTTGCATTGGTTTTCGATAATTATTAATTTTTTATTACGATTTGGTACCCTAAAAAATAAACCTTTTTTTGCCTAAAATGAAAGATATTTTTTTCTCTTTCAATCCACAATAATTCCTGGACAGTTTTTCCTTGAAAATTTCGAAATTGAAAGTTCATCCTTTTTTCCGTTGTGTTCCGATTTAAAAATTTCTTCCTTTTTTGTGTTATATACTTTAAAAATTTTTTAAACTTCTTCCTCTTTTTTCCAGATGTGACTTAATTGTTGGCGAACATGCGGATGAAATTTCACGCTCGGAACTGTTGTCAAAAATTCCAGGCGTCGATGGACTTTATTGTTTACTGTCGGATAAAATTGATGACGAAATATTAAGTGCAGCGGGTGGGAATTTAAAAGTTGTGGCTACAATGTCCGTTGGTGTTGATCATTTAGATTTAAAAGCACTGAAGGCGAGGAATATTTTAGTTGGTTACACTCCTGGAATATTGACACCAGCCACTGCGGAATTAACTGTCGCTCTACTTTTAACCACATCCCGAAATTTAATTCACGGCAATAGGGCAATTTTCAAGTGAGTCCTGAAACAAAAATTTAAAAAATATTATGTCTTCTTATAAAATTTCTTCTTCTAATCAAAAATTATAAAAAAAATATTTGTTTTAAAGCAAACAAATATTTTTTTTAATTAGTATTAAGTCCTTTAATTTTAATTTTAACTTTTAACCCCTTAACTACCATGGCAAAGATTTGACGGTTAAAATCTTTGCCATGGCAGTTAAGGGGTTAATTTTAATTTTAACTTTTAATTTTAACTTCAACTTTTATTTTAACTTTTAATTTTAGAGACGAATGGAAGGCTTGGGGTCCAACTTGGATGTTAGGCCCGGGATTATTAAATTCAACGGTGGGAATTGTGGGTCTGGGAAGAATTGGAGTCGAAGTGGCGGAAATATTGAAGGGTTTTAAGGTATCGAGAATATTGTACACGAGTCGAAGGGAAAAAGTGGAGGCGGAGAAATTTGAGGGCAAATTAGTGGATTTCGATACATTATTGAGGGAAAGTGATTTTGTGATTGTCACCATTGCATTGACGCCAGAAACAAAGGAAATGTTTAATAAGGAGGCATTTTCAAAAATGAAAAAAACAGCAGTTTTTATAAATGTTAGTCGAGGACAAATTGTTCATCAACCATCACTCATAGAGGCGTTAAAAAATCGACAGATTTGGGGCGCTGGTCTTGATGTCACCACTCCAGAGCCAATTGGCTCCGATCATGAATTACTTCAATTGGACAATTGTGGTATTTATTAATTTTAATTCTGGATTTAATTTTTTTTTTTGGGAAATTGAAACATAATTTATTTTGATCTTTGAAATTTAAAATTTTATTCTTAATCCAATATTATTTGGGTTTTGTAAAAAGGAATTTGTTTTTAAAATTTTAGTCGTAATTCCACATCTTGGAAGTGCCACGTACGAGACGAGAAATAATATGGCTGTTATGACGGCGAATAATATTCTTGCCGCACTAAGAGGAAAACCGGAAGAGATGCCAAATCGTCTTCTTTTCTAAATTATTCATTTTCTCCTATGTGAAATTATTTTTCGAATTATTTTTACGTTATAAATAATATATTTTGTCAATAAGAGCAAAAATGTCATAATTTCTAATTTTTATATTACAATCAAAATATCTATATTTTCTTCTATAAATATGTAAAAAAATCTTAAATTACCAGAAAGAAACGAGAAGGAAAAAAACATAATTATTATAAATAAATATTAATATTAATTATAAATAAATAATTTTTGTACGCATATAATAAAGTTATAAACAATATTATTTGTTTTTATTTATTTAATTAAAATTTTGCGTTAAAACCGTTAAAAAAACCGCGAAACTATTTTTAGGTTATGTTTACATTTTTCGCTCTTATAAAAAAAGATGATATCTTGAAATTTATTACTATATCGAAAAAATGAATAAACATTTTCGAAAATATTTTTTTAAACAACTGAAAAAATAAAATAATATTAGTTATTAATTTTTGGAGAAAAATAAATAAGAAAAAAAATAACTTATCCTTCAAAACTTTTTCGTTTTTTACGCCGAATTAAGTATATTTTTTTTCATAAAACAGTGAATAAACACTTTTTTTTTATTCTTTTTCGTTTTTGTAAATTTCTTTTAAATAAAATTTGTCGAGAAATTATTAAAAAATAGAAGAGAAAATTACAAAAACTATACTGCTTCTGCTATTGCATTTAAAAATGGCGGGAACTATGGTTAACGGTGAAGGTTAGTTTCCGAGAAAAATCGATGCTGGGTCACGCAGTTAAGGTTAGATTCAAACAAAATGGAACGTGACAAATTTTTTGACAGAATGTTTATTGTTTTTGTCAAAAACAAGTTTTATTAATATTTTCGGCAATTAAATTGCAATTAATTTTCATATATTATAGAAGTTTTATATAATTTATGTTAAATAATCGAATTTTGTGGTTAAGGAGAAATATTTTATCAAGAGAGCTATATACGAAAGATTACAATTTAGTTTTCTGGCTCGAAGTTAATTTTTCCAAAAGGTTATGTTTTTATTCGTAAAATAATGAATCTCATCAGTAAAAATATTTTAACACTGCTTCTTATTTTCCGTAAGTATTTTTTTTTTCTTTATAAAAAAAATGGTTTCTATAAAAAAATTGTTACTACAAAATTTACAAAATATAATCAAGAGAAGAAATTACATTTAAAAAAAATACAAATAAATTTTTAGCCACGAATGTATTTTTATTAGAAATAGTCGAATATTGAATGTTAATTGTTACATTTTTACCTTTTAGATTTCATTATTTATTTATTTATTTTTATTCTATTTTTATATTTATTTACATTTGTTATTTATTTATATTTATAATTATATTTATTATTTTTGTTATTCCTATGTGTATCTCTTACTTATTTATATTTGTTTACATTTATTATTTATTTATATTTGTTATTTATTTACATTAGTTATTTACTTAATATTTTTTTTCTTTTTTCTGTTTTTATTTATTAATTTATTTATACACTTTGACTCGGAAGATTGATAATTTAATTTTTTTCCTACAGTTGTCATTTCATTTGTTCATGGAGAATGGGAAATTCCTCTGGAGAATGAAAATGGGACGATCGAAGTCCCAAACTTTGAGAATGAAACGGAAAAAGTGGAGGAATCGAAGATAAAATCAAATGTTACGTTAACGGAACCAAAGAAAAATATTACCAAAGCTAATTGCGTGAATGACAAAATTTACGGACCCGTCGAGGTTGTATCAAAAATTAATTCCCAAACATTTTCATATTTTATTTTGAATTATAATAATTATTTAAAATAATATTTTTTTTTAAATTATTAAATATCAAATTTAATAAAAATTTTAAAAAAATTGGCAGTTCACTGCCAATCAACAAATAAATAAAAAAATAATAAATTAAATAATAAATTAATAATAAATTTATTATATAATATAATAATTAATTATAATTCAATTAAAATTTCAAAAATATTTAATTTTAAACATTTTAATTTAAGAATTTAACATATTTATAGTTTTTCAATTTTAAAATTTAATTTAAAATTCTATAAATTTTAAACCTAATTTTTTAATTTTTATTAAAATTTTCTAGACCGTCAACGCAACGAGATTGGTGGAATTATTAATTTTAGAACCGGGCCCATCGAATAGAACAAAAAATAGCACGGAAATCAAATTATTACCAGGACCGTGTGTTGTGGTTTTGTTTCACGCAAGATGGTGTGTTTTCAGTAGTCAAGCCGCACCGCATTTTAATGCACTTTCACGATTTTATCCGCACATCAAAACCGTTGCCATTGACGCAATGAAACACCAAAGGTAATCAATTTTACTACAAAACAAAAAGAAAAACTAATTAGGTACTTTTTTAAAAAATTTTCGCAATAATTCAATTATTTTCATAAATAATAAAAATCTTCTCAGAAATTCAATTAGTTTTTGAAAATTTTAATAAAATTCTTAACAATTATTCAATTATTTTTATAAATAATAAAATTAATTGTAGGATTTCAATTATTTTTTTAACAATTTTACAGGAATTGCTCAAAAAATGTAATTATTCTTGAAAATTTAATTTTAATTCCTCGAAAAACTCAATTATTTAAAAAAATATTTTTTTAAAATTCTTTGAAAGAATTCAATTATTTACAAAAATAGTATAATTTTTCACTTGAATTCAATTATTTTCAAATATTTTAATAAAATTGTTTGAAAGAAATCAATTATTTTAAATATAGTTTTAATTAAATTTTTTTTGAAATAATTCAATTATTCTTTTAGACTTTAATAAAATTCTTCCCAACAATTCAATTATTAACATAAAAATAATTCTTCAAAAGAATTCAATTATTAAAGATAAATAACAAAATTATTTCCAAAAATTCAATTATTTTAAGGCATTTTAATAAAATTCTTTGCAAAATTCAATATTATTTTCATAAATATAACAATATTCATCACAAGAATTCAATTATTTTCAAAAATTCTAATAAAATCGTTCTCAAAAATTCAATTATTTTCATAAATAATAAAATTCTTCTCAAGAATTCAATTATTTTTAAAAATTTTAATGAAATTCTTCTTAAAATTTCAATTATTTTCATAAATTATAAAATTCTTCAAAAAAACTCAATTATTTAAAAAAAAATTTATAAAATTTGCCGTAAGAATTCAATAATTTTCGTAAATTATAAAATTCTTCAAAAAAATTCAATTATTTTCAAAAATTTTAGTAAAATTCGCCGCAGGAATTCAATTATCTTCATAACAAATAAAATTCTTTGCAAATTTTCAATTATTTTTATAAATTATAAAGTTCTTTAGAATAATTGAATTATTTTAAAAAATTTTAATAAAATTCGCCTCAAGAATTTAATTATTTTTGCAAATTATAAAATTCTTCAAAAAAATTCAATTATTTTCTAAAATTTGAATACAATTCGCCGCAGGAATTGAATTAATTTTCATAATTAATAAAAATTTTTAGTAAGAATTCAATTACTTTAAAAAATTATAGTAAAATTCTTCGCAAAAATTGAATTATTTTCATAAATTATAAAATACTTCGCAATAATTCAAATGTTCTTATAGATTTTAATAAAATGCATTGCAAGAATTCAATTATTTTCATAAATTATAAATTAATTAAATTTTAACTCTTTGAAAGAATTAAATTATTTTCAAATATTTTAATAAAATTGTTGGAAAGAAATCAATTTTTTTAAATACAATTTTAATTAAATTTATTGTTTAAAATAATTCAATTATTCTTTTAGATTTTAATAAAATTCTTCCCAAGAATTAAATTATTTTTTAAAAGTAATTAATTTCTTCTTGGAAATTCAATTATTTTAAAAAATTCTAATAAAATCGTTCGCAAGAATTCAATTATTTTCCAAAAAAAAAATTAATAAAATGCCACACAGACATTCAATCATTGTCAAAAATTTTATTAGAATTCTTTGTAAAACTTAATTATTTTTAAAAACATTTCGCAATTCAATGATTTTTATAATATCAACCATTTTATTAAAATTTTCTAACAGAATTCAGTTATTTAAAAAAATTTGTGTAAAATTCTTCGTAAGAATTTAATTCTTTTCATGAATAATAAAAATTCCCTAGGTATTCAATTATTTAAATTCGAATTTGCATTTAATTAGTCGAAAGAAGTATGAATTATTAAAAATCTTTAAAAAATTCTGGCCAAGAATTAAATTATTTCTATAAATCTTTAAATTCTGCGAACTGCGATGAATAATGAAATTCGTTGCAGGAATTAAATTTTTTCGCAGGATAAGAAAAAAGTGAATATTTTTGATGAAAATTAGAAAAAAGTCGGGAAAATAAAAAATAGAATGGAATTTTTGTCAGTTTTGTGAAGTGACTAAAACAATTTTTTTTGGTCGTCAAGTTTAATTTCTCGATAGTTACTTTTTTTAGTTTGAAAGCTACTTTTTTTAAAATTAATTATCGATTCCAAAGTCTATAATAATTATAAAAACAATTGTTAGGAATAATAATAACATTAATAATACTATTAATTAACAATAGTGAAATCATTATTATTACTATTATTATCATTATTGTTTTTATTTAAAAAAAAATTATTTGTAGAAATTTTTTATCCATTCCAAATAAGGGATGTTATTTTTATCTATTATTATTGTTAGTATTTTTGATATTCATTCCAAGTAAAGAATATTATTTGTATTATTATTATTGTTGTTGTCAGTATTTTTGATATCCATTCCAAATAAGGAATATTATCTATATTAATAAAACCAGACTTCTGTCTGTACATTGCTCCAATCTTGAAAATTCTTATATATTTTTTCTTCTTGAGACATGAGAATTCGAAAAATGTAAAAAAAAAAATGTCTGTCTGTCTGTCTATCTGTCTGTCTGTCTGTCTGTCCTTCTGTCTGTCTGTCTGTCTGTATGCAAAACTTTGTTCGCGCATCAATTGAAAACGGTTCAACCGAATAATGCGAAACTTGGCAGTCTATTAGGTATTAATGTAACTTAAAATCATAGCCTTATCCGATTAAAAAATATTAACTTGAACGAAAGTTATGACATTTTTTCAAAAAATTCGAAAAATCAAAAAAATTCAAATATTTTATTTTTTGGAAAATGAATGCAAAACTATCCTTAGCTAACTTTTTCAGATAAATACAACCCATTTCTACAATAAAATTATTAAAAAAGACGAATTTTGAAATTTTTTTTCGTTTTTTTAGATCAACTTTTTTCTAAAAAAAATAGTGATTTTTAATCTTTGAGCAAGCTTTTCAGGAAAAGTTATTAAAGTTTTTTATTTAAAGATCAGTATGTAAAGTAAGAAATTTGCTACATTAGACAAAAATAATGAAGCTAAATGCCATAAAAGAGAAGAAAAAATGTTGAATTATAAGAAATTCGGTTTTTCGAAATTTTCATAATTTTTAATAATTTTTGATTTTGTACTAAAGGGTGGAAAGAATTAAATAAGTAGAGTAATTTTGAAGAGCACAAAAATAATGAAGCTAAATGCCATAAAAAAAGAAGGAAAAATGTTGAATTTTAAGAAATTCGGTTTTTTGAATTTTTTGCTAATTTTCCATAATTTTAGATTTTTTACCAAAGGGTGGAGACTATTAAATAAGTAAAGTATTTTTAAAGAGCACAAAAATACTAAAGCTAAATGCCATAAAAAAGAAGGAAAAATGTTGAATTTTAAGAAATTCGGTTTTTTGAATTTTGGCTAATTTTCCATAATTTTAGATTTTTTACCAAAGGGTGGAGACTATTAAATAAGTAAAGTATTTTTGAAGAGCACAAAAATACTAAAGCTAAATGCCATAAAAAAGAAGGAAAAATGTTGAATTTTAAGAAATTCGGTTTTTTGAATTTTTTGCTAATTTTCCATGATTTTAGATTTTTTACCAAAGAGTCGAGACTATTAAATAAGTAAAGTATTTTCTAAAAGCACAAAAATAATGAAGCTAAATCCCATAAAAAAGAAGGAAAAATGTTGAATTTTAAGAAATTCGGTTTTTTGAATTTTTTGCTAATTTTCCATAATTTTAGATTTTTTACCAAAGGGTGGAGACTATTAAATAAGTAAAGTATTTTTAAAGAGCACAAAAATACTAAAGCTAAATGCCATAAAAAAGAAGGAAAAATGTTGAATTTTAAGAAATTCGGTTTTTTGAATTTTGGCTAATTTTCCATAATTTTAGATTTTTTACCAAAGGGTGGAGACTATTAACTAAGTAAAGTATTTTTGAAGAGCACAAAAATACTAAAGCTAAATGCCATAAAAAAGAAGGAAAAATGTTGAATTTTAAGAAATTCGGTTTTTTGAATTTTGGCTAATTTTCCATAATTCTAGATTTTTTACCAAAGGGTGAAGACTATTAAATAAGTAAAGTATTTTTGAAGAGCACAAAAATACTAAAGCTAAATGCCATAAAAAAGAAGGAAAAATGTTGAATTTTAAGAAATTCGGTTTTTTGAATTTTGGCTAATTTTCCATAATTTTAGATTTTTTACCAAAGGGTGGAGACTATTAACTAAGTAAAGTATTTTTGAAGAGCACAAAAATACTAAAGCTAAATGCCATAAAAAAGAAGGAAAAATGTTGAATTTTAAGAAATTCAGTTTTTTGAATTTTGGCTAATTTTCCATAATTTTAGATTTTTTACCAAAGGGTGAAGACTATTAAATAAGTAAAGTATTTTTGAAGAGCACAAAAATACTAAAGCTAAATGCCATAAAAAAGAAGGAAAAATGTTGAATTTTAAGAAATTCGGTTTTTTGAATTTTTTGCTAATTTTCCATAATTTTAGATTTTTTACCAAAGGGTGGAGACTATTAAATAAGTAAAGTATTTTTGAAGAGCACAAAAATACTAAAGCTAAATGCCATAAAAAAGAAGGAAAAATGTTGAATTTTAAGAAATTCGGTTTTTTGAATTTTGGCTAATTTTCCATAATTCTAGATTTTTTACCAAAGGGTGAAGACTATTAAATAAGTAAAGTATTTTTGAAGAGCACAAAAATACTAAAGCTAAATGCCATAAAAAAGAAGGAAAAATGTTGAATTTTAAGAAATTCGGTTTTTTGAATTTTTTGCTAATTTTCCATAATTTTAGATTTTTTACCAAAGGGTGGAGACTATTAAATAAGTAAAGTATTTTTGAAGAGCACAAAAATACTAAAGCTAAATGCCATAAAAAAGAAGGAAAAATGTTGAATTTTAAGAAATTCGGTTTTTTGAATTTTGGCTAATTTTCCATAATTCTAGATTTTTTACCAAAGGGTGAAGACTATTAAATAAGTAAAGTATTTTTGAAGAGCACAAAAATACTAAAGCTAAATGCCATAAAAAAGAAGGAAAAATGTTGAATTTTAAGAAATTCGGTTTTTTGAATTTTGGCTAATTTTCCATAATTTTAGATTTTTTACCAAAGGGTGGAGACTATTAAATAAGTAAAGTATTTTTGAAGAGCACAAAAATACTTAAGCTAAATGCCATAAAAAAGAAGGAAAAATGTTGAATTTTAAGAAATTCGGTTTTTTGAATTTTGGCTAATTTTCCATAATTCTAGATTTTTTACCAAAGGGTGGAGATAACAAATTAGGTAAAGTATTTTTGAAGAGCACAAAAATACTAAAGCTAAATGCCATAAAAAAGAAGGAAAAATGTTGAATTTTAAGAAATTCGGTTTTTTGATTTTTTTTGCTAATTTTCCATAATTTTAGATATTTTACCAAAGGGTGGAGACTATTAAATAAGTAAAGTATTTTTGAAGAGCACAAAAATAATGAAGCTAAATGCCATAAAAAAGAAGGAAAAATGTTGAATTTTAAGAAATTCGGTTTTTTGAATTTTGGCTAATTTTCCATAATTCTAGATTTTTTACCAAAGGGTGGAGACTATTAAATAAGTAAACTATTTTTGAAGAGCACAAAAATACTAAAGCTAAATGCCATAAAAAAGAAGGAAAAATGTTGAATTTTAAGAAATTCGGTTTTTTGAATTTTTTCTAATTTTTCATAATTTTAGATTTTTTACCAAAGGGTGGAGATAACAAATTAGGTAAAGTATTTTTGAAGAGCACAAAAATAATGAAGCTTAATGATATAAAAGAGAAGAAAAAAATGTTAAATATTAAGAAATTCGGCTTTTCGAATTTTTGATAATTTTTGATTTTTTGCAAAAAGGTTGGAGACTATTTAAATAGTAATATTTTACTACCGAAATAGCTAATGGTAACTAATTATTAATTTTCCGGTCAAATTAAATTCCCGGTTTTTTTCTGATTTTTCAGATTGGTAGGAAAATTATTAAATATATTGGTAGAAACTAAAACCCGTCGAAGACGGGTACGACAGCTAGTTTTTATTATAATTATTGTTGTTGTCAGTATTTTTGATATCCATTCCTAGTAAGGAATATTATTTGTATTATCATTATTGTTGTTGTCAGTATTTTTGATATCCATTCCAAATAAGGAATATTATTTTTATTATCATTATTGTTTTTGATTGCATTGTATTTTTGATACCCATTCCAAATAAGGAATATTATTTTTATTATCATTATTGTTTTTGATTGCATTGTATTTTTGATATCCATTCCAAATAAGGAATATTATTTTTATGATCTATTTAGTATTTTTGATATCCATTCCAAATAAGGAATATTATTATTGTTAGTATTTTTGATATTCATTCCAAGTATCCAAATATCCTTATTTTCCTATCTGATTCGCCGATTTCTAGTTTATTCCCTACTTCCTAATTTATTTCTTACTTTATCCTCTAAGTCCTAATTTGATTGAATTTTTCAGTTTTAACACGCAATATGGAATTGTTGGGGTCCCGACTCTGGTGATATTCCACAACGGGAAACCAGTGGCAAAATTCAATGACACCGTCTACACATTGGAGACATTTTCAAAATTTATATCCCACTTGACAAATCAACAACCGAACGGTTCGGTTTACGTGACGTCGGCCGATTTTAGTGGACCCGTTGCAAGTGTACCATCAAATGAGACAGATTATTGTCTCGTATTATCGTGGATCTTTATTGCCGCGTGCTCACTTTATTTCACCTCAAAGAGTCATTGGTGGCGTCAATTTGTCGAACTCGTACAAAATACGTGGCGTGAAAGTAATGCACAACACGAGCATGTCGATTAAAAAAAAAAATAATTATTCCCTTATTCTTTTGGCAAATTATTACACTATTTATTTATTTTTTAATTATAAAGAAAAATTGTTCATTATTTACGATTTAAAAAAATTTAACTTAATTTAAATGGTTTAACTTAATTTAGCTAGTTTATTATAATTATAACCCTAGAAGAGTTGATGTGTATATATTATATATTTAAAATGAGAAAAAGAAATAGAAAATATATGGATATTTTGTATTATATATATTTAAAGTGGAGAACGTGGGGACAAAAATGGATATTCAAGAATGTGGATGTGCCTTTTTGTTTACGTGTTACTGTTAATTTCTTTCTCTTTTCTTCCATTTAGAATACTTAGAATATTTATAAAAAAAAGCGTCGAATTTTTATAATTTTCCAGTTCGGTATAATTTGGTGCGTAAACCAAAAACTTTTTGAAACAAAAAGTTGAAGAAAAAACAATTTTTAAATCAAGTAGTAAAACATAAACTGCAAGTTTTAAGATAAGAGAATACTTTTCGCTGAAAAAGTTAAATTAAGACCTAAGCCGTAAAATTTAAGACAAAAGAATACTTTTTTAAAGTAAAAAGATAAATAAAAAAAGAAAAGTTAAAGTGTAAAGGCGCATGACTCAAGAAGTAAACCGTAAGAATAAAAAAAATAATTTATGCAAAAAACATTCAGATAGCTTCGAAATAAAGGAGGGAGAAAAAACTTTTAAGTCCTAAACCGTAGGACTAAGATAATACTTTTTTTGAACGAAAAATAGTAAAAATAGTTTTAAAATTAATCCGCATGACTCAAGACGTAACCGATAAGGCTTAAGACACATACCCATTCTACAATTCCCCAAAATTGATTTTTAATTTATTTAAAAAAACAAAATCTAATTCTAATTCCTCATGTTCAGCAAAGATTTACTCACAATAACTAGAAGGTAAAATTGAAAAAGCAAAAAAAAAGAAAGAAAAAATCTACATGAATTTTCCCGAGTGTATGTATGAGCTAAGGGGTCTTTTATGAAAATCTCTGGCCGGTCCCGCGCGGTATTATCAGCATGGATTGGATTCGGCATATAGAAATAAGAAGATATATGGTTATAGAATATAGACAGGAGAGAGAGAGTGAGAGAGAGAAAAAGGGGTGGGGGAGAGAGGAATCGAGTTTACTGCAGACAGAGGGAGTGAGAAAGGGGGATAATATTGAAGAGAGTAAGAGAAAGAGAGGGAGTGTTCGCGTTGCGGCGCTTGACTACGGGGTGGTTGCCCTCGTCTGCGCTTTGTGGGAAATGCCCGCTCAATAACGCGTAGGTTTTCGTCCTCGTCTCCCTTCCTCCCCCCTACACCCCACCTTCTTCTCCCTTGCTCTTTCGTCCAAAAAAGGGAGGAAGCTACTTCGGATGCAGCAAAAAGGGTCGTTTTTACTCCAAAAAAAAAAAAGAGAGGAAAAAAAGGAAACAAAATCCACCGGACATTAACATCCGGATGTTTTTTTTTTAAATATCTTATTTAGTAAATTAAAATTTTCCCTCTCCTAAATTTTACATTTTCCTCCTTACTAAATTTCCAATCCTTTAAAGAAGGGGGTGGATTTCTTGACCTTTAATAAGAAAAATTTTTCCTTTCTATTTATTGAAACTCGTCCTCTTCAGTCTTCTGTTCATTATTTTCTAAATTCTGGTCGGTTTTTGTGTTCCCCAAAGTACGAAGAACGTACTTTGAGTACTAACGTTTCTTTTATTACGATTTGGTTCTTACAGTAAATCCCTTTGATAATCAGACTTTTCCATTGAATTATAATTCCTTTTTTGTAATTCTCATTTGTTAGAGAAGAAATAAATGACATACTTTCTTTCTTAATTTCAATCACTTTTTAAAAAGTTTATTAGAAAATTAAAAAAATAAGAATATTAAATCCTTATTTAGAAAAGTTTTTTTTTTTAAAATGGAAAATGGAATTATATTTCAATGCTAAAGTCATGACAAGTGGGAATTTTTTTTCGCCACTAATATATATATATATATAAAATACTATACCTCGAAAAAGTGATCCAGCAGATGAAGAGAGAATCGTGAGTGGAAATTATATAGGGGTCGATGGTCCGCGTTTCTTCTCAAAGGTAGTCCATCCCTGCGCGCAGGGGTGGTGGTGGTTCAACTCCAAAGATCGTTCGGACGATGACCTCTATGGATACTCCAGAATTCCCAGGTCGACGCTTTTGCGTTCACGCAACCCCCATCGAAATTACTTTGATGATGTCTGTCTATTTTTTTTCTTTCTCCTTCTTTCATTCCCTACCTCACGTACATAGGAAGTAAGAAAATGAAAGAAAAAAAGATTTCCTTTCCCCTTCTCCTGTAACAAAAGAAATAAAATATAATTTAATAGAAAATTAAAATTGTTAAGAAAATAAAATTTTACTCTTAATTTTCTATATAATATGTAAATATCTATGTATTATATATAGCCAGTTTCTCCGTTCCGCATGGTTGGTCCAGGGGAATCCATCGAATCGATCGTTATACTCTTAATTCTTTTTTTTAAATAGAAAATCGAGAAAGCGTTTCCGCGACACAAAGTTTTACTTACATACTAATACACAAATTTTTATATGTATATAAATATATAATATACATAAATTAATATATATTAATATCTAATATAATAATTATAATAAATATTTAAAAATTTAAAAACGTTACAGTTTATGGATGCCCCTTAATATACATATAATTCAAATAATAAAAAAAAGGAATAATAATAATGACAAAAATAAAAAAAAGGAATTAAAAAAATTATTTCAAATTTTAAAAGAATAATTTTTTTCTAATTTAAAATATGGATTTTATGTAACGAAATCTTTAATTTTTCTCTAAAAAAAAAACTATTGGATAGGAGTTAAAACTTAAAAAAAAGAGATAATATTAAAAAATTGCTCATGGTGAATAACTGTGACCACAATTTTATGATACGCGCATTTTATATATAGATATACATATATATGTAGATATAGTCGCGTGAATCTATTTATACGCAGGATTGTGAGGGAAATGACCGTACGGCCTTGACTTCCCATTGACCCATCCAATGGTTTTTACTTGAAAAACTTTTTTTAAAAATTTTATTAAAGATCAAAAGGAAAAAAAATATTTTCTTAAGAAATGAAATAATTGTAATAATTACTACGTGTTTTTGATAAAGAACAATCTTTTCGATTATTATATTATTACTATTAAGATTTAATTTTGTAAAATGTATATTTAAATATTTTCTATACTCTACTTGGAAATTATATTTTCTAATTTCTTGAGTTGTAAAAACAGCATAACCTACAAATTAGTCAAAGAAATTATTTAAAAAAAATTCTTCAAGACTAAAGTGTGGTTTAGTTCGCAGGTTGGAATTTTTACGATTTAGTTATCTAACGAAAAACGTTTATATGAATATCCACTTTGAATTTAACGCCATAGACACATCATCGATAGGAATCACAATATCTGAAAGACTGAAACACACCAAAGGCAGAATTAGACACTTTGTTGCGAAAAATTTTTTTTGTTTCTTTTATCAATTATTAATATTATTATTATTATTATTAATATTTAAAAAGAGGTGGAAAGGTAGAAAGAAAGGGAAAAGGTGGCGTTGGCGGTTTATCGGGTAAAAAGGGGAGGAGGAGGTTAAGGAGGCTAACGGCCTTGACCTCGTCCATAGCTTAATAGAAGGGACACGCGAGAAAAGACATCGGTCAAAACAAAAGCAAATTGCACTTTTACTTAATATACAAGTTTCCGCAAATTACTTTTTTAACTAAGTGTTTCTTCCTCCCCCCTCTTCTCTCTCATTCTCTCTTTGTTGCACCCTGTATTTAAGGTTTCTTTTTGTTTCCTCTTTTTGCTATAAAATTACGTCACCAAAGTGAGCATTATACTGTCTCGTGCGACACAAAAAGAAAAGGGAATAGTGTATCTTATCTCACACTCAATATAGGGAATAATTAGCTAGAAAAAAAAATGATAATTTTTATCTTTTTCGAGAAAGAAAAATGAAAAATAACTTTCTAAGGGTCGTTTCATAATCTACTTTATTAACATTGTAATCAACTTTTGAAAAAAATTATTAAGGTATATTTTCAAAAATTATAAAGAAATTCTTACAATCAATTTTTCAAAAAATTATAAAGAAAATAAAATTAATTTTTAAAAAATATTTTAATGTAATTTTTCGAAAATAATTGATTTTCTTAAAAGAAGTTCTTGAAAGTAACTTCCCTGACTTTACTGACATGTGGCCATTATGTATTAGTATTTTTTTACCATATTAATTCATATTATTATAATATTAACAATATCAATAAAAAGTAACTTTAAAAATTTTTAATTAAAAAAAATTTTTGCTTTGTTTATATAAGTAATTATTTTCTAAATTCTCATCGTTTTTTGTTTGAAAATAAGTTTTTTTTGAAAGTACGATGACTCAAATAAGATATGTAATTATTTTTTGGTAGTTTTTACGATTTGGTTCCCTAAAAAACACCCTTTTGCTTATCACGTTTTTCCATTGAATTACAATTCTGTTTTCCAAATTTTTCATTTATTTGAGAAGAAATACATTAAATGTTTTGTTTCTAAAAGTAATAATTAATTTTTTTTCATGTTTATAATCTTGTTTATATTTTAATACAAAATGGAATTACAATTCAATGGGAAAGTCATGGCAAGTAAGAATTAAAAAAAATTAAATAAAATTTTTTTTTTTAAATTAAGAAATGAAATATAAAAAATAAAATTTAGAATATATTTATAATTATATTTGTTTTTATATATAAAAAATTCTATTTCTTTACATTTTATTATTTTTTAACTGAAATATTAATTGAATATTAAAAAAATAAAAATTAATGAAAACTAACAAAAAACAAAGTAAAAAATAACTTTAAAAAATTGAAAAATACTTAAAAAATTTATGAACAAATAATTTTTTTAAAGGTAATTTTTTTTATTATTTATTGTAGTTATTAAAATAAAATTACTACCTGTAAGACGTTTTTGGTAAAGAAAAAAATTATTAATTTAAAATAATTATTTTACAGAAAAGATTTAATTTTATAAAAAAAAAATTATTTAGTTCATAAATTATATTTTTTACTGTCAAAATTATCAATATTTTTTTTATTTATATTTAACAAAATTAAAAAGTAACGATAAGTGAAATTTTTTTGTGTTTTTGTCAAGAGACGGAAATTTTAGGTTATGTTTCTTTAAAGAGTTCAAAATGTAAAATAAAAAATAATTAAACAGTTAAATAATAATTAAATATATGAATAACGAACAAATTATAATGAATTAAGTAAAGAAATAATAATTAAATGATTAATTAAGTAAATAATTAAATAATAAGAGTAATCAAATAGTAATTTAATAATTTCAGACAATAGTAATAATTAAGTTAAAAAGAATAATTCGAAATAATAATTGGAAATAACTTTAATGATTGGAAATTAATAATAATAACTATAATTATTGTATTAAAATTATAAAAATATAAGAAAACTGTAGAAATAAAAAATACGTTACCTCAAAGGCGACCAAGACGAGTAGCTCCACTCCTGGAATGAAAAATCAGTCCTGCCAACGTAATTCGAAAGAAACCACCAAGGCACTGTTGCCACAATATCCGCCCCTTTTTTTCCAACAACGTCACAACCATGTTTCACTCTCCTCTCTCTCTCCCTTGCACCCCATCGTTCAAGCCTCACTTCCTCTCTCTCCAACAACTTGAGAAACCGTCGCTTTAGAATCCGTCTAGCGTCGTCCGCGTGAGTCGCCCCTTTTCTCTCTCCACCCGCCGCTGGTGCCTCCTAGCGACTGCTCTCGTCAGTTTCCGACAAAATGGGCGAACCTCGCCGGGCAGTAGCTTAGACTCTACCTACAAGATAACACATACACCTTATAAATGTTTCCCAAACGACAAATATAATTGTAAATTATTTATTTAGAAAATATCCAATCTCTATTTTTGTAACAAAAAAAAAAAAAAAAAAAAGAAAAACAAACGCAAGTAAGCAAAGTGGAATGCTCTACGTATGAGAAATAAAAATTCCGCGCCGTGCCCGTGTGTGAAAGTCGTTGTATAGTTTGTGTGTTATAATATTACGGAAAAAGAGAAGAGGAAGAAGTAAAAGGCGCAAATATTCCTTTTTTTCATTCTCTACTATCTACCAAGGAAAAATTCCAAAATTAAAAGGAATACGAAGAATTTTTTTCATAGTGAATTGAGTAGTGTATATTTGAAATAACGGAGAAAAAGTAGATGTTTTTTTTTTCCTGGAAAATTGTGATTTCTAAAAAATAGTGTGTGTGTGTGCAAAATAGTGCATCCCGTGAGTGCGACACACCCTCTTGACACTCGACATCCGTCTCGACACGACCATCTCTCTTTACCCCTTTAGCCCCCCCGCCTCAATTCCCCAATCACGCTCCTCGTCTATCTCTCTCTCTCTACATTTTCCTCTCTCGCTCCATTTTTTCCTCACCGCCATCGTATATACTCATACACACGCACATCCCGAAGTGTATTTCTTATCAAAAGCGTTCCTCTCTTTCGTCGTTCCCATCAAATAAACTTGATTCCTAAACACTCCCCCTTTTCTGCCCTTTAAAAACCAAGTATTTTTGTAACTATTTCGAGAAAAGAAATTTTTTCGGTAAAAAAAAGGAGAAAAAGAAAACTAAACGTGACTCTTAACCTAAAAATTAGAAATATTTAAAAGTTTTGAAAAAGGAATAATCTTTTTTTTCGTAGCTTATCTGCGCCCTGTTCGTTCTTCATCACCACCAGATCTCCTCTCTCTCCTCTACTCGCCCTTCTTTCCCCTCTTCTACCCAACAACGAGAAATCCCTCTTTTCCCCTCTCCCCTCTCTCTCCTCCTCCTCCGCCGCCGCCCTCTCCACCCGCCGTTGAATCGAGAGAGGCCGTTCCTCCACACCCCGTTTATCGCTCTCGCTCTCCTCGTCGTCGTCGTCGTTCGAGTGTGTGTGCAAGTTGTTGCAATTTTTACAGTTTTCATTAAAAAAAAAAAAGGTGCTTTTTTTCCCCTGATATATTGTTTTGTAAACGAAAAAACAGAATTTATATTTACGAAACAAAAAAAAAAATCTACCTCTAAACACTTTTTTCTTTTTTTCTCTCTCAACAATAGAAAAAAAAAAATTTGTGCCGGATTTCGAAAAAAGAAAAAGGGGTCTGGTTTTTTCTTCCTTACCCCCACAACCACCCCTGCACCCCCCTAAATTCCACCCTTTTTCTTTCTTTTTTTTCTGGGAGAAATAATTATTTTACTCTATTATTGGTGAACGAGAAAAAAAAAGTAGTGGTGTTTTAATATTATTGTGAGTGGAGTGTGAAAAAAAGAAGGAAAAAAGTGGAAGAGGCGCGCACAGTGCCGGCTTATTAAAAAAAAAAGTGTTTTTTTTACCCCGTCATTACAGTTTTAAAAATTTTATATTTTTGACAAACAAAAAAAAAAAAAAATAATAATAATACCGTCTGGAAAAGAGGGGAAACATGGCGGTGAGAATGGAGAATGTTGCCGCGACAAGGAAGATCAACTACAAAATGATGGTGAGTTTTTTTTTCTCTCTTCTAATTTACGAAAACGTGGACAAAATTCCCCCCCCCCCTCCACTGTTCCCACCCCTCGTGTAGCCTCTCTCAGTTTTTTTTTTTATAAAAAAATTTCTTTTTCAAAAAATAATATTTTGATAAAAAAAAATTCTTTTGCGAAAAAATAGTTTTTCTTTCCGAAAAAGATTTTTTCCCTCCACCCGTAAAATTGGAACATTTTCAACAAAGAGAAAAAAGAATGGAGTTAAATATAAGAATTGGAGAAAACATACGAAACATGTGGATTGTGTGTACGCGGCCATTAGACGATTTTGCCCGATGCAAAGAAGTAAAAAGTTCTCTTCTGGTGGTGGTGGTGTGTGCGGGGCCTTGCGCGCGGGGAAGACTCCTCATGTCCGTGAGAGAGCGAGAAGAATATTTTTCAAGGGAAATTGTGTCTTCTAATTGGCTCTTGTCGATATTGCGACGATATTCCATTAGCCAATCGTGATAGGTTTTTTTTCGCATGTGTGAGTGTGTGTGTGTTTTGCGAATCGAAGGGAAATATATATATATATGTATATATATATAGAGTGGAAAATCGACATTGATCAGTGTCCAAGAAACAGGCAAAAGAATGAAACGAAATCGATTGATTAAAATGTCGCCTTGAATATTTATAAATTCTTCGTACAAAATGTGTGAATATATAAAAATTGAATTAAAACAATGAAACGGGCAGAAAAATAAATAATTATAGCACAAAAGAAAAAAAAGTTTTTTTATTTTTTTGGGAAAAATTAAAATCTAATGCTTTTTTTTTTACTAATTTTTTATATTTTATTTTGGTGATTTAAAAAAAATATTTATATGGACATATAAAAATGACAATGGTTAAAAATAATAATAGTTAATGATATCAAATTTAATTTTTGATAATAGCAGAAACGTTTGGCAAAATTTATTAAAACAAGAATTATCTTTCTTTAACTAATCCTTCGTGCCGATAAAACATTCAGCGAAACATTAAATAACAGGTTCAATATAAAATAAAACATAAATGATAATAATAATAATGATAATAACAATCATTATATTTAAATAAATATAATTTACATAAAATAAATGATAGTTGTTTGTAATAATTTAGTAAAATAGTAACAAAAAGAACCATAATAATAAATATAGCAATACTAATTATTATAATAATCATATTCATATTACCATAATCGTATTATTATTATTTTCATTTTTTGGTTATTATTATCATAATTATTATGAATAAGAACTTAACATTAAATTAAAAATGTTAAGGTTAAGTTTTTTATTCTTTTTTTAAAAAGCTAAAGATCAATGAAACTTTGAGGTTAAGTTTTATTTTTGCAGCTTATTTTTATTTTTTTAAATTAAAATAAATTAAAATTATTAAAAATTTTGAGGTTAAGTTTTATTTTAAAAACTTATTTTTATTTTTTTAATTAAAAATTTTGAGGTTAATTTCTATTATTTCTTAATAAAATAAAGAAAAATAAAACTTCGAGATTAAATTTAATTTTTAAAACTTATATTAATTTTTTAAAATTAAAAATTTTGAGGTTAAGTTCTTTTATTCTTATTTTTAATAAAGTCAAGAACAATTAAACTTTGAGGTTAAGTTTTATTTTTTCAAATTAAAAATTTTGAGGTTAAGTTCTTTTATTCTTTTTTTATAATAAAAATTAAAGAACAATGAAAGTTCGAAGTTAAGTTTTATTTTTGTAAATTTAAAATTATGAGGTTAAGTTCTTTTTCTTCTTTTTTTCATAAAATTAAATTAAGAAAAACGAAACTTTGAAGTTAAGTTTTCTTATTAATTTTTCTCTATTTAAAAAATATAGTAAAGAAAAAATAAAATTTTGAGGTTAAGTTCTCTTTTGTTTTCTTTAAAAAGAACAAAATAAAATTTTAAGTTTAAGTTCGCTTATATTTTTGTTTTTTTTTTTAAATTTATTTTATTTACTTAAGCAATAAACGTGACAATTCATTGAAATAATTTTTTTTTTAAATAAAGTAAGAAAAAATTAAATTTTCAGGTTAAATTTTTGTTTTCTTTTTTTTTTTAATTTAAAAAGATAAAAAAAAATAGAATTTTCTAGTTAAGTTCGTTTCTATATTATTGACCTATTTTCATTAAAGAATATAAAAAGATTTTTCTTTAAAAAATTATAGTCGCCAGGTGACCCACATTTATAAAGTTTTTGATGTTAAGTTTGCTTGCTTATTATTCTTTAATTGTTATTGTAAAATAGAATAAAACTCATAACATTTTTGATATTATTCTTCAATTTTTTTTTCTACAATAAATTTTCCGGGTATACAGTGAGTTTTAAATGAAAATTAGAAAATATACAACTTTTAGGGGTTTTTTTGTCTATTTTTAAAAAGCCCATTTTTTTCTGTTTATATAACTGAAGAAAGAGAGACGAAAATGTCAAGATAACTTAACAAATTAAGTAGGTAACAAACTTTTACATAAATTTGCGCCATTTTTATGCTGAATGTAAATAAATATCTTGACCCCCCCTCCCCTAACCCCTGAAGCGTTACGTAACTTAAGTATAAATTAACTACGATACCAATTTAGGGGGGGAGGGGGTTCAAAAATAAAAATTTCTACATGTAACACAATGAAAAATATGACGTAAAAAAGGGTGGGAAGGAGGGAGAGATTAAAAATTTATCCAAAATAGTATGACGTAGTTTGTAAACGACCCCTAATATATAATATTTATATAGTTTTTACATTATTATAAAATTTCTATCCTACAAACTTAATTTTGAATGCGTTTAAAGATTTTTTTAATTATTATAAAAATGTTATAAATACTCATGTTTAGGGTAAAGATAAGAGTGAAAGAGAGAGAAAGGGAGAGAGATACTGATAAAAGAGAGAGAGAAGAGTTTTGACAAAGTTATAACAGTAATGGCATGCCCAGTCAAGATGTGCTTCAGGTTAGGTTAGGTTAGGTTAGGTTACATTCAACCATTCAACTGTGCTTGCAAATCGACATTCGAGACAAATATTTTAATGCTTTCTTAATTGAAATTCCTCAGAGTGGTTCTTTATTATGTATTTCTCCTTTTTCTCATCCCCCCCTCCTTGCTTTTTTTCTCCTACACCTCATCTTTATTTGCTACTCTATCTAATTTACCCTTCTTACCCCCACCCCCACTTTTTTTTCTATTCTGCATTTTAAGAATATAAGATATTTTTCTTAAATATTATATAAATTATTGGAAACAAAATATCAAGATATAGCATTTTTACTATTTATAATAAATAGTTACTTTAACTTAAATTCAGATTTAGGGCCAGTTTCACCAACTCCGATTAAAAGTTAATCAATGATTAAAGTCATTTTAAACCACCCATGATTGGTAGGTTAAGGATTTAATCATTGATTAACTTTTTATCGGAGTTGTTGTAACTGGCCCTAAATCTGAATTTAAGTTAAAGTGACTATTTTATTATAAATAGTAACATACTAAATCTATAAAATAGTTTGGGGACGTCCCTAAAATATGCTTTGAGGCTCAGATCCCCAAAGAATGCGGTCTATTTGTTTTTTTCACTCTAAATTGTTTATTTATAAATATCTATCAAAAATAAACTTTATGGGGGGGGGGTACTACTGGAGACCATACGAAGCCATAGACACTGGAAAATTTGGGTGTCCCAATTACTATGCTTATTGTTAAATATATTAATCCCTACGAAGAATTACCACAAACAATATACGAACCCTTGAAACAATGAAAATTAAACAGTTCTTAATCATTTTCTTATCGTGACACTTATCACAATTCAATACAAGGCCTTTGAAAATGAGGATTAACTCCGAGAACCCAGGTAATATTTTTTTCTTTCTCCCTTCATCGCATGGAAGACTATAGATAAAAGTACAAAGTTTGATGCGTTACTTAGGGGTCGTCCATAAATTACTGAAGACATTTTTCTTCGTCAGCTTTAAGGCCCCGTTTTGGTCATTTTTAAAAAAAATCATTCTTTTAGAAGTACTAGTAAAAAACTGAAAATAAAGAAGTACCAAATAGGCACTTCATTTTGACCCCAAATTGAAGGGTTTAAGCAAAAAAAAAAAAAAAAAAAATTCGGCCCATAAAACGTGATATGCCTTCTTTTTCGACTAATTTGACTGAACGAATAAGGATGTCTTCCCTTACCTAATTTTGAATATCTACTCTTTATTAAAAAAAATCAGAATTTTATATTAAGGGGGTAGGTTTTGAAATTTAGTCCCAGTTTTACCCCCTCTTTCCTTTTTTTAAAGTACAGGTTCTGTAAATTGTGTTAGTTTGAACGATAATTATACATAGTCCTAATTAAGTCCTAAAGTATGGCACAGTATAAATATTTAAAATTATCAAAAAGTTGTCTCTTATTATCGCTTTTTGTTCCTTCCCCCTCCTTGAATTTCTTAATTTTGCAGAAATTTATTTCAAAATGGTGTTTATATAGCGATTATATGGAAGTAGTGACTGGGGGGAAGGAGAAAAAGAGGGAGGAGGAAGAAAGTGTGTATGTGCGTGTTGAACCGTAAAAAACTATTTTTCGAGAATTTTCGGCATTTGTGGGGGGGGGGGCAAAAAGTTTGGTGGTTATTGTGTATATAGGAGAAAGGTTTCACGCGGCCATGCGGATACTAGACTGTACAAATGCCGGCTGATTTTATATATATATATATATATATATATATATATATATATATATATATATATATATATATATATATATATATATATATATATATATATATATATATATATATATATATATATATATATATATATATATATATATATACGTAGCGATACATATATATACATAGAGATACATATATACATAGAGATACATATACATACATAGAGATACATATACATACATAGAGATACATATATATACATAGAAGTATGTATATTATATATATAAAAGTATGTATGTATATGTGTATAATCGAGGG